TCATCTTCTTCATAATCAGCGCCAAGCGAGTGGCTCAGCAGTAGCAAACAGATTGAATAATACCAAAGCCACAACTTGAAGACCGATAGTTATTTGAAATAAAATAACCCATTTATGTTGCGAATGAGCCTGCAATTTGAAATTGAAAATGAATGTTAAATTAATGGAGTCAATTAATTTCTCGAATCTTGTTATTCTCTCTTCGATTAATCTTACTTCGTTTCCTAGAATGAATCCGACAAAAGCCGGTGTAATGAAACCAGCAGCACAACTCAATGTATTTGCGAACCCATAAGTAGTACCGATAAAGGCTGGAGCCATTTCAGGTATAATAGCACCATCACCCGCAAAATGAAGCCCATAAGTGAACATGGCCATGATTAAACAGAATACAATTAATCGTGGATGATCTCGCAGGTAACAAACTGCTACTAGATTGATAATTACACCACAAATACCTGCAAAATGAGCGATCAGTCAATTTCAAGCTTAAAGATATTGGCAGTTACTTTTGTACTCACTCACGGATTCGAAGAGTTTCCTTGTTGCTGTCGGCGAAAGCCAGCCTTTATGCATTATGTATTTCGCCAATGGTGCACAAGCAAACTGTGAAACACCCATAGCGATGTAAAATATTGCATTGATTGATCCGTTATCCTTAATATTGTAACCAAGTACGGAACACAGATAAACAGGAACCTTGGCATAGATCAATGAATGAGCTAGTCCCATTAGACCTCTGGCAATGATAACAGACCAGAGAGGTAGAGATGTAAGAAATTTGATCCATGGAGTCGATTTCTGTGTGTACAAGCATAATTATGGTTAGAATCAGAGCATCAATTAGAATGAAGAGAAACGAGAAATTATATAATTTGTACAATACAACTAATAAGACTAAACTTGCAGCACCAGTTCAATCAAACATCGGCAATAACTATTAATAGCAGATATAAAGAGAGGAAGAATAAAACAACAAAGTGAAGGATTTAAATGCAACGGACTTGAAAGACTCTTGCATTATTGAATAATGAATAATAAGTTAAATAATTGTAGCTAATTGTCAAATTAAACTGCAACTTAGAATAATCTTGTCGCATAATAATGCATCATTTCAAGTCACTACAAATGCTTAAATAATAGGAATAGTAAGGTGAAATAAAGCTATTAAATGAAACTTTTTGACTTCAAACCTTTTGCTTTTTAGTTGATTTTCCAACTTTTATCACGATCAATTGATGCTTTTCGTATTCGGAGACAAATTTATTCGATTGTGGGTCTACTGTTACCGTGAATACCCAAGTTAATACAAAAATAAGGTTAATAAGACCGACCAAGTAGAAAGCTGCTGGCCAACCACCACACAAACTCTGTGTGCTTATCCATGCCGTGAGTGGTAAGACAATCGCACTGCCTGCATCACTTCCAGCAGCCATCAAGCCTTGAGCAAGGCCAACCTCACTTGGCAAGAACCACTTAGCGATGAGAATGTACAAAGTGGGAAATGTCGTACCATGAATCAAACCCAAAACCATACGAACTCCAATCAAGTAATACATGCCCATCTTGGCTGCTATCGGTGTGATTAATGTGCATATTGTAGCTATTACTTGAGCACCAGCAAATACATGGACAGCATTAAACTTGTCAGTCAATGAACCAGCGCCTATTTGGATGGCAGTATAAGTGTAATAATAAGCACCAAGAATGTATCCTTGGTCTCGCTGGTCCCAATTGAAGTTATTCTGAAATTAACGACGAAACAATTTAGTCTGTTCCAGTTAAATTCATCAACTGTCTCTCCACTTACTTTACCAATTACATGACCAGTTGAAGTCTCAGCCGACTCGATCATGGCAAGTATGGCAACGTTTATGATACTTCGAACAGCAATTACAACTATTGTAGTCATCGTAATCATAACCATAATAAAGTATCGATAAGGAATCGTTGGTCTCTTAAGATGACCATTAAAATTGATGTACAACTCATTCACAAGTTTAGACATATTTACAAGAGTATAAGGTGCTTAGTCGACAGACTAACATCGATTGAGACAATTAACGTTTATCCATTTCTTTTAAACAAAATCATATCCTGCTTATTGACATAATATTGTTGAAATTGGTGAAATTAACAAGAACAGAGATTAATTCATTCCATGTAATCACTCCAAAAAATAATCTTCCTAACAACTAGTTAGCAACAAAGCAGTTACTGGAACTTCATATTAAAATCAACTCATCAAAGTTGATCAATTCGTTGACTGATTATCATTTAATCCATTCAGTAACTTGAAGATTTGTTGAGATGAAATATCATAATTCATCTTGACGCAATACAAATTAACCCGAAACAGAATCATTTTCAATCCAGAACTGTTCATGAATTCATTTACCAAAAAATAGCTTCTACTAAATGTTGATGCAAAAGTAAATGCAAAAACAATGATAACTTGAAGCTATTATTAAGACGAGGCGAGCTTAATCAACGGCAAGTTGTTTAATCAATTAACGGTTGTCTGTTTCGTGTGTTAATTATATTAACAAATACAGATTGATTGATTAAAACAAAAGTGAATTGGTTAGCAAACATAAAACGGTCAACAGATAAAAATAAAAGGTAATATTAACCCTGACCCTTAACCCATGTTTACCTTATATTAAAATATATTCAATCCAAATTAAAAGCCCTCAATCCTTTTTTTAGTCTCTCTCTCTCTTCATTTTAGCTCATCAGCTTAACCTTTTAATTTTATTATCATTTATTATTATTAAAATATAATGATATTAATAATAATATAATTCAGTTATTAAATCGTGAAATCAAATAAATCGTGACATTATTTTGACCTCAAATTAAAGTTAACTTGAACAACCAATTTTTTCTTGCTGTTCAACATTCATTTTTAAAATTAACCATTTTATTATCAAATATGAATTGTGTTTTTAAACTGTAATATTTTAATGATTGACAACAATTGATATATTTAATGGTGAAAAATTAATAGGAAAAAGAGGAACAAATTGTTAATCATTTACATTTAGCCAAAAGTTGACATTTGAAGGGAAAAAGATTTAAGTTTAAAGTTTTTTACTCAACAAAAACTATTGAATTAAGGTAAAGGTGAATCATTTAAATGAATGCAATTTGTATTGTACAACATTGGTTAACATTGAAGAGACTTTCGTGGGTAAATCTAATAATGTATTTACACCTACTTTGTGTACTGTTTCAGGTGAAATGGAAGAGGAAAGTTTTGGATGAAAGTTTTTAATTGAAAGTTACGATTCATTTTTCAATGAATGATGAAGATGGGAAACTAGGCCAAGCCACGTCAATTGAAGCTCATCATCAAACATGATCATCATTGCCTTATATTAGTTACTTGTTATGTTACTGTTATGTTTCTCGTCCTTCCTTAATATTTTTTTCTTACTTTTCTTTTTCTTCTCTCTCTTCATGATAATGATGATGATCCTCATCTGAACCGGCTTCAGATAAATAATTTATCATCCAAAAAAGTCTCCCTCATGAGTTTCTCACTGAATCTCTCACTGAATCTCTTTCATCATGTTCACTCTCAATCTTAAACAGCATTTTGTTTTCAATCAAACAGTTTTGCTTTAATGTCAAAATGATTTCATTTTGTACTTTTATTGTTTTGGATAATATCAACAATTAAGTTTGCTGGACTTTGTTTTGTTTTAATTTAACTTTCACTTGTTTTTTGTTTTGTTATTTGTTTGTTAAATTATGGATAAAATGAATTGGTCAATAATTTTGTTGTTGTTTGGATGTTTATCATTTGGAGTTGATTGTTTCCCTCAATTTACTCGATATCAATCACCTTATAATAGCAATCCATTCAATCGTCGAATCGATTCAATTGATCCAAGAAATTATCAGTTTTTACCTTCTTCTTCATCTTCATCATCTTTTAATATAAATAACAATCCATATGATAATGTTAATAGATACAGTTTGCCTGATGTAAATGATCCTGTCTCATCAATTCGTCGATTCCCACAGTATATTCCGAATGAAAGACCATCATCTTCATCGTCGTCTTCTTCCTCCTCTTCTTCTTCTTCATTGTATTCTCGTCCACCTCAAGTTATATCAGTTTTAAGTAACAATGGGAATCCTCATCATTCATCAATTACTTGGAAACCTCCAGCAACAATTAATCCACCTCCAATTCCTGGTGCTGTTCCTGGTCGATCACCAGCTGAAATAGCTTCACTTACTTCATCATTAGGCTTCTCATCATCATCATCTTTAGTCCAACCACAACCACAACCACAATCCCAACCACCACAACCATCATCATCATTATCTTCTCATTCAAATGGACGATTCTTTCCATCAGCACCAGTTTCTGGCTCATTTCAACCAACAACTGATCCTAAATTCATAACACATCACAGATTAAACTTACCTGACAGATCAATTGATTCAGTTTCACATCCAAATAATCCTTCAATATCTTCTTCTTCTTCTTCATCTTCTTCACAGGCATCACCACGCCAACCAATTGCTTCCATCAACAATAATAGTACAGGAAAAAACGATGATGCTGTTATTTATTATTATTATTATTACGATGATGATGATAAGAATGCAACTCGAATCACTAAAAATGCTAATTCAAACACTAATTTAGACTCAATTCCCAGTTTAGAAGATTATGATCCAATATCAAAACCAAAAGAGGCTTTAAGAGGCTCATCGATACCAGTAACACCACCAACAACAAGAGCATCAACAGCACCAACTACAAGATTGACATCGACAATATTTACCTCAACAACATCAACTCCTACAACATTTAGACCAATATTTAGATCAACTGAACCACAATCAAATGGATTTAATTCTGGTTATCCCTTTAATACAGCAAATTACAATAATTACTTCAATCGTCCAGTTGATCGTCCAACTTCAACTTCAACTACACCAAGTATCATAAATAACAATGAAGAAGATGATGAAGGACCGATTCCTAATGTATTCAGATATGGATCAAATGCTGGAGTTAGACCTTCATTTGATTCAGTTCGATATGGTAATGTTCAAGGATTAAATTCACGTGGAAATAATCAATTCATTTCAGGTCAATCATTCAGACACACACCACCTTCATCTTCATCTTCATCATCATCATCATCTTCTTCTTCTTCTTCTTCAGAATTTTCATCCCCAATTTCATCTACAAACAGACCAAATCTTCCGGTTTCTTCTTCTCAACCTCATAATATTCATTCAAGTGAATTTACTGATGATTATTTAGAGCCTGAAGTTGTTAACCATAATCGACAATTCGGACCTAATGGTAAGAGTCATTTGATTAAACACTTTTTTACTTGTAAAGTCAACATAAATCAGGGAATCATCATTCTAATCTTCAATCAAAATCAGTCGAAATCACAATCTAAATCTCAATCTTAATTTTTTTTCTTCTCACAATTAAATGAGAAAGTATTTCAAGGTTTATTCATTCTTGAGGGTAAATATTGTATTGAGCCTTAAAGAAACATTTGTCGTTGCAAAATGAATGTGAATTCATGAAAGATATTATAAATCAAAGAAACGGTTTTTATTGAATCTCGGTAAAATTTCATGAATCCAATGAAATCGAATGTTTAAAAGTGAAATCTTTACATGAGTTTAATTCAATGTTTATAAACTTGAAACTGGTTTAGGATTTTACAATAATTAATAATAATTATTCAAATTATTTCGTAAAATGTTTAAACACGCAAAAATAATAATAATAATTTTCTTCCTGTAATTAATCAACCAGATTATTCATCAAATATACGCGATCCTGGTTTAATTGTAACAACATTCACTCCAATTACAAGACCAACAACTTCATTCACTCCACCAACAACAACAACAAGCACAACAACGACAACGACAACAACAACCACTGAACCTCCACCTTCAAGTAGCACAACATTGGCCCCTGTAATTGATGAAACGACAACAACTGAATCACCTTCAACTCGTCGTCCAGGTTTGTTATTCATCATTAATTCATTTTATTGATATTTACAACATTCATTAAACTCTGTTCTTATTTTTATTATATTAGGATACGGTAGTCGAAGACGCTTTGGTAATAATAATCTTAACAGATTGAACACATTGAATAGACCTCGATCTAATCCAATAACACCAAGTTCATCAACTACAACAACTTCAACAACCACAAGCACCACAACTCCAAGACCAAAACCAAGGAACTTTGGTCAATCGTTCAGAAGACCTTATAGACCGAATCGAAACTATGGACGAACTGATGATGTCAATAAAGAAACTGTTGCTCCTCCAGAATCAGTGAATTCATTGAACGCGATTGCTCCAATCACATCATCATCATCATCGTCACCAACTACTACAACAACGATTGCTCCCCCAATCACACCTTCATCATCTATTTCTAGTACTCCTTTAGTACCTCGAAGATTCGGTGGATCTCGAAATCGATTTGGTTCAATTCAAAGGTCACAAGTTACTAGATCACCAACTACTAGTACTTCAACCACAACAACAACTACAACATCAACAACTGCAAGACCTTCAATTCGTCGACCCACATCTAATTTCATATCCAATAGAACTCGACCTCGAACTCGTCCCAATTTCTTAAGAAACCGAAATCGAGGATTAGAAGATGAATCAAGCTCAACTACAAGTGCATCATCCACAAGCACAACAAGCACAACACCTTCTCCACCTGCACCTTCAACATCACAATCGCCATCAACAGAACCTTTATCATTTTCAGGAAACATAAATGAAGGTGAATCAGTTTTATCTTCAGGAGAAATCAATGAATCAACTGAAAAATCATTCAGTTCATCAAATTCGAATGAAAATGAATCTTCATTGCCTGGATCAAATCCACCCTCACCTTCATCTTCTTCAGTTGCACCTGTTTCTTCTTCATCAACTGAATCTCCATCTTCATCTACATCATCAACAACAACAACAACTTCAAGTCCATCGACTGAAGCAACAACAAATAACAGACAAACTCGACCTCGAAACCCTTTATTCAGAAATCGTCAAAGACCTAATTTTTTCGGAGCTCGCCGTGGTAATAATGCCAATAACTCCAACGCCAACGCCAACAATAATAACAACAATTGAAATAACTAAGTTAAATTATTTTCCTAAATATTGAAATCGCCAGAATATCCATCAATTTCAATTTTATAACATAAAAATTTGTTCAGCATCGCATTTACAAAATTAACCTCATTGTATTCATCGATTATTTTTCAATCACCTTTTTTATTGTCATTTTACATATTTCATGAAATGTGATTTAACACTCAGACTATCCATTGTAACAATCTAATCAACTTTACTCTTTGAATTTATACCACAAAAGGCTGAACAAACGCGATGTAATACACATAAATCAGTATTTTGTTTCATTTATTTGAAAGTTTTTCTTTTGTCCAAAGTAATAAATTGATGAAAATCTTTGTATATTATTGATGTGTTACTCTCAACATTAGACTTTAAGAGATACAATCTTTATTATCTGACCTGACAGGACGAAAAATCAAGGAGTTAAAATTCATTAAAACAGACTCTTTTTGTTTTAGATTATCGTGATTTGAATGGAACAAAAAAGTTTGCTTTCACCTCAAGCTTCTTGATTGTTTTCAACATCAAAACCATTTACCACGGGAAAATTTTTTAAGTCCAGCAATTGACATAATGTGAACTTCAACCAATTTTGAAGGGGATTGTCAGTCAAAAAAGATTCATGTAAAGCTAAAAAACTAATGAGCACTTTTCATGCTAACTCAATGCCTCCGTTGATATTAGATCAACTCTGAGAAACTGAGATCAAATAATACTCATTGATCAACCAAACTAACGCAAATACATAAACTAAACATTAACTCTATTCTACTGCATGTTTTTGTGCTTGACGCTCCTTTGATGATATTTTGATGATATTCGATCAATAGGATTCAAAAATGGGGATCAAAGAAACTATTAAATCGCATAAATGGACTCAGCTTTTATGTCCCTGCTAACTGAGTCAAAATTTGAAAGAAATCAATTTTACCCGTTTTTGCCTATTCGCCATTAACTATTTGTGTCAATTTGTGCATAAATATGACAATTGTGGAAACTTCGTTTTTCTGTACTGCATGTTTTTGTGCTTGACGCTCCTTTGTGTTAACAGTGAATAATATTCACTGAATATTAAATGAACATTAAATTATAGTATGATATAATAACTTTAGATGTCGCTACTGGAGTATTTAATTTGTAGCTCCATCTCTATTGACTTAAGTAAACTGATTTGCGAAAGTCTAGACCTGCGTGATGAAATGAAATGAAAATTGAAGTTATCTTTCATTATACAAATCTCAATGAACCAGTCTGAAGCTGTTCATGTTCAATTGTTATATTAAATCTTAAATGGTTTTAAAAGCGAACTTGCCTTGGCAATTGCTGATGTTATTTTACTTTTCGGCTTACTCTTGGATTAGGTTAAAATGTTTTTCAATCAACTATCTGCAAGGTAAAACGGTTAACAGCCGTTGAACATCAAATATAAAAATGAATCTATTTAGTTTAGTGCATCAATTCAATAATGTAAATAGTGATAATCATGCTGTGATACAAGAAACAAGTGTTAATAGTGATATCGTCATGGTAACTAATTCTTTCAACAGTACAACATCCAAAGGCTCATTCAGTTCAACATCACCGATGAAATTACAAATAGCCAGTGATAAATTGATTCTTTTGCATGAAGAAAATAAAAATGATGATTTCGAGATTTCGGATGAATTGACCACTCATTTGGATGCAACCTGCCAATCGTCTAAAATTACTAATTTGAAAAAAATGGAGGAATATCGAACCGTTAAATTGGTGAAAGAAAAATCTATTGGTTTTGGTCTAAGCATTAAAGGCGGCTGTGAACATGGTTTACCAATATTGATTTCAGGTTTAACCAAAGATGGTCCTGCCGATAGAAGCCGGCAATTGTTTATCGGTGATGCTATTGTTCGTATTGATGACTCCGTTCTCACTCTTACTCATACAACTCATGAGGAAGCAATTAGATTATTAAAACAGGCTGGAGTGGAGGTTAGTTTAACCGTCAAACATTTCAAGATGGTTTCTCCCTTCTTAACAAAGTGCTGGAAAAAGAAACAGACCCTTGACGAGGCGGGAGATCTTATGGTCACATCTAACAACAACGTAGATTTGATGGTTGATGAAAAGCTTTTGACTATAGTGACCAAGAAAGAGATTATATGTGACTCAAATTTTAAAAGTGGACCTGGTAAATTGGAGCCACAGAGCTGCGAAGGAAAAATAAAGAAAAGTAAAGCTCTCTCTTCCAAGGCTGTTTCCTCTGAGAAACAGAAAAATGTCAAAAACTGGATTCCGCTCATCTCAATAGATTTGGCAACTTGTTTTGTTACCAAATATGTCCACGATAGTGACAAGATTCGACCTCATGGTTTTGAAATAAGGTGGTTGACAGCAGTCGATTCTCAAAGTAAACCAATAAAATCATATCCATCAACTGCATTTTCCTCTTCATCATCAGGCTCGGCGTCTTCTTCAACTTCCTCAACCACCTCATTATCTACACCTAAGTCAGTCGACTCTGGTGTTGGAGTTGGCATAAAATGTGCCTCTAATAGTACAATAACGTCAGTTGAAAATCCCAAGGAACCTTTAGTAGTCACAAAAACATATTCCTCTGCCATAGTCATTTGCGACAATCAAGAAATCTATAGAAAGTGGTTCTTTAATATTGATAAAAGTGTCAAAACTGTGATCCACAATCGAGTTAAATTGTTAAATAGTTATTTACCAGGATCTGAGAAGATTCATTTCATGGGCTGGATTAGTCAAGGCTTACCTACAACTTCAAGTGAACCATATCGTCCTTGTTACCATTGGTATACTCGATACCTTGTTTTAAAGGGTGGTGATGGCCTAATTTACAAAAAGCCACCTAATGGTCTGCTATGTCATCCTACTAATGATAATTCATCTTTGCCCTGCATCAGGTGGTCTGAGGGTGAACCATACCTTTTTAAAGCTCATCAATTAAAGCTCATCAATCAATATTACGTTGTCTCAAATCAAGTGAATATGTAGATGAAAGAGAAAATTGTTTTCTTTTGTTATATTGCACACCATCATCAGTATCATCAACTGGAGCAATTAAAAAAACAACAGCACCTTTGTCATCAAATAAAATACCAACTACAACATCATTTCAACCACCAAGAGATGAAACAAAAAAATCAGACACATCAAGTCTAAACACAAACAAGTCAGATGCAATTCAGTTGAGACATCAAGTGAATTAGCACTTATTAGGAACAATTGGAATCGTGCAACTTACCAATCTGTCACACAATTATCTGTCACACAATTAGGGGTTTGTATTACTTTTAACAATGATTTTTCATTTCTATCCATTTCTGGTCTTTTCATCTTCCATTCCGGTAATCATAATTCATCCAGTAACTCAACCAGAGTCAATCTAATGGACTGTGAATTGGCATTAAATACCAATTGTTTAGGAAATATATAAGAAACTGTCAATTTTCCGATAACTAATCACTGATTGGTAATCATCTTTCTCCATCTTGATTATCATTCCTTCACCTGCAAGCTAATCAGTCCTAATCAACTTTTAGCTGTTAACTTCAGCTGAATCGTTTTCTCCATAATTTGATTTTCTAATGTAACCAGATTAATCTCATTACCTAACAATACTACTTCCATTTCACTCATTATCATGTGGAAACAGATTCTCTTTTCACCTTCTATTCTCAATTTCAATCTTTCCATTCAATACTAATTTAGAAAAAAAAATTCTCATTTTCTGCATTTTCTGATATCTACTTTCGATAACCTAACCCATAACTATTACCATGATGCTTTGCCATTTCACTCAAGTTTCCTTTCATGGCCATTGTCTTTTATAAATTCAATGAATAGTTATCATAGATGTTGTTATGTTTTGATTGCTGCTCACCTTGAAACTCAAGGAGATGATGATCAAGTCTTCACTATCGTGCTTCTCATTTCAGGCCTTTTCAAAATAACAATGAGCAATAAGTAAAAGTATTAACCACGTTATCATGTTCATATTGACATGAATTGGTCAGAACGAGTGCGTCTACTCTTTACTGACTTTAAAACCAAACTTCAAGGGTATTCCAATTGAAAGTTATTCAAACTATAAACTTGAATACCTGAATAATATCTCATCATAAATCATTCATTGTTATTTTGCATAAAAAACGGATTTTTTACTTTCATCAGATGTTACCAGAAAAGCAAGGTAAAATGGCAACAGCAACCTCAACCTAATCTTGTTTTTTGCTCTTACAGAGTAAATTGTTCAATCAAATTAAATTAATTTTTTTCCAATTTCTATTATATAAGAATCAAGCTTTTACTTCTATTGAGATTGTTCGAGTTGATATCAAGTTGCAACTCGTTTCTGCTTGCATTTAAAGTTAATGTTCTTGAGATGATCTTAATTACTATTTTACCTTTTTTCTGCTTTTCACTTATAATCGAAACCAATGAACCTCATCTAAAGATGTTGCTAATGATGACGATGAGTTAATTTTTAGTGTTACTCTATTTACATCAATTGAATGAGAAAGCAAGAAATGAACACATTTTGTTGTTCTTTTACTTCAATCAAATGTTTTAATACAATCTTTAAATCTCACCTTACCCAGGTATTTTTTATGCATCATGTTATTTGGTACCCAAATAATGCCAACCTAAAACCTTACAAGAATCATCATTAAGACCGTTTTATTGAAAGGCCCAAAGGCCCTATTTTACCATTTCTCATAGAAATGAAAGTTTTTCTCTCGTGTTACACTTTTCCTTGTCTTGTTGCTCTCCTTGCTCGGTTGAGCTTTCAACTTAAGTTCACTGACCAAAGCTAATTGCAAATAAATATGCACATACATTCAGGTATCATAACCTTTCAACTTTTTGTCTCCATTCTTCTCCTCCCTCCTTCACCTAACCAACACTACCTGTTACTCATCACAGTCACAAAATAATTCATCTGCAAAGAATCTTTATTGTTTGTTGTTTTCACAGTTGGTGTTGTTACCTTATGTCAATGTTACTTTCTGTTAAAATTCACCCCAACCTTGTTCACTTCAATTTTTTACGCAACTTTTTTTTCTCAGGTAAATACATTGAGGCAAAAAAAACATAAAAAAAACTAATAATTCAATAGCTTTTACCAAACCTTTGATAATTTTTCTTATCATTTTCTCATTTCTTAAAATGCATTTCCAGAGAATCGAGAATAACTATAAAAAATGAACAATTTGACTCAAAATGCTTTACTAATCTGTTTTAATCTTAACTTAACCTTAATCTCAAAACTAATAACAATACCTGTGTTGAACTAAAGACTTTGCCAAAAAAAACTAGCGCCTTTCCAATCAGTATTTGCTTGATAATTTTGAGATAAATAAAGTAGATCATAAACAAAATCAAATGTGAAAAAATGTTGCGATTCACTAATATTGCTATTCACATTCTATTGACCCTTGACCATCAATCATAGCGACAAACGTTGATAATACTAATCACATATTGTTCAATCAATGTGATCCTTTGATTAATTTTCAACAATTGCTGAGATAATAGATTGTTTCAGGTTAAGTTGTTGTCTCAACCTGTTTCAGTATGTTAATGTGCGTGCTTCTGGTATTTAACTTGTTGAGTCATTTATAAATTGTGGTTAAATGAAGCAAACAATCTATTTAACACTCTTGTTAACCTATTGGTTTACCATTACCAGGATTAAATGTAAATGAATCAACCTGCTTATCCTGTTGCACCATTCAGGTGAATAGGTTGAAAACGGTAGTTGCTGTTGAATTTCAATGGATGATCCTTGACGAATGATATTCATGAAGTAGACAAACAAACAACTCAAAGTAAACCCTAAGAAGCTGACAAAAAAAAACTTGATCCTCATTCATGTAATAGTACTTGTTGATCATCTGTAAACAACTATTCAAAATTCAGTTGATTTTTGTTGTTGTCTTCTTGGACTTGCATCCATCATCCACCCATTATTTCACTATTTTACCTCATTTCTCAACCGTAAACCTTGTTGCACAGGAAGAAAAGATATGAATACAAATATCAATTTGAATTTAAGATGGCAACTTGTTTGCTGGTTAAATTATTCAAAGTGAAACACACACAAAACTAGATTCATATTAATTGTCCGTACTTTTCATTCAAACCATATTGGGTTTATCTGTTTACCAATCCATTTGACCATTCACATTCATTGTTTGACTTGATAATCTTCCTCCTTCACACTTGCTGTCAGTCTGTTTGCCATTACCAAAAACTCACAACTTGACCATCGTTCCCTCTCCCATTAAAAGTTTCAATGATGTGCATCAACGCCATCAAGAGAAACCAAAATTCAAGCTTTTCCTCTCTTCCATTTTTTTTTTATTCCCGCTGTGAACCTCTTCACCTCTTTTCTGTCTCTTATCAATAATACATGAGCTCTGTTCAGCGTTTTTGATAACTTTAAAAACCTGTCAACAAAATAATTTTTTTCACTGATTTACATTCAAAAGTAAAATGTTTTTTCAGCTCACTTTGCCCATCAAAACTGCCAACTGAAAGACGACTGAAAAGACAATTATTTTACATAGCAAACACAAACTGCTTGTCCATGATTAAAATCAGCCTTGGAACCATATCCTTCACTCAATTACTGTGTTTATTAATGTTAAAGTTCAGTCATGTGTAAATCAGTAAACAATTGTCATCCTTGTTGACTCTCTTAACGTCCGTTTGTATGCAAATGGACAAAGTCAAATGTAACCTTTTTTTGCTTACAAATTGGCTTGTGTTTACTATTTTGCATACTTTGTTAGCTTCAGTCTCTTTACGCTTTTTCACTGATTCTGAAGTCTCCCATTATTATTATTTTCATCATTCATTCTTTTCACTATTATTATTAAATTCATCAAAATCATCAACCATCATTGTCATTATTAAGTATTATTATTATTATTATTATCGTGTTCCTTTGACCAGCCACGTAACTAGCATTTCAATGATTGAACAAGCATCATCTTGACCGCTTTTTTGCTTGCTGTTACCCAACAATTTTATTTGACCAAATCAGGTTTCACTTGCACTGAACCATTCACATCTTCATCACTTTGCTTTTTCATCATTTCTCTCCCTTTGTCCATCTTATAAGTCAAAAACAAAACAACAGTCCTTTTCAAATTTACACTCAATTTGAATGTTGCGTGTCCATTCAAATGACCAAATTGAATATTACTTTAATAGATAACAATTTTATTCATTTTTTTCATCATCTATCATTTATCAGTCAATTAATTTTGGTTACCTTAAAAACTCTCACTCAACATCTAATCATTTTCATTTCCAGACTAATAAATATTAACTGTTGTTACATTCAATTTCCTAATCTTTTCTCACCTCATTTCAAAGGCACCAAAATGTTTGTCTCTAAAAAGAAACATAAATTTCAGTTGATTGTCTTTGGGTTCATCTTTTTTCATCCCGAGACCCTCCTTGCACTCTCCTCCCTTCCTCCACCTCCACCCTGTTAATTCCCTCAAACTAATCATCATTACCTTTATCTCAGTTTTTCATCTAAAATTGTGTTTTTTTAAAGCAAAATTCAATAAGATGCTGTGCTTCAAGTACAACACTTGATTTCAATAAACTTTGAAAAAGATACCTTTTCAGTTTCACTCAAAATTGTTATATTGTATAAATTTACTGTGTAACCCAACCCTGATTTACCATTATTATCCTAACCTTTACCTTTCATAGTCTAATGGATCCTCTAATGACAGATTTGACTTAAATTTTGAATTAACAGCAAAATCAACTAAAGACTTTGATTTTAGATCTTAAAGGTTATTCCAAATGATCAATGCTTACAATTTGATATCTTTTACCCATTGTTGATGATATTTTATCCCTTTTCATGTAAATGTAGAAATTGATTTATTAACTGTTTATAATCAGGTTTGATGAATTGATGATTTAAATAACAATTACCTTTTTGCATGAGAGAAAGGTAAAGAGTTGTCAGTAGAAGAAGAAAAAGTAACCCAATTGTTAATTGTAATTTTATGTGTTTTTAAACTAACTTAATTAATGAGCTAAGGGAGACTGTTAATCAACAACAATTAGACCTGCTGGCTAAATTATATTTGAGTCTTGCTTTTTTTAACAGACGCATTAGCAACATTAATTTACTTTGAACCTAATTTTTGATTGCATTTCTATTTCTAATGTCGCCTTTAATCATCAATTTTCTGGTTGTAGGTTACCAACAATTGATCAACAATCATCTATCCAATGCCTTGGGTAACAATATAACCTTTGCTTTTCATTAATCTTAGTTTATTAGAGGTTCAACAATTAGATTAGAATAGCTTTAAACTCTTTACTCAATCACATATAAAAAAAACCTTTACTGGGTGCGAACCTCGACCCCCGCAAGTCAATGGACTTGGTGTGTGATGGCACCATTGTTGTTGATTGTTCACTTTTGTTTTACATTGAAAGGCAACTGTTTAACAGTAAACGCCTGTTGATGAAAAATTGAAATTCAACCAACTCATTCATTAAAGTCCATTTATATGTCATTTTATTGATATTAAATCCACCCTTAACCAAAGGTCTACCTTTATCAAAATTCATTATAAAGTCAATAATTGAAAGGTTGACGGACACGTAAACCTTTAATGTACATTATTGTTTATCAGGTTATGTATCAAGCTAATGATCAAACTGGAAGAGGGTTCAAAGGATTGGTGTACAACAGTGTGACACTTTAATGATGTCTTACTTTATTGACAGTTTGACCTAAAAATATGCAGATCTCAAGATGGATCATGTTAATGATATTAATTGTAGAAACGGTCAATTGAAAATTCTGTAGACCATTTCAAATGTAAATCATTTAAATGCGTAGGCCTTTAACTGTTTCCATACCGTTATTAAACTTCATCATCATTATCATTATCATTATACGTTTCATTGTGTAAACTATTCCAAGAATAATTCTGTATTCATCACAATAATCGTCTAAATTATTATTATTCCAAAATCTTCTTCTTTTTTCCCTCAACCCACTCTTGGTTCAACTTGTTTCTTACACACAAAAAAACATAACATGATTCTCATCATCACCCTACTTACCCCTTTCAGTTTGATTTTAGCATCATTAGCATCACTCTCATCTTCATAGTTTTACCAGCAGACAATAACGAAAAGAGCAACGCAAACGTGAAGCCAACACACAAATCGTATTAATAATAATCTCAACCCTTTGCCTTCCATCATATTTCAAGTTACTCTAATTGTCTCCTGCCAAGATGATCAGACAAAGAAAAGAAATGAGAAACATTTTTAATCTTCTTCACCATCTTAATATATCATTTTTGCTAATTTCAGTCTCTTCTTCTTCTTCTTTTTCAATTTAGAGCAAAACATTTCCTGTTACCTGTTCCGGTAAAATGGGAAATTTGGTCTTGGATTGGCGACTTGGTTTCATCTTTCGTTATCCCAATGAACGCCAATATGATTGGTCATACAAATTTTCCCAACTAAAGACTTCCTCAGATGATGGACAGACTATCCTGTGGCTTTCATTTCGTATACATTCACAATCATCTTCATCTTCAACCACATCTTCATCAACAACATCTTCACATTCAGAGATTAATTATCGTTCATCGGGACGATTAAACACCAACCATACCGATTCAATAAACACAGAGTCACCTTCAACCGGATCATCGGAAACACTCCACTCATCGTTACCCTCCATTACCAATGCGCCCACCGACAATGGTAAACACGGCAAGGCTGGATCAACCTCATCAACTGGCTCATTTTCATCTCCACGAGAATCCATTGAAAACAAATTGACCATTGAAACTCGAGAAATCCATACAAATCAACTTCAAAACCTTCTCTACTGTATCCATGCATTTTTAACAGCCAAAGTCATTTCAGTTGATCAATCGTTTTTACAAAATTGTTAACATCAGTTAAACTGGATTACAAATTACTATTAGCATTTCCATTTTTGATCATAATTCCAAAAATATATTATAAATACAATAAGATGTACAATCAGATGTGTGTTTCAAACAATCCATTGATTTGCTTCGTATTTCAATTGTTTCATTTAAACACGGATGCGAATCAAATAATCTTTATTTTCATTACGTTTTTTGTATAATTTTAAATTTGATCAATTTGTCTCATTATTAGCAGCTAAACTGCATGTAAAAACCCATTTACATTGGACTGATCAAGTTGGCATTTAATCTTTTGATTCTCTTTCATAACTTATTTTGTGTGATTATATAATTTTAATATATATTTGATTCAATTGGTTAATTTAATTGACCAATTTTTATTGTAATTTCTTTTCAATATTATTCTTTGATTGATTGGAAACACAATTTATCCCGAGATTGAGAATTGATGAAAAAAACCAGAAAATACATTTCATTATAACTCTAGTCGCTTCATAATGTATCATCAACTGCTTTTTATTGTACATTGATTAACCTTTAGCCTTTACTTTGTACTTGCTAAATTGATTTTAATTGGTTAAATTAAAAGATTAATTAAACTTTGAATTGCAATTATTTTTGTTGATTTGTTCAACAATCGTTGAAGAGCTCTTTTTAAAGGTAAAATCTGGTTCAATTAGCAAACAATTTCAAGTAATTGTGACAATAAAAGATTAAATGGTAAGAAAGAGGCAGGGAAGAGCTATTAGTTGATTACTTGGGCAATTATCAGTTAATCAATTTTTCAGCTTATGATTTATATCACTCAATTGAAATTGTTTCACTTTTAATAAGGTTATTGGCTGGTTTTAGCTGTTGATGAAGAGGCGATTCAAAATCTCATGTAAACCTTATTTTCATATTATTTGATTGATTGAAAAGGTGATGAACAGGATTAATGTGTGAGTGTGATATTCATCAACTACTTTTAATCAACATTTTCACAACTCAATCTGTTCTAACTAATGAACTGAGCAATTTAAGATTCAGTTTTTTATTGCTCAAAGAGGGTAAATTGATAGTGAATGAAACACACACACACACAACACACAAGATGCTTTTAAATCATCTTGTTTTGTAAAGCGACAGTTTCTTTCAATTGAAGTACATTTCAACTTGACATTAATGCAATTTAAATCTGATAGCATTAATTAATTTAAAAAGTAAAGTAAATTGTTGGTCTTTAATAACAATCTGTAGTTTCATTCATATAAATTGCACCTTCTTTTTTTGAGTTGCAAGTAAAAGTGAGGTGAGTTGATGAGTTGTAAGACAGTTAAATAACGTTAAAAGCTACTCTTTAACACTTTACATATTCAACCACTTAGACCCATCTTACGATTAAAAGGCTATTAAGGTCAAAATAATATGTCGATGCTAACGCACCCAAAAAGAGGTAAATAAAACAGATTGTGAAGTGACATAACTGAAAATGATATGAGACTTTGACAGCGATTTCCTTAAGTTGATCTTTTTTCCTTATTCATTCGCAATTATTGTTGGCAGTATTATTCATTCAACACCAGAAACTTAACAGTTATCACAATATTTGGATGTTTAATCCTCAATTTCAATATTACAGTCGAACACCTAAAATTGTTGTTCGATTGTTTTGTTACCAGATAAGGTGCGATATTCAAAAGACACCAATAACCATTTTAAATTTTAGATGTCGTTTTAAGCGCAGTTCATCACAGATCTTTCATTGTCACTTAATTTTTAGAGCATCAGTTATATTTGAATGAATTTATTTCAATATTGGCTGTCATTATTGGAAGAAAAGAAGAGGAAAAACAAAATAATCCATCAATATTGGCGCATTAAAATTAAAATTAGTGCAATCCTCTAAATATTACAATAGATTTACAATTTGCCTCAGAAACTCGATCTTCTTGATCACAACCAGATTCTTTCCAGCAATTATATCCATTGACACATCAAACCAGCTTTCACACCATTTGATTACTTGATTCGTCTTCATTATGTTTTGGTTTCATTGATTGTTTTCATGATTTTCAAGTCATTTGAAATCAATTGAAAATTAAGCTTGAATTAAGATTGAAATTTTTTCCATATTTACAGTTTTCTTCATCCATAAGAGATGGTGCTACCGTCCGCGGTATTCAATTATTGACAGTTTTTTTATTAAATAAAAGCTCATTTTAATTGAATTTTGTTAAAATTTGGTTATAAATGTATTTAATTCACTTTTTTATTCGACAAATTTCTCGATAAAATGATTTACAGTTTTGGTTCCGTTTGATTTCATGCTTATTTGTATGAACATTTGTTTAAACAGAAAATTGTTTTTGACAGTAATACCGGTTAGAATTACCGTCTGTCAAAAACCGCACTATTTAGTTGATTTATCGTTAATTATGTGAACATATTTCTAGTAATTAATTGTTTTATCTTGTTTATTTGAAATGCGACCTAATCAATTCCATGTTTACTTGCCTGCTTGAGAGTTATATTTATGAATGATATTTAATTTGGATAAAGCGCGGTGATAACCAGCCAATAGGAGATTGCCTGATGTCATAATTGGCAGCTATTGCTTTGATATTTTCATGGGCTTAACGTGTCCTTATATTGTTATTACATATTGTTTGTTATTTTATTTGTTTCAACTGGATAATATTTAATTTAAATCAATCCAATGAGTTGTCTTGACGGTCCATTGGAACCTTTTATCACCGATGATTGTATGATTGACAAGTATATTGAATCAATTGGTATGTTGAATAAATATTCTTCTTTTACCTAATCCTGTCTGTGGTTTTATTTATGATTAACGTTTTGTTTACCTTTCATTTGATATCTTGCAGTTGGTCAGACCAGTGATTTACCCGAGTTCGACCCCTTGTTATGGTTTGAAGAGGGTGGTCTTGGCTCTAATCTAGTTGGAGATGATCTATGGCCAGAAAGTGGGTCCAATGATAACAGTAATTTATCTGATTTAAACCAGCTTTCAACAACCGGTTAGTATTTGCACTTGCAAATTACTTTTCTATTTAAACAATACCTAATTTTTACTGGTTCAACTCTCATATTAATCGTGCATTTTATTAATTCTTTTACTTTAGACTTGCAAGAATCAACATCACCAAGCCCTAGTAAAATCAGTATTTCTGAAAGCCTGTCAACTAGTCCAGAAGAAGATGGCATCAATGAGGAAGTTATCGAAGAATTCGTTGATGATGAATTATTACTAACAAATGGCCTACTGAGTCCTGAATCTGATATTGAGTCAAGAACCCAAGTCAATTACTCCCACCTAAATCAATCAACCGCAGCTCGTACATTTGAAATTCACAACTATTGTTGCATTAAGGAAGATGATACCGATGAGATAGCTTCAATTGAATCAAGTCCGAAAGCCAAGAAATCCAATAAAGGTGTTAAAAGAAGAATTACTGATTTTCGTCTAACCGATGAGGAAAGAAAATTGCTAACCAAAGAAGGTTACAATAACTTTCCCAGTGAGAAGAAAGAATTAACCCACCAGGAAGAAAAGATACTGAGGAAAATAAGACGTAAAATAAGGAATAAGAGATCAGCTCAGTTTTCAAGACTCCGAAAAAAGCAATATGTTGAAGAATTAGAAAAGAAGTACGAAGATTGTACCAATGAAAATAAACACCTTAAAAAGGAAGTTGAAGATCTTCGTCGACAAAATCAATCCCTAATGGTGAAAATGCGTAAAATCTTAAAAGATCACACTGGGCCCGGACAAGCATCGTTTAAGACGTCTCTTTTTGTTATACTGCTTTCATTCCTTTTAATTTTGATGCCTACTTTTAGGTTAGTTGATTTTCATTTAATTCACCAATATTTTTACCAAATTATGCCAAATTTGAACTAATACCTGGTTTTACTCTTTTTCTTATCTAATAGGCCTGACTCTTTGGATGACAGCTTAACTGGATCCAAACAACAGCAACAAATAATGAGAACCGGACGTCATTTACTGATGACTCTTGGTGGACATGATCTACCCTCCTATATCCTTAATGAATCTGAAAATACCATAAATTTCACCAATGCCTTGTCAATATAAAATTAAATTTTTAAAGGCAAAGCCAGAGCCCATGTCACAGTCTTGAATAACCTTTTCATTTGAACATGATCAAGTGAATCCATTAAATTCCCATCTATTTCATATTAAAGTATCAATGATATCCGAGAACCATAAAATGATTATGTAAATAATTTCTTTCCCTCAATCCAATGAAAAAAACGCCAATAACAACGGAATTTACCACTTTCGGCTCCAACAAAGATTTGTATAATTGCCATTATATAACTATTGGGAACCTTTGAACCTAATTTACCATCGGAAGGAATACAAACAATAGATCAAATTCAATCAATTGCATCCTAATTATTCATTTTTATGGATGTTTTTAACTGATGAGGGCAAAGGTCTCATCAATTAAGCACTTATAGATGCGGTCCTTTTTGGTTAACCAGCTTTAACCATAAACCATTAAAATTGAAGATTTTCCTAATTCAGAAATGATCATTATAGCTAATTATTGAAAAGTGTTAGAGTGTTTCAATGTAATGATTTAAAAAATCAAATGCTTTTGTAATATGAGTCAATTTATCACATGAAAAGGTAACTATGAGAAATAAGATCCATTTGATGATCAATTGTTTACACGATTCTAATCAATTTAACCTCGTGTCCATTAATTTCTTGTAATCTTATCTGATTCATTGTAATCCGAATCCAAATATTAGCTCAATGTTTCTATTTAAAGCTAATTCAATCAACACATTAAAACAACATAAAAGATGGTTAAAAAGATGACATTTGCTGGTTTAAATTGCAAGGATAAAAAGTGAAATACTTTTCTTTACTAAAAGGATAAATTTACAATTTAAATTGTCTAGGAAATTTAGGTATCGGTTGGGATTGTATTAGCAAAAAGTACACAAAAGAGTCATATCAAAGTGAATTGTTTGATAACCTCTATTCTCATGCAATTACATGTAAACTACAATCGTCACTCAATCTTCATAGTCGCCATTCACGACTGTTTAAGGGAAAAATTTTCATTCAAAAAACAATCTAATTAAGTCCATGAATGACGACTCGAAGCGTTGAGTGAAGATTGCAGCGTCAACAGATTATTGAAGTAAAAAAGGATTGATTCCTTGAAATGAAAACATTTTACAAAATTTAAATTTACATTTGACTGTTGAAAGTGTATGAGTTTACAATAGTATTACAAACAGTAGTTATATTACAGTGTATCACAGAGTTTGTCCAATCAAGATTGACAAAAAGGTGAGTGAAATAATCATTAAAGATGACTTCTCTACCAATGAACTTGAACCCTTGGGTGTTGCAGGGTTATTTTGTGGTTCTTGAGTCGCACCAGGGATTGGAATGGTGGTTACATTATCGGCTTTGGTACTAGAAGTTTTATTTACAGTCGTTGATGAGTTATGCACAGTGACAGACACTGGAGACACTGAAGAGACTGGTGGAGCTGTTGATGATTTTGGCACATCATAGTCATCAGGTTCATCATCATCAGGATAGTCATCATCATCATAATCACCATCGCCACTTCCGGATCCACTGCCACTTAAATCTTCTGTTGGGGACAACAATCAAAACAGTGATTAGTAAATTTGGTAACAATGAATCAAGCATTGAACAGTACAAGTACAACAAGACGAGTAAACAAGTTTCAGATGATATTCAGTGTCAAATCAATCAACAGTTAACAAGCTTAAAGCCCAATTTGATCAACAATGTAACCAAGCAATTGAATCAAATTGAAATTTTGAAAAGAAGATGACAACTAATTGAACAAATAAGGTTAAATTGACAATGAAACATGCTTTTAATAAGACTGGACTTTTACTTGCTCAATGGTTCAATCAGTTTTCAGTAACTCTGGAGTAATTATCTGTAATTGAAATCATGTTTATATTCAATCTCAACATAAATTTAGATTATAATCAAGAGAGGCAAAAAAAGAATCTTAATTGAACTAATTAATAAAGATTGGCAATTCACCTCAATCAAAACTGGTTATCAATATAAAATGATGAGCGTAATTTTAATTAAAAATCAAACAAATTAAAACACATCAAGATAACAGATAAGAGTGAAACAAATTAGTTTGGTTAAATTAATTTAAAATTAAAGTGATGACAAAATGAGGTTCCAAAAATGTTCACCTAACCTGAGTTATATTCAATTACAGTAATGTTTATTAACAACAATTTAAGCTGTGATCGTCTAAGGTAAACCAACTCAAACTGCAAGCAAACACCAATTGATTACAATGTTAACCAACGGAAATTAATAATCTAATGTCTACTAAATCTCGTTGGTAACAAAGAGATTTATTTACTCAAATTGGTAACTGTTTTACACCAAATCAAGTTGTTTAATAAACGATTGTTAAATTGCCAAATCAATAATTAAAACCCGTGAGGAACAATAAAAATAGCTTTTGAGTAAATTTGGTGATAGATGAAGTAAAAATAAAAGTGAAACCAAGTCAACCCAAAACCCAAAAATTGATTCCGATTTTTACTTTGCTTTTTGATGGCAAAATGCATTTGAAAGCAATACATAAAAACGTCCTTTTACAACTTCCGTTGTTGATTGAAGGATATAACAGCAATTATGATTACAATTAACATTAACTTGTTTACTTGACAGATCAACTTGTAATCAAATAGCTTACCATCTTCTGGTATATCGGATCCTCTGAATGCTGCATCCAACTTTGAATTGACATTTCGGAGTAAAGCTCTTTGAGAGTTGATAAAGACAACCTTTTCATCCATTTCCGAACTTTTGTCAGTCAATGGTTGCCTGTAAATCAACAAGATAATTAATATTATTAATGATATGAGAAGTTAATTATTAAGATATCGATTAGGCAAAAAAAGTAAGAAACCGTAAGACCATTAGGAATGGTAAAATAATAATTGTTCAATCAATTGGCAGTAATTTATTAATTACTCCATTGTTTATCATGATTCAACTGTTTTACCTCAACGTTTAATTTTCAATGTTGACTCAAACAATTAATAGATGATTCAAAGTCTTGACAGTTAGAGACAATTAAAGATTTAATGTAAAATGATTAAAATAAAATTTCGATTAGATTGAATCTAAATGGAAAGCTGTTTAACATGTAATCAGTTGAAAGTAAAATAATAAAAAGATCAATAAAAGTTGAACAGTTAGCTGAATTACTGGATTGCATCGGAGGTTTAAGTGTTGAACAATCAAGCTCAATCATAAATCCATATTATGATTGCTGTAAAAGTTTCTTGACTTTATCATCTTCATCCTGATTCGCCGAGTTGAACAGTTTTCAGACATTAATCCAACGAAACGTTTCTCTTCTTGTACTTAATCTCATAATATGAATGAAAGCCAAAAATGAAAGATGAAAGATTGACTGAAAGCTTATCAATAGCTTTTAATTCATTGATATATTAATACCCATCAGTTGAATCAACGCCTACCAATAGGAATTAAAATGTTCCCCTGATCATCACGAAATTGATCAGTAACATCTGAATCAACAAAGCAACTATCACCAATCATTTAATCTCAACGCATTTAAAGACCAGGCAAAGATGTGAACCTTTAAAGGCTATTGAAAGGCAAAAAATGGTAAAGTCATGAAACAGATTGAAATGTGCTGTTGACAAGTTACTTTGAGTTAACAAATGTTTCTAATCATCGCTTGGATCATGATTAATTTTTGATTGCTCATCATTCATCAGACTGATTTTTTTGTCTATTTCACCAGCAAAGGGAATCATGGAAATGAGATGAACAAGAGTCTGGAATTAATTTGATTAGATGATGGAAAAAAATCAGCTTTTCTTTCCGTTAAACAAGGAGGGTTGAGAATTGATGGAAATCAAAATTATTGAAATTAGAGGCCCACCGATTAAACTGAATCTCTCTGAAAACTAATCAACATGAAAATGGTTAACTTTAATGATGATTCAACTGTAAACAGAGATTTGCAAAGGAGCCAAAACTGCTTCTCAGTGGTTCAATAGTTAATGATTTAAATGTTGTCTAATTGGAAAGGCAAAGGAATCAAAATTTCAACTATTCAGTGTTTTTTTTGAAAGCTTACAAAGACAACATTTGTTTACAAGGTTAATGGCATGGTCATCATGATGATGTTCATAATTTTGATGAAGCAATTTGTAAGCAAAACAAATAAATGCTTTAAAAAAATCAAGCTAATTTGAAACCAACAGTTGAAACAGATTAGTTGCTAATTTGTGTCTGACTTTTTTTTCATCTTTTGATTTATCCTTGAATTTAAGTTTAACAGTGATTAATTGTTTTACTTACATTGAACCATCTTCTTGACTCCAACATGGTTTATTATTAAGCTCAGCTGAACCATCTATTGTTGCCGGAATCACTGAATTGTTGCAAACTGTTTCAGGTAATCGTTGCCAAAAGTCTTTCATTTTTTTCAATTGTTTTTTTGTGCTGTCCAAAAAGTTGTCTAATGGTGATTTTGAGGCTGTTGGTGATCGATTGTCCAGTGTTGGTGAGGTTTCACTTGTTGGTCTTCGATTGATTGCAAGTCTCTTGCCACGTTTAGGTTTACCACAAATACTGTAGAGCTGTAAAACGAAAATAAAATTAGCTTTTATTAAATGAATTTGTTGCTTGAATCAAATTTGGTGAAAATGACAAAGTTTAATCGATAATTGATCATTTATTGAATGTCATGTTAGCTAAAGAAATGAACAAGAACTGGAAATTTTGACAAGTTAGTTGATGAATATGTTTCGAGATGACAAAGATTTAGATTGATTAGAGCTGAAACTCAATAAATGCTGTCAACAAATTCAACAATAATGTGTTTTCATTGAATATTCAAGATCCAGTATACGAAACCATTGAAATCTTAAAAAATTCAAAATTGCTCTTTTTCAGTTGATATTTTAAGGATAAAGATATGGTAGTATTGTCTTCATCTAGATTAGGCCTAGAATCAAGGCTGCAATTATCATTAAAATAGAAATAATTAAAACAAAGTGGAGAGAATGTAATTAATCAGAAGAACGAATATGTAAACATGAAATGTGCCTTACAATGTTCATCATCAGGTATAAATCATCATGTTTAAGGGTCAGTGAAGTAGATTTAAGATGAGAAGTGATGATGATGATAGTTGAAGAATAAGATAATTCACTATTAAGGATAATGCAACATGGGCGGTCTAATCATTGAAATTGATCTAAATAAAGGCGAATGTGCACGAGATATCTCATGCATTGCAATGCAAATTAAGATGACAATTCAATATTATCGTTAGCAGTGATGACTAACATGGAGTTGAAATGATTAAACTTGGTGCATCGGTTCCTCTATTCAGTGTAAATCTTACAATATTGACAGATTTGTATTCACATTTGCGTTGAAAAAGTAACTGAAAGATGAAAATACATTTTAGTCAAAAATTTACCTGCAATACCTTAAGTTGATCTAGCAAATTAACTTGAATAATTGTTTTCATTTATGCTGTAGTTATTAGTTTACATTTACAGTAACTTGTAATAAACTTGAGTCTTTCCTCATCATTCTCATCATAATAATCTTTCACTCTTCAACTTTTTCTCACTTTTAAAAGCTATATTTACTTGCGATGAAAAAAGATGATGAGCTTTTCGTCTCTTTCTTGCCTTTCTTTTCTTTCAATTTTCATCTCCTTACGGCTATTCATCTTAGTTTTACACTGTTACCTTATTAAGATTTTCACAGGTCAAGGTAAGAAAGATGAAGATGAAGATAGAGAAAAGAAGAGGACTTTTTTGAAAATGAACTGCAGATAAAAGGTAAAGAAGACAAAAGGTCAAAAAAGCCTTCAAAAGATCAATTCGTGTTATTTTGACAAAAAGAGACAAAAATTAAGTTCCAAGAACAGGAAAAACAGCCCAAGTTTGACTATCCTTTGTCTTTTCAACATCCTTTATCTTGTTGCTCGTCTTGAGTTGTTCATGCCGGTCTTTGGACATCACTATTGAACTGATCTTCTTCAAGTAAACTGACTTCAAGAACTCAATGAATTGACGATTTTAAACAATTAAGAGTTAAATCTGAATACAAAAAAATACTAAATCAAAGCAATTAAACAAATTCAATGAACCAAACACAACTAATCAATTTGTTTAGCTATGCTGAAAAGGTTCAATTGAAACATTGACTCTTGATCAAGCATTAGATTTTTGTAAGAGTTGAATAAGAGATCAAGAACATTTCACATTTTGTCGAATAAAATTGCTGCTGAATTTATTGAAACTTAAATTGACTTTGCATTTTATTCGGTTGAAATGTCCTTCTGAGTCTTCTGTTGAATTAACATTATTATGATTAAGGGTTTGCTAAGTTTGTGGAGAAAATTTTTGCACCATTTTATTGTTAGATATTGAACATTTATCACTTTCGTCAGTTTCACCATTTTATTTAATTCAAGGGTTAAAAGTGCGTATTTGAGTACTTGAATGGTGACTACTTACTCTTTTGGAAACTGTCATTCCATTTTCCTGGAAATTCATTATAGCCTCTGAAATTTTAATGTCAAGAGGACCAACGACTGATTCAATGTTGAACGACGTTTCCAATCGGCTGATTATGGCAGTTAATTTATCAAGGAACGGGTTCCATTCCTTATTGAGTGGACGATAACTTGTCGTACAAGTGTGCATTACAGCATTGCAATAGTTGCGACAAGGAACCCGATCAGGTGAGTCTTCACATTGTTGACAGTAATTCATTTGGACGAAAAATTTGTGACAGTTTGGTGTTGCCGAATGCTGTTAATGAAAGACAAGCAATGCAAAGAAAATTATTATCAACAATATTGATGGATTAGATAAACGTCGAGTAAATGAAAAAATATGAATTGTAATCAACATTCCAAAAGAACACAAAAGAAGAGAAAAAGAAATGGAAATGACTTTTTAACAAGATGAAGAGGAAAATGATGAGAATGATGAAGATGATGGAAAAAAATATTGACTAAAAAGTCACAAAAAAGTATGTAAACCCAAAGGAACTGCATTATAAGAAGAAGCAAAATTAAGGTGAATTTCAATGTTATCGTGCAAAAAGATGATTTAAGATGAAATAAGATGATGATGATGGACAGGGAGAAGGAAGAGGAACAAGATGATGAAGAAAAGGAATCAAGATGATGATGGAAAGTACATTATTACCGAGAAGATGAAACAAGTTAAAAAGTAGCCAAAAATGGGATTAGATGTTTAGATGAATGTGAGGTTAAAACACACACACAAAACACATAAACAGGTAAAGTTAATATACAAATAACGTTGTACAAGTTTGACAGATTAGCTGCTAGGATTCAATGAGAAGGTAATAAATGATGATAAGGATAAAGAGATGAATAGAGAGGAAGATAATGTTAACCTTGCCTGACGGATATTTGGTGTTGGGTGACGAGAGGCGCTTCAATAAGGAGTGATTCAAGGGAATGAACGATGAAATTGTAAATAATTATTGTCAAATGGACAGAATAAGATTGATTAGATTGATTAGTGAAAATGGAAATGAAAAACTTTTCAATGTAATGGAAAATAATTTACAGATAATGATGATGATGATAACGATGAATATCATGAATTTTTTACAAAATGGCTTCTGTAATCAACAATCTTAATGTTATTTGTCTCACAGGATTAGCCCAACCTAAGCCATTATCATTGCCTAAAGATGAAACAACTATTCAGTGTCATTGATATCAATATTATCATTTAATAATTCAAAAAAAGGTTCAAGAGAAAAGCACATCAAAATTGCTTCCATGCAGTTCTGGATTATCTGATGGAGAGATAAGTCTGAAATAGTTTCAACATTTAGTTGCATTGAGAAACTTGATGGATATCATGAAAAGGAGTAAATTCAAAAATCTTTTTCTGAGTTGTGAGACTTTAATGGACAGAAGAAAATTTTTGTTTCGATAAAATTTATTGTTCTTTTTTTGTTTTTCGTTTCTCAGTGCTCATCATCGGTAATGCCTTTTGTATGTCGGCCTGAAACGATGATTTACCGACAAACCCAACTTCTTGAGATATTCCTATGCATCACGAACTTCATTAACTTAATGTTGGAAAGTTTTCATTCAAAGTAAACATTATGATTAACTTTAATTTGATAATCATTTAAACTTTTGTTTTTCCTGTTGATTAACATGTTAAGGTGAGTTTAAAGTGATTATCACTTTGAAATATCTAAGGCTAAAGTTAAAGGGTTAAAAATGGGCAACAATTGTTAACTGTTAAACTGTAATCTAACAGATAAAGGAGCGATATTTTTTTCGTTGCCTTAATTACTTTATTGTTTTGAATCATTTGACGCTTGAAACAATTGAATAAGTTAAGAGTGGAAAAATGTTCAACTTGTAATTCATGAGAGTTTAGATTACAGTTAATATGAAAATAATGATCAACAACAATGGTTATTAAAATAAAGATAACTTTGAACAAGATGATGAAGAAAAGTTTTCTGATGATTAATAAATGATACAAGTTTGAGCAACACAATGAAGTCAAGTGATGCTGTCTTATTAACCAAATACTTAATTTAGTTGTCTTCAAGTGACATTTCAATGTAACGGGTTGAAAGATGGTTACAGGTAACATTTATCAATTAAAATGGGAAAAGGGTCGATCCCTTGAGAAATACTTTGAATGATGAATGAAAGGAACCAAGAAAAAAAGCACAAAAATAACAATGAAAAAAAACTGGGCAAAGTCAGGTAAGAAAGGTAAATTAAAGAGGAAAGATGAAGAGGCTAAATGATGGTGTTTCAAGAGCATAGTAAACAATTGTAAATTTACTCAATAAGGTAAATTAAAGTCTAAATTTCTCATGAGCTGAGAAAATTTTCCTCTTCCTTTCCTTTCCTGTTAAAACGATTGTTCATTCATTGTTCTTTCCCTGCTTCATCGTTGATCACCTTTTATCGACCTGATTTGCTGTAAAGCCAAAAATTGAATCAAAAGGCAAAGTTAAAAGAAAAGCGCAAATAGCCGAAAAGGTAAATGGGCAAATATAAAGGTAAAGATGATAAACTCATGTGAATTAGTCAATATATCCATGGACAGTATTTTGCTTCAATTGTAATTGTTAAATTGACCTTTCCTCTAACAGTACATGAAGCGAGCAAAATCAATAAAAAAATAAGTAGACAAGTTACAACATTTTACCACTAATATTATTATATACCTGAGTCTTAATCATCATTATTCTCATCTTATCTTCTCTCTCTCTTCACTTATATACATATAAAAATAGGAAGGTAAGCAGGCAAATAAAAGGAACAAAGTGAAATCACTTTGCGTCCAATAAAATATTGGACTAACAAAAGGTTTATTTGGCCAACCATAAACCTGTAATTACGAGATTATCAACAAATTTTTGGTTTTTTTTTCTTCACGGACTTTTCTCATTCCGTTTTCCATGAGTAACTCTCTAATGGACCTTGTCCACTGGTGATACCTTTACCCATCTCTTTCACTTTCAACTTTCACAGACTTCTTTCTTCTGACCACCGGCAAGCCAATGGTTAACCTTTTCAAATGTACTTTTACCTTGGCACAAAACACATGTAAGAAAAAGGTAATACTTTCGATTGGAAAGAAAAGTGCATTTCTGTGAATAAACGTTCCTATTATTTCCTAAACTTTTGTTAAACACTTTTATATTGCCATTAAGGTTTAACGTTCATTTCAACGTTTCCCTTTCACGAATCAATTTCAAACATTTTACATTTTAAACTTTTTTTTCTTCTTCTTCTTTTTGTTGACCATTAGGAGTTGAAGGGTTCAAAAGTTTCTAAAGCTACATTACGCTTTTTTTACCTGTAAATTTTTTTGTTGTTGTGCACCAGTTTGGCTTAGAGGTACATGGACACACACATATAAGGGCATTGGGAAGGAGGAGGAGGAGGAAGAAGAAGAAGAGGAAAATGGAGAAGAAAGAAGACGATCAAGAAGAAGGAAGATGATGAAGAATGTAAGTTTTACCTCTAAAATTACAGTCAATATTGTAAAATAAGCCTCGAGGGTTGAACAAATGGGCGGCCGGTTGAACCCGGTGTGTGTATTACATTGATAATAAATTGATATTTAGGACGGAAAGGCATTAAAGCAAGTCCATTTTGTGTGACCTTTACTCTACTATTACAATGGTTGTTGATTATGAGTTTGCTGTTGTTTTGTGTTACAACTTATGCAGCTCTAAGATCACATTTTTAGTTCATTTTAATGGATAGCTTTCATTTTTGGATCAATAAAATTTTCACATTTGTATGTTCAACTTTATGTTCACCTTTGAACATCCATTACGCAGTTAAAGCTAATAGCAACTAATGAAAGTTAATAAAATTGACAATTGACATTTCAATCAAAAAATGAAGTTGAAATTGAATTGGCTGTTGGTATTGTTGGAATTGAATAAAATGATGCTAATTAAATCGACAGGTAATTGATGATATTTAAGTTTCTCTTTCAAGTGATCTCAATTTTGTTTGTTTTCATTATTCAGTCTCTTCAGTCTGATTTTATCAGATTTCAATTGTAACCATTTATAGCTATCTATTGATACACAAGTTAAACAGATTCAAGATAACTCACAATTGAAATGAGCTAACAATTTGAATGGATTTTCCCAATAACTTAAGATAATTAAGAAAGTGATTGTTGCATCAGTCATTAATTAAATAAAAGTCTGACTTTCATTTACGCATTCAAATATTTCTCCCAGGAAATTATCTGTCATTCAATCGCTAAATGTCGAAATATTTTGTTGATCAAAAATGTTTTTTTTCCTGTAAAAATCTGAAAATAAAAATCTGATGATTAAATTCCTAATCATGTTAAAGTGTCTAAAATATTCAGACAGCAAAAAGCTTATGAATTTAAATGAATCTCTTACGTCAAAACTCAATGAGAATCAATTGAACAATAAGATTTTGAAAGACTTTGCTTTTGTGCTAAATGGTGAAAATGATTATTCAATGTGATGGAATGGTGAATATGATGGAATAATGAAATTTAGAGAAATGGAGAGAAAATGTTCGATTGGAATGTTGAATGGGATTTTTACTCACCTCTGCAACTGTTTTACTGATTTCTGAAGCAGTGACAAGAGATTGAATGAAGACTCTTGCCGCTGTAAAAGATCGTTGAACTTCAATGACAAGTTTCCTTGGTATATCACCGAAAGGGTTGATTGTTTCCATGTGTGCCGCGACACATTTAAGATAATCATCACTGAAAATGTAATGATTATTGAGTTCTATGAATATCTTCTGATATAAATCGGTGAAAAATTTGGTAAACTCAGAGTCTAGGTTAACATTATTGTAGCTGTAATATTTAGTTAATAGTGTGAACATATTGCTGAAAAGTCTTGCATGTTTCTCATAGCGTTGTCCATAAGTTCTGGTAAACATTGTATGGAATCCATTTTCAGAATTTTTAAGCAGCTCTTTAATCAATTCTGGAAAAGAGAAGGAAAATAAAGATAATTAATTGTAACCATAAACATTAAAATGATTATCTGAAATTGAAACATTTCCAGAAGTTTGTTTTGAGAAGTAGGAAAAAGGAAAACATAAACATTTACAAAACATAAGACTTTTATTTCACTTGAATGGTTCAATTAGAGTTTTGACAACTCTTGATCAGAATAATCATCATGAAAATCAGTCAATCAGTCAACTGTCATCTTGACATCAACTTAAAGGATTAACAACAAAACTGTCAACTCTAAACTCAAGCAATTCATCGATCCATTGAATCATGATTTGCTAATCATTCTTGTTACATTAAAGATAATTGCAAATGTTTTGTTTGATTGTTGAAATTAATGAGTTGAAAAGGATTTTAACGCAAATGTTGAGTAAATAATTCAAAGGTGAAAGTTAACTTTTTTAGCTGAAACATGTTAAGTTATGGTAATAAAGGTAAATTGTAAACTATTGAAGAGGCAAAGTTAAATATTAAATAATATTAAAGGTTAGTTGCTATTAAAGTAATAAATAATATTTTGACTTTTCTGGGAAAAAAAGCAAATTAAATGATAACTTAAATGATTGTTATGCACACAGCTAAAGGCTAAAAGAGGACTTAGGGTCTAAATAGTGACCTGAGAAAGGCTAATGAAACCTCAATGGAGCCAACTTCCGTTGGTATAATCTGTTTAAAGTCGAACGCAAAAGTTAAATTAAAAAGGTCAAAAGGTGCAAGGTAAAACCTAAATAATGCCAGTAATTTGCCTACAAACAATGTAATGCAATAATAGCGAAATAAAGTGTCAGTTGATTGCTTCTGTCAGTTAACCTGTGGAACGATGAAGACGAGAACAAAAAAATGTAGACCAAGAGTGAAATTAGGAGTCACGAAAATACAGGTAAAAGGTAAAAATGTTGATCGTTATAATCATTAGGAAACTGCATTCTTAAAGATTCTCATTAAAAGGTACTTCGCTGGTTTATTCATTCATTAGCTACTTATAAGACACGAGAAGAATGATGAAGATGAACTGTATAATGGCCCTGAAAGGGAATGTGAATTGTGTAAATGAGAGGTAAATAGAGCCTCATCAGCGGCTATAATTTGCACGGACAAACGTAACATTAGTAACATTTTTCTTCATCAAAGTGACCTATCCGGCCTTAGTATCCAACACCTAGAAAATTAAATTCAAAGGTTTTCTTGTTCTTTCTTTTTTCTCTGTCTTGGTGTTTTTTTGTCTGTTTCATTGTTCAATTTTACAGAAGTTTCTGCTACACTTGGCTTGGCCCTTGGTTTATCACGATTTAAATTATTTCCTTGTGATTAACAATCAAACTCCTCTTGACCACTTTTCACTCCTCCTTAATAATGTACACTTGGGAGGATGATTGAATGAAATGTATTAATAATAATAACTAGACAATGGCTTTACAATTTAAACTTGAATTTTCTCGTATGAATAACTTTCTTCAAGCTTAATTACCTATTCATACACTATGGTGTAATAGTAATAATTTTGATACTCTTTTAATAGTAATAACGATAACAATAGTGAATACATAATCATCAGAATAATGAAAGTTGAATTCACTTTTTTCTCTCAAATATTTTTACCTTTTTGAGAGACTTTAATGAATGAAAAAGTCGGAAAAGATTGAAAAATGAATGAAATGAAAAACAATTTTATATTGAATTGAACATGAAAACATAATTATCGATAGTTGGATGAAAATTAATGGATAAATCAAAGTTTAATTTGTACTATTAATCCATATTAATAGTTAGCTATTAAAGGTTTTTTTGGCTGGAAAAGTTAAAAGATTATTAAAGTTGAATATTGGTTTGATTTGTAAAATGGTTTGGCAATTAATTACGATTAGTTTGGATATTAATATAATAGAAATTGAAATTGTCATGATAAGATGGTGAGACTAAAAGGTTTAATTTCATCAACTTGGTAACAATTAATCATTTAAAGTAAACGATGATAATCGGTTTCATGTTGAAGATCATGGAATGATATTTAAGTGAAAAAAGCATCAAAACAAAGAGATTTTTTGTTCTCAAAATTTTCTTCTCATGTATTTAACAGCTCAATTTAGATTGATATTTGAATGTTGAACTGAATAAATGTGTATTATGTTTAATCACAAGACAACCTGCAGTGATGAATGTAAAGTGATTAATTACTTGTGAAAAAAGCATCTCATGTTGAGTAGAAGCAAAGGAAAAAGTAAAGCAAAAAAGACTAAAGAGGAAACCCGTCATTCTTATCCTCATCTTTATCATCATCATTTTCAATGTTACTACTGAATCAACTTGAGATTAACATTGATATACACATGAATGCAGACGCCATAAAGTCACGTTTGATGTAATTTTGATGCAATTTAATAAAACTTTTTTACTTTTGAAAGAAGCGTAAAGCTACTGAAAAAGGGTTAACAGTAAGATGATGCTGATGGAATGGATTCAGATAAAGTTGGAAGTGTAATTACAAGATGTCATCTTGTTGATGAGATGACCATTGATGGAGAGTTGAATTCATCTTGTTTTACATTCCAATTTTGATGATACATTAACAATTAATTTGACCTCATTTTCAATGTCATTTGTTTGTTACAGATTAACCTTTAATTGTGCACCTTATTGATAACCTTAACCATCATTATCATTGAAATGTTGGACAAACAATTTTTTATCTTTCATTGAAAATGTTTCCACAAATTGTCGGTTTCACATTTATCATTCAATAATGAATAAATGATTACCTGAGGTTGAGATATAAATTGAAAGGTCAGTTTTGGTTACAGTGTTAATCAAGTTATTGAAGTATATTAAGAGTTTAGAATATAACAAAAAAAAAGAATCAGGGCAACAGAATAATGCTCTTCATTTGATCATCTTGCTTTAAGCATTCATTATATTTTCATGTAGAGTGATGATGATTATGGTGATGATACTTGCAAGTAAATTTGGACTGAACCTCTTTACCTGAATTGGGTTTGCAAGGTCAATAATCAAACCCTTTTTTACATTCATTCATGTTTAACCATTTTGTTGCATTCATTGTATACTCATGTCTATAAGATTAAAGTTTAAGATGTTATTTTGCTACAAATGGCCAATGGTCAATGCGTGAACTATTAAACCACAATTTTAACCTTTCAATGTGATTTGTAACTGTAAATTTAAATGCGCTAAAAGTAGAACCAAATTAACATTGATATTTAATACATGAAAGATTTGTATCAGTTAATGATGTTTATAATTTGCTTTCACGATTGTAGTTTTTACTGTTAAACTTGTACAGTTAATCGGGAATCGTCTGACAGTTCATTTAGTTTTATTAAATGGTGCTCATGTTTTACTTGATCGCATTGATCAGATTAACAGATTAACTTGTTCAATTAATTTTGGCTAAAATTAAATGCCGCTCTTAATGGTTCACTTGTATACATTGGTTAACCTGTTTTGTACACCTTTGAGTTTTACCTGCCCATAGGTGTGATGGGAGGTAACTGATGTTATCAATATTACAATTCAAGATCAATCGATTAAAAGGCGGGTCAAATCATTCACCAGGTAGCTTCATTACCTTTAGTAATTTGCCGAGTTTACAGTTAATTCACTTTGATCAAACTCATGGGACTTAACATTATTTAAAGTCATAATGTGATGAAAATATAATGCAAACCTGACATTTGACAAGCGACGAATTTAATTAAATTTTATAATTTCATGGGAAACTCTTTGAACTAAATTCACTGAAAAAGGATGAAATTTATTCTCGACTTGGAGAAGCTGATTTGAATCTTTGAATAGCGAAAGAGTGAAAACTAGATTGGATTTTGAGTTTGAGAGAAGTGAAAAGATTTTAAAAATTTGCATTTAAATGCCGAGTTTTCACAGAATTGTTGGTTTTAACGCAGATTAAGCGCTAAAAACACGCTAATTTGAAGGTGAATTCAAACCCTAAAAACGATTATTATTATGATTAAAGAAGATGATTGAAGAGAATCAAGACTAAACATTATTCATACTGAAAAATGTACGATTTAATAAATCTAACTGAATAATTTAGTTGACTGGAGGAGGTAAATAGGGAAGATTAAGTCTGAATCAAGAAGCTTGTAAAACTAGTTTCTTAAGACGATCTTCATCTGCATCATCTTCATCATCCTCATCAACTTATTCCGGGATGAAGAGGGAAACAAAAAGTTTGGCTCTTTTACACAGCGGTTTGGTTCAAACAAGAAGATGAAGTAAAGGTAAATTAAATTGCTCAAGACTCAGAGGATTATCATATTAACTATGGTGGTCTTCGGGATGAAGATAAATGTTATAAGGTCAGAAGCCAGAAGATGAAAATTTTGCTAAAATTTGCTTCAATTGACAAATTACAATTTTGGGTGAAAAATTAGCCAACATAAGTTACAATTTTACTTTCAATTGTGATTTGAAAATAAATTGAAGTTTTAATTTTATACTAAAAATTGAACGCTTTTAAGCTATAAATTTAAGGCCAAATTGATGGGTGAAAGTAAATACAGAAATTTGTAAAAAAGTAAAATTGATGAAAATTGATTCATTTTAATGGTTCCTTAGTTTAACATTGAATCAAAAGTTTAACACTCAATTGAAAATAAAGGTTTTTTATTTGTTTACCTGGGTTTCCATTTTTACCTTGCAAATGTGAATTTTGGTAAAAATGGTCAAAATAGAAAATATTTTCAACTTAATGTTACCTGTTGATGGGTTACAATAAGCAATAATTTGAAAACGGATATAAACTACTTTTTTGTACTTTTTACTCTGAAAATATTCTGAAACTTATTATTCTGATATTAACTTGAAGTAACAAAGGATCATGAAGTTATTCATTTTTTGAGAAACATTGACTCAACAATGAATATGGAATGGAAGCTTAAAAATTTAAATATAATGAACAAAGATATTCTTGATTGTTGTTTAGGTAAATGCACAAATGTATAAATATTAACATTAGTTTATATTGTTCTAGATTTTATTTATTCATGGAAAAATTCATGAATACTTTAGTAAGAATTTCTCATTTGAGGAAAATTTCATCTCTAAAAGTTTGCAATGAAGAATTGAGAGGATTTTGTACCAATGATTGACTTTCAGGTTTACCTACAAAGTTTCAAATGTTTAACTTGATCTGCGCTCATTCATCAAAATAATTTATCAATATAATTGATGAAATTATCGTAACCTTTTTTAATCAAGTTGATGAAACTTTTTTTTATTAGGCTTAGATGGTTGATTCATTATTAACATTAATACTTAACACCTTTTAACTTTGACGTCTCCTGACTTTATCATACTTTTACCTGAATTATTATACTTTTAGAGTTAGGAATCAATCATAACTGAATCACGCAACCAACGGAAAAGGTAAGATGAAGATAAATGTTGAGCAAATTGCAAGTAAAAAAAAGGTTTTCTGACTATTCAAAGATTATGTTTTCGTAAATTGTTACTGGTTTGAATTGAACTTTGAAATTGGCAGTTAACAATTAAATGAACATCTTGGAATAACAAATAATAGAATGGAAATAGTTTATGATTTGAATTGAATCTCTTTTTTTCTCCTCGCTAATATCAATTACTTGAGAATTGGGTTAAATGTAAAAATAAAGTTAAATTCTGTGAATTGATTTCATTGAAGATACATTACAAGTTCAATATTCATGAAAGTTAAAGATCTTGAAACTTTGAAAGGATGATAGAGTTGATTAAAGAGGATCAATCAGGAAATAATCAAAGTTTAAATTTGGTTGGTTGGTGAAAATAAAATGTAAATAAGGTTAACTTGCAAGACTGTATCAGAATGGATAAAAATTTGGACACAAATCAGAAGATGAAAAATGAATGGATTAGATGGGATTTATGGATGGATTTGGCGAGAGGATTTGATAGATTCAGAAAAGTCTGGCAGACTGAATAAATGTGAAATAATCGGCCGGAAAAAGGAAAAGTTCAAGAGTTTCTTGACAATGTTATGAAAAGATCAATACTGAGGATGAGTTACAAGGAAATGTAAGAAATGGTCAAGTAAAGGTGACAACAATATGAGAGTTAGACGCCTAATGGAAGCCATTGACTGTAAATAATTGACGTAAATAGATAACTGGTCAACACCAGCTTTGGATACAATATTGGACTTAAATCAAATTCACAGCAATTTCATTTCAATAGAACGAACAATTAACCAATTTGTCTTGAATTTACTAAAACCAATAGCTTTCATTTTATCCAGTTATTGTTGTCACCCTTTAGTAAAAGGTTGAAATAAGGTTAAGAATATTAGTTTACTCATTTTGGCAGGTTATAGATATTTTTTTGACTATACAATCATGTAGATATAATATGATAAAAATACATCTTCAGAAATTCTAGATCATGTCAATAATGTGTTTGAACCGGGAATGTATTTGGGAAAATATCATAAAGGCAACAAAAATTACGCTAAAGGTATTGCAATATAATAGGTCATTTTGGTAAACAAGGTAATCTTTCAAGTATCTATCATGGAGACAGTAATATTAATAAAGAAACAATTTTCTGATTCAATTGTGAGCATCCTTTTGTCTCAATTTGTTATCTAACTACTCACAATTAAAGAGAAAAATAAGAGTGCAATGAGAGGCAATAAGAAGTGAATAAGAGCTCAATAAGAGGATAAATAAGAGACAAAATATGAGTGTTAGCAGAAGAACGAAAATAGAGAAACAGAAACAATGAAAAAGGTAAGCATCTCTTAAGATTGTTGATAACAATCGCAATTATTAGTAGATTATGAGACACAGAGAATGAAAATCTACAATTTTTTGTTCTCCAGTTTAGATTTATAGCAATTGAAGAAGTAATAAAAGATAGACAATAAAATGGAAACTTAAAAGGTGGTGATACATTGAAAGAGAAAAAGGGAGAAAAATCGATGGCCAATTTGATTGGAATTGATCAGAAAAGGTTGGCTTATTTGGCTTACCATCAAATTTTCGAGTGTAATCATTAAACTCGGTTGAAACTCTTCTCATGGGATCACCTAAAATTGTATCCAATCTGAAACCACCTGACTCATAATAATCACTTTCCTGTTGACTTGAACACTGTGATCTGTCTTGTCGACATATTGGGGAAGATAATGGCGTTGACCGAGAATAAGTGTGATGTCTGTCAGAGGAAGAAAGGGCAAAAGAGGTTCGAAAATGTAGAGTACAGAGAACTAAGTAAATCCACAAAATGGAGGTTGTTAGGTTGATCCATGAGAATTGGAATGTAAATTTACTATTTATCACAAAGTTGACAGTTTGACGATTAGATGGACAATTGGCATGATTATGGTGGAGGGAACACGAAGATGGTAATGTTAAAGATGATGATGGTACTGATAATAATGGTGATGATAGGGGTGAAGATAAACAGGGATGAGGATGATGAAAAGAGGGTTTCTTTTTTTTATGCAATATAAACATGATTCGAGGTGATTTTAGATTACAGCAGAAGCTTTTGATGCTGTCGAGTGAAGATGAAAACTAAATCTTAAAGCTTACCCAGCTTCAAGTTACACAGACTGAGACTGAAAACTCTCTTTACGCATCCTCTTACGCAAACTCAGTTACATTTATTTTGCTATCAACATGGTGAGTAAGGTTAATTTTGACTAATTTAATTGTTTTTATTTATCAATTTACTAATTTGATTGTTTTCTGATTATGTTTTACTTTTACAGGGGGATCACCACAGACCATCAAGTTCACATTCTCACAAGTCATCTGTCAGCGATGAGTACCTCGCTCGTAAAAGGGAGAAAGAAGAAAGAGAAAGACGCCGCAAGTTGAAAGGAATGTACCTGGAAAATCGTGAAAAAAAACTTGAACCCAAGAGAAGGAAATGGGAAGATGATTATGAGGTTGATGAAGAGTATGCCAAGAGTTGGGAGACAAGCCCCCGGTCAACAAGAAGTTCAACACCAAGCTCTCGATCTCATCGATCATATACACCAAGACCCGGTTCTACTCCAAGACCCGGTTCCACTCCAAGACCAGGTTCCTCAAGACATGGATCTGTTGCTGGAACACCTAGAGTTCCTTACAGCTACTGGGAAAATCCCTCAATGCGTAGAGAAGAGGTTGATGAAGATCCTGAATTAATGAAAGAGTTAGATCGTCGTTGGTATGATGATTTAGCTGATGTAAAACCTTTTGATGACATGCCAGAGGAATATGTTATAAAGAAAGAGGAAGCTTTGAAAAAGAGTAGAGTTCAGAGGATATCAGCTCAACGACGGCAAATTCAAAAGGATAATGAAAAGTGGGAAAATAATCGTTTACTTTTATCTGGAGTCATGAAACAAACGGACGAGGAGTTAGAAGACACTTCCGAAGAAGAAAGAGTTCACTTAATTGTTCACAATATTGTCCCACCATTTCTTGATGGGCGAATTGTATTTACCAAACAATTCGAGCCAGTTATCCCTGTTAAAGATGGTACTTCAAATATAGCGATTTGCGCAAAAAAAGGGTCTGCTTTAACAAGATATCACCGAGAGATGAAAGAGCGAAAAAAAGCACAGAAGAAAGAATGGGAGCTCGCGGGAACTCGCATTGGTGATATTATGGGTATCAAAAAAGAAAAAGAAGATCCAAAAAACAACAGCGAAACTGACTATAGAACAGAACATCGTTTTGGGGATCATCTCGATAACAAATTAACCGACAGAGAAAAAATCAGACGCCAAAGACAAATGTTACCTGTTTTTGCAGTACGAAGTGCATTAATGAACGTCATCCGTGAAAACAACATCATCGTTATTGTTGGTGAAACCGGTTCAGGTAAAACAACACAATTAACTCAATATCTACATGAGGAAGGGTATACAAGCTATGGAATGATCGGATGTACGCAACCCCGTCGTGTTGCAGCAATGTCAGTTGCCAAAAGAGTTTCAGATGAAATGGGTGTTAAATTAGGAGAAGAAGTCGGATATTCAATTCGATTTGAAGATAGAACATCAAAGAAAACGATCATCAAGTACATGACTGACGGTATTCTTCTTCGAGAATCCTTATCTGATCCAGATCTCGACAATTATTCAGCTATCATCATGGACGAAGCTCACGAAAGAAGTTTAAATACTGATGTTTTGTTTGGAATCTTACGAGAAGTTGCTGCTAAGCGAATCGACCTGAAACTGATCGTAACTTCAGCAACTATGGACTCTTCCAAATTTGCATTGTTTTTTGGTAATGTGCCTGTATTCACCATTCCTGGACGTACTTTTCCCGTCGACGTTCTACACAGTAAAAACGTTGTTGAAGATTATGTAGATCAAGCAATCAAGAAAGCAATAGAGATCCATTTAAGTATGCCTCCTGGTGATATCTTAATTTTTATGCCTGGTCAAGAAGATATTGATGTTACATGTGAAGCTATCACTGAACGTTTAAAAGACTTAGAAGATACATCAAAACCACCTCCTCTCTCTATTTTACCCATTTACTCACAGCTTCCATCTGATCTGCAAGCGAAAATTTTTCAAAAATCTGAAGATGATGTTAGGAAATGCGTGGTAGCTACAAATATTGCTGAAACATCTTTAACAATTGATGGAATAAAATACGTAATTGACTCTGGTTTTTGTAAGCTTAAAGTTTATAATCCGAAAATTGGTATGGATGCTCTTCAAATTTATCCTATTTCCCAAGCTAATGCTAATCAGAGATCAGGTCGAGCCGGTAGAACTGGTCCTGGTCAATGTTTCCGTTTATATACCGAAGATCAATACCGACATGAATTACTTACAACGTCAGTGCCTGAGATTCAACGTACAAACTTGGCTAATGTTATTCTCCTCCTTAAATCACTCGGAGTTCAGGATTTGTTAGAATTTCATTTTATGGATCCTCCTCCACAAGACAATATGCTGAATTCAATGTATCAATTGTGGATTCTTGGTGCTCTTGATAATGTAGGAAACTTAACTCCACTCGGTCGTAATATGGTCGAGTTTCCATTGGATCCAGCCATGTCTAAAATGTTGTTGATTTCAACAGAAATGGGTTGCTCTGAAGAGATGATGACGATTGTGTCTATGTTATCTGTCCAGTCAATTATATATCGACCAAAAGGACGTGAAGAGGAATCTGATAGTGTTAGAGAAAAATTTCACGTACCAGAATCAGATCATCTAACCTTGTTGAATATTTACCAGTTCTGGGAAAGAGAACAAAATAAATCTTCATGGTGTAAAGAACATTTTATTCACATGAAATCAATGAAAAAAGTGAGAGAAGTCCGTCAACAATTGAGAGATATTATGAAAAGTTTAAAACTGCCGATCATTTCTTCTGGTAATGAATGGGATTGTATCAGAAAATGTATCGCTTCAGCATATTTCCATCAAGCAGCTAGATTGAAAGGAATCGGTGAATATGTAAATATGAGGAATGGAATACCATGTCATCTTCACCCCACTTCTTCACTCTATGGAATGGGTTTTACGCCAGATTATGTTGTTTATCATGAACTTTTGATGACTTCCAAAGAGTACATGCACACAGTTACGGCAGTGGATGGTAATTGGTTAGCTGAACTTGGGCCTATGTTTTATTCTGTAAAAATACCTCAAAAATCACGGGTTCAAGCTAGACAAGAAATGAAAAATCACGAGAAAGCAATGGAGGAGGAAATGGCCGCTGCTGAAGAAAAGTTGAAGAGGATGAAAAAAGAGAAAGAAGAGAAAGAAATGTTGAAACCAAAAACGCCGATATTCAAGCGTCCTGCAACTCCAAGAAAACCGTCTAGACTCGGATTGTAATTTTATTAACGATTCTTCACATCTTGTAAATATTTAAACTCATCTGAAATTAGTTTATATGATTTTCTATTAAATAAATTTAAAACTAAAATTGTAAATCTAACTTGTAATTGTTATAATTAACTTTTTTATTGTAAATAATCACAATGGAAATGTTGAATTATAATCTATATTTTAAGTTTGGCTAATATTTTTAAAATGTTACGAATTTTCATTTCTGTTTCATTTTATCTTACACGCAGAAATTGAATGAAAAACTCAATTCATTATAAAAATGATTTCTCTACTCACTTGAAATATTGATTTGATGAATAATTATTTGACTTTTATTGACTGAACTATTATGAGCTAATCAAAATATTGATATTTCTTTATGAAGCAAAATCTGATAGATACGTTTTGAGTAGTTTTGAGTCTCAAATGATTGGTCACTTATTGAAATTAGTTTATTTTACTTTCTGTTAAAAAAACAAAATAAATTTTGATTGTGTTTGATTCAACATACAAAAGACGCGCCAGTTAAAGCATGGATAAACATATGATCTTACTTTGAAACTGTAAGTTGCAAACCTTGTAATTGTTATTGTATTGATATGCTTAAGTAGAGTAAATTTCGGTGTTTTTTACATATTTTATAGTTAATTAAAGGCAGAATGTCTTGGTTTCGAGTTCCGTCTTTATACAGTCAGAAAATGAAACGTCTTGGTGCTAAAATTTTCAACGAGTATCGTCCTCCAGACATGCCTAAAGAAGTAGCTACAGCAGCGGATAAAGCAGTTGTTAAAGACTTTAATTATACATTAAGATCAACTCATAATGTAATTGAACGCCAAATGAAAGAACCTAACGACTTGAACTCAGGCTGGAATCCAAAATGGTACCCAGCGCACCCTCAAATACGTGAAATGATGCATACATTGAGAAAATATGGACTTTACAGGTAAGATCTATTTACTTTACTATGAAGATTGTTCATTTCAGATATTTTTATATTAAATTTCGCTTGTGATTTTCAACTTTTACAGAGATGAGCACAAAGATTTCTCTGAAGAGATGAAAAGGTTGCGAATAATTCGAGGAAAAGTCTACCGAAAATTAGGAAGCAAAGGTGGTAAAAAGGCACGTCTTCGAGAACTGGATAAATAATAAATTTGAGACGGTAAACTATAAACATGTAGAGATTTGTGTAATTCATATTGTTTTAGTCAATAAAAATTGATGAATAGTATTTAACCATCGTTTTCATAACACATTCATCTTCACATCATTTTCCAGTTTCTAAATCCTGTGCAATCCATTTCATGGCTTACCTGTAAAAATGATCATATGCAAACAATTGAAAAGCTATCTATTTTTCGCACAATGTTCCGATTTAAATTGTATTTCCAGCTAATCATCTGCAGATAATAGGATTGATAAAGGCTATTCACTCCCATATAAAACTCATCGTTAAACAAATAAATTATCAAAATCGGAATAAGGAGTTAATGTAGATGCGCTTGCGAATTGACTAGCTTCATCCTCTCGCCCCTTTTCCTTTCTTTCTGTAACCTTTCTATCTTTCCCTTACTTTCTCCCTCCCATACTTCCCTCTCTCACCTTTCTCTTTCTATCTGGTTCCTTAACTCAATTTTATAACCTCAGAATTGGTAACAATTTTTTTACACTTCATTAATACCTTCAACTTTGACTTTTAACCATTCCTTGAGCTATCATAAGCCAGTGAAAATCAATAATCAAAAGTTACTGACGGTTAATTTAAATCATTCCATGTTTAAATAAGTCCATTTTCAACGGCAAAATTTTCATCTTAATTTATTGATTTTTCCTCTCAGTCTCACTGCTACTGTCATTTCCATATAAATCAACCTTTTCCTAACCTTGTTCATTCTGATCAACATTTCCTTCGGTTGTCCTGTGTAAATCAATTAAACACTTGGCTTCTTCATCTTAAATCAACCAGCAACAAAAACTTGTTTGAAAACCTCTTTTCTTGTTCTCTCACTGTTCAACCTGGTCCTACTCGTTTCCGTCATCACTCAAAGCATCGCTTCATAAAAATCATCATGATCAGTCCTGGAGATGGTCCTATTCAACAGCAACAAGGCATTTGGTGGGTTGACTCGTGGAGATCGCAAATAGTTACCGGTTTATCATTACTTCAAGTTGTGTTTGGGATAATCACTTCAATCTCCATTTTGTCTCCACTGTGTATTCCTGCAGGACTCCTTCAAGTTGGAGCTGCTATAGTTGTACTTGCAATTGAAGCTCCTAGTTTTGTAACATTCATCCGATTTGCCCAACCAATCGGCATTTTCTTCGAGGATAAACCATTATGGATCAAATGTGCAGCCTACGCTGGTCTGGCTATCATTCCCTGTCTTTTCGGTTGTTTTGGTCTCTTTTTCTTATTGGGATTCCTCACTTCTCTGGGAAGCGCATCAGTTTATGGGCTACTTCTAATTGGACGTAAAGCTTCACGAGATGATATGCGATTCCAAGCTGCTGGATCACCCACTGGTGGACCATACTCACCAACATCTCCTTAAATTTCAAGCATACCATTTCATCTCTAGCTCTATTTAAAAATGATTGTGATGATCTTGGTTGAACCAGGAAAATTGAAATCAACTTACAAACTATTCGAGTATCACTACGAACACAATCACCACACCATACAATATCTATTATCTTTCAATTATTTTTTTTCCTTTGTCTCTTGTGGAGGTTTGATAATCTATCATTTTCATCAGTTCTTGTTTATGTCGAGCAATCAAGAAGGTCAATCCAGATAAAAGCAGATAAATAGGCAAAATCAATGCAAAGACAAAGCAAACAATATCAAGAGTATGTAATTTCAACAACTGCTCAATGGACTGACGGTGCTCATCATTCTTGTTTGTACATATGTTAGTCTTTCATCATTTCAATTATTTCATCGAAATCGATTTTTTGACGTGTTTCCAAACGTGTGCTTTTCAATTTTCATTGGAAATGGATCAATATACAATATCCTCAACTGTTTTTTTGCAGATTTTCTAGTGAACTGTAATTGAACAAATTAAAGTTATTAAGGAATTGACAATATTGAAATGTCTCCTTTCATTTCCTAATAAAAAACTGCTGATAAAGTTCTCCGTGTATAGCAAGTATCAGTAATTTTCCCTCGTAAGCAGAAATGATGATTCAATTCTTGAGCCTATAGTTTTGATTGTGGCTTTCAATAATTTAGCATTTCAAGTTCACACGAGTTTAGACAAAATTTCTGGTTAATTTCGATGATTCGCTTGACAACAGCAGATCCTGGTATTTTTTAACACAAATCAAATCTAAAATCTTGAAATAAAGCACCTTGCTAGAGCAATTTGTCATTAACTTTGAGTGACGATACATTGCCATCATGATAGGGATGAAGTACAATCACTTATTGTAAGTTGCAACTTTGTGCAATCTCAAGATGAGAGTCAATTGGGTCAAGGTAGAAGTTTAAAACATAATAAGAACACAATAAAAACATAAACAATGACAGTTAAAGAAAACAATTAACAACAAGGAAATTTTATGTTTATCATTTGAACATGAATCAATATAAAATCTGATCAACTTGTAAAACATTGAATTGAAAAATACAAAAAATTAAATTGACCGGTTTTTTTATATTTATCGCCATCTATTGGTTCAATATGTTCCGATTTTCGGCCAAAGCTTTCAAAGTTATCATTAGATGAAGCCTTGAAGTGTAAAATTGTAAACTTTATGATTGTTTCGTGTTTAAATTGACCTGCTGTTGTAACTAACAGAAGTTAAAGATTCAAATCAATATTAAATCGTGAAATCAAAATGTTGCGTTATGATATAAAAGGATGTTTTTATTTAAAATATTTATCGCAAAAAGTGTAACTGTTGTTGAAAAAATATACAAAAGACGAAACTTTATTTAATCAATCTTTTTTTCTGATTTATATAGTAAAACAAAATAGGTTGCCACTCGAAGAACGACAATGAAACCGAAAAGTACGATGATGTTAGTCACGTAGATGTCCTCTTCCAAGTTATATTCAGTCAAAACTAAAGACCTTGTCGAGTTGAGTGTATCTACAATTTGTTGGGTTACATTAAAGTCAACCTTCTCTAAACTCTTAACAAATTGGTCCAATTTAGCTGTCGCATTTTCCCGATTTTCTGGAATCATGAGTGGAATATACTCCTTCAGTGCATCAAAAGATATATTCAAGTCATCACGTAAATATGAGTAAAATTGGCCTACAAGAGTACATCCATTGGATTTAGATAGTGATGAGTCGTCAGTCAGCGTAGGATTCAGTGTACATCTATCATAACCATAAACGGTAATGATGAGTGCTTCAAAAGCATATTTGAGATATGAACTATATGTGATAGGTCGTAAAATGGCTGGAATTGTATTGAGTCGAACAAAGAAACCACTGATGAGTATAAAGGGTAGAGTTGAAATTGGAGTAATGAAAATCGCCGTTTGTAAATTTTTGGCAAAAAGTGCACCAAATATCAAACCAATAGATTGACCAATGATTGAAATGAGTAAACCTACAGCCAGGAAAAGGCAAAACCGCCACCAAGTAAAGAACTGGCCCGTTCCAAAGTAAACCATCGCGATGTATATGAATGTATAAGTCAACTGATACGGTAGATCAGCAAACGTTTTGGCAAAGTAAAATGAAGCACATGAATACCAACCATTTTTCCGTTCTTTGGTGAAAACGGACATTTCCAAAGGAAAAACCATAACAGTTGGCATCATGGCAGCAAAGGTCAGGAACATAAGAGAGAAAAACATGAGTGCCAAATTTTGAGCTGTTAATCGTTCTTCAACCCGAAGATCATCCAAATTTACTATATTATTCAAGCAGCCACTTCCTTTACCGATGGAGTTACTGTACAACAGAACAACAATCAAACCTATCATGATATGTTGAAACAGACGGAAACCATTTAGACTTGGATCTCTAATTGTTGTGAGTAATGTTCGTTTAAAGAGTATCCAGAAGTGTCCAAAATTTGATTTGGATTGGCCCAACATGTCCGAGATGACTTCTTTGATAGCTAATGTTTTTGGAAGATCAACAGAACTGTCAGAGTTTGACACATTAGAGTTGGTCCAATTTTCCAAGGCTTCAACCTTGTCTCTGCCATAGTCACCAGAAGCAATTTCAATGGCAAAATCAGCAGGATTATGATATGCTGGACAATGAAGTCCAAAAGTAGAAAAAACTGTTATCATTTCATTGGGTGGTCCAAAATAGATGCATCGACCGTCAAACGACATGAGGTAAATTTTGTCAAATTGAGCGAGAATTTTGGCACTTGGTTGATGAATTGAAGCTATAATGGCAAGCTCCGAAGAGGAAGACATTGGACGCTGAGTTTGTTGTGATTCTTCAACAGGTCCACCATTGGTCAAGATATCATTATTGAGTTGCTTATTATCATTAAAAGACGAGTTGGCTAATCTTTTGAGTAATTGAACACATTGAAGTGCATTCGATGAATCTAATCCCGATGTTGGTTCATCTAATAGGAAAATATCCGGTGATCCTAATAATTCGAGACCAATGGAAAGTCTTTTTCTTTGGCCCCCAGAGATTCGACGAACCAGAACATTACGGGAACCAAGCAAATTCAGATCTGTCATAATAGCTTCTACCCTGTGAGAATGATATTGATCTGAGGTTTTACTGAGATTCCGTAATCTAGAAGCGTACATTAATGTTTCATATACTGTTAAAGTTGGTATAAGATGGTCAACTTGTGGAAGGTAACAAATTTTAATATGGGGCTTTGTTGGTGCTCGTAATGGTGGCAATTGAGTTGAATCAACTTTTCCATTTTGCTGACTATTTAAAGTAATCTGAATTTGACCGGATCGATTTTTCTCTTTACAACCTGCAAGACATTGAATAAGAGTTGATTTACCCGATCCACTGCGACCAATTATGGCAATCATTTGGCCCTTTTTAATCGACCCGCTTTGAGGATGTAATATACACTTTGATCTTCCATCACTTTTATTGGATACCAGTTGTTTAACCAGATGAACAAATTGTGAATCTCTGGGAATAACATAACTTAAATCTGTCCAAGAAAGTGTACAATCAATTTGATGATTGTCAATGATGATTGCGGCATCTTTATCCTGATCCGTAATTTGTGGCTGTTTGGCCGGTAAAACTGTAATTGGTTTCGACTTGTCGAGTAAATTTAATTCAACTGAATTTTTGGATGGCATGTCGCTAAAAGTAATGTTTACCAAAAGTGGTGCTTATGAACAGATTAAAAGGTAAAGCTTGAAGCTTGAAGAGTACAAAAGAGGATTCAATTGGTGAAACAAAAACAAAAAGATTAACCATGAAAAGTTGAAATTGAATTAAAAAACTCTTTTGGTCGCTGGGAAACAACAACAAGAGAAAGAAGGAGAAAAAAACAATTAAAATTGTCACAACATTGAAAAAGTAAAGCAGTAAAGAAATCAACATGAAATGAAACTTACATCAAAAGTTTCCACTGATCACTTCATGATGTGGTTTAATGAGAGGCAATAAAACATACATAATCGCTCCCAGAGCAAAGTGAGTTAAGGAGTGATGTAAAGAGGGAGGGAAAGGACGAGATGATGATGTTGATGAAAAGAGAGAGACAGATTCAAGTCAATTTTGTGTGAGGTTTAAGGTGAGAAGCATAATTTGGTATTGTTTGTTGATCACTTTCGATTGCTTGAGAAAGGTTGACAATCGACTGGAGGAAACCAGCTTCTACAACAATTAGGCTGTTTTTTGAGTTGTTTTTTAACATTGAAAACCAAATGTTATATCAACCAACTTTTTCCTCAACATTGCTTTCATTTTTCCTATCCTTCCCTCGTCTCTCTCTCTCTCTCTTTCTTTCTCTTCCTCTCATCATCATCTCTTTATGTTTGAGGCCCAATCATCCTTTCCATAAAACAGGCTGAAGTTTAACTCAACCTTTTCCAGTCTCCTCTTTCCAGCTCAATTGAATGTGGTCAGGCCAGAATCGCTAATTTCCCCCTTTCTTTTATTTTCGCAGTAAATTTCCACTCTCTTCTTATCATCATTATTACCATCTTCATCTTCCATCATCAGTCCCGACGGATCGTGTATTGACCTCTCAACAGAAGTCATCCAAAATGATTGACTATAAGATACTCTAAGATCAAATGTTGAACCTAAAAAGGATTACAAGGGTAGACAAGGTAATCAACAGAATTTTCAACCTTTTTTCTCACTAGATTCATACAATTATCTAACTATTTTTTTTGTTTTGTTTATGACAGGTTTTCATTGCTTACATATTTGGATTGGAGCAAAAGCACAAGGATAACAACCTTGGTTGTTGCTGGGCAGAGTTATTTTAAATGCTGTTTAAATGACCGACTATTGTGATTGTGAACTTTACTGTTCAACAAATCATATCCATTAATGTAATTGAAATTATTTCTTTTCCTTTTTTTTGTAGAAACAAAGACTCTTCAAATCTTACCTTGCACTAATTAATGACGATACTTCTCGAGTACCTTGTTTATTTTGTCAAAGTCAGAGATTTTTGTCTCTAACAGTAATTTTAAGCATCACAAACCATCATGCAATCTTGCCAACTTGATATTAATCAACCTCTTTTCAACCTGCAATGACATCAAATGAAATTTCAAACCTTGTTGATTACACTTCAATAGTTTGCTGTTTTTAATCACATTTTATAGTTAATTTTTATATTTACCAATATTAGCAATACTAATGATAACAACAATCTGTAAAAATATTCATCGATTGACAATATTGTTTCATCAGGAAGCTTTATTTATCGATTTCATTTCCTGATCACTGATCACTGATCACCTGATCTAATCTAACCTAGAAATTAACAATTTAACGAGAAGATAAACAAGTATTTAATAAAGATTCAGAGTAAACAAAGAGAGCAAAAATACTCGATTCAAATACAAAACCTGATTGACTGATGATTGGTGTTAATTTAAGAGACTTGAAGCTATTATTTATAAAAATAATATTCAGTCTCATGATTTTAAACCCATGTAAAATGCTGGGGTCTTTGTAATCTGATTCAAAAAAGCTCCAGGCTTAATCAAGATCGGGGAATCGTAATAAATTGATTCACAATTTGAATCCCTCAAATTTACTTTATTAGCAAGTCAAGCATATTTGATTATGCATCAATAACCATAAGAAATATCAATTATTGTGAAATAATCACTATCAAGGTTAGGCTTTGTTTGATGGATTATATTGATTAAGTCCAGCAATTAAAAAATAAAGATTAGTTGATTTTCCCATTCAAATTAAATCCAGTAAAAGTTCAATAGTCGATCATCCTAAATTGATATTTTATCTGAGAGTTGTTTACGTGCCTTCATTGAAGGTGACAATGAAGTCATCAGATGATCCATTAATAGGTTAACTCAATGTTCAATGAATGTGATTAAACAATTAAAGCATCCCTTGTTTCAGATGGAATCTATTCAAAATTTTTATTTCATTGAATCAAAAATTCAATTTTCTCCTGTCAATTATTCCTGTAGCTTTAAACAGCTCTTATTCAATCAATTTTGTGGACAATTTGAAAATTGTCATTTGTATTCTTTAACTTATCAAGTCTCGAACTAAAATTGCATATTCAATCAGTTGTAATCAAAATTACATTAAATTCCAATCAATTTACAATCTAATATAATCACAGCTGAGGTAAACATCTCTGTTTGTCCATTCATTAGCAATTTTCCTTGCGGATAACAGGCTTTCACTGATAATGGTCAAGTTTACTTTTGCTTTACAAATGTTGCATATTATAATTAATGATTTGATTGTTGAGTTGTGAATATAAAACTTTCCTCAATAACAAGACAAAATAATGAGGAAAAAGTCAAGGATACTAAGCACACAATTACATTACAATGTTGTGTGAATAGACAACTTGAGAGTTGATTGAGTTAACTATAAGTTTTTATCACTCAATTGTATATTTTTTGAGAATGTCCATCATTTAATCTTAATCTTTATTTTGCATGAAATTTTATTACAAGAAATTAATGATATTTATTGAATAACGCGCCTTCCTCATCATAGAGCCTTCATCTTCAAGTTTAACAAATGTTTAGTTTTACAATTTTCAGTTTTGGTTGTGCCACAAAGTGTACAAATTGTGTTTACTTCAGTGTTTTAATCACGATTTATTGGCTTTGCTTTGTCAATTACAATTGTCTAATTTGTCTATCTATTCAATGGTACATAATTAAGGTCAAGTGCTTTAAATGGTTGATATTTTTACTGTAAAAAGATACATTCTCTATGTTTTAAGTTACATTCTGTAAGCTGATACTTTTTTTGTGGCGTTTGTGCTTTTTTGTGCCTGTATTTACTGGTTTGTCAGTTATTAATCATAACAATTAGATTTTGACAGTCTTGATGACTGTTTAAAAACAATCAGTTTTGGGTATTAGAAAATCTTAATTCATTTGATTTACAAATTGGTGAATGTTTATTTTTCATGGAAAGCTTAATAGACTTGTACCTTGGTTTTGGATTAAGATGGGAACTGTTTATTTTGTCAGACATGCCATTGAAAATCTGGTTTTTCGGGTAAACATCGTTATTTTCCTATGTGATAGTAGTTGAGATTTGACTAAACTGGTAAACTTTAAGATTGCTTTTACAGATCAAAATCATTTAATAAGGTTATACATTATTCATGTAAACAAATGCTAATGATGATCAGATATCTTTTATCAATTCATTGGGTGAAAAATTTAAATCACTATAAATTGATGATAATCTTTGTGTCCTGCATAATACTTTGACATTGCATTAGCAACCACAATTCAAAGCACTTTGAGTCGCATGAGCAATCAAATAAAAAGATAATCAATTTACAAATGACGTGATCTTTCCGATGATCGACTATCATGGATAAGGCTGGTTTGGCAACAAAAATCAACTAAATTTTCAAATTTCGTGTTCAATAATCTATTCCTTGGCTTAGGCCAGGATAATTCAAAAAACATGATGAAAAGATCTAGGAAAATCATCTTATTCTTACTCTTGATCTTGACTTGTAAATATCAAGGGTTAGAAATGAGACGAATACAGTTGACATCTTTCGATATTCCCGAGAAAATAAGCGATTCTGTGAATCTCAACAGTCTTTCAGAATCAAGTGGCAAATCAATTGTTTTATTATTACAATCTGGTTGGTTAAGTTATGTACAGCAAAATTTCAAGCCAATATTGCGAGCAATTGGTATTTTCGCTTCAGTCTCCAGTGTTACCCACACAGTACTCATGCTTGCGTCAGTTTTACCTCTATGGGATGCCAGTCCAATTATACCTGGAAATGTTTTGATAATTATGTGTACTTTGGTCATGGATTTCAACATAATGGGTGTTATGTACATTTCATTTATTCATAAAATTGATTTCTCTAGATTTGAAAAGAAGGCGCGAGCTCTTGGATTTGATTATGATAACCCAATAATGGCCAATATATTGAAAAGGGCAAGACGTAAAGTCACCATCATTCAAGTTGTTTTTGTATTTTCCTGGTTCGTTAACACGATTGTCTTTTCAATCATTTTTTATATAAATGACTCTCATAAAGGTTCAACTGTAGCCACAATTGAAATTATCCATGTTTTAAATTGTGTTTTGATTCCTTTATTACCAAGTAACAAAATTTTCACCCTATTTACGTCAGCTATTTTCATAAGGTCAGTCTTCACTCTTTTCAACCAAAGATTGATGGACCATTCTCAATGGACATTTACTGATCTAAGGTTTTATCGGAAAATGTATTCACAAGCCATTGACTTGACTAAATCGATAAACCAAATTTGGCAAAATTTTCTTGTTATCTTTTATCCAGCAGTCAATGGATTTGTTTTATATTTTATATTTTACACAATTACTGGACCAGTCAGTATGCTTCGATATGCTATTCTTGGATTTCTCGCGGCAACATTCATTCTACTGTTCGTATATACCAATCGATTCATAACAGGAGTCAATATTGAGGCCTTTGCCATCTATGATACAATCTACATCATAAGTTTAAATAATAAAGATGTTACATACACTGAAGAGGTAAGATGGATTTGTTGGATTAACTGACTTAAAATGTAATACTGGCTTTGTTTTTTCCTCTTAGGCTAATCTCTTCTTAAAGAGGATAGGAAGACAAGATGTTGGTTTTAGTTATGAAACGTATATGGTTTACTCACCAAGATTAGTAGGATCCGTTTTGACACTGCTGTCGACAATTATGATCGCCTTTCCTACGTTTACGAGACATTATTAGGGTCTTACAAAATTCGTTATCCTTTTAAGTTCTTATCGATTATGTAAATGGTTAGATGGTATTAGTCCAGATTCAGTGTCTTTTATAAACTAAAATAAAATGCAAATAAAGATATCTGCGATTGCTTCTCTATTAACAACTGTTCAGAGTAAGAGAGTCACAGTCAAAATTATTGAAGTCCGGTCAAATTAAAGTTTTTTCAGAACTATTATCTCTAGGAACTACCATCTCGGTGCAGGAATGGACTAAGCTAACTTCAGACTGACTGACAGAAACTCAATGCTGTGAGAGTTGATAAAAGCTCGCTATCTTCCTTCATTAAAAGGCAAATGAATTTTGTAACAGTCTAATAATAATAACTTTTTGGATGTTATCTATTATGTATTAAAGGGATAACAGATTGTGTTTCAATAATGTTATATAAGATTACATGATCAGCCAAATAAGAAATATTTGTGCCTTTGAGGCACTTTGACATTAAGCCAAATAAACAGATAATCAATTAACAAATAACGTGATCTTTCCGATGATCGACTAACATAATTTGGCTGATGTCGTAAAAATTCAATTTAATTTTGAAAGTTCGTGTCCAATAATCTATTTCCTAGATTAGAGCAAGACGAACCTTCAAGATGATTCGTTAGATAGAACATAATATTATGAAGTATCTGCGAGACATTTTAATATAAAATCAGCATATTATTTTGGTTCTTAACTTGACTTAGTTTATAATTTAGGGCCAGAAATGAAACGAATACAGTTAACATCTTTCAATATTCCCGTGGAAAAAAACAATTCTCAGAATAACAGTTTTACGGAGCGATTGACACCCGATTCAAATGGCAAATCTATTGTTTTATTATTACAATCTGATCGGTTAAATTATATTCAACAAAATTTCCGCACCATATTACAAGCAATCAGTATTTTCGCTTCAATCTTCAATTTGACCCACACAGTACTCATGATAGCTTCAATTTTACCGGTGTGGGATGCTAGTCCTGCTATACCTGGAGATATTTTCATCATTGTAATTACTGTGGCCGTTGATTTCACTATGCTTGGTTGTGTTTATCTTTCATTTATTCATAAAATTAATTTCTCTAAATTTGAAAAGAAAGCCCGAGCTCTTGGATTTAATCATGATCATCCAATGATGGCCAATATATTGAAAAAAGCAAGACGCAAAGTTACTATTATTGGACTGCTCTTTGTATCCTCCTGGCTCTTGAACGTTATTGTCTTTTCAGTAATTTTCTACATGAATCACTATAGTATGGGTTCAACGGTAACCACCATTGAACTTTTCCATGTATACAATTTCATTTTGATCCCTTTATTACCAAGTAACAAAATTTTCACCCTATTTACGTCAGCTATTTTTATAAGATCAGTTTTCACGCTTTTCAACCGAAAATTGATAAACCATTCGACTTCTCAGTGGACATTTGCTGATCTAAGGTTTTATCGGAAGATGTATTCACGAGCCATTGACTTAACTAAATCGACAAGCCAAATTTGGCAAAATTTTCTTGTTATCTTCTATCCAGTGATAAACGGCTTTGTTTTGCTATTTATATTTTACACAATTTCCGGACCAGTCAGTATCATTCGCTATAGTTGTCTTGGACTTCTTGCGGCCACAATTTGCTTACTTTTCGTATATACCAACCAATTCATCACAGGAGTCAATATCGAGGCGTTTTCCGTCTATGATACAGTCTACATCATAAGTCTAAATAATAAAGATGTTACATACACTGAAGAGGTAAGATGGATTTGTTGGATTAACTGACTTAAAATGTAATACTGGCTTTGTTTTTTCCTCTTAGGCTAATCTCTTCTTAAAGAGGATAGGAAGACAAGATGTTGGTTTTAGTTATGAAACGTATATGGTTTACTCACCAAGATTAGTAGGATCCGTTTTGACACTCTTGTCCACAATTATGATCGCCTTTCCTACGTTTACGAGACATTAATAATTACTGTACTTTTGTACTCTTGTTGGTGTTTTCAAATGTTACCGACAAATAAAAGGATTACAGGACGAATAATTTTGCTTAAATACTTCATTGAGACAACCACATCGAAATTCAAAACCTTTCAATTAAAATACCATTACGATAAATCATTGATATCAATAAAATATAATAACTTTCACAATTCGCTATTAAATTGAATTCATTTGAAAAAAGAGCAAAAAACAGCGCCATCTATAATGTTTTTTTTGAAGAGGGTTTATCTGTCTGACTGTTTTCACCAATTGACACGTCTTTTCAGTGCAAATTTCTTTTTTTTTAATTTCTAGTAAAGTTTATTTAATTAACATTTATTTAATTGTGATTATATAGAAAGATTTAAGTCTGGATATTTAGGTAACAATGAATATATTTCGTATGCTCGGTGACTTGTCACATTTACTGGCCATTATAATACTTCTCATAAAAATATGGAAGACCCGGTCTTGTTCAGGTATGTTGTTCAATTTAATTTGCTCAGTTTCTCCACTTTCAATTTCACCCATCTTTGATACAGTTGAATTGTTTGTTAATTATTTTGTCCTTTCTTATATCATCATTATGCAGGTATTTCAGGGAAAAGCCAAATTTTATTTACAGCAGTATATACTACAAGATACCTAGATTTGTTCACTAATTTCATTTCACTCTATAACTCTGTTATGAAGGTAAGAGAAAAAATCTTATTGCTTTTCATGATAAACTGTTTAAACAACTGTTTTTCTTTTTAATGTTGCCAACTTTTTTTCTCAATATATCTCTTTGCTTATTTTTCACTTAACAGGTTGTTTTCTTGGTGACTTCCTATGCAACCATCTATTTGATATATTTTAAATTCAAAGCAACTTACGACAAAAACCATGATACTTTCCGAATCGAATTCCTTCTGGCACCCTGTGCATTGCTGGCACTCGTGTTGAATCATGAATTTACTTTCCTCGAGGTATGTTCACCTACTAGAACCAATTTCAAAGTGTAATGATATTAACGGTGTTTTTCTCTCTTTCATTTCGATCTCAGGTCCTTTGGACATTCTCTATCTATCTTGAAGTCGTAGCTATTTTGCCTCAATTATTTATGGTTTCGAAAACGGGAGAAGCCGAAACAATTACCTCACATTATCTTTTTTGCCTAGGATCATACCGGGCTCTTTACATATTTAACTGGATCTATCGTTACTATTTTGAAGATTTTAAAGATCTAATCCCGGTTATCGCAGGAATTATTCAAACGGTGCTTTATTGTGATTTCTTCTATCTTTATATAACCAAAGGTAAATTACAACAAAATCTATATTTAGAAATTCCAATCATTTATTGTTCTTTTTTTCTATTTTTCTATTTCCTTACAGTCATAAAGGGGAGAGCTCTCAAATTACCAGCTTGAACCAATCTTTTATACCTCTAGCCACTACTCCCACCCAGAAAATTGTATTTCTAAGAAGAAATATTGATTGGCTTGCAATTGTAAACGTGCATACTCTTGATCATGGAAATATATTTGGATTCTCGATGAGTCCAGCTAATAACAATTTATTAATGAGAAATGTTTCATCTTTTCATGCATGTATTCGCTGGACAAAATCTTTTCAATTAATTTTCTATCTGTATCATTAGTAATAACCCGAAATGTGTTCATCTATCCTTAAACCAGGATTAACTCGTTGTTCAATTAGACAAAATCTGATATATTCGTTTATATTCAATTAGTTTGCATGTTTTGACGTTACCGAGGTTAGTTAAGTAATCTGATATCATAAAGTTGATTTTATGTATAGATCAGAATTACTCATACTCTGATACTGTTGGTATTTGTTTTAACAATGATTAATCAGACCATCTTTATGAGTAACTTTGACATTAGATCAATCAAAATCATCTCCTAGCATTTATCAGTTGGAGAAGTTTAAGCAAATTTGAATCAACTTTCACATTTGGCCTACAATTTCGTTAACTGGTATCTAGTAATTTTGATTTATAAACCAAAAAAGTCATCCGATTTTCAGATATTCAAAAACATTGATTTATTTGAGATTCTTGCAAAAAATATTTACAAAATGGGTTGAATTATGCATCAAGATTTGTCATGAAAATGAAAAATGGTGAAAAATTGATTGTCTTGTAGTTGAGTGTGATGGACATTTCGATTTTCAAAATTTGCGTTGTGATAAGCAGCTAATGGACGGAATTGACATTGGTTCCAATTGATAAATTAATATGAATTAGATAAAGCGATGCCGAAAGTTACATCAAAGTATTGAAAGTAACAATACTGTGAAAGTAGATAAGCAAGTCAACAGGAACATTGATTTTCCGATAACAAGGCTATTGCCAGCATTACATCCATCCTTGGCACAGTAACATTCTTCCCAGTAAACACCATTCTCCCGGTAACCCCAAGCACAGCCCCAATTGACACCTGAAAATAAAGAGATAAACACAATAAAAACAATCAAGTCTAAAGTGTAAAAGATTTTAATTTAAAGAAAAAAAAAACGAAACTTTACCTGTTTCAGTAACTTGAGCACATCTTCGGATTACTGTTCTCCAACGCCCATCCCAGATGAATCCTCTTGGACCTTGTTGAATTGATTTATAACAGAAAGTTCCTGAAGACACGGCATCTTCACTCATACAATCAACTAGTGGATTGGCATTTGAGTCAAATGATTCATAGGCACCACAACTGTCAATGGTTTTGTTTTCATCTGAAGAGCACTGATAGCAACGAATTGCTGAACCTTCAAAACAAAAAAAAGTAAAGTTGATAAACCAAATAATTTTTAGGGTTAATTTAATATTTACCTGATGATATCAAAGTTGTAATCCAAATAATTGAAATACACAGAAGATAATGATCCATGATATTTTATTATAATAAAAATTTCCAAAAAGATTCGGTTGTTAGCAACACAAAAAGTTTACAACAGCTGAAAATTACGATTAATGAGTTGAAAGTTTCAGGTAAGCCATAAATGTCCGCTGAAATATCGGATAAAAGAATTGATTTTAAATGATAATGATACCAGTAGTACTTGGAATGTAAACAATTAAACCATACAATTTGATGAAATAAAATTTGATTTCAATCTGATTTACACTACAGATGACTTTACCAATATCTTTTCACTATTCATCAAATCACTGATTTCAGAAAAGTAATGTATTCACTTAATAATAACTATTCATGTAAAAGACTCGATAGAGATATTGAAAAGCAGATATAAGGTAAAAGTTAAATCGCTAATTTTGTCACTTGTCTAGTTGTATCAAACAAAGGTTTAAAATTAACCACAATTTGTCAAACTGATTTATTTGAACGAGTTTAAAGGATTGAAATTTATAAAATTATAGATAACAAAATCAATCAAAACAATCTTTAGTTAAAAAAGATTTTTCAATTGATCGAAATCAAACACTGCCACCTGGTTGAAAATAAGAAAACTTTTTTTAGAGCTATTGTTCATTCAAAAGACGCGCTAAAAAATGATCCTTTCTGTGGAGATAAAGACACTGTTATCATACATTGTAATCCTCCAAGAAAACAGATTATTGTTTATGTTTATTTTTTGTATTTAATTTTGTTATATTTGTGATTTAATTTTTCTTATAAGTGTACCAGCATGGAGAACAAAAACCAATCGAAGGCTACATCATTAATAACATATATCCATGAGATTTCTGGACAGCTAAGAAAGCAAAATATCATCGAGAGTGAACATGCCTATGCTAAATTTTGGAATCGGCATCCTGATCCTTCAAACAAATCTCGTCCTGCAAGATTTTTATTCATGCAATCACTTGCCAAATGGACTGCTGCTGATAAAGACAGTGACATTATCGATATTGATACACTTGACAATAAGTCTTTCTTATCTTCTAACCTAACCACAAACCCTCTTGTTGCCGAGGTCACTGCATTAACAAAAGGTCAAGTCACAATAACAGAAGAGTTTGCCGTCACTGACTCAGCGCCTAATAAATCAACTTGGAGTACTCTTGCACAGCGAATATGGGCAAAGGCTCTAAATATTTTATACACCGATCGGCTGATTCGATTGAGTGTTGAGGGTACGCCAAATGAAATAATTGCTAAAAAAATGATCTCAAGCAAATGTGCAAGCAAATTTAGGCATTTATTCGCATCACTAGCATTTTGGGATCCATCAATTTTATCCTGGTTGCATTCAACTTTATTGGAACATGTTTCTGGTCAATATCTGATAGCTTATCACGAATCGATGCAGATATTAAGAACCAAATTACCTGTTCTGATTGATAGATTCTATTTACCGCCAGCACAAAATGATCCAATTAGAAGTCGTAATAAAGGACCACCGCCCGATCCTATCCAAAATGTTCTCAATAATCACAAACCTAAACGAATAAAGAACTGCCCTTTATTCATTTTAGTTCCTAATGGACCACAGCCTCCTAATTCAATCATCCCTCAAAGGCTGAAACATTGGCAACTTTTATTCGCCTCACTAGGAAAAATTATCACAATTTCCATAAACTACAGACCGGCCATGAGAGTTAAAAGTTGTTTAAATGAGATTATGACCGGAGTTCGTGAAAAAATAACTGAATGCCGAACAACCTTCACGGAAGGAAGACCAATTATTCTCGTTGGATTCGGGCATTCTTCCTTGATTGCTACTCATGTGGCCCTTGATCCTGCTTATAAAGTAACAGCAACTGTTTGCTTAGGTTTTCCATTAGCTGGTGTAAATGGTTTCCGAGGAGACTTGGATGATCCTTTACTAGATACAACAGTTCCAACATTATTCGTCATTGGTCAAAATGCTACCCTGTCATCTATTGACGATGTAGAAGATTTTAGAGAAAGAATAACCAAAACTGAGACAGGTCTTGTTGTAGTTGGTGGAGCTAACGACCATCTTATTGTCAGTCAAACTAAACAAAGATTCACCGGAATTACACAAGCAATTGTGGACCGATGCATCTCTGATGAAATTTATGATTTTATCAACTTTGTGATGAATCCTCATTTTGTGCCATCCGAGAATAATTATATTTCAGCAGCGGGCAAGAATTTGTCTAAAAGCTTATCCAAGTCATTGAATAATGGTGGAAAAACTCCTAAAAGTAAAAGTAAAAGTAAAACAGAAATTAAACCACCTATCAGTGATTCCGGCGTCAATAACAAAAATGATGTCATTCTTAGTAGAGTCAGTCCTCTTAATCCCGATATAAACGAGGTCTCTGTTAGCAATAAAGAAAGTGAGATGTTAACCCAATCAACTTGTCCTGTTAGCACTGACGCCATAACCAACATAAGTACTTCTGTTACTCTTACCGCTTCTCCCATGGCTGATACTTGTACCAATACTAGCCTTACTTTAATTAATCCTAATGTAAAAAGTATTGGCACTGAGGGTGAAACTCCAAAACCAAAGCCAAAACCAAAGCCCAAGAAAAGTAAACCTAAGCCTAAAAAAGCAGACGAAACAAAGAAACCTGATGAATTGAAAATTGGAAAAGACTTGAAAGAAGACAAGGAATGTAAAACATTAAATAAAGATGTCAAAGTTGGTAAAGAAACCAAAGAAATCGAAGAAAATAAAGAAGGTAAAGATATTAAAGAGACTATTGAGACTAAAGTAGGAAAATCTACTAAAGATAGTAAAGAAACTAAATCATCTAAAGATGTAAGAAGTATTAAAGATACGAAAGAAGACAAGAAAAAAGATAAAGAGCTAAACTCACCAGTTAAAGTGACTCCGGAATCTGTTCCAATGTTAACTCAACCATCGCCACAGCCGTTACCACCTTTACTTACAGCACCAATCTTTACAGAACCATCGACATCTACCTCACCATCCTCCCTGGTGTCAACTATGGTGACCACCTCTACATCTTCCGTTTTATCAACCTCTGCGCCTCCTCCATTGACGCCAGTTCAATCTGTAACCGGAGCTGGTGTCTTGACTGGTACAAAGAGAAAGAAGATTCCTTCTGTCAAATCATCTGATTCTGACAGTTCAGCTTCGCAACCTAAAAAGAAACGTGAAGAAGTTTCTATGAGTATTTCGTCATTGGAGAAAATTGAAAGAACTCTGGATGAGGTTATTGCTACTTCAGTTCTGGAATTTTCCCCAACATTACCTAGTCCTACGATTGAAATAAGCGGTTCACCGACAGTTCCACCTCAAGCGGAGAAAATTCCATCAATCCAACAAGCAACATCAACATCACTTATAACTACACCTACAACTTCAGTAACAACAAATTCAACACCAACCCCGAAAAGTAGCACGAATATTCAAAGAAATTACGATTTCAGTTATGGAGTATCTGAAATAGTAACTCTCCCTCCTAGTTCATCAGCTACACGAACCAGGCAAATTAGAGCTCCTAAACAATTGGATATTTAATTGTCTACTTTTTATTGCATTTGTTTTTTTAATGGTCAAGTTGAAGATTCGATCAGAATCAATTAAGTCACTTGATGAATAAAATAGTACAATTATTTAAATTTTGACATATTCGAGTGTAAATTATTTTTGTATTTGAGGATATTATAAATCTAGACAGCACTAGCCTAAGCAATTTTTAGTTTCCCTAAATTATTCAACTTTAGTCTTGGAAATCCATATTGTAGCTGGTCAAGATGTGAATGATCTGACTTCTTAGTGGTTTTCATTTTTATCTAGACCGATCAAAGACCATCTTGACCATTTATAACTTTGGTTAATCAATTTTAAGTTTAAAGCAGCAGCCTTTAAAAGAAAACTAATAAGCAAGAATCATTAGTGAAGAGGGAAAATGAAAATTATCTCAAGTTGAGATGTTGCGTGTAACTAACAAAGTGCTTACATGTAGATCATTTTTCTACAACGAGATTGCAATTGCTTAATAAATCATCAAGTTCTAAGTGAGGACAAACTCATAAGCTCATAATTAACCAGCAAAAAAGCGAAGTTTTATTCTTTGAAAGAACTTTATTCTAAGCTTCAGGCTGATTAAAATTACTATCACGGCAAAATCAGGCGGTAATGAAAATAATGTTAAGCTTTGCTAATTTAATTTTTTTCATCCCTTTCAATCATTGGATTGACAATCGAGAGGCGGTTTGATAACAGTGCAAAACTAAACATGTAAAGTTGGATTGCTAACTCACTTTATTGACAATGTTTGCATTAGCCAATGGAAAAATTGTGGACGATTGTTGATGTGGAAATCACAAGACCAATGAAAAGAGGGGAAAGAGTAAAGAGCAATGAATAAAATAGTCATTTGTTTATTCTTTGAAGGTGAGACAAAAGAAGTGAGAAAGAGCGGTTTAAAGTAAGTGTGAAAAAGGATTTGGCTAAGCAATATTAACTTGAGTGTATCTAGTTAGTTAACTTGATTACTTGTCATGATGGTGTTAATCATGGCAAATATTAATTATTTAGTGATATTAATTTGTTCAACTGTCTTTTTATTGTCATCTTTTGTATCATCTCAACAGAAATTAAGAAATCTTGAAGGTAATTATCCATAAGTAACTGATCTCGTAACCTTATCCTAAACTAACTGGTCATTTGTTAATTTTTATATGAAACAACGTGTTTTTAAAATCAATTTTATATCTAGATCCAACGGAATTTTTTAAATACGCTCTTTATTTACGAACTGATCATCCGGAATATTATGCCAAAAATTTTAAAGGAATTACTGATCACTACAACAAATTGATAAGTGCAACTGAAGCTAAACGGCTTTCATTGAATACAAGATCCTCAGATAACAATGGACAACCGAATAGTGTATTCAATAGTGCTGGACCGAGAACCCCTATGCAGCATGATGGTTTATCTAGATGGCCGCCTAGAATACCTCAGGGCAATAATGCTAGTCCATCGAGACCAAAATCCGAACAAAAAGCTGGTAGAACATACTCTAGATCATTGAGTAGCACTGTGAGTCCAAAAGACGAGGCTATCCAAAAAGTTATGAGAGACATTTTGAAGGCAGAAACAACGAATGCTACGAATCCTGATCTAGGTAATAATTAGCCGCAAACATTTTACATTTTTCTTGATAAATTTCCATATTTTAAAGCCATATTTTAATCTTATTTTCAGATTGGGCCCGCAAGTGTTTCACTCTAGGATATAACAATACCAATGGTTCATGTCAATCAGAGCCTGAAGTAATTAAACTAGCTCCTAACGAAACAATTTGCCTTACTTATTTTAAATTTGGATGCCAATATCAGTTAAATCAAGATTTTTGTGTAGCAGGAGTTGATGAAGTTATGAAAAATACAAGCTTTACTTGTGATTTAAATATTAATGGTGATAGTGAATTGATGAGTATCCAGTGTTGCATGGCTTGTAAAAGCGGCATAAATGCAGCAATATCCAAAGATAGTTGTGATATGCATTTGGACAATTCTATGCCAAGTTTTGCCCAAGAGAAATGTTGCAACAGTTTCTTAAATCAAAACATATCTGGTAATTATTTAATTAATAATTCTTTTTTATTTGCTGATTTCTTATTTCATTTTATGTTTTCAGTTTCAACTACAGAATCAATTCCAGTCTCTTTTAAACCGGGGTCAATGAATGCAATTATGTCTGATCTAGATGACCAGGTTTCCAATAGTACAACATTCAAACTCAGCAATTCATTAGGTAATTATTGATAAATTGGTTATCCTTTGTTCCCCTATTTTCAATTTGACTTTTATGTTTTAGATTCAACTACAGAATCAATAAAACCGGGGTCCCTGAATGAAGTTGTTGTCCATTTGGATGATCGGTTTTCCAATAATGAAACAAACAAACCCGAAATAGACAGTTCAACAGTACCCGAAACTTCAACATTACCAACTACTACTACCACTATTGCTACACCCTCAACATCTACGGAATCAACTACCGCACCATCAACAACAACCACTGCCGCAACAACCACAACTATAACAACTGAACTAACAACTACGACTTCTACTACAACTAATTACGTCAGAAACAACAACTCTACAACCAATAACCACTGACCCAACCTCAAAGCCTCAATTGCGATACTCTGAGGAGGATCCAAACCCAGGGGAAATTCCGGATGGCTACAAACTCCGAGACGCAAAAAAGTAATTAAAATCTTTTGTCATTTTTCATTTTAAATTTAATTTATCGAGTAACATTTCGATCATTAATTTTTTTTACTTTGTTTTGCTTTTCAACAGAAACTTATATGAAAAAATGGATGAAGAAGACCGATCTAAAGCTGATTTCCTGGTAATTTTGAAAAAAGAACTGGAAATGGATAGTGATGCGCGGTACAAAGATTTTACTTTGATGAATATTACTTTAAGAAGGAATATTCGATGTAATTGGGAATTCAAGATTGAAAAAGCCAATGCTGAAAATGGTGGTGAAACATTAACCGAAAATGATTTCAAACCTAAACCAGAAAAACACAGATTCATTCTTTTAATCGATAGTGAAGAAGTTCAACCTCAAACTATCCAATACTCAGTTTCTTGTAATATCAAACAATATAAATATTACAAGTATATAGTTAACCTGACTATTATTAATAAGTAAGAAATTTATGGTGAATTACAAAATCACGAAAAAATTATTCTAAATGCTATACTCAATGTTATATTCAACTTGGATGTTTTAATTTGAAATTTTTCGAGAAATTTAAATAAAATTATTTTATTGTGCTTTACTTTGTAACAATTAACCATCTATTACTGTCAAGTCTTGTGAGATTATTCAAGGGTAATTACCACGAGCTAAGGTTACCTTATCAGTTCTTGATTAACCATTTTCAATCAAGCCAATGGTTGGCAATAAGATGTTAGTTTAATGATCCAAACGCTCTAAGATTGACAATTAATATTGGAAAGGTAAAAAAAGTTGCTAAATCAACAAGTATTACCTTCCATTAGATATATGAAAGTGCTCAAGTGATGATGAATCGCGTAAATGAAATGTCATTAATAAAGAAGTGATCTGTAAAACACAATCAGGTTAAAGAAGGTATTCAGGTTAAACTATAAGATTTTGATAATCGAGATTAATTGGTCAATTGATATGATTGTCTAAGCACATGTTTATCTATACATATTGACTTAACTCTATATAATCTTTTACAGCAAGATTACTTTGCGATTGTAAGGTATAAATGTGGCATTTTAAGGCAATATGTTATCCTTGATCGCTTACTTTTTTGGGTTTAGTCACAAAGTCAGATTGTTACCAAGGGTTTCCAGGTATCTTGTGTGTGTGTATTAACGTATCATTCAACTGTAAGGCTAATAAAAATCCCCACAAAAAAGTAAATATAATTTGTTTTTATCTTGATCACAGTGATCAGCTTGTCGGCTTCAAACTGGCAACATCAATTCCTCCAGACATTCACTTTTGCCCCTCTCATTCGTATTCCCATTTCCCCATCAACGGTTCACAATGTGCATTACAGATTCAACGGTTCACAATGTGCATTACAGATTCTTGTTTATACATTGATAATGACATCACCAGTATCATCACCATCTTCATCATCATCATCATCATCAGTATCAACAAAACCAACACCAACAACTGCTACATCAACATCTTATTGCAACTTGTGCTCGACTAGTTTCCTCCTTCCGTTGTGTTCACTGCTAACAAGCCACAGTAATTAGCTGAAAATAGGAGGAGAAACAAAACACTAAACTGAATTATACTTCTGTGTGTATTTTAACCCTCCACCACCCACCCTGTTATCTCTCTTTCTTTCTCTTCCAGTAACACCTCAGTTTGTCATCTTGCTCTCATTTCACTCTTCTTAATCAACAATGACATCACCATTATCATCATCATGATACTTCTTCCAATTAATATCATTCAAGACAAATAGGTAAAGTCTTTACGCAAAGGAAAAAAAAAGATAAATGAAAAGTTATGAGCACCCGAAGTACCATTGAAGTGGCCTGATGTAACATTTAGTCTTAAATATTGTAAATGATTTACTGATTTCAAGACGCAATTAGCTAAAACATTTTTTTCTTCAAGAGGAAAGTGGAAAAAATCTCAAGTTGATCAATTAATCAGTAAAAATAAACCATCTTCAACTCAATTTACCATTCAAGGAGGCTCGATAATTCAATATTTCAACCGATATTGTATTTACAGGGTTTAACCAATCTTTTTAGTCAATGATTTAAATTGCGTTTGTCCGATCTTTAGTTTAATTTCATTGCCTCATTTAATTCATTACCGGTAATAGTTATCACCTTATTTATTTTCATCTAAATCATCTTACTTGATTCATCATCATTCGATCAGTTACGCATTAATTATCTGTTGGCTTAGCATTATTTTTGTCTTATTAATCAAATTTTACAATAGTTTCCAATCTGAATCAGTTTAAATCATTAATAATTTTCAGCCAAGCTAATAACTCAATCAAGAGTTGATAAGGTAATCTTAACTCATGGTAATTACCAAAAGATAATCTCAAGACTTGACGTTAATGGATGAATAATTGTTACAAAGTAAAAGCACAATAAAATAATTTTATTTAAATTTCTCGAAAAATTTCAAATCAAAACATCCAAGTTGAGTATAACAAGAATAATTTCTTGAATTTTAATTCACCATAAATTTCTTACCTAAAAGTCAGGTTAACTGTATACTTGTATTAATAATATTTATATTGTTTGATATTACAAGAAACTGAGTATTGGATAGTTTGAGGTTGAATTAGTTTGCCATCGATTAAAAGAATGAATCTGGTTTAGGTTTGAAATCTTTTTCGGTTAATGTTTAAACACCATCTTCAGCATTGGCTTTTTCAATTTTGACTTCTCAATTACATTGAATATTCCTTCTTAAAGTAATATTCAAAGTAAAATCTTTGTACCATGTATCACTGTCCATTTCCAGTTCTTTTTTCAAAATTACCAGGAAATCAGCTTTAGATCGGTCTTCTTCATCCATTTTTTCATATAAGTTTAGGTCTGCTTCAAACGCAAATTTCCAATCACAATAAATTTCATTTCTTGCAAAACAACAATCTCAGCTTGAAATCCAACCATGTCTTTGGATCGGGTTAAAGATGATTTATCAGTGAGAAAATAAGTTGGAGGAGTTGAATCTCACTTACCATTATTCAAAGTGAAGAGACTACTTCTCCACCTTGACTCTCACCGATTATAACAATAAAATATGAAGCACACTGTTGATGACGATGAAATACTGAGTATGGCTGAATCCTGAGAGAGCTGGAAGAGATAGATCTGGCAACGATGTTTAATTTTAAGTGTCTAGATCTAGACTTCCAACTCGATCAGTTTCAGATTTGCGTACTTGTTTGTGTTTACCGTTGATGCGCTGGATTCAAAAAAATAAATAAATAACAACCAAAAAAAACACACATTAGTTGGAAATAAAGTTGAACAAAAAAACAAATAAAAGGGGAAATTATTTGAAACATGAAGACAGGAAACACAAGAAATAAGGGGAGGAAGAGGAAGTGCCTATGTCAATTTGTGGGTGCAAAATAAAGTGATGAATTATTAGTGGTGTCGTTATAAATACTGAGGTTGAAGAGAGACAAATGGAGAGCAGAGAGAGAGCTAGAGGGAAAGGCAGAGTGGGAGGTTTCAAAGGCAACACAACACAGAGAGATGTAGAGTCTTAACAGTTTCAACATTATAATGATTCTGATTCAAGTGGCTTATTATCTTTGCTCTATGTGAATTTATGATGATGAAAATATTGATGTTGATCATGTTAATGATTATGATAATGATTATTGTTTGTTCATGTCTTAAGTGAGGCCCATTTTCAACAATTTAGTTCTTGTAAACGAATACCGAGCTGATTAGTTTATTTGGATTCTTCTTCTTCTTTTAAGAACCAAATTGATAATCCAACTCCTAAAGTAAGCTTCAAAATGAGTTCTCCCATCCATTTTATTATTATAATCATCCGTATTAAATTATTATCACAATTATCGACATTTCTTATAAACTTATCCATAATATTGGAATAAACCAATTTAAAATTGCCTTAAAAATTGTCAACACCATAGACTGACAAATTGTGAGCTAAAGATTTAACATTTCAGCTGTTTTTTACAAAACCACTCAACTTGTTGAAATGCTTTCAATTTTTTTTAAACATACCGGATCATCATGCGATCTGATCAGTGATTATCAACGATGGAGAATAAATTGCTATCATTAATTGAACCAAAAAAGTCGGGAAATTTTTAATTTCGATTTTTGATTCTTAATTTCTTTGTTATATTATATCGGAATCACTCGATGTACCAGGGTCCCGAGCGCTACCAGTATCAAAGTCTTGGTGTTATAGTATTTGTTGTTTCAGTCGCTGTTGTGGGTCATATGATCGCAGTGCGAGAGGCTTTATGGTTGGTTCTGTGGTTGTTGTTTCTGGCGGCCTTGGTGATGTAGTAGTTGTAGTAGAAGTCGTAGTTGCTGGTTCAGTTAGTAGTAGTAGTTGGTAATGTTGAAGTTTCGGGTACTGTTGAACTGTCTATTCCGAGTTTGTTTGTTTCATTATTGGAAACCCGATCCTCCAAATGGACAACAACTTCATTCAGGAACCCCGGTTTTATTGATTCTGTAGTTGAATCTAAAACATAAAAGTCAAATTGAAAATAGGGGAACAAAGGATAATCAATTTATCAATAATTACCTAATGAATTGCTGAGTTTGAATGTTGTACTATTGGAAACCTGGTCATCTAAATCATAAATTGTATACATTGAATCCGGTTCAAAAGAGGTTGGAATTGATTCTGTAGTTGAAACTGAAAACATGAAAATGAAATAAGAAATCAGCAAATAAAGAAGAATTATTAATTAAATAATTACCAGATGCGTTTTGATTTGAGAAAATGTTGCAACATTTCTCTTGGGCAAAACTTGGCATAGAATTGTCCAAATGCATATCACAACTATCTTTGAATATTGCTGTATTTATGCCGCTTTTACAAGCCATGCAACACTGGACACTCATCAATTCACTATCACCATTAATATTGAAATCACAATTCAAGCTTGTATTTTTCATAACTTCATCCATTGCTGCAACACATAAATCTTGATTTAACTGATATTGACATCCAAGTTCAAAATAAGAGCCGCAAATTGTTTCGTTAGAAGCTAGTTTAATTACTTCAGGCTCTGATTGACATGAACCATTGGTATTGTTATATCCTAGAGTGAAACACTTGCGGGCCCGAGCTGAAAAATAAGATTAAATTATGGTTTCATCATATTGAAATTTACCAAGAAAAATGTAAAATCGTTTGCGGCCGATTATTACCTAGATCAGGATTCGTCCTAACTGTTTCTGCATCCGAAATTGCTCTTATAACTTTTTCGTAAGCTTCGTCTTTTAGACTCACAGTGCTAATCAATAATCTAGAGCGTGCTCTACCAGCTTTTTGTTCGGATTTTGGTCTCGATGGACTAGCATTATTGTCCTGAGGTATTCTAGGAAGCCATCTATATAAACCATCATGCTGCATAGGGGTTCTCGGTCCAGGACTATTGGATACATTATTCCGTTGTTCATTATTATTTGAGGTTCTTGTATTCGATGAAAACCGTTTAGCTTCAGTTGCACTTATCAATTTATTGTAGTGATCATTAATTGCTTTAAAATTTTTGGCGTAATATTCTGGATGATGAGCTCGTAAATAAAGAGCGTAGTTATGAAATTCCCTTGGATCTAGATATGAAAATGATTTTAAAAACACGTTGTTTCATATAAAAATTAACAAATGACCAGTTAGTTTAGGATAAGGTTACGAGATCAGTTACTTATTGAATAATTACCTTCAAGATATTTTAACTTCTGTTGAGATGATACAAACGAGGACAATAAAAAGACAGTTGAACAAATTAAAATCACTAAATAATTAATATTTGCCATGATTAACACCATCATGACAAGTAATCAAGTTAACTAACGAGGTACACTCAAGTTAATAATGCTTAGCCAAATCCTTCTTCACACTTACTTTAACTTTACTCTCACTTATAGCGCTTGCGAAAGTAGTTTCCTCTGGCCTCACAGTGTTATTCAATGACCTAGAGGATCTTTAAACAATTTTACTTCCGATTTTAAGTTTCCATGGACGCTAATTCTCAACCAGAGATGTCCCATTAGGAGGTACAGATACATTTGCAACTTCGATAGTGGCTCTCGCTTCAGTAGTTGATGTTAATGTTGTTAGTGGTTGTGTAGCATCAGAAGTTGTTGTAGTTGGTGTTGTTATAATTGTCGGAGTAGTTGAAACTGAAATCACGGAACATGGAAGAACAATCAGCTTATTTATTATTACAGATACATTTTAATTTAAGGAGTTTCTACAAATAAGAGAGTAGAAATCAATTTCAAGAAATCTCTAGATTATATATTCCCATTAATTTTCAGCCAATCGTTTCTTTTCTAAAAAATCTAGGTATCAAATTATGATCACGAATGTTAACCAATTTTTTTGAGGACTTTAACTTGAGTAATTTTTCACCTGAGGGACTGGGTTGACCATTGGGCACACTTGGACCGTTCCGTTTCAATTTCCTATTGTTCTTTGAGATTCCTCCATATGATCGATTACGTTTAGCTTCAGTTGCACTTATCAATTTATTATAGTGACCAATAATTCCATAATAATTTTTGGCATAATATTCCGGATGATGAGTTCGTAAATAAACAGCGTAGTTATAAAATTCCCTTGGATCTAGGTAAAAGATTGATTTTAAAACACGTTGTTTCATACAGATGACTGTTAGTTTAGGATAAGGTTGCGAGATCAGTTACTTATTGAATAATTACCTCCAGCATTTTTTGATTTCTGTTGAGATGATACAAACGAGGACAATAAAAAGACGGTTGAACAAATTAAAATCACTAAATAATTAATATTTGCCATGATTAACACCATCATGACAAGTAATCAAGTTAACTAACTAGATACACTCAAGTTAATATTGCTTAGCCAAATCCTTTTTCACACTTTAAACCGCTCTTTCTCACTTCTTTTGTCTCACTTCAAAGAATAAACAAATAGCTATTTTATTCATTGCTCTTTACTCTTTCCTCACTTTTCATTGGTCTTTTCATTTCCCAGTCAAAGGTTATTTGTCAATTCTAACGGCTATTTAAAATATTAGTTCCTCACCTGATTAACCAACATTACAACATTACTATAATATAAGTATGTTTCTTACTTGAATAAGCCATTTGAATACGTTTATACGGTCAACTTTGTTTTACAGAATCATGCAATTTTGAATTTCAGTGAAATTGACTGGATAAAGCTATTTACTGGATTTAAAAGCTTAACCAGAAGTACCAGTTAAAGATGTATTGGGTTACCCACATTAACCTAAAATTTTTTGATTTCTTCCTCACCTTAGTCTCGTAATCTTCCTCATCTAAAGTTAACTGTGGTTCCAGTTAAATTGTTACAATTTAGGCGAGCTAAAATGGTTAGACTATTAATTTCAATGAAAATGAAAATGAAAATCATCATAATATTTTGGGAAATATTTTTTCCTTTTGGATTGCACTTAGGATGTTTTTTTTCAATAGCCCAGCAATACCTGATACTTCACTTGTAGACAAACTGTTATTAAAAATCGCGACAAGTTAACTTGTATACAATTTTAATGAGAATGGATTTAATTGTAAGATAAATATTGCATTAACTTAAATCAATAATAATCATATTAAGATAAACTTACTTCAAAGGCATTTGCTGTATCCTCTTCAATAATATTATGATGATGAAGACTCTTTAAGATGCCGAAAAATAAAACAACAAAAATGAAGACGAGATGGAAGAAGAGGGATGAAAAGCTCTTAAGATGTCCATACATATGATGCGATTGTCAAATAAATGTATGAAAATGATGATTCTCTCGTGAAACTTGGAAATCATTCAACTTATAAAATGAACTTGGTCACAAATCCGTAACAGAATCTGATCAATTTGTTTACTCTTTGGTTGTGATCAATATTAACTATTAATGTTAGGTGATGATGTGGACGTTAGTGTCAAATGGTGTCAAAAACTGGACAAAGGTTGCCTTGGGTTTGGAAAATTTTTGATACCATTCAAGTTATGTTTACTAAATGACCAATTCACAGTGTTTTTGGTTATTGACTTGTTTGATGTTGATTACAAGGTTCATTGGTATACATTGGAATAGGCATTCTCAATGTAATTCACATTAAACGGACTCACAATCAAATTGGAAGACATGATTAGTCGCATCTTATACCTACAGCTGCGAAAGAAAAATTTATCCCTAAAAATATTTGTCTCACATCTAGATTGATAACTGACTGATTAGAATAAGATTAACCTTTAGAATCGAGTCAAGTTAATTGTATTCCATGTACAATGACTTTCTATGCTCTTCTCAACCAAACTGATAACTGTAATCTCTTAATGTTGCTTTATCTCGATTGTATTAATATCACTCTTGTTATCAATTTATGCGCCATTTCAATATTTTTTAGGGTAAACTTTTTCTTTCACAGCTGTATATTGCTATTAATGGTTCCTTATCTGGCCTTCAAATTAACCAAACAATGGATTATTCCTTATCAATTCTTATGATAACGGCAATTTAGCTTAAGTTGATTTTACTGTCTTGCATGGCGAGTAAAAATAAAGGTTACATGGATCTAATTCTTGAACAATTATTAATACAACTAGAGCAATGGAGAAAAGTTATTTGCGTTTTTGTCATCCGAATAAATTCATTTTAGCATTTTTTATTGGTTGAACAATAAGTTATGAGCTTAAGATTACATACTATTAACACTTGCTCCTTTAATCAGTAATAAAACTGAGAGCAAATTGATGTCAGTCATTATTTAGCATCTTACAAATTGTGGTGGAATTAGTAATTAAAAAGAAAGATAATTGTAAATTACAGAACAGAGAAAGAGAGAGAGATGATCAAAAGATCCATTTAAAATCATAATTAATCAAAGGTATTAGCCAAGATTAAAATGGACAAGCTCGTTGGACCAGTTGATTCGATTGGATAACATTTCGGAATAACAACGGGATCATTGGTTTGCCCAAATAAATGAATTAAAAGCTGTTACAATTATTATACAGAACTTTCAATTATCTGAATGGCGATGAAAAAAATTGGTAAAGTTGAAATGTCCAACCAAGGGTAAAGGTTGAGATTTTCATTGGACATTTCAATCTTTATTGATTTTTCAATCACAATCGAAATGAGACAATTGTAAGTTATTTCAAGTAACTTTTAGTATTAACAATATTGAGTGATGCATCACTAAGATGCTGTGATTTATGCTTATTTGGTATGAATAAAATTAAATGTTGATGAAGTAGCAACCAAGAAAATTAATTTGTTTCAACTAATTCAAGAGAATTCTGATTAGAGTTGTATTTTTGGGGAAATAATGCTCCCTGGCAGAAGAATAACAGATAATTGAAGTTGAAAATGAATTATCCTTTTTTGGAGAAAATAATTCCTGAAGTTTCCATTTGTCATGAATTTAGAGTTGATCATCTTGACTTTAGTTTGGCAAAGGTGAAGATGTTTGATAAGAGATTGACAGAGATCAAGAATCAGTCTTAGATTCAAACGATTTCATTTCCATAACGATCTAAATCTAACCCTGTGTTGTAATGGTCACTCTTCGTCTTTTTGTTTTCACACTGTTTTCCGATGCATTCGAACAATTATCATCATCATCACAATAATTATCATCCGCAGTATCTTGTGCAGAACTACTCAATTCAGGAAAATCTTGAGCGTTTCTTTTTTGTTTAACAGCTTCATGCTCTTTTCGGTCACTAGGATTTATAATTTCAGGCTCAGTTAGTGATTCATCAGAAGCATCAATAATTGTATCCGAGCTTTCATGTTCATCATTGAAAGATCTCTTTGGTTGCTTTTTGGAGATGTCTTTGGAATCATCACTAGTCGTTGTTATGACACTGTCTTCGAGCTCTAATTGATCACCAACAATTGTCTCGTCAACTTCATTTGATTTATTCTTCGTCAATCGTGAGTCAATCGGAAAGCCGAAAGGGATTGGAGTCGGTAATGGAAGAGGAAACAAAGATGCTGATCCCATAGGAATTGGTACAGGAATTGGAACAAAAAATGGTATAAATATTGGAACTGGTATGAATTTATTAGATTCGTTTTTAATTGAAGCTTCTGGGTTTTCATCCCTGCTGGTCGATAAATGCTTGCTTTGTGTCTTTAACGGAATTTGATTTTCTAATTCTGTCTGTGTTTGACGATCTTTTCTAAAAGGTCGACAAAGGGTAGCTTTAGATCGCTTTGGTGGTGACCACATTGTTGACTTATCTGCAACATTTTTACCTGACACAGAATCACCGGGGCTAAGATTGGATCCTTTAGTAACTAGATTTTCAGTGCTTCCATGATTTAAATAACGAGAGGGCATTCCAAGTTTCTCTGGACTATAATTTTTGTTGTCATTGTCTTTCTTAGAGAGATTATTGCCGCCAGTTAAAAGATATGATACAATAGAGTTAAAGCTTGAATGTTCAGGTTGAGAAGTTGATGAAAGTGAAGGTGATGTTTTTAATATTGATGGTTTGAACGATGTGGTCGGTGTCAGAGTCGATGTCGATGTCGATGTTAATGAAGATGTAGATGTTGATATCGACGTCGGTATTGCTGTCGGTGTGAGTTTTGAGGCTAAAGATGATTCTGGTGATGTAGTTTCGTCATGTTTTAAAAGAGATTTGAATGTTCTCGACCTCATGGAATAAGGCATCTGCAAACTATTGGACGTCGATGGAGATGGCGGTTCAAACGTCAATGACGTTGATGTGGATGGTTTTGAAAAACAAGTTAAAGGTGAAGATGATAACATATTAAAACTCTTTGACCTATCAGCAAAATAACTAGCTCCAGTGGGACTCTCTTTATTCACATTATGAGAAAGATGTCGAAAAGTGTAACTGGATTCAGGATGTTTAAATGGTGAATCACTTTTGTTAATCGAAATGGGATGGTTTGGTCTTTGTTGAGATGAGTTGTCTATACCATGTCTATTCAATAAAGTATCATAATGTGTTTGATGGCCTAGAACACAGACGTATGAACAAAAGTTTCTGACAGTTTTCTCAGGAGATGGTATATGATAAGATAATCGGGCAAGTCTCCGGCACCAATCACAAAAAGCTTTGGGTTCCCTTCCTTTATTTTGAGATTCATTCAGTTCGAAAGTTGAGTAACAATAAGTTGAACAGAAGAGTTTAGAGTCCCCAGAGGCAGCATCGTATTTTTCCACGAGGTCAAAATTGTACTTTTTAACATTACATGTTAAGCAGGATTGAATGCGACGAATTTTGAGCACATGCATTTGGAGGCATTTTCGAGAGCAAAAAAGCTTTGTAAAACCGGAATAATGCAGTATGTTTACTTGACGATAAGACCAACCATACTTGGAACAGCTTTCACAAATAATTTTAGTCACGTCAAATGAAAATTTAAATGCTGAGAGACAAAAAGTACTGCAAATCATGAACTTTCGTCCTCTGAAAATAAGATCAAGGCAACTGCTTTTTTCGACTATACGAGAGCATTGACAACAGGCGCAAGTTGATCCTGAAAAAGCGCCTTCATTACTATTAGCTGAATTTCGTAGAGCTACCATTTGAAGATAATGCGAGCGACAAATTGGATCACAAAATTCCCTAATTCTCTTATTAGATCCTCCAGTTACAGAAGAACAGATCGATAGACAACCTGGAAAGAAAATAAATTTAAAATTAAAGTCTTCGATACAAGAGGAAACAAATAATTATACACACCTGACAAATTGATCTGACAGTTTGCACAGACTTTAATTACTTTTTTATACTGCTCAAGACATGAACCATAGCAAAATTGTTTGATCACATTCCCAAATCTAACAGAATATTTACCAAGAGATTGCTGGGGAACAGTAATACCACAATTGGCGCACTTTTTTCCCCAAAATTGCTGAAGATTATTTATACATTCAGGACTGCAAAATTCCATTGTTTGCCAGTAAAAGACGGGTGCACTTTTCTCGTTTGAAATGATATCTTTCTTACAATTGAAGCATTTTTGAACGGGTTCATTTTTCTTCTCGAATTTGAGTAAACACTCTTCCGAGCATAAAACATTCTTCTCAAATCCAAAATTAGGTAAATATCCTTGACAATCAGATGATATTCTTTTACCACAAGAGGCACAAATAATTGTTTTGCTGCTAAATCTGAACTTATCTGCACACCTTTTTGAACACACTTTAGCCAATCTATCATCTAAAAGACCCTCGAAACCAAGTCTACCATATAAACCGCAAACCGGGCATTGTCCACTATCTACTTCAGACAAATCAACGTCTAGAGAAAAGTAAATTGTAGAAAAAAATAGTAAAAGCATTAATGAATCAATAATACACTGAAACTTTACAGCTTTCCTGAAAACGGTTTGAACGAGAAATTTTCATTCGATTAAGTTGAGATTTTATAAATAATAAATATGAGATGCACTTTTGAGATATTTGAGCGCTAAGTGCGAACACTTGAACATTGTTCAAGATTAAAGGATGCAAATTTTCATATCTCAACTTTCGAAAAATATTGAATGAAATTTGTCCCATTAAATAAGTCCTAGATAAGCCGTAGAGTTCCCGTGATGATAAATAAAAAACCTAAACTCACCCAAAGCTACTTCGCAAGTGATAGCTTCTACTTGATTAGCTACTTCTGAATCATCGGAAGCTTCAGTGATGCTACCATCAAAATCAGTTAATTTATCATAGATGGACAGTCGATTGAGTAATGGACTAGTATTGTCCTTGTAATTCGGATAAACATATCCACCATAATCCAATGTTTTCGATACTACAGTTGATATCTCTGGAGTTGGAGTTGAGCTCCGATTCGAAACAGTATCTACCATATAATTAACAACATCCTTGATTATTTCTTCATCCGTCTTTTCCAGTTCTTGATCCGTAGTGATCACAACCGTAGACGTTGATCTCCTCGGTGATCTGGAGAAACCATAGGAACAGTTACTCGTTGGACTGGTTTCAACACTGTTTTCAGAATTGAATGAATATGTTGTTCGGGCTGAATTTAACGCTGCTTTTCGACTTCGAGTAATCATGATCTATTTACAGGGAAGATAAACCCTGAAGAAATATCTAGTTACTCAAGTGCAACTAAACATGCTGTTCTCAAACGAATTAAGCATTTAAAAATCATCAATCACATTCAAATTAACATTCAAAAACACTGGTTTATTTTTTGTTTTTAATTCGATGGCAGTGCCATCTCCAGTCCTATTGATTATTGAGGTTTAGCATTTCACTTTACACTCACCAGATGGCACCTTACAAGAAATTAGAGATAAAATTTATGGTGATTGAACAAAATGATAAACACGAGAATCGTGCAATTGAAATAAATTGTCCATTTTAATAACACAATTTAAACTTTCTCAATTAATCCATAGTGACCAGTTTGTATTTTAATCTGAAATCTTCATTAATAATTTCAAATTTTGACGTTTTGAGGCTGTTCCAGAAAATTTGAAACGACCATCTTTAGTGATTAAATTTTCTCGGCTGGATATTTCACAATTGACTCCATAATATTCATCTAAAGTTCTGATAATCAATTCGTCGTTTCTTTTTCCATTTAAAGATTTTCTTGTCTGAAAGAAAACATAAATTAAGATTTCATAAAAACTGGAAAACTGTTCCTCCGCCACTGTTACGTCTTGCTAATTTGTTGTTATTTTAATGTAACATCTTCCGATAAAAAAGCCTGTAAGTAATTTAAGCTTAACTTGATAATTTTTAACATCAATAAAGTTTATTTTGCTCTTTTTCTCATTTAATCTCATGGTGTTGCCATTTCTTGGTTCATCTAATCATATTCGTCCGGCCTTTGATGGCTGATATCGTCCATTTTCTGGGGATATTAAGTTTCTCCAATAGTAGTTTATATTTCATGAATTCTCATTTTCTTGAGCACCACATTCAGCACATGTATAAAATACCGTCTGCCCTTCGTCAGCAGATCTTGTTTGGAGTGTGAAATAGTACATTTTTTCGGAGGGACAACGTCTACATTTACGTTCAACGGTTGGACCTTTGTTCATTTCCTTTCTTTGCACCAACATGTCATCTTGTTTATTAAATACTATCCGAGTAGTTGATGTTGTACCATCAAATTGTCCAATACCAATTGTGTGTCCACAAGCTACACATTTAAGCAAATTGTACGAACTGAAACCAGTTGGTAAAGGTAATATGGCTCCACAAATTACACAAAATTCGGCGCAATATTGATTCGAACGGAAACTGGTCTTGACTGTGGCTGTCGGTGGAATCTGACCATAAGACATATTTGAACTATGATAAAATAATTTTCCAATAACTAATGATCAACGAGTTTTTCATCAACAAAAACCAAAACATGTGGAGATATATCGAACTAACCGATAGATATCGATATTTTTCGCGGACATGATGTGCTCAATTGTATTCATTTTTTCATGATCAATCTTGCTCATATTAAGGATGTTTTCTATTAAAAATGAAAAGATGATCGAATTATGTCTATTCAAGTGACTATGATGATCATTGAACATTTTAGTCAATTGAGAAAGTTAACTTTTCAATGCGTAATATTTTACGATATCTTTTGATGTATCGATATTCAAGCTTTTGATATGAACATCGATTTCATGAAAACAATTTCAGCTGGTTTAACAATTGTTTTGGTGTTTATAAAATCAACTATTTTTAGTGAATTATAAAGTTTTCATCATATTCTGAAATTAAACAACGCTTTTAGTTTCTCTGTTTTTGTCCTGTGTCACTTGAGAGGCTCTGAAAATGGGGAAGAGACAACATCAGAAGGATAAATTATACTTGACAACTACAGAATACACTTATTTTTATGGTGGTCGATTACCTGATGCTGATTTGCGCCAACAACAATTGAGTCGATTTAGTCGATTACCTTTCGATCATTGCTGTTTATCTTTTCAACCCTTCAAAGACCCCTACTGTGATGATAAAGGCTACATTTTTGATATTACCAATATTGTACCATTCTTGGCTAAACATAAGATTAGTCCTATTGATGGCAAACCCTTGGAAATGAAGAATTTAACTAAACTGAATTTCACTAAGAACGAGGACGGAAAATACCAATGTCCAATCCTATACAAGGTTTTCAATTCACATACACACATTGTCGCCATTAAACCAACTGGTAATGTTTATTCTTATGAGGCAATTGAGCAGTTAAATTTGAAAGTCAACAATTTAAGAGATTTGCTTACTGATGAGCCCTTCACAAAAAAAGACATAATAACCCTCCAAGATTCCAATAATATAGAGAAACATAATGCCGCTTCCTTTCATCATATTGTTCAAAACCTACGTTGGGTAGAAGAGGAAGACACATTTGACGCAACTAGTATGTTCAGAAATATGGACTCTGTTACCAAAGCTACTTTGGATGAAATGAAGGAAAAAGGGGTTACATTAAAAGTTCCAAAATCAGCTAATACAGAAAAACAAGAAGCTCCAGATCGATTTAACAAAGCTATCTACTCAACTGGTGCTGCTTCAGCCTCTTTAACATCCACTGTTATGGTACCAACAACGAAGATTGAAGCAGCAACTATCGATGATACTGATGTAGTCTATTCAATGATTAAGAAAAATGGCTATGTCCAATTAATGACAAACTATGGTCATCTAAATTTAGAGCTGTATTGTAAAGATGCCCCCAAAACATGTCAAAATTTTTTAACTCTTTGTACAAGAAAATACTACGATGGTACTATTTTTCACCGTTTAATCAAAAATTTTATGATACAAGGAGGAGATCCAACAGGTACAGGTCTTGGTGGTGAATCTATTTTCGGTGCTCCTTTTGAGGATGAATTCAATGGTCATCTTGTTCATCAGGGTCGAGGTGTTGTTAGCATGGCTAACTCTGGACCCAATACAAACAAATCTCAATTTTTCATTACATTGAAGTCCTGTCGTCATCTGGATAAAAAGCATACTGTTTTCGGAAAAGTTGTCGGAGGCTTGGAAACTTTAGACAAATTGGAAAAAATTCCTACAGATAAGGATGACCGACCGGAAAAAAAGGTTAAATTGATAAGTTCAACTGTATATGTTAATCCATTCCAGGAAATTGAGGATGAAATTAAGGCCGAGAGACTCAAAGATAAAGAAGAGGCTAAAAAAACCATTGCTAAGCCTGAGAAAAAATTACCGGAAAGTGGGTCTAGCGTAGGAAGTTTGATTAATTTAAAAGCGATAAAATACGATGATGATGATGACAAAGAAGAGTCTAAGGATTTAGCAGTTGCTGGTCCATCCAAAAAGAAAATTGTTGCAAGATCGACATTTGGAAATTTTTCAGATTGGTGAGGTGTAAATATAAAAGTTGTTTCTATAATTAAAATGTTCGCTCTTAAATACTATGTCTTGTAACTATTATTTTAATAATGACGATTGGTCTACAAAAGGAAAAGATAAATTCATAATTTTTTCCTTCTTCATGCATTGGATTGATGTCGAAGAGTCAAACTGAAAATTTAATTGGGTCGACTCAAATAACAAAGATAAAAACTGATTCACTCAAGATTATCTGTTGTTGATTAATGCAAACAAAGCATTCAAACCTATTACATTTTAAATGAAGATTTGATGCTGAGAATGAAATTAATATCTGTTGGATTCATCCCAATAATCATACTTTACAGTTTAAATCTTTCAGCTTAAAATTTATTCAACCGAAAGTCACTAATTTTTTCCTTCTTTCTAATTAAAACTCGATCAAATCGCATGATAAAAAATGGAAACATTTGAAACTTGAAGTAAACTGATAATTTTTTTATAATCGCTAACAAGATCAAAATGAACATTTTCTCTTCTTTCCAAAAAGCTTCTTTTATCTTACAATTTATAAAAGATTAAAAAAGTTACATTTCACGAATAAATTTGATCAATTATTTTGATTATTAATGACCTAGCAACCAAATAATCTTGATCAAATTCATGTTCATTGCAAATGAAACCAGCTATAACGTCTTCTCTAACAAATCTGACACCCTTGAGAAACGAAAAATCCATACATGGCAAAGTTTCAACTTTCTCAATTAATCCATAGTTAACGACCAGTTTGCATTTTATCCCGAAATCTTCATAAGTAATTTCGAATTTTGGCGTTTTACCGAATATCCATTTCCAGCTGGTCAGTTCATCATATTTCGCATCGATATCGTTAAATTTCCTGTCATCTGGATCGACTTCAATGATTCCATTATCTCCAAATTCGTTGATAAATTCTGATGATATATTAGAAATAAAATTATTCATATTGATACTTGGACAGATTGAACACAAATTTTCAACGGATGCATGTACACTTGGAGTTGCTTTGTTCTCGAATAAATGACAACCAGTTTTAGTTACTTTAACCATTAATGTTAAATCAACATTCAGCATTAAAGTGCAATGATGATATGCTGATAATGAGCTAAGTTTTGAGGCTGTTCCAGAAACTTTGAAACCACCATCTTTAGTGATTAAATTTTCTCGGCTGGATATTTCACAATTGACTCCATAATATTTATTTAAAGTTCTGATGATCAATTCGTTGTTTCTTTTTCGATTGTAAGATTTTTTGTCTGAGAGAAAACACAAATTAAGATTTCCTAAATCATGGAAAACTGTTCCTCCGCCACTGTTACGTCTTGCAATAGGTATTCCAAGTGTTTGACAACGGTTAATGTGGACTTCATTCCAAGGGTTTTGATGACGACCAAGTACAATACAAGGTTTGTTATGCCATAACAACAAACGATACCAGGTTTTTGATTTATTTACAACAGGATATTTGTTATAGAGCCAATCCTCTAGGGCAAGATTACGGTAAATATTATCATTGGTTGAGATGATCACAGAACGATTCAACACTTGATCAGAGTAACCAATTTTAGTTGAGAGAGTTCTGGAAAACCAAAAAGCAAAAATTAGGCTAAATATTTCTTAAAGGAGTCTGGCTATTATTAACCGTAATATTTGAACGATTCCTCTGAAGGAAATCCATAAGATGTGCTACAATCACCTGATCATGATGAATTGTCATATTTTTCACAATCGTCTAAAAATCATCAAAATTTAAATATCGACGAAAGTCAAACACAATGTAAAAAAACAAAACAAAAACAGTTACAGAAACACTGATGTTGAAGTCATTTATAGAGTCATGTGTTTCCACAAAAATATTTACAAAATATTAACTTGTAGTTAGAACGAAAAAAATTTCAAAAAAGGCCAAAATTCGATCAGATTTATAAGTTCAAGTTATCTTCGAGGGAATAGAGAAATCACCTGAAACATCTTGAGTGTTGATAAACTTGTTTCCATGGTATTACTATAGCTTGTAACTTACTTGACTTGCCAAGCAACCGGAAAAATTTCCTTGTTCCTTGAATTTTTTTGCTATCTGTTATTATATAATATCATCTGATCGACTTGAATTATCGTAGTAAATTTTTGTTATTTAAATGTCACAACCACCGATATCAAACCCGGTAAGTGAAAATAAACCAATTAATAAATTATAAAAGCTTTCTATCTGATAGTGATTTTTAACAACAATATTGTTTATTTTGCTCTTTTTCTCATTTAATCTCAAGGTGTTGCCATTCATTGGTTCACTCAATCAAATTCGTCCTGGCCTTTTAATCAGAATCCAAGGAAGAGTTAGCCCTTCATCAAGATGGTAAATTACTGTTGATTATGTCGAATGAATTTTTACTTCCGAGCAAGTGTCTTCATTTATGCTGATTTGTTCTAGTTTCTTTTCTCCATAACGAACTTTTCATTGCTATCTGTGCTCAATTAGTTGAATAATTATTTCAATTTTGTGATGTTTGTCTTGACTTTTGAAAGCCGCTCTATCGATTTTCTGCAACTAGATCATCTTTTTAGTCTTGTTTAAAAGACATTCATTACTTTTCTTGGAAAAAGTTATATAGATCAACCTGCCTTAATGAGAACTTCAATAATTTCATAAAAGATTTGAAATTGACAATCAGCTGATTTCTTTGATGATGTGGAGTTTAACTGGCTCTTATAGATCAAGATCTGGTTTTCGCAAACATTTATTTTTGCATTATCACACATTTGATTTGATTTTACCTTTTTTTTCAGTTTTGCGATCAATTTACAATGCGGACCATCGGTTAACCCGAGAGATGATATCGCACTTCACTTCAGTCCAGTATTCAATCCACCTCCTCGAGTAGTTCGTAATTCTCTGCAAAGCGGCCGTTGGGGTCCTGAAGAAAGTCATGGATCTTTTTTCCCATTTACCGCCAATGAAGCTTATGAAATAATTATTCTAGTTGAGAATGACGACTTCAAGATTGCTGTTAACGGAGTTCACTTTACTGAATTTCGACATAGAATGTCAATACATAGAATAAGCCATATTTCTATTGATGGTGATACAAGCATAGGCCGCATTGCTTTTGAAGAAAATCCTTTACCCTCGGCACCTCCCATGGGCCCTGAAGTCCCATACCCTTCTGGTAATTAATCATCATATTCTATATTATTAGTATTTAGATCATTGCATATTATCAATGCATGTTGGGAATGACTTTTGAAAATTTTCTTAAATTGTTCTGGATACATTTAAGATGATTCACTTTTATCTAAACCCGTTCTTGATCTTTTTTGCAGGTTCAGCAGGAATGCCTCCTTATCCTTCTGGGCCATCTGGCAGCGCTTTACCTTATCCAACAGGAGCTTCAGCCGCTATGCCGCCTTATCCTCCAACTTCAACTCCTTTTCCACCCACCTCTGCTTACCCACCCGGTCCAGCACCTTACCCTCAGTCAGGTCCAGCAGGATATCCACCAACAGGTGGTACTATGGTAATGCCTGGACATTCTGGACCTAGTGGGCCCTATGGACCACCACCGTCATCTTATCCAGCACCACCAACTCAAGGAAGCTTTCCAAATCAGGCGGGATATCCAACTCAAGGGGGATACCCAACTCAAGGAGGATACCCAACGCAACCAGGCCAAGCTTATCCTGGCCAAGGACAAGGTTATCCTGGTCAAAGTGGCTATCCATATCCTCAGAAACATAGGTCCGATTATTATTATTAAAAGAGTTTATTAGTTTAAAAATTGTAGATTTTTAATTCATTCATTTATCAATTATTTCATAGTGGAGGCATGTCAGCAGCATTGACAGGAGCCGCAACAGCACTCGGAGCTGGCTCGCTGTTAGGGGCTGGATCAAAATATCTTTCTGGTGGTCACAAAAAATCATCACCAATACCAATCGGAGGTATAGCTGCTGGTATCGGTGCTGCAGCTTTAGGAGCTGCTGTTATGCATAAACCTGTAAGTATTGTATTTTATCTGTAATGATGATATTTCTTTCAGTTAAGTTTCAGTTTCTTAATTCTTTAATTTTTCTTTAATTCCAATTCACAGATGAAGAAACTGAAAAAACTTTACAAACATAAATTCAAAGGTCCCAAATTTTTCAAACACAAGTTTCATAAATTTCATGGCTTTAAACACAAAGGATGGAGCAGTAGTTCATCAAGTGATTAAACCGCAAATCAATAACACTTAAATTTTTAATCAACGGAGTTTTTTATAAGTAATTTTCAAAGCTGTAATCAAGAACATAAACCTTTTGTCGCTTGAATATCTCAACTCATTACTACAGTGCAGGCAACATTATAAAAGTCGAATCCAAATCGCCAAGATTATAACAGAACTTGTAGGCAATAAGATTGTCAATTTTTACTGATTCTTGCTTAAAAGACTATCAATTTATCAAAAATATAATAATATGATTGAAAAATAATTGTTTGTTTGTTAAATGGAATTGTTTTGTTTTCAAAAATATGGATCAGATTTGATGGATCAATAGTTCTGGTCAAAGAGTAGAGGAGAAGAGGATTCTCCCAATACAATTTTGTTAAGCTTACAAAGTGGCGTTGGTGAGGGCGCTATAAGGTAATTCAAAGGTATTTTTAATAGATTAGATTAAAAAATTAGATTGAAAATAAATTGATTGTAAAAAGGGACTGATGTGCGCCTCTAGATTAGGCTCGCCAACCTCGCTTGTTCTGTTAGGTTGTTTTTTGGCAGCTTATTTACGGGTTATACCGGCCTGCAGTCGATGGGTCATTAAACGATCCACTATATCACGGGCATATCTAAGTCTATTATACAACTCCTTGGTGCATCCATATTTCTCTATCAATGAGAACTTGTACGTTCGGAATTCTCTGTTCTCGTCTACATAGGTGACAGCGCCCATATGAGGACATAAAATTAGAAAGAAATTTAGAAATGTTAATAGAAATTCGTGATTCCATTTTTTCACAAGTAATCGTCAGATTGGTGGACAAACATAAGAATAAGCTGTTCACCAATAAGCGTATATTTTACTTACTTGAACGGTTCCGTTTGTTAAATGGAAGATTATAGCATTCCTTGTTCGGAACCAATTGTTTAGGTAAGGTAATCTGGTTAGTTCATCTTTTTCTTCAAGATCAATTTTTTTATCTCCACATTTAAGTAGATGCTCGTTCATATAATTACGGAAATATTTGAGTAAAGTGATTTTCTTCTTCAACAGATCAGTTGGGTAACAATCGAGGGTAAGATAGTATTCAGTTCCATCTCGTTCAATATATTGAAGGTTCACTCCATCAGCTAGCAAAACAAGTCTAGTAATATCATTGAACAATATTCCAACCGAATTGTCACATAACTGATATCCTATGCCATAACGATCAGTATAATCAACCCATTTACTGATCCACACAAGTGGCGTTGCGGCTGGATCCTCGGCATCATCTGGTACACCTTCTTCCTTTTCACCGGCACGAGCAGCTACAACTATATGCAATTGTTCACTCAACTCTTTCAAGTTGTAATCCTTGGAGAAGACGGCAGCACCGTTAGGTTTCGGCAGTTGATTTGCTTGATGAGCATTATTAGCATAATTCTGTGCAGCTTGATTATTATTGTTTTGACCGTTAGTAGCCGGTTTGTCGGGAGCAGTTGGTGCTTTGTTCTCCATCGCATTCTCAATGTTGATTTTGACCGCTGGCACTTCAGTATTTTTCTCTCCCAAAGGTCTCCTCGAAGAGCCATAAAACTCTGTTGGCATGATTGAAAGGCGTCCGTTATTGTAACGAGGAGCCGTGGTGAGACATGATAAAGGCAGCCTTGAAGGTACATAATTTTTCGTCAAATAAGGATCATTCAAAATATCAATCATCCATGGACGCTCACTAGGATCAGCTTTGAGCATTTGACGAATGAAATCACGGGCATCCTCGGGAACATAATTAGGTATCTCATAATCGTTGTTTTTGATTTTTTTGTACGTATCTTTGAGATCATTAGTTTCGAATGGTGGTTTACCAACAAACAAAGTATAAACGATACAGCCTAGAGACCAAACGTCAACTTCAAATCCATGACCTTTCTTCATTAGAACCTCTGGAGCGATGTAATTAGGGGTGCCGCATAGTGTCAACTTTCTGTCTTTTTCGTTTGAAATTTTGGTAGCCAGACCGAAATCTCCAACTTTAACATCCATGTCTTCATTAAGGAAGAGGTTACCTAATTTCAAATCACGATGAACTATCTTATTCGTGTGAAGATATTGACAGGCAAGAGCTATTTGCGTCACAATGTATCGAACCTCAGGTTCGGTGAAAACTTTTCTTCTTTTGTGCATTTCCATGAGTGACTAAAAAGTGAGCAAATATAAATTATTTCGAAATATTATTATTAGCTTTAAATCATTTTAATCCAAACGCATGGATGTTTGTTTACCATCGATACGCAATCATCTAGCGAAATATTTATCGTAACAATTTTTGCAGTGATTTTACTTTGAAAACTGATGGCTAAAAATTGACAGGTGATTGTCAAAATTAAGGTCACCTTAGATATTGCAAACTGCCAATAATTGATTAACTTTCTCTAGGAAAAACATAACTAAAATTTTAGCAAAACACATGCATTTCAAATGATAAATATCCGCAGACAATTTTGAAATTAAATATTAAATTGATGCTTACTCTTTTACTGCACAGTTCGAGAATGATATAGATGTAATTGGGATCCTCGAAATAAGTGTGGAAAGCTACAATGTGTTTATGGCTAATGCTACGGTGGATTTCAATTTCTTGACTCATCTGTGGAGAAATGGTTGATAAAAGAAAATAATAGAAAAGGGAGAGAAAGAAAGAGGAAAACATAATTAGATTCAGTGAATGAACTAGCAAGAGGATCATTTTTTAACCATGATAAGGCATTAGAGTTAATTAAAGATGAATGACAATTGTCAGATAGATTTTAAGGAATATCCTGATGCAATGGATTAAAAAGGAAGAAGAAAGAAAAGGAAACCAAGTTTAAAGGTTATGTAATAAGAAGATGAAAAAGAGAGGGAAGATAATAACATACGGACCAATAAAGAAAGTCAAAGAAATGTAAGAGAAGAGATGGAAACAACAAGATGAGGTGCAAAATCCTCTTGAGTAACAGAACTGGATACTTTGAAAAAAGTAAACCGTAAAACAAAGTAACAAAAAAGGTGATGAGCCTGACTTCAATCTTGTTTCTCTTCCTTTTTGATGACCATCGGACTAATAAACGTTAAATGTCATCTCATCATTACCTTCTGCTTTTGATCCGAATTCTTGATTTGACTTTTGGCAATAACTTTACCAGCATAAATCTTTTCCGAGGGAATTTCAGTAAGCTCATAGCACCGAGCAAATCCTCCCTAGTATGGTCAACAGCGATGAAAACACACAGTAAATGGCAGCGATGACAGGTCATTTCAAGTGATCCAAATAATCCAGAGAAAAGTAGATTAAATGAACGGATGGTAAAACAAATAGAAACAAAAAAAAACAAAACAAAATTAGTTAAAGTTTGAAACAAAAAAAATAAGCAGAATGTTTGCAAAAACTCTTTGTTTTAAAAGGCTGTTAAAGCTTATGTTAAAACCATAGGTAAAAACATTGACCTATGGCCTTGCTCCTAAGAAGCCACTTACATCATAAAAAGCTAGCAAGAAATAAGAAAGCTTAAGACAACAAAAGAAACTTACCCGACCCAAAAACTTGCCCTTTCGATAACGTTTTTTGGTCCCTGGATCAACAACAATGTCCGGAACATCATAGCGAACTTCATTACGTTTGTTAGACATTTTTATTAATCAAATTTAATTATAAAAGTCAAATTAACATTCAAAAATTGTATTTAAAACAGTTAGAAGATAAAAATGTATTAGGTTAGACTGGCTCTAACAAAATACGTTAGTTTATTAAGGTTTAAATGTAAAGCAGTTTGATTTGCTCTCTAAGGGCGCGTCCAGCAAGCAGTTTAAACTTTTTCTTGCAGAGACATCTAACGGTCAAACTATTCTAAAAGTTTACTTAATCACCATGACAATAGCGTATTGAATAATAAAACGTTTTATCATTTCATCGGTTGCTTATTAATTCAAATATCTCCAACCGTCAACCGTCACCCTTCATGCCTTATAATAATATCGAAATATTATTATAAGGCAGTCTCCCTAAATTTTCAAAATTTGGCCCACCGTATATACCAATAGGATTCTGTTATAAAACATCAATAATTTATGGTGACGCTCCGGCCTCTAGTAATAATAAGGTGCTGAAATTGAAGCTGGAGCATTGCCATGAAACGTCGATGTTTCATAACTGAATTTTGAAAATTTAGGGAGCTTCGAGATATGCAGAATTGTTCTGGATAGAAAAGTCACATAGTTCTTCGATTTGTTTCAGCTATGAAGAGATTCGTACTTATAACCAACATATAACTTATTTGCACCTTCATTTCGCTACCTCATTCCTTTTCAGGAGGTAATTCAGGTTGGTTCTCACTGAAATGACGGAACTTTCAAATATATTACAATGCAGTTATTGCCTTATTTGGTTTCTCCTCATCAAATAAGACACTAGGCTCCAATTTATTCATTTTTTCATGAAGACCTGTTCTTGGTTGAACCAAGAACAGATCTTTATAAACTTTCGCTTCCAGAAAAGTCGTCGATTTATATCAATAATCAAAAGGATATCAAAAATCCCATTTTGATATCCATTGTCGTATTGGATAGAACGGATTGTACAATAGATTGTCAACGACGATGTAGCATGATCTGTTTACAGTTAAGTTCCGCTAAAATTTGGTACTAAAGGTTGCATATTATTTATTTCATTAGTGATCTGTAGGCAAGGTAGTCTATTCCCATCTGGTTTACATGATTTTTACAAGAGCATCGATTTAAAACTTCTTACGGGTCCCTGATAAAATCAGTCTACAATTGTTCAAAAACCAACACTACTACGCATGGCTTAAAGAAATAAACTGTTCAATTGTCTAAGAGGAATCGGGAATGTTATTGTAATTAATGGGCTGCAGTTTAACTTGTCTGGCTCATTAATTAATCACATCTTTAAGATTTGTAAAGTATGGTGTTAAGCTTTGTAAATTTATGGTGAAATTAACAGGTGAATGACACTTATAAACTAATCAACAACATCCTTCTGTTCCCTTGCTTTCTTTGTTTACATTTCTTCAATATTGGATCATCTGTAATATTTTGCCTGAATTTCAGGGTAAGTAACTTTAATTTCTTTCTAACTCTCACCATTCTTGAATAAATTAGTAACTGTTTTGTATTCTCATTTGTTATTTATTGTTGGCAGGCTCAACAGAGGAAGAAACAGTTGGATTTCTCTCTCCTAATCTAATACATGTTACGAGAAAGATTGATATTGGGATTATTCAAACGCCAAAAGTACCCGTTTTGTTTCATTTAATTCATTTGTTGTATTTTATTTGTAAAATTGTCAACTTGCTTTAAAATACTGTCGGAAATGGCTACTGGATCAACAGGAGATGAAACTGTAGTTTGTGTTCGACGGATTTTGTCCGTTTCTGATATGGATCATTGGTTTAAAAGTCAGGGTTACAAGGATGTTTCGGCATTTATAAAACAATTGAATGATTTCGCTAAAGGTGCTCATAATGGACTGGATAATGCCGAGTCAATAAAGGAAATTTGCTTAGTTCAAGTGAAAGAATTACTCGATGATTTAACCATGCTAGTTGACGAAGTAAAGCCAATCCAAGGGGACAAAAATCAACGATTTGGTAACAAAGCCTTCCGAACTTGGTGTGATGGAATGAAGAAAAGGTGTCAGACTTTGTTGGAAGCAAACTATGAAATATCCGAAAGAAGTGAACTATTACCATACCTACAAGAATCTTTTGGTAATCAACATCGTATTGATTATGGAACTGGGCATGAATTATCATTCATCATATTCTTAATGGGTCTTTATAAATTGGTAATATGTAAAGACAATATGAAATTGCCTGTAGATCAAGCGAAAATCGTTTCTCAAGAAATTTTAACTCTATTTTCTGTAAAATATATGCCTCTGTGTCGCAAGATACAATTAACTTATCAATTAGAACCTGCTGGATCTCATGGTGTCTACTCTTTAGACGACTTTCAATTTTTACCTTTTCTATTTGGTAGCTCACAACTAGTAGCTCATCCAAAGCTTGAGCCTAAAAATTTTCCGGATCCCCAAGTTGCCGAGGATAATGCATCTACATACATGTTTTTTGCTGCCATCCATTTTATTCACCAAGTCAAGAAAGGTCCATTTCCAGAGCACTCAAACCAACTTTGGAATATAAGTGGAGTAGAAAATTGGAGCAAAATTAATCGTGGACTTCTGAAAATGTACACTGATGAAGTGCTCAACAAATTTCCAATCGTCCAGCACTTAGTATTTGGTCCCAGAATTTTAATGTGGGACCTTGTTAGGTGATGAATGAGCGACTATCACAACTAACTGTAATTTGCTCTTGTAATTGTATCAATTCAAAGTTAAATGAGTATGAAATAAACATTGAGCTGATTTCAATAGAACTTTAGTTTATTACTAATTTGAACATAAATTACTCCTAAAATATCATCAGATTTAAACCAAACATTGGATAGAATATAATACATCAGAAGTAAACCGGATCATAACAGATTTGACAAAACAAATGAAAAATAAGGGATGTCCTTCAAGTTGGCATTGGATGAATTATATTTTATCCACGGATCCACAAACCCAATGAGGAGAACTAATAAATTTAATTAATTGCAGCCAACATTGAGATTAATCTTCGGGTTTTGGTGGATAAAGGTGTGCAATATTCTTCCATAGTCTCTGCAGGATTAAAAAGAAAATACGATTGATCAGAAAAGGACAATTTAAGATAACCTAAAGATAAATATAGCAAAACAACTTACCCCTCTATTGTAATATTCAAAGACGCTGTCGGTAAAAGCATCTACTCCTCTTTCAAAAAGGATAGCACCCACCACAACTGTTAATGCAGCAGAAGACGATTTTTTGAAAAAAGTATTATAAACGAAATTAGACACAGCCATAATTAGCCAATTTTAATCACAATTAATCAAAACAACACAAAACCAAACCAAAGCCAAACCAGTAGACAGACTCGTTAAAGGTCAATACAGACAAATTGTAGAGGTCGTTACCGTTGGAAAAACCGCGCAATTCAATTTTACTTCAAATTATTTTAGTTAATTATTAATCGATTTACGTTAATTTTATAATAAGTCAGCAATAAATAGTTTGATTAGCAATTTGGTAATAATTATTATCCGTTTTGAATATAAAATTCATCCAAAGAGTTCCTAAATAATCGATAAAATAACCAAAGCTTCTGCGCCTTTTGCTTGATTCAATCTCTGTTTGAGCTGATTAACCCTAAAATTTGTAATGAATCATCCAAATTGTCTTGGAAAATTTAGTTAACTCGTGCCCCTTAATACAATACATGCTTTTGAAGGAAAATAAGGTTAAACAATTGAAGATTAACTTGACTGAAGAAGATTAAGACTTAAATTGTTGTGATTTCAAATCTCAGTTGGATAAGCAAATAAATCTGTTAAATTCAGCATAATGAGATCAGGAAATGATGAAAATTTTGAACCATTGATTGGTAAAAGATGATTTGATTGAAAAATAGTAAATAATGCCCTTGATAGATTAAAATAATGGTAAATTTTGTCAGGTTCCGTTCACAGGATGATAGCGTCTCTATTACAACAGGAAACAGTCTTTACGTTTATCCGGATCAACTGTTAACTAACCAATTTACTCGTAATTACAGTTCAATCATATCCACTAATCATGCAAATTTTCCAAATCAACCTGCATCTTAATTAAATCTTTATCCATGTATTTTAAAGTATTAAACCAACGTTGTAAATCAAGTTCATATTAAATTTCAATGTATAACCTATCTTGATCCATAAAGCCAAATCAAAAAATGTTCCTGCTGACAACACTTTTGACCATTTTTACATTAACAGGTTAGACAAAACAACTGATTCAACTGTCAACCCAAATTAATAATACAAAACTATGTTTAATCGTTAATAGAGGTTGGAAGTGGCCACCGGCTGATTCGTTCTGAGCCGATATCAAACTCAACTTCACCACCAGAAGTAACCTCAACCGAACCAACCGAGATTACTAATGCTACAGGTAAATAACAAATTAAACCCAAAATCACATTTTAATCTCATAACCTTTCATTTCGTAGATGCCAATTTTTACAATGAACCAGAGATTGTTACCATTTCGGAGGATTCTGTTGCTTTAAGGATATTTCCAGTGGCTGAGCAACTTCGCAAGCGAGTTCAGTTGAGTATATTTTCACTAGATTGGTACATTTTCAATTTTAAATCTGAAACAGCAATAAGAGTGATTTTATTGAGCTGACATTTCATCTTTGCTCTGCTAGTCATAGCTTTTTGTTGTTGTTGTTGCTTTGTTTTTTTCTGTTATTCATTTTTTATTGTCTTATATTTTTCTGTTGTCATCTTGTCTTCTCATTCTTGGTCGTTTTAACTCTCATTTTCAGCCATCATAATGCTTCTTGTGAATCAAATAATGATAATTCAACCCAAATTGTTGATGATTTTGTTGCAACAAAAGCTTGGATTGAACCTAAACGCCTTTTAGTTGCTCCGGGTCAGTCAATACAATTTACTTGTTGTATAACTTATGGTGATCGTGTTTATTTCCGTTGGTCCTTTCAATCAGCTTTACCATCATCACAGCCAATTGTTAAATTAACCAAAAAGTCTATTGAAGGTATTACAATTAACGAACAAGACACACTGGAATCATCAACAAATGGTCCTCCACTTCATCTTAATACTCTAACAATTCACAATGTAACTTCATCATCATCTGGTAGTTATATTTGTCAAATCTTTGGTGTAGGCTATCCAATCAAGTTAACCTCAGTATTAACCGTCTCTCAACGTTACTCTCAATTAAGCCGAGATAGCTTTCAATTGTTTGTCTCATTGATTATTGCTTCACCCTTCCTATTTGGTCTAATCATAATTAATTTAGTTGCTTGTTGTGGTACCAAAACACTTGATCCTTCAGCTTACCAAGCAGCAACAACAACAACAACACCAACCACATCGGCAGAGCAATCAGTTTAACTTGAAAATCATAGTTTAACCAGCTAACAGAGTGCTTAAACAATCGATCGAATGTAGTTAATCATTTCTCATGTTGAATAAACAATGTGATAATCAAAAAACAACCCTTTAATTGAACTGTTGCGTTGACTGTGTGAGAGATTGAATGTTCAAAAATTATGCTTATTCCTGTTTCACCAATCATTTCAATCATTATGGTCATCACAATTAATGATCTTCCATCCTTCAAATTAGATCTTATTATGTTGTCGTTGAGATTATGATTCCAAATGAAGGAACCAAACCAGATTCAAGTGAAAGTGAACCCAAAAAGGGTGAAATTGTTGAAAAAAATGGTGAAGGAGCAAAGCTTACCAATTACACTTTGTCTTATCAAGAATCAACGCAATTAGGTTTATTATACTATGCTGCTCTTAAATTGTTACCTGATCAATTGAATGAAGCATCAACTGTCACAATCGGCTCACATGGTTCACAGTCTAAGGACAATAACTACCTCAATCCACCGCTTAGGAAAAATAGGCAATACCGTTTCGGGTTGGCAGTGCTTTTAGATGACAACTCTTTTCGCTTTTATCCTTCTCAACCTGTCATTTGTAAGTTTACTTTTATTTTCAAGTTAAATTCAGTTTTATTTAGTTGATATCAACAATTTAATCTGGACTAACAATCATAAGTATTGTTATAATTCCAAGCATATGAATTGTAACAAAAAAAGATAACCTGTTAATCATCGTTTTGTTTACTGCTATCAGTTATTATCATCTGTCAACGTTTTTATTTTATAATTTGACTCATCATAGTCTTTCTAGCTTTTTTACAGACTAAACCTGTTTCTAAACTAGTTTTTGTTTCGCTAATTTCACATTTACTTTGTTTTTATTTTGCTTTTACCATCAACAGTAATATCAGGTGAACTACGTTTAATTAAAAACCTAATTGCTCTGTTCATTGGATTAATTATAATTCTAATTGTCATTATTGCTGGACTCATCTACTATCTGTAAGTAAAACCTTTAATCTAATCCTTGTCTTAGATCAGTTTTTATCTGGTTTCTTTCAATGTTTCCCAATGTCTCTTGAAAACAATGACTTACTGTCAGGTATTTTAATCATTTTGACTCTTGATTGAAACAAAGTCAGAATTACTTGCCTTATATGCTGAACTCTCGATCCCGTTTGAAGCAGATTATCTGGATTAGCTATTAGTTATAATTAAATCAACTGTTAACCTTGAAATTGGTCATATCTGATTGCTATAAGTGCTATAAGGTAAAACTTGCTCAATACTAAAATATTTCAAAGCACTATTTGTGGCTTGTTTATTTAGCTGTCTCTTAAGTTATGATATGGTCAAGGAAAATGATAGGTTAATTGTTGATTGAGAGCAAGAAAATATATGATTCGATATCAATCATCATGTTTATTAATAAAATGATATTGTCCCAAAATTTTAGATTTGTATAAATGATAGTCAAAAATGAATTGAAGGAAAAATTTCAACATTATTATCTGTACCAGCTAAATAGCTGTAAACTGCTCAGGCTGATGTCCATTTCGTACCGTGCTGGTTAATCGACTAAATATACAATTCCAGCTAGACAGAAATATATTGAACCAGAAGAAACATTAATCCTATTGATACATTGAATGAACAAAGAGATTCATGATTCTAAAGACAGATGAAGCAATACATTGGATTATAATTAATCTGTTTCTTTCATTTTTCTTAGGAGACAATCAGAAGTCGATATAAGGTGGCAAGATGTTGTTATGATATGGAGTAAACGCCATCGAAGTTCATTATTCAAGGACAAAAATCTCTACAAACGCTGTACTGGTAAATATTGAGCCCCTGAAGTGATTTCAAAATTACTAATTACTTATTTCTAGATAAAGCTCGACTGACTGGCCTTTCAAAAAACTGTAAATCAGCAACATATTTCTCTGGCTCAAATTATATCAATATGGAGGTTGAACATAATATCATTGATTTACCCACCTTAATTGCTAACCTATCCGATCCTAAATATCTGTCAGCCATTCAAACCGAATTCAATGGAATTCCGTTTATTCAGATGCCTTCCATGATAGGAAACAAACCTGAAAATCGAAAGAAAAATCGTTATGTTTACCTAACAGCTTACGATTTTAATCGAGTTAAACTTTTGCTTGATGATAATGATGAAAATGGTGAAAATGCTAAGGAAGTTGGTCAACCTGAAGTTGAAAAAGAGGAAGGATCAACCAATCCCAAGCCAACTGATTATATTAATGCAAGTTATATTGATGGTTACAATTCATTGAAAAGTTACATAGCAACTCAAGGCCCATTACCATGGACTTTCAATGATTTCTGGAAAATGATGTGGCAACAAGAATGTAGCCAAATTGTTATGCTAACCGGTATCTATGAGAATGGAAGAGTAAGACAACTGTTGACTTAAGATTAACAACAAATCTAAAAATAATTTCTCTGCTTTTTCCAGATCAAATGTGACCAATATTGGCCCGAGAATGATGAGATTACTTACGGAAAAATTAAGGTTAAACATGTGTCTACAAACACTGAATCGCCTGATTTTGTTAGTCGACGATTTCTTATGACTAAAGTGAGTACAAATCGTCTTAAAAAAGCAATAAAAATAAAATAAAACTCAAATAATATCTTCCTTTGTTTTAAACAGGACAATGAAAGTCGAGAGGTTGTCCATTATCACAATATTAATTGGCCTGATCATGGTGCTCCTGAAAGTCCAAAAGCTTTGATTGATCTAATTGAAACAATTGAATCTGATGGGAAACAATTGGAGTACAAAGGTCCACTGGTAGTCCACTGTTCAGCTGGAGTTGGACGCACTGGTACTTACATTATGGTTGATATAATGATAAAAATGGGTTTGGCCGAGAATAAGTTTGATATGCTTGGACAACTGTACCTATTGCGGAAACAAAGAACTCATATGATTGAAACAGAGGATCAATATTACTTTGTCCATCAAGCATTGGCCTGGTACTTTAAAACCAAAAATGATAACACCAATGCTAACAAACAATCAACCGAAAATGAAATTTTAATCAACGTTGATGACAATGATAAAAGAGCCGTTGAGCCATAGATATTTTAATATTATATTTTAATAACGTTAAAATAATGTAAAAACAATATCAAGGGTTAAGTAAACTTATCAAGTTAAAAATGAACCAACTTGGGATCGATTGGTCGCTTTCACGACCAGTTTAGCTTTGTTCATTGGAAATAACATCGAGGGTAACAAAAATTTCATGTTATAACGTTTGTTATTAAAAGAAGATGAAAATTTCCAAAATCAAGAGATTATTAACACTTTAAATTCTGTTAACAAACAGAGGATGTGAGTTTTAGTTCATCTAATAGCAACGTATTCATTGTCATTATTTGATATTTGACTTTTTTTGCATTCTTCTCATTCATCCTTCTGTGAAAACGGCAGCCTTGAAATTGAAATATTAGATTCTAACGCTTTCAAACCCTTCATTGCTCAAAACTTGCCATTTGATACAATTTACACAGATTTAGGCTTAGATTTGAGTTCAAGTCGGATTTGTTGGACTAATATTGAAAAAGATAAAATAATAGTAAGTTATTGCGAATGGATTAATAGGTACTTGATATCGAATGTTTAGTCAAAATAAGTGAAAATGATTTAATCATTTAAAATAAGAAATAATTATTACATTCTTGGTTTTCTAGCGGTAGAAATGATAGAGATAAGATAGTTTCTGAAAGATTATTTAAAGGTATATAAAATGTTCACACATAATGATCTGATCTTTTAAAGGTCTTGTAAGGAAACGAAAATCCGTACGAAATAAGTTAAATTTGATTTCAATCACTTTAAACCAACTGTTGAAACAAATATTGAGCAGATAATCTTGTATTAATCGTTCGGCTATATTTGGTTTTTCATTTTTAATCGTTTGCCTCCTCGATCGCTTCAGCAATACATTCCTTTTTCTCACTGAAAGCAGCTCTAATTGGGTATTTATTTGATTGCCAGAAAAGATGATATCTGAATCCTTTTGATGACAAAACAGGAATTGCACAGTGATTAGCTCGTATCCTTTCTGATTGATTACAAAAATCACCTCGTCTATCCCAGCAATCAACCTCAATCCTTTGCAAGGTTTCGATGAAGTCATGCTAATCAAAAGAAAAAATCCACAATTAGACAAAAAAGTGAATTTAACTTAATAATACTCACCGGAAAATTGATGGAAGACGCTCTTATTGTTGGGTAGATACATTGGGCCATTATTTGATTCCGAGCTTCTTTGTTTATTTCTAAATCTAATCACAGAAAGTAGAATGAATAATTTAGATTTAAGTATAACTTATTATTGAAAAGAGTGAAAGCTTTAATAGTTACCTTTTTTACACGAATCGATGATGACATTGTAAGCATCAGGTCCAAGAAGACCAAAATCGAAGGCATCTGATGAAGGATTAACAAAATCAAGTGAAAAAAGTAAAAACCAGATATTTATTAAAATAAACTTCATGGTAAATGAAAAATCAAATAACCTAACCGCTTATTTGTCCTCAGGACGTTGAAAAATGGTTAGAAATGAGTGAAACTGAACAAGAAATCATACTGTTCGTTTGGCTGAGTGTGACAATGATGGTGTTAATGATACTCATTGTTGAGAAGATACATTGAAAATTGGTCAATTATAGCTTTCAATGTTATGAGCACACAAGGATGATAATATTTGCTTACAAACACCACATTCATTGTACCTGTTTGATTTGTTCATTTCTTTTTGTATTACCTTTTTTTTCAATGAACACTCTTTGAAAACAATCAAATGACAAAAAGAAACCGGCCTTGACGTTGAACTATCACTTTCACAATATCAAACAAATGAATATATCGGCAGCCTAACCGACAATTCATGTTTCCAATTAAAAATCAGGTTCGTCTAATGCATAGTCAACTAATTGGCTAAGGACAATTTTAAAAATTAAAACCTAAAACAACGTCATTCGTTTTCAAACAACCAGCAAAAATGAAACACAAATGTTTTCACATTTCGTATTAAACACAATTATTTTACTGTCAAAGGTAATCACAATAATAAAGTCACAATAAACAAGAGAAATTAAATAATAAAGATGTTGATTAACTTGAATAAAACAATATTTTGTGAAATAAACATTAAGACTTGGCTTCAAATAATTTGCCAAAATAATGCAAAAGGTTAGTATAAGAGTTGATAGATGGCACTGAGGTAGAATAATAAGGATGAAAACTGAGCTGAATAACTGTGCATAGGAATGAAATAGAGACTCATAATATGACTAACACGAGATGATGATGAAGAGAAAAGACTGAGGATGAATCATCTTATTTCTCTCTTTCTCTCTGAGGGCTTATATTGGATTTTGGATGAATATGAGTCACACAAATAACCATACAAATAAACACACACACACACTTTGGATATAAAATACCAAAACACTATCACGGTTAGAGAGGTGATGTAGATGAGGATGAGAGAAAGATGATAATAAGAAGGGGCAAAGAAAGAGAGAAAAAGTCATTTTCGTTATTTGAGGATGAATGCGTGAGAATAGGTGAATTGATGTCGGTAAGCTGAAGTCGTGATATAACCTGAACTACAGAAGCTAGTATTAAAACCAATACCAACACAAAAGGGAAACTGAAAAAAGGCAGTTTGTTACCTCAACAAATAATAAAACGTTGTAAATACATTTATTTGTAATCACTCAATGGTTACCTAGTATTATTAAGTAATAACAAAGGTAAGGTAAAACTGTCAGTATTTAAATGCATATGTTTGAGGATACAAAATGTTCCAATATTTGATGATTGAGGTGAAGGGGCAAGAAAAGAAACAAGACAATATCAAGGTTATCAAGTTACCTAGACAATGTAACGAGTTTTACTTGATCGTTATTTCACTGTTGATTGTTTACAATATTTTCCTATTATTTCATTTTCAGCTTATCCCAAACATGGAGGATCAGTTTGAGGGACAATTTGGATTTGCAATTCATCTTGAGACAAGTAATATTAGATTACTTACCTTGCTACATTTTCAATCTTAAACCATTGAGTTAGAGCGTAAACACGCGGCTGTCCTGGATTGATGAACCTCACACAATTAATATCCATATATGATCATTAACGATGGTTAATTACTCAAATTAAACAATGGAAATTATGTGGACAGTTGGACAATCAAATTACTATCCATTAGTTACAGTTTCCAAATATTTCTATCCAAATGAATACATATCGATATCCAAATGATTGATACTTGATATGAAGTCCAGATATAAATTTTACTTAATTATGCCGTTGTAATTATTGTTTTAGTTATTACCAAAGAGTAGGATAACCTTACTCTTTGGTTATTACTCTTGTGTGTTAATCTAATTCCTTGTTTAACGATAATCCAATTTTTTGAAGCTAGATATTGAATTACATTTGAATTAACTTGATAATCAAGACTTTTGAGCTCTTTTAGCAATTTTTCAACTTTCGCTTCAACAGGTTTGCCATCTTGTTTTTCATTTAAATACTAACGTAAGTCCGGTGTCAATATTGATGTATTGATACTTTTATAAGGATACATTGATTATAATTACGTTGTCAATTGTGTAAATTTAATAAGGATGATTGAAATTGATTATATTTATGTAAGATAATTGATGAAACAAAATAATTACCTGCTATTTTGAGGAGAAAATTTGTTCAATTTTTGCCATTTTTACCCTTAAAAAATAGTCATCTGTTTTTACCTTGTTTATAAGTGTTAACCTAAGCGCCTAACCTTGAATTAAACTGTCTTCCCAATTTAATCAACGAATGATAATGATCATGAAATTATTAAACTGATATTGATCAACTTTACTCAACTAATATTCAATTGGCTCTAGGTAAGTGTGTTTATCATGAATAACCTAAGGGTAACAACAGCTTCAACAGCAACTTCTTGTGTTTAATTTACTGTTGTTTTATTCTTGAGATACTTACATGTATTATTTACATTATTATTTTCTGGTTTCTCTCTCAGTTCAGTGATAATCTGTATATGATGGTGATGATGATGGGAATTGATGAAACTAAATTAAAGTAACATGGCTTCAGGCTGGGCCTTAGATTATTAGAGGAGAATCAACACTAAACAATCAACACAATAAAAAAGCTTCATTTTTGGGTTGAATTTTCACTTGATTGAACCAAGTTTAACACTTTATAAAACAAATAATATTCATGATTTGTCAATGTCAAGATAAGATGAACACTTGGATCAGTAAATAAGACAATTTGATGTAAATGAAACATTTTATTAAAACTTTAATAATGCATTTGAATGAAAAAAAGTACCAAAAAGAGGCAAAAAAGGTTCAAGTTATTTTCAATTTAAATTAATAATCGAGTTGTAAAATTGAGTTTTGAGGTAAATTTTTAAATACTTATTGGTTGCTATTAACATTACAAATAACTGGGAAAGAATTGTATTCTTAAATTAAGTTCATAATCAAGTTTTAATTGAAAATCAACCAAATTAAAATGAAAAGGCAGAGAAAGAAATGCAGAAGAACGCGATTGAAACAGCTGATGATACTTTGATATTGAAAAGCAAGTGAAACGATGAACCAAATGAAAGCAAACAAACACCTTAAAAACTGTAGTTTTCAGACCATTTGAAACATCAAATTTACATGAAATCCTTACATAGAGATGAGACACATGAATCCATATGAAACGGAATAACAATTAAATAGAGTTAACAAGACTAAATATAATTAACATTTGAAAAACAAAAGATTTTTTAAAGAAGGAAAATAAGATTTGTTTCTTTGTTTGGCCACAATCCAATGTCTCTGTAATCGCTAATAGAGCCAAGATTAAATTTTTTATTCCCAAATTTCAGTGTTAATTTGTTTGATTTGCATGGTATTTAATGACTCGAATTAGTCAGAGTAAGGATTTGAAGAGTTGACATTCAAAAATTAGTAGGTGCCTTCAGCAACACTTTATTCATGTCATTTATGATAATTATCAGGCTCTAGTATTCAACAACACGCATTTTTGGTATGAGTGAAAAGGCAAACATCAACGCCTTTCAAGACTGCTCATATTAACACCTTAAATCTGTATTTTGGGTGTTTTTTTGTGTCAATCCCATTTCTTATTGTAATACACTGTGAGTTGATCATCAAAGTACCAAATGATCAACATCATATTACAATAATAAGGATAAAAAAGGTACAAATGAGAGATGCACAATGAAAAACCTTTGTTAATATGACAACAATAAAGTGAACAAATGTTGTTCAATGGCGGACTCTTACCTAACCAAACCCAGGCCACTTAGCGATCCCGTTTTTTAACAAGGAAATTCACATCAACTTAAGTATCATTGTGTGTTCAATCAACTCATTATTGTTACAATCAAAAACTAACTTTAAACCAGCTCAAATGTAATATCGTGTTAAATTAATACCAAAGCAAAGTATTGGGTTTGATGAAAGATGAAAATACTTCAAGATCTCGTTTTTTATATCCATTATTATATTGTCAAATTAACAATTGAGAATCTTTGATGTTTTTTGCTGTTATTCAATATTCAACTCTATTAGAGTCTAGAATGCTAGGATTGATCATTTCCGATATTATTGTAGAGTTATTATTAATATTAAGCTTTACTCCATTTCATTATTAATACTTCATTTATGATTGTTTCGTGGGAATTGATCAAGAGTTTTCAGCAACCATAATGTTTATAATGTATAATATATCAAGAATCTATCGAGAATCTTAATGATACTTATCAACATGAAAGAAAAGGGTAAATTAATCATTTTCATATCACTTACATTTACACATGAAAATAGTGACTATTGTATCAATAGATTATAAGTTGAATACTGTCTGCATTTCAATGCCAGAGGTTAAAGCAAGATAAACATTTATATTGAAGATGAAATATAAATTGACATTTCCAAGGGTTAAGTTGTTCAAGTAGCAATTATAATCATTGATTAACAGTCATCATATAATATAATCAAGTCAATCCATTGAGCTTGAATGTGGACCCTTAAAACTGACAGTCAAAAATGATTGTCAGATATTATTGCCTCGATTATCAATGATTGTATAATGATCTGAAAATTACTCGATCATTTTAACTGTTTTTGGTAGTCTTGAGTGTTTGCATGGAAAGTTGATTTGATCTGATCAACTTGTCTTTTCCTAGTCAACCATCGACACTTGAATTTAACTGGATCTAGAGACATAACCGTTTACAGGACAACCTTTTGGGTTCAGCACATCTAGCATCGGACGTTTCAATTGGATTTTTTGTAAATAATTTGAAAGCCATTTGAGATTGCAGTCACAAACGAGAGGATTGCCTCCCAAGTGAAGTGTCCCGATGTTTTTAAAATAATCAAAGGTACCATTGGCAAGAGATTGAATCTTATTGTCGTAAAGTGAAAGTAAATTGAGGTTATGAAGTCCTGAGAAAGGTCTTTACGTATGCATGAGATATTGTTGGCATTGAGCAGGAGAAGCTGAAGAGATGATAATCCATGAAATACGTTTCTAGGTAAATTATTTAATCGATTACCATACAGAACCCTGAAAAATATAGAAACAATAACAGATTAGAATAAAATTGAGAAAAAACGAGGAAGGTCAAAGCTGCCTAGAAAGGAATTTTTTGTTATGAACACACATGGTACACAATTTTATACGGAATTCAATTATCGAATCTATTTTTCGAAATTATTTTTCGTTTTCGAGATATCATTGAAAAGCGATAAAAATGCATGGAAAAAGTAGCACAATTATGCAAGATGAAAGAACTTTCTAGATAGATTTTAGATGACGAATTCAATTCTGATTTCAATGAAGTGATTTATTTTGATCCATCAGGACAAAAAACTGGCTATTTTTCAACTAAATGTGCTATTGCACCTTAAAGCTTAACATGGTGATTAATTGATTTACATTGTTGACAATTCTTGTTGGAAAGTCTGCGTTTTCCGATTTCAAGGCTATGATATTAAAATACAGAGTTAATGATAATGAATTTGAATACTTGTGAATACGTGTAATAGACATGGTAATTTAGACTGATCTTTGCAAAGCTACGAATAATTTTGAACGTATTTATTCTTAAGGTTCGTATTTGTGTAGGTGTTAACATAACACCAAAATTTTGTTCCTGTAACTAATGATTAATAGAAATCATTGATTAACAATATGTTGTTTAATTCATATAAATGCATCATCCGTTTCAAATTAAACCTTTTGCTTCGATTGAAAAGGGTATGTTGTATGGGCATTTTTATGCTAGTTGCAAAGCATTGAAACTGGACTCGGTTTAAGTTATCTCAATTCAATTTTTTTCAATTTTAATTTAAAAAATTAAATTACTCAAAACACAGTCACAAAAATGAAACCAGAAAACAGGAACTCGTGGATTAAAGCGCATTTGTAAGATGGGCACATTATAATAATAGATACAGAAACAAATAGTTAAAATAAGTGTCAAAGTATCTTTTTTATTGACTTTAGTCTTGCTCACAAACTATGTTAATTTCTGCTCATTAAACAGAGCAGGCAATTGATCAAATTTTAATCATATTCACTAGATGTATAGTTGTAAAATCCTTGAAAAATTTAACACTAGTTAGTCTGGTAAGCTAGATCGAAAATAAATTCATCCACGTTTACAATTCAATACAGAGGAAATTAAATCTGAGTAAATAATTGAGTCAATCATATGGCAAAAACACTTTGGCAAATTTTGAACAGATGAAAAAGAACAAATAAAATAAGCATAAACTAAATGGTATAAAAACCCTCAGCGAAACACTTAAGGTATCAGTTGAAAAAGTATCAACAAGAAATCAACAAAACATGAATATAAGATTATTAACTCTGTGCTTCGTAGCAATAACAGCGTTTAGCGTTGTTGATGCAAACAGCCTATCGCGATGGAATCCTATTAACCTCGCTATGAAAATGCCAATGGACCTTTTTGGTAGCCACAAGAAAACTAACTCAGGATCAGGATCATCAACAGGAACAGCCACAACAGCTTCAGAGTCAAAAACTGGTCAAAAACCAACCACCAGTAACCCTGGTTCGCATGGAAAATCACCTAACTCAGCATCATCAGGATCAGGTTCAGGATCATCAGCAGCAGCTTCATCAGGAGCAGCTTCAGGTTCAGGATCATCTGGTTCAGGATCAGGACAAGGATCTGGTTCATCAGGTTCAGGATCAGCAGCTTCAGGATCAGCAGCATCAAGTTCAGCAGCAGCAGCTTCAGACTCATCATCTGCACCTGCACCAGCATCAAACACTGGATCAGGATCATCATCAGCAGCTTCAAGTTCAGCAGCAGCATCAGCAGCAGCAGCTTCAGATTCATCATCAGGACCAACAACATCAACATCAACCAGTAACTCACCTAACTCAGCATCATCAGGATCAGGTTCAGGATCATCAGCAGCAGCTTCATCAGGAGCAGCTTCAGGTTCAGGATCATCTGGTTCAGGATCAGGACAAGGATCTGGTTCATCAGGTTCAGGATCAGCAGCTTCAGGATCAGCAGCATCAAGTTCAGCAGCAGCAGCTTCAGACTCATCATCTGCACCTGCACCAGCATCAAACACTGGATCAGGATCATCATCAGCAGCTTCAAGTTCAGCAGCAGCATCAGCAGCAGCAGCTTCAGATTCATCATCAGGACCAACAACATCAACATCAACCAGTAACTCACCTAACTCAGCATCATCAGGATCAGGTTCAGGATCATCAGCAGCAGCTTCATCAGGAGCAGCTTCAGGTTCAGGATCATCTGGTTCAGGATCAGGACAAGGATCTGGTTCATCAGGTTCAGGATCAGCAGCTTCAGGATCAGCAGCATCAAGTTCAGCAGCAGCAGCTTCAGACTCATCATCTGCACCTGCACCAGCATCAAACACTGGATCAGGATCATCATCAGCAGCTTCAAGTTCAGCAGCAGCATCAGCAGCAGCAGCTTCAGATTCATCATCAGGACCAACAACATCAACATCAACCAGTAACTCACCTAACTCAGCATCATCAGGATCAGGTTCAGGATCATCAGCAGCAGCTTCATCAGGAGCAGCTTCAGGTTCAGGATCATCTGGTTCAGGATCAGGACAAGGATCTGGTTCATCAGGTTCAGGATCAGAAGCTTCAGGATCAGCAGCATCAAGTTCAGCAGCAGCAGCTTCAGACTCATCATCTGCACCTGCACCAGCATCAAACACCGGATCAGGATCATCATCAGCAGCTTCAAGTTCAGCAGCAGCATCAGCAGCAGCAGCTTCAGATTCATCATCAAGACCAACAACATCAACATCAACCAGTAACTCACCTAACTCAGCATCATCAGGATCAGGTTCAGGATCATCAGCAGCAGCTTCATCAGGAGCAGCTTCAGGTTCAGGATCATCTGGTTCAGGATCAGGACAAGGATCTGGTTCATCAGGTTCAGGATCAGCAGCATCAAGTTCAGCAGCAGCAGCTTCAGACTCATCATCTGCACCTGCACCAGCATCAAACACTGGATCAGGATCATCAGCAGCAGCTTCAGATTCATCATCAGGACCAACAACATCAACATCAACCAGTAACTCACCTAACTCAGCATCATCAGGATCAGGTTCAGGATCATCAGGAGCAGCTTCAGGTTCAGGATCATCTGGTTCAGGATCAGGACAAGGATCTGGTTCATCAGGTTCAGGATCAGCAGCATCAAGTTCAGCAGCAGCAGCTTCAGACTCATCATCTGCACCTGCACCAGCATCAAACACTGGATCAGGATCATCATCAGCAGCTTCAAGTTCAGCAGCAGCATCAGCAGCAGCAGCTTCAGATTCATCATCAGGACCAACAACATCAACATCAACCAGTAACTCACCTAACTCAGCATCATCAGGATCAGGTTCAGGATCATCAGCAGCAGCTTCATCAGGAGCAGCTTCAGGTTCAGGATCATCTGGTTCAGGATCAGGACAAGGATCTGGTTCATCAGGTTCAGGATCAGCAGCTTCAGGATCAGCAGCATCAAGTTCAGCAGCAGCAGCTTCAGACTCATCATCTGCACCTGCACCAGCATCAAACACAGGATCAGGATCATCATCAGCAGCATCAAGTTCAGCAGCAGCATCAGCAGCAGCAGCATCAGATTCATCATCAGGACCAACAACATCAACATCAACCAGAACTCATCTAACTCAGCATCATCAGGATCAGGATCAGGATCATCAGCAGCAGCATCATCAGGAGCAGCTTCAGGATCAGATCATCTGGATCAGGATCAGGACAGGATCAGGACAAGGATCTGGTTCATCAGGTTCAGGATCAGCAGCATCAAGTTCAGCAGCAGCAGCTTCAGACTCATCATCTGCACCTGCACCAGCATCAAACACTGGATCAGGATCATCATCAGCAGCTTCAAGTTCAGCAGCAGCAGCTTCAGATTCATCATCAGGACCAACAACATCAACATCAACCAGTAACTCACCTAACTCAGCATCATCAGGATCAGGTTCAGGATCATCAGCAGCAGCTTCATCAGGAGCAGCTTCAGGTTCAGGATCATCTGGTTCAAGATCAGGACAAGGATCTGGTTCATCAGGTTCAGGATCAGCAGCTTCAGGATCAGCAGCATCAAGTTCAGCAGCAGCAGCTTCAGACTCATCATCTACACCTGCACCAGCATCAAACACTGGATCAGGATCATCATCAGCAGCTTCAAGTTCAGCAGCATCATCAGCAGCAACAGCTTCAGATTCATCATCAGGACCAACAACATCAACATCAACCAGTAACTCACCTAACTCAGCATCATCAGGATCAAGTTCAGGATCATCAGCAGCAGCTTCATCAGGAGCAGCTTCAAGTTCAGATCATCTGGTTCACGATCAAGACAAGGATCTGGTTCATCAAGTTCAGGATCATCAGCTTCAGGATCAGCAGCATCAAGTTCAGCAGCAGCAGCTTCAGACTCATCATCTGCACCTGCACCAGCATCAAACACTGGATCAGGATCATCATCAGCAGCTTCAAGTTCAGCAGCAGCAGCTTCAGATTCATCATCAGGACCAACAACATCAACATCAACCAGTAACTCACCTAACTCAGCATCATCAGGATCAGGTTCAGGATCATCAGCAGCAGCTTCATCAGGAGCAGCTTCAGGTTCAGGATCATCTGGTTCAGGATCAGGACAAGGATCTGGTTCATCAGGTTCAGGATCAGCAGCATCAAGTTCAGCAGCAGCAGCTTCAGACTCATCATCTGCACCTGCACCAGCATCAAACACTGGATCAGGATCATCATCAGCAGCTTCAAGTTCAGCAGCAGCATCAGCAGCAGCTTCAGATTCATCATCAGGACCAACAACATCAACATCAACCAGTAACTCACCTAACTCAGCATCATCAGGATCAGGTTCAGGATCATCAGCAGCAGCTTCATCAGGAGCAGCTTCAGGTTCAGGATCAGGACAAGGATCTGGTTCATCAGGTTCAGGATCATCAGCAGGTTACACAAAGTATACTAATCAAGCTGGTAAAACTTGTGTATGCTATTGAATTATGTCATAAAATCTATTATCACAATAAAATTTGATTATTAGCATATGAATTCAGTTGTAATTCTTTCCAAAAAGTTTGAGATTAGTATGAGTCATAGCTCTTGACGATAAATATGTTGATAAGATGACGATAATGATGGAAAATGCAACATATTTAACATTACTATCATCACAAGCAGGGCAATCACAATTAAATGAAATTTCGCTCCCATAATTCCACTCTCAAACAATACACCCTTTATTTTGTAGATTGCCTTCTTTGTTGCGGCAAAGTTCTTTGATGCCTTGGGCTCAAATTTTCATGGTATATGGTGTCTATATTAGTGCAATTTATTATATGATAAAATTAGCTCAAGAAAGCTCATCAGTGTGAATTGTTTGCAATTTTCGATAATTTTGTCCAATCTCAATATCGGTAGAGAGACAAATGGATATCGTTTATCATTATTCAAATTTTCAGCTATGTCATTATTTCATGATTTCAAAATCCGATTGCCCGTTCTTGATCATTGTGATGATTTCGATCTAAAATATTTTCTTTCACATCAAAAAATTTTAAGGCCATTTTCTCGAAAACTGCTTTGAATGTCAATAAATGTATTTGGACTCAGCGTTAAAATTTAGTTTAGAAAATGAAAATCATGAAAATTAGCTAGGCCGTTCTCCCTATTCTTTTGTTCGTCCTTTGTTCTTTCATTACCACATTACCTTGCAAAATTGATTTCCATTACCATGTTGATCAAGAATTTACAAACTAGGCGAAATGATTTACACGAATGACATTTTGAATTGTGGAATGAAAAGGGAAACTTACAATTGAATTAATTTGCAAAACCCTTTCCATTTTTCATTGTTATTAACATTCTTGAGAAACAAATAAATACCAATTTGACATTTAAATAAACTCACAAGCAAATCAACTCTAATGGTAAACATACAAAATAACTGCGAGTTAATATGGATAAGCATAATTTAACTTTAGCTAAATGAGATTCACCATTTATTGACTGACTTTTTTGCGCCTAATAAATGTATAAATGATTATTTTGAGTGTTAAAATGTTCATTTTTAGTGAGTCACTAAATGAGATTTAATCAATCAATTTGATCATCATTGCAGTTACCTAAATTGCGTGTTACAATACAATTACCCTTTAGGGATCAATTGGAATGTTTACTTTCATTGTTTGTTATTGTAGTTTATTATTGGAGTGGATTGAATTAGGTCAACATTGAGAATTGCCATTAACAAGATTCGATAATAATTGTGATAATAAAGGTAGAGGTATAGCGACAATTCACTAATTGTGAGTCGCAACCTTTTCTCTTGATCTACACATGATTGAACAGTTAATCAAATAATGTTTTTCAATCTGGTCAACAAGATTGTAATCATAGTAATCATCACACTCTGATGAGATTAGTCTTTTCTGGTTGATTAATTGGAATCAAATTGCCGCTAAAACATTGCAACTCTCAATTTGACTGGACTGTGATCTTGGATCAGATTGACCTCTGGTATTATCATTGTTAGCCAATTAATCATTATTCATTGCTTGCCAGCACAATTAATTGATTTTGTACATTCAATTGAATAACAATCGATAATATATTGATTAACTAAAGATTGGGTTAAACATTCATGAGCCTTGTAAGGTTCACACAAGAATCAAACAGTAATTTGTTTACAATTTGTTGCAATGCAAATGGTATCATATCTCAACTAATTGCAATTAACATCTTAACTCAACAATTAGCTAGTACCGAAGTACAGAAAAGGTCAAATTTCTTATTTAGGTCTTTGGGTTTCTAGTGGCTTCTGTCAAATTTATTGTATACAGTTGTTCAATTGATTGATTAGTGATTTGTAATGGTAAGATTATGGATGATCAACTATATTTTCATTTTTTGTTTCTCGTTCAATGGCGAAAGTATTGATTTATGAAAAATGTTTCAAATGTGCCAAATAATTTTCACCATTTCAAGTTATTTGTGTTAACTGTTGACTATAAATCATTAAACTAGAGAAAGTGAAATTTTAAAACTAATAACGATCATTACCATCATCACCATCACCATCAGCATCTTGTTTATTTGTTTTTGCCTCACATTTTACAATATGTAATATGTAATAACAATAATAATCTTTTAAAATGAAACTATCCAATGTAGTAGCTCAAGTGAACGAAGTGATTAGTTGCTGATGATGATCAATGATGTTACCGTTCAACAATTTGACGGATAATTTATCCTTTTTCCTCCAATGATTAACACTGAAACACTACTTTGACTTTTTTTCCTTGTGTTTGCTTTACTTTCTTCTTCATTTTCTTGTTCAATATAAATCCCATATGTATCTAAATAAATCAAAAAATAGTTGACCAATTTGACATGCAGCAAGGTGTAGGCAAGTGTAGATATCACAACATTTTGTTACCATCAAAACAAGACGTAACGTAACAACCAATCTTCATTGAAAAAAGCAGGAACCAACACCTAATAACCTGTGTACAATAACTGAAATAAGAATTGAATAAAACGAAAATATTAATGTTTTAACTTTGCGAAATCTTGTGAACAACTTGAAAACAAGACAAAATAAAAGAGCAGCAATTAAAAATGTCAACTGTGATTAAAAACGAATCTACAGTTAGAGTTGAGGTGAAAGGAAACAGAAAAATGTACTTACAGAGTTGTTAATGATTTGAGTCCATAAAAGCATCACCAGCAACTTTGGATATTTGATTGTTGCTCAAATCCTGGTAAAATAGAGTTAGAAATTAGAATCCAACTAAGCAATAAAATTAAATCGAAATGAAATGAAGATTAAAATAAAACTTGAAATACAGTCACTACGAAGATAATGGACAACACTGAAAATAGCTTATTGTCACTACTCACCGGGCGATGTATAATAATACTCTCGTGCTTTTCAATCTTCGTTAGTAGATAAGATTCAGCCTGAAATGTCATTTCCCGCTGATTTTTTGATTGATACTTTACTAAAGGAAATCGATTTGATCGGAATTAATTAAGGATCGTTGAAAAATGAGGACATTATCTCAATGGCGATTGTAATTTCTTAAGGAAAAATATTCAATATTAGTGATTGGTCCATTAAGCAAATCACATGTTTCTATTGAAATATTATAATGAAGATGGCACTGCTTAAGCTTTCATAATTTTAACGGTTTCTTTGTTGTTAAGTGTAACCATTAATATTAATAATGTTATTAATAGTGATAGTTATAATAGGATAATACTTACAATCTCCTGAGATGTTTAAATGCTGAAAAAATTCTTGCAGGTAATTCTGTGATTCGATTTTGCTCTAATCGTCTGAAAAGGAAAACATAAAAATCAAGAAGAAGGTCATTTCACTGTAAGTATTAAAAAAGTTTAGCTTGTAACATGATGATCATCATAGTGACTTGTTATTGTTATCAGTTGTTATTTTTCTTTCAGGGGAATGTTCAGAATTTTGAGTGCAGAAGGAGGATTTGAAACAGGATGGCCAAAGGAAAGCAAGAAGAGGCAAAGGATGAAATTCCAGTTTTTGCTCGTTGAAGGGTTCAGTTGGAAAGCTACAAAATGGTTTCAAGTTGAATGATGAACACTTGTCAAATAGCCAATGGTTACTTGGTCAGCATGTCAAATGATCTAATCTTTCGTTCTCTCTTTTCCTTCTTCTTATTATTTTTATTATTATTAGAGAGAGAAAGGTAAATACTTTAATGGTAATTACCTTTGTACAGTTATATTCATGGTTGATTAAATTGTGTATGAACAAGGGAAACATTTTCAATTACAAGTGTACATTTGGATGGAAGGAAAAGCAAAATTTTTTGCTTCTTAAACAATTTCTTGGACAAGAAATGATGATGCTGATGATGATGAGAATGAAATTCAACATTTTGACATGTTTTTTCATTTCCATGGATCTGGCCATGTTCTTGTCTAATGTTATTTTTGGAATCTGATGGAATTAAGATGATTCTGATTGTTTGTTTCATGTTGCTGTTGTATTGGTCTTTTTTTACTCCTAATAGTTATGGTCAAGTTAACCCAAAGTTACAATCTTAATTAAATGTAAAACCACTGAACAAACAGCATTTAATGTTACATTTGGTTTTTTTTGTTGTGGTTAATGGCGTTGACTTTCAATTAGATTTGTATTCATCTTCAATTTACCGTAAGTTAATCTTCATTTGAACTCTCATCTAAATCAACATGCAATACAAATGATGATTTACCTTTATTTTTATTTACCCTGGTCTTTTTTCGTTAAGGTGTGGTCTTGAGCTGGACGTTGAATCGCAGGATTTTCAAGAATCATAATAACAATTGAATTTGATTTTACCATTTCATCACGCAACTTTCAACTCAATCTTTGTACAAGCTTAAGTTACAAATCAAACAAGGATTTTATCAAAAAAATGAGAAAAGATGAAATTTTGATAATCTTGAAAAGGAACCTCAAACTTGCCAGTTGAACAATCAAATTAACGGTTAAATTAATTATAATTAGATCAAAATTTAGTGTCAGTCACATCTCCAAAATTAATCAATTTTAATGGCTTTGATAATGGTTTTTACATTCATTTTGGTCCTTTATCTTTAATCATATAATAGTGATTAATGATTCTATCGATTGAAGTAGTCCATTGAATACCTCTAGTTGAATACCTTTACACAATTTAGGTATGTTGATAATAACCATAACCACCAGTAACTATTAACTGGATAAACAATTAATTGTCCTCACTTATCCTCTAATGCTCATAAGAACTAATAACAATCATATGTTAGAGTTAAATGTAGATGATTTAAGGGCTAAATTAATTGATTTTATCTTGAAATTGAATTGTTGTTTTACTAGAAATTGCAGGGGAAAGTGAATTTACCAAGTAACCTTAGGCTATACAAATGATTGAAATTTATTAAATTATTGTAATATATTTAAAAAGTAAACACAATTAAGGGTCTAACAAAAATTGAATTGCCCGCTGTAAGCAGAAATGTAAACATAGCCACTGGTGGGAAAGTGTTGTTTTATAATTAATGTTTGGTTATCTCTTGCCATTTTACAGTTTAATTGTTTTTGTTGATTGTGTGACAGCCAATGGTTTATCGAGTCCAATTGTAATGTAATTAAGTGCTACTAATGTAATTGTAAAGATGAAAGGTTTGTAATATGATAATACTGCAAATCAATAATGTATTTGTTGATGTGTAATGTAATCCAATTTTAAGTAAAATTGTTTTCTGTTTAGGAAACAAATGATAACTGAAACACTTGATTTTTTGATTCTCTAATTCTCTTTTCTTTATCATTGTTTTCAGCTCTGGATCATCGTCAACAAATGATGTGGAAAAATGGCCATGTAAATGAATAAATTGTTGGTGACATTCAATTTGAAAGTAAATAGCTTTTTTACGTTGGTTGATTGAATGAACCAAAAAACAAGTCCCAATAGAGATTGAAGGTAAGCCGTAAAGGAAATTTGATGCTCACCATTATTTATATGAAAGGGAAGATGATTTTGTAAAGAGATGAGATTGAAGAGGAAGACGAAGATGATACAAATGAAAAAGCTTGAGTAAACTGAGAAGACTGAAAGTTAAATCTGAGAAGAGAAAGTGGTAAAGACAAAAGTCTTTTCTCAATCCAATTCAAGGTTGATTCCTTTTGACATATTGGTGTTGTTTTTTACCTCTCATCCATCAAATATGATTAAATTTATCCGGCTAAACAATCAAATTATATTGCTATATGATTATACATGTATTGGTATAACTATGTTAATAATTATGTTGATACCTAGTTGATTATGACAATAATAATGATGATTATAAGATTATTCAATGTTGAGGCAAATGTGTTTCTTACCGTTAAACACAAATTTTGTTTTTCTGCTTATAACATGAAGAAGGTTGAGAAACACTGAAAGGCTCATTTCGATGGTGTCAAATCAAATTAACATGATTATTGGTGATTAACGTAATGAAAAAACAACTAATATGTTATCATGAAATAATAATTGAACCTCAAAACAATCAGAATCTACCTTGTGATTGAATCCATTGAAAGATTAAGTAACCTCTCTTTTTTCTTGTTGATTACAGCGCCTTCCCTGATGATCCAGTCAACCTGATCAAATCAAGTTATGTCAGTTATGATTTAAGTTAATTTCAGGTTGATTGAACACATCCATTGACAATGGTGGAGATGAAACAATCCAAGAAGGCTGATTTGCTGGCTAAACAATGATGGACCGAAATGAAGTTTCCACTGATCAAATTTAACCAAATTCTGGGGCATCTGTAAATTATTAACCAATTGCCATTTCTATTTTCAAATTTAATTCAATGTGACTGATATCTCAATTTAAATTCCTGTTGAATGCTGTTCCATCATCAAGTGATTAACCCACAAATCATACTCGATAAAAATGGTTAAATCTTAATTAAACTGGTATCCAGCTTTTTTGGGTCCAACTTTAAATTTTTCAATTTTCATCTCTACCATTATTTTAATCGTCCAGATTATCTGCTGATGAAATTGCTGGTTGATTACGAAGCTAGATCACGGTTTACCCTCATAAATAACAAATATATCACTATATGCAATCTGGTGAATCAAAATTAATTTAAAGCTCGCTGCTTTGGGTAACAACTCTTTTATCAACAGTTAATCATGTTGATAGTTTTAATGGTATTTAACAAAAAGAGACAAATTACCGAGGCTTTACTTAATTACTATGAATCTACTTTAGGTTTTTCTTCTTCCTCTTTTTTTCTAATCATCATCATCTTCATCTCCATCATCTTCCTCTTCTAGTCTTATTGATACTTTACTGTAACTCAGTTTGATGCTAGCTTAGAGTGCAATTGACAAATTGGATGATTGTCAAAGTTGATAGGATTGATGAAAGATGAAGAAAAAGTTTCAATTTTTTATACTTAAACTACGATTTTTGATTTTGTTATGGCTCAGCATCCTAAACAAATTATACAATTATTTCTCAAGACAATCTAATTATAAAAGAAAATCAATTATCGGAATTAGAAAGCAAAATTAATAGCAAAATAATCACATTTGAATCAACCGCGTCTTCATAAAACCGTTTTTTACCGAATGTAGCTTTGCATTGTTTCAAACAGGAGTCTAGAAATGCAAAGGCACCTAACCAATCACAGAAGAGCATTTAGCGTCTTTGTTAACCAAGGCAACGGATTCAAGAAATCCAAAGGCACCCATCATAATGAGCATGCTCAAGTACTTTAACTTTTTGCTAACTTTAAAAAGTTAATAATTTTAATCAATTGCAAGATGTTTTATTTAATTTTGTTGATTTTCAAAATAAAATTTTGCATTATTGATCTTTAAAGGGCAAAATTCGATTGATAAATATCACATATTCTTAACAGGAATGAAATTTGTTTAATCAACTAAAAAATATTGAATCACATTAGATTGTCTCATTTCTAGTTCAATAAAGCTTTTTGATTATTTTTTGGTAATTAAAGATTGAATTGGTTCCCTTCATTAACTTTTCTCATGTTTTTCTTATAAAAATCGCATTCTGAAAATACTTTGAATGATTTTTAAGCCAGTTATTAAGATGAAATTTGTGGACGAGTGGGGGAATTGTGGGGGATCTCCTCAATTTGCTTAAAATTCATAATAATATATATTTTTGTTTAGAAAATTATATTATCAAATAAAGAAAATTAGCTAATTGCTTTTAAATCTGAAATTAACTCAGTAATTCATCGTAATTTAAAATCATTCATAACCGTACAGAATGATTTTGAAACGATCGCAAAAAGTTAAAGTACTTGAGCATGCGTAATGTCGGGTGCCTTTGCATAGCCCAGTGGTTAGGGCGTTGGACAATCCCACATGAAAACCCGGGTTCGAGTCTCTCTCTGGCCCTATTGGTTTCTCCTCTCTTTCTCTCCTCTCTTCTGTCTTTCCTCTCTTAATGAAATATTGTAAACAAGCATTGCTTGTAAAAATGAATATGTAATATGATACACACTTGTAGTTCGCACATGCAGCGAACAGTGTCGCCACTTGGCGCACACCCCATTTGATTACCAATAAACTTGCATTTCTAGACTCCTGTTTGTTTCAATATTTTTAAGAAACAAGAACAAAAAATGTTGTTAGTTCTTGAAACTAAAGACAAGAACAAGAACAGTACAAATTGGGACAAAAAATTAGAGGAACAAAACCCTAATATCGGGAACAATTTATGGAATTGAAAGCCTCTAATCCAGCAAAATGCTATTAATCAAGCGATAATTTGTTTTCCATTGTCAATATCTTCCCTATAGTTGGAAAGTGAAAGCTGAGAAACGAAACAAAAGCTTCTGTATTTTTGTCAACTTTAAACTTTCTTTGGTTTCGTTAATTTGTAAGTAATTTTTCTTAATTATCGATTAGCAAATCTTCTTGGCCGTTAATTGTCAAAGTAAAACAGTTTTGATATGATAAAAATTAGACACAAACTTGTGATATCTTTTCTGGTTGTAGTTGAACGACTAAACTGTATAACTTGACGATTATTGCTTTTGTATCTTCTGCTATTTCATTTCATATTTCAAACAAATTGACTATAATTGTAAATGTTAGGGCCAATATTTTGATTGACCTCTAATTAACAGTGTTGACAGTTTGTTTTTAACAATTAAGAGTCGTTTGTCAGGCCTTTGACTTCTCAGTGAGTAAAAATCCTGCCGAGAAATGTTTAATGATGGATCAACCATGGAAGAGGTTGAAGCTATCTTTGATAACAGTTAATGTGCCAAGTGAATCTTGTTCAATCTTATTTCAACAGTGAAAGTAACAATCAAGGAGAAACATTCTTTGGTGCTAAGGAGCAAAATACTGTTAATTAACCGTAATTGTCTTTGATCGCCCTTCTGAGATTCAGAGAAGATGGAGAAAAGAAGAAGAAAAATCAACTCTGCCAAGAACAGTAAGTAAGAAACAATTAAGTGAATATTTATGATGATATAAGGAGAAAAAAAGCAAACATTGTGGTGATAATGGTGATAAAGATGATGCTAACAGTTTTATTTTCAAACCTTTCATGTCAGTTACAGATGAATAATTTGGAAGCCTTTCTTGTCTACTGTTAACCAAATCAACATGCAACAACAAAACGATGATAGGAACAAAAAAGGACGATTAATGGTAGCCGATTGATGATGAAGGACATGACCTAGAGTCAGATAATGATCACCAATTTTAGTATAACTATTCCAATGGATTGGAGTATATTGACCTGACCATCTCTTATTGGGTTTCTTTATTAATAACCATCTTGGACGGACTCAAGCATTATTTGGAAGTTAATACCATTGATTGATATTTGACAGTTAATGCGTGATTGCCTTGTTAATATTGAAACTCTTGAAACTTGAGGGGACAACCAGGAGTCAATGGATGAAGGGCAAAGAAATGCTTTGATCAATTGTGTGGCTAATAATATCGATAAGGAAATATTCACAGATTGTCTGACCTTTGTGCCATGTAGCTTATTAGATTGAAGGTAAAAGAAAGTGAAATGAAAGGTATTTCAAGTCACTGGCCATTCGGTTGTAAAGGTGAAAAGGAGGGAAAGGTTAACTTGGAATGTGAATTTTGATGGTTAATGGTTTGATTGGGGAAAATAGAGTATCATCCCTTGATAGCAATTGAGCTATTTATCCAATTAAATTCTGATCAATCCTTAGGTTTGGTCAGTGAAATAAGTTTCAACTTTTATCCGTGATTCTGTCTTAACCATTGGATCAAGCAAGAGACTTAACTTGATCAGTAAAATGAAGAGATGGATAGAGTTTCTTTCAATCTTCTTATCCACTTTCCCTAGTCAAAGAAACATGAGAAAAATAGGCAGAAAATGTGAAGAAAATGAGAAGAAAAAAAGAAATGCGAAACAGATGAAGATGAAGATAGCAGGAATGAGCAAAAGGATGAACAACAAAAAAGATGAAGGTATTTTTGTTAGCTGCTTAAGGGCATTCCTTTGCAACAGTGTTGATAAGCTCAATTCAGGAATACAATATAATTCAGGGTTATCAAGTAATATGTAAGTAATCCTTACTTTCTTACCAATGGTTTTATCTTGCCTCTTCCCTGGTCCTTCTTATAACCTTTGGTTAGACATAAAGTTGAGTCTGTTAGGAAGTTGATATTTGTTGAAATGAACATCTTATCCAATCTTTCTTAATCAATCCTTCTTAACTATCAATTTTATTCCTTACAGTCTTCTAATAACAGCTTGCAAAACAATATATTTATACATTACCTACACCTTAAGAGTATAAATATGTGAGGTAAAAATAAAGGTAATAAATGTGAGTAAATGTCTCGAGAGGCTTTTATGAACCACGATTTAAGACTTTCACGTAATCTCAAGATTGGCCTACCAAAGAAAGAAGAGGCAAAAAAGCCAAAATCTTAAACATTAAGTTAACGTTATACTTAAATTATCTCACTTCTTTCTCTTTCATCTGTACAGATTATCCTTTGGCTAACCTTTGGAGGGCCAATGTTTTGGAGAGAAATGACAAAACCTGACTGTTGATAAAGCCAAAGATGAAACTTCATTTTAACCACTTTCCTCAGGTAACCATGAGGCAATTACTTTTACCTTTTTTCCACTGTTGTAACCATATTGGTACAAGTTAATACTAATTTAATGGGTTACCTTACTTGTCTAGAGTCTGTAGGATTTTGATATCTAGTGTAACAAAGTAAAAGATTTTGATTTAATCCAATTAGCTAATACGATAGAGTTAATATCGAGTGAACCATTTCTTATAAATAAATAAATAAATAGCCTAAACAAGGTATACGAGCATTTAATCTAAATCTATTAAAGAAGGAAAAGGTAAAAGGAAATATCAACTGACAGTATCGTTGTTCATTTCAGTTGCTTTTTGTATACCTTTGCACTTGAAATTGACCAAATATTGATATCAATGTTATCCTTTCAAATTTAAAATTTTCACCCATTTCAATCAGTTTCAAACTCATGCCTTTTTTGTTTCAATTTTTCAGAGTCTCTCAATGAGTTACTAAAAATCCTGCTGAAACGATGAAGCCACTTGAAACATCTTTGGCGTAAATCAACTAAACAAAGGGCAAAGTAAAACTAACAGCGAAAGATTGAACCAAATAATCAATCATCGAAATTTCAAATCAAAGTTTGGCTCACAGTTTACGTCAATCGTTCAATTGGATCTGTTCAAAAAGAGTGCAATGAAATGCAGGAAATCTTGAAGAAAAGTGAAATTTCATCTTGAAATGTAAATCTATCTGTTGATTGAAACACTAAACAAATCTCACAATTACAATGCAAAATTCACATTTACATTGAAAAATCCTGAAAATTTCCTGATATTGTGGATAAACTTTTTTACTCATCTTAATCTGGTTCAACATAAAGCATCCAGCCAACGATTCCTTGGAAGCATTACTTTACATAACTTTACACAAAACAACAATTTACTCTTAAATCCCTTACAAATTAATGCAGTGCAAATTATATTAAATGTTAATTATAAATATATGAAAGTTTCACCTGTGATTTATTCAATGCTGGTGTTATAATGAAAGTAGCAAATCTTTTCCCTGCAATAGCAACACACACGCACATTAAAACCTACTCTGTGTGTTGCTGTAAATTATTGTTACCAGTAATAGTGTTTAATCGCCTCCACTTGAATTGCTAAAATAACGTTAAGGATGAGCAAATTGCTGATGATACTTTAAAATGATATACTTAAACCATAACGTTATTTTAATTTTATCAGATGAGAGAGAGAAAGAAAAGGCAACAACGTTTTCATAAACAATTAATATAACTGCATGTGTTAATCAAATTATAACCTTTTTTTGAGTCTTGTTTTAAGCCTTATACTTCATCTTAATTAATTCAAGTTTTGTTTTCCCTTTAATACAGATTAACCATCATTAAAAGATTCATGTGATACCTTTAATCGGACGATCAAAGTGATACATTACAAACCTTGAGGAGTCAACAATTAAGCTTTTGGATGTACAAAAATTATGCCGATACCCGATAAAGGCGACGAAGATGAGGTTAATCAATGCTGATAACGGGCAATATATTAATAATAATGACTCTATTATCAATGAAATTTGCCTTCATTTTGGTGGATCAAAGTCAATGTTGAAAAAAAGAAGAGAATCCAAGTGAACGAGTTTACTTTTAATTCATTGATTATTTGTGCTTCAATTTGCTCAAGGGATCAAGTTGATGGTGAAATTAAGAGTATAAATCAAGAAAAGATAAATCAATCCGATTAATCATAAATGGGTTTAATTTTAATCTGCAACGAAAGTAGGTTTTTGAAAGTTATTGAGATAATTGAGAGGTAATTTGTCTCAATGTTTAGTTTTACCCGATTGAACATTTTCAGGTTGAATCTTCACTTGATTGAATCAAGCTTATAATATTCATAATTTGTCGATAAGATGAACACTTGGATCAGTAAATAAGACAATTTAATGTAAATGAAACATTTTATTAAAACTTTAATAATGCATTTGAATGAAAAAAGTACCAAAAAGAGGCAAAAAAGGTTCAAGTTATTTTTCAATTTAAATTAATAATTTTGTTATTTAGCAAAAAAAACGAAAGGAAAAAAGACGATAATATTAAAAATTGAGGAATCCACTGGCAAATTCAATAATCAATCCCTATTATGGTCAATAGTTATTACAACGATTCTTGGTTTTTATTAATAAAATCAGCAGCAAAAAAGTTAACTAATAATGCAAATTTATAATGAGAGTATTATCAGGAAAAAAACATTAACCTGTAAAATTGAGTTGTGTGTTGAGGTAATTTTGAAATACTTGTTGGTTGTTATTAATATTACAAATAACTGTGAAAGAATTTTATTTTTAAATAAAGTTCATAATCAAGTTTTAATTGACAATCAACCAAATGAAAAATGAAAAGGCAGAGAGAAAGAAATGCAAGATTTGCAGATGAAGAAAAAAATGAGACTGAAACAGGGAAATAAAAAACTTCTCTATGACAGAGAAAACATTGATTTTTTCATTGTTTTCAACTAATTGCAATCAGTTATTACAATTGTCCAATGCTTGCAACCACCTCAATATTACATTGATACAACCAATAATTACTCTTTGTCATCGTAGTCATCATATTTGGTCAATGAGCTTTTATCAAACATTCCCGAGGATTGATCTTCATCTTTAGCGGCATCAACTGTTGATTCACTAGCAGATGAGGATGACAATGATAGTAAAGATGATGATAGTGATGATGATGAAGAAGATGAAGATAAAGATGAGGATGATGATGATGATGATGAGGAGGAAGGTGATAATGCTGATAAAGATGATAAAGATGAAGATGAGCTACTGATTGATGAAACTGATATTGGTGTCACTGATCCAGGTAAAAGAAGAGATGATGTTAATGATGATGAATCTTTTTTCTTATTAACTGGATAGAGGCAAGGTGGTGATGATGAAGATGAAGATGATAATTTAACCAACGCATTTTTTTTACCAATCTCATCTAATTTGGAGTTAATAGTGTCCATGTATTTAAGAAGACGATCCAATTTATCAGATAAATCAGTCACCTTCCCTCCTTGACTTGATAACTCTTTCAAAAATTTTTCAATTATATCAGCATGATGTTTCTTCATCTCAGGAACCAAACTATTATCAACTCGATGGTTTAATCCGCTTCTTTCAACATTTTGATATTCCATAATCTCGGGTATTCCCTTGGATTTACCACAAGTATTACGGGTACGATAAGCTTCATTACCTGGAGTTAATTAATAAGAGAAAAAGAGAAAGAAAAACAAAATTAATTAATCTTGTACAAGAACGCGATTGAAACAGCTGATAATACTTTGATATTGAATGAAGCAAGTGAAACAATGTACCAAATCAAAGCAATCGATAAATAAAATGATACATCAACTCACCTCGACACTTGAATTTAACTGGATCTAGAGACATGATTCGTTTACGAGACAACCTTTTGGGTTCAGCACATCTAGCATCGGACGTTTCAATTGGATTTTTTTGTAAATAATTTGAAAGCCATTTGAGATTGCAGTCACAAACGAAAGGATTTCCTCCCAAGTGAAGTGTCCCGATGTTTTTAAAATAATCAAAGGTACCATTGGCAAGAGATTGAATCTTATTGTCGTAAAGTGAAAGTAAATTGAGGTTATGAAGTCCTGAGAAAAGGTCTTTACGAATGCATGAGATATTGTTGGCATTGAGCAGGAGAAGCTGAAGAGATGATAATCCATGAAATACGTTTCTAGGTAAATCAGTTAATCGATTACCATATAGAACCAGAGTTGTTAATGATTTGAGTCCAAAAAAAGCATCACCAGCCACTTTGGATATTTGATTGTTGCTCAAATCCAATCTCCTGAGATGTTTAAAGGCTGAAAACACTCTTCCAGGTAACTCTGTGATTCGATTTTGCTCTAATCGCAATTCAGTTACTGTTTCTGGTATATCTGGAGGTATTTCCGTCAATCCACGATCTCGACAGTCAACATCATCATTCTGACATGAACATCCATAAGGACATTGAGCTGAAGAACTGCAAGTAAACAGAGAAACAAATAAATTTAGATAATCAAATTAAATTTAGTTTATGGAGTCATTTAGCTTTCTTAAAGGCAAACAAAGTTCAGGAAAGGATTCAACTTCAAAACGTTACAAATGATAATAGCTTAATCATTCCAGTAATAGTCGTGATAAATTTAACCAAAATTGCAAGGTTAATCTTTGATTGACCTTTAAAATTATACTAATTTCTTGATGTTTTTCCCAAGATTTTCAGCTTAAGTTTAATCATTCGTTACAGCATTTTAATTAGCTTTTTGGGCTTCCTCCCAATTGTAATTTGATTGCTGATTCAAGCTACAAACAATTTACTCTTTACAGTAAATCTTATTCTAGTTTTGTTTCTCATTTTTTATCAACCCAGGAACCATTTGTGATTCAAATTGGTACAAGTTGCTTGATTACAATAATAGAGAGATGAGGAAACAAATGGAAACCTTGTTAATTAACATTTAACTAAGTACAATGATGATTGGCGTTGATCAACTTGATTATGTTTACTGTCAACCTGATGATTGCTGATGAATAAACGGATCTTATTCATGGAGATACATTGAAGTGAATGCGATAAAAGTGAAGACCCTGAAAGAAGTTTATAAAATATTCAAGCATTATTGCTAGTAATGCTTACCATTGGTACCATTATTGTTAACATTATTTATTATCAGCATTATAGTCAATTAACAGTCAACAATCAAGGGAAAGAAAAAGGTTTCTCAGTTGATGAAATATTACAAAGCAAAGGGAAAAAGTAAACTTCAAGTTGGCCTCTCATCAAAACCAAATGAAAGCAGCAAGGAGGATAAAAAACGTTGAGTTGATTGATTTCAATAAACTGAAGAGGCTCAAGTTTAACTGGAGTTACATTATATTTTTGTGTTTTTTTTATCCTTGCTGCCATTGCTACTGTAGAGGGCTTCAAGAAGTAAGAGGTTCAAGAGGCAAAAACAGAGGGAAGGTTCAGGGTACAGTGGGTGGAAAATGAAAGTGAATTTGAGGAGCAAACAAACAACAAAAGCTGTGATTCAATTTTGAGATCATTTTCTTGATCCAGTTTTGTTTCACAGCAACAATTAACATAAACTTGAACACAATCTTAATCATCATCACAGTTACTTGTTGATTACACTGCAAGTTCAACTGATGACAACATCACAGTTGAACACCATTCAAAGAGCACCAGAACCAAGAGCAGAATCTTGAAATTGAAACAAACAGTAAATGGAAAAAATTTAAACTGTTATTTTTTTCATTCAATTTTCACCTTTTTTCACCTGTTTTTTATGCTACAGCAAAAAAACAGTTTCTGATTAATCAGTCATTCTCTTCATGTGGAGTGATGATCATCATCACCTGACTTGATGGTAAAAATTATCATCATCTTTAAAGATTTTCAAAAGCAAGCCAAGCTGAAGAAGATGGAAAAATAATCTGAAGGAGAAAACCTTTTCTGTATCAATTTCGCTTCTCCAATTCAGAGTAAGGTTCTCTGTTTTCCAGTTGATTGATATTACCTTTCATCAGATTGATTGTTTAATCCACGCAACTGTTTCCTTACCTTTTCATTTACCTCTTGGACTTACTTTCAATGGAAATTAATCACATTTTTTACAGTTTTTTGCTCTTCACAAACCTTAACCTTTAAACAAGAAAAATCTGAAATTCTGAAAAGTGTAGGCTTTCCAAATACAACTTCTTCCTTCTTGTAGGTCGATCATTTATTTCAACATTTTTGGTGATTTGTTGCCTTCACCAACCTCACAAACTGGTCATCATGGATCGTCATTATTGATATCGTTTTTGAAATTACTTTTTATTGCCTCAGCTTTTGACTCAATGTTCAAAATTATTTACCTTTTTCCAATCAACATCAGAATTCAAAAAATTGTGTTTCCATTGATTATTATTATACAAATTAATTATCCAAGCCTGAAACTGCCTCGAGGTTTACCTTTAATTTAAAACTCCTTCAACTTTTACCTTTCCTTCAACGTTTACTCGATACTGGAAAAGTAACAATTTTTTAGGTAAATTTGGGTTTAAATCAAATTCTGAACCACAAAATATATAACCTTATTATCAAGCAAATTGCATAGCAAAAAAGTTTCAACAATAAACATAAACAACTTTCAGTCTTGAAATTACAATCTAGTTTAAATTGAATCTTGCAAAGTTAAATTGTAAACCCACACTTTTCCAGTTAATTTGCAGCTTCATTAAAAATTGATCAAAGCGATTCAGAAACGTATGTAAAATGATATCTTTTCAGTCAACATTTTCACTTAGCAAAAGCTTCAACTTTAAGTTGATGAAAAATTAATGTCACTTTTGTTCAACTCACAAAATTGAATATTTCACTCGCAATTTAATCAACAATGAAACTGTAAACTGTTAAACTGGTAACTTTGTGTTAACTCAATACTTATTTGTACTGTTGGGGAACTTTTTTTACCTGAGATTTTTGTACCAATTGTTTGTCTTGTTGATGGTTAATCTATTGGCAAACAAAACACACTGCAAGGCAAACAATAACGAAACCATTTGTTTGAACATTGTCACCATCAATTTAATTGATAGATTGATTATCTTTCTTCTAAACAATTTATTGCAAACCAACAATGGAACACAATCAACAGATTGAAAAGTTTACCTTTAAACTGGACTTTTGTTTTCTGTTCAAACAATTTTCACCTCAATTTTGGATCAATGCAAATTCAAGATTTACCTTTTCTCTCTTCTTCTTCTTTCAAATTGTTTACCATTTTTACCTGTAATCTTATTGTTATTTCAAAAGATTACCTCAAATGAAATGAAAACGCCCGATGATTACAATTATCATTAGCGTAACTATCATAATGATAATCATCAACGGCATCATTAATGGTCAGTGGGCGATCAGTTTTACAATTTAACAGCTTTTTTAACCAGCCTTTTGTAATCATTATGTTAATTTCAATTTTAAATTTCAACTAATTCCTGATTGCTGTTTAACCTATTCAGTAATTGAATTTTGCTCTTCATTAGAGTTAATCAAAGTGAATACATTTTCGCCTCAAATCATCTCCATTGACCAATTGTTAACCAGTTTTGTGCTTTTCAACCAAACTGCTTTGTTTACATTTCAAATGTCAATCTTTTACAATTAAGAGACTAATTGGACTGATGTTTGTAGTCAATCAAAACATAATGATGATTACTTGTTGATTCTTATGTAAACTGCATGTTTTTTCATGCCAAAAGTTACCATGGTTAATCATATGAACAAGATAAATTAATCTGGAAACCAGTAAATGATGCAAATTAAGGGAAACAACTTGTTGTACACTTAGCCTGGAGTGTCAATTAAGATTTTGTGTCTCGATAAGGATCAGCAGAAAAAAAATGATGCTCATGAAGATGATGATGATTCACGTCTTTCTTGATTGATGTACTTTCAATGTGTTTCTTCTTGTGATAACCTTTTTTCATCATTCGGTGACATCCTATTTCGATTAGTTTATTTCACTATTTTATGGTTATCTGCTGGCTTTTTGCAACTATCATCATTATCATTAGCTCGCCTTGACTCCACTTTGATCTATTCAATATTCAGGTAGACAATTTGAACCATTTTTCACAATTCATTGAAATATATAGAGTAACTTTAGTCTCAACAGTGTTTTGAGGTTAACTTCAAATTTCAAGTTTAGGTAACCAATTGTTAACCGATTGCTGGAAAACAAAATTTGCAGGTAATTCTGTTTTTATTTAATTAACTTCTCCTTTTTTTGCCAAACAAAAATCCAATTCACCAAATTTGCGGTTCATTCAAGATTATTTGTCATCTTTTAAGCGAAAAGTGAAACAGTAAAAGGTAATGCATTATATGTTGGTTACTGGTAATAAGGCTAATTTGCTTTTGACAATTTGCTTGTTAACTTTTTTTTTATTTTGTTTCTTTGGTTCCTATTGGCCTCACACATTTCATGATGATAACTGTTGAACCGGAAATCGAGTGACAAGTGAATATTAGTTGAGATTAGCTGCAATTAAGAGTCTTCCTGTGTTACTATTAGCAACATCAAGTTGAATCAAAAATAATCAAATTGAAAGAAAGCTTGTTGATTCTGTTTCTATTAATAGAGGTCTAAAGATGATGATGGTTGATGAAGATGGCGAAAAGGTTTCAAAGTTGAATTGATTGGTGGAAGAAAGGAAACTGATGATGAAAAAAGATGAAGCTCAAGATGATTGTGTCTTAAAGTGTGTGTGCTTGTGTGAGAAGGCAAGTGAAAGAAAGAGACAGTTTCAATAAGATTCTTTGGGGAAAAATATCTTCTCAATCGCAATAGGAAATTGATCTAAAAAGCTTAATGGATCAGAAGAATCAACCAGCAATAAGATGATAGTCAACAGCAGCAAAAATATCAGCTCTGTTATTTTTTTATTTCAAGCCAAAAATTCCTCCTTCGATAACTTCACAGGGTAACCCTGAGCAACCTTTCTTTTTGGGTAACATCTTCATCCCTTTCTTTGCCTTTCTTTTCATTTATCTTTCTCCTCTTTTATCATCCAGCCATCCTTTGTTGCAATAATATTTGAGACCTTTGGATGGAGAAGAGGAAAATGCTTGCATCAAAACAAAATGTGATATTGTGTCCATTGAAAACACTTTTGTTGCTATCAACATCAGCTTTTATTGTACCATCAAGGCGTGAAAAATGAACAATCATGATAAAGGCGAAACAGATGAAGATGATGATGGTGATTGTGAAGATAATGATGATGCTTTTAGTAAAGCCAATCAATGGCTGGTTAAATGGATAACAAACAAGAAAGATTCAACCAAAATGATATAAGATCCAAAGTTATCTGATTGTTATACAAACTGGATAAAGAAATACTATCGCCACAAATCATATAGAATATGTTGTTCAAATCATGATTAAAGCCATCCAGTAATAATACCAACAAATGTAACAATCGAAGGCTTTTTCAATATCTTCACGGCCATAACTATTGATAACATCCAGATGATTGCTTGCTCTTTGTATCATATCAGATCCTGATTAGTCCACAATCTGGAATAATAGCAGTTATATCAAAATTCATTGAATTATCCTTGTCTATTGCTTGTCCATTGCATGGTCGTCCTTATATTTTCAATGTCCATTGAACCTTGCAGAAACATCGTTTTTTATTAAATCGGCCAACTAATTGATTTACCAATAAAAAGAAATAATTATGAGCATCATTTTAAGACTTGTTTATCTGTTCAGTTTATTAGAAACAAGCAGACATAAATATAAAAATGATATAAAAAAGGTGAACCTTGAAAATTTTTATATCATTATCCATGAGAATCATGATTCTAATTGAATAAGACATTTTGTTTTTTTATGTTCTGTTTGCTGGAGAAAAGGAAGAATCAACAGAAAAGAGAGAAAAAAGATGATAATCTTAAGCAACCTTTTTCTTCTAATCTGCATCAGAAATGTAATAATCTTTCAGCAAAATCATGCAAACTTTTAATTCAACAAATTCTTGCAGAGCTAATGAAAAGGTGTGTCCCTATTTTTGTGCATACACAAAATGATTGAGAAAGAAGCATCAAAAGGAAGCTAGAAAATGAGCAAACAAGTGAAGATTGCATGTTAACAATTACATAAAACAGATTAAATTCAAAATCGGAAGAATATTCTTGATTTAGAATGATTCCCGTTCACCTTTTCAATTCATTGAACACAAGATATTAACATTGAAATAAGAAACGGATTTTTGAAAAAATAACGTTAAAAAAGGTTTTGGTAAAAAGGTCAAGAAAAGATGATAAAATCAAACGAGATTCCAGTCAAATCATGATTAACATACAAGATCAATGACCAATTTACTTTAACCAATCAATAATTAAGAGTTTCTTACCTCTTTCCAACCACTTAAAACACTTGATGAGTACCACTTTGAATACAATTTCAAAGATGTGTTAACATAAAAAAAGTCAAGCAGGTTGAATGAAACATAAAAAAATATGCATAAGAATGAGCAAGCTGACATGTATCGATAATTACAAATAGTTATTCAACTAAGATTGAAATTGAGTTGATAGACAAATCGTTAACAATCAAAATTATAAAGCAACATAAAAGTAAGCAATTAAACAAACGAAATCAATTTATAAAATTAACAAATCTAAACATAAAAAAAGTGACTTCACTAACATGCCTTCAAAAGGGAGGGAAAATTGAGTAACAATAGACTAAGCGCGATTTTCAAAGTTAATCAAAAACATGAAAAATTGTTGTAATTCATTAATTCAACACATTTAACGATTAATCATTGATTAAGAAACAGTTGAAATGGTCGATTTAATCAAAGATCAAACAAAATAAGCATAAAGTGATGAAGGTTGAGAAAATTTCATTCAGCTTTTGTTTTTCAAATTGATTGGTTAAATAAAGATGAGTTAATCATGAAACTTGAAATGAAAGTTAAGAAATCGCAGAAAACTGGAAAACACAGAAATGCAAATTTTTTCATTGAAAGTAAATTCAGTTGTTATTTGAATTGGAAAGGGATTTTCTTTCATTTTCATGGTAAATGTTGATCTCAACTGAACATGTTTCTCATCTGATTAATGTACATTGAAATGAATCAAGAGTGTTTCTGTCGTTTATATTGATCATCTAGACCATTTAATAAACATAATGATGATGTTTTAATGATATTCAGTGAATCAATTGAACAAACAGTACAAAGTTGATTGTCAATTGAGAGTTGAGCTTTTCAAAGTAGAATGAAAATTATTATTATATTTGTCAGAAGAAGAAGAAAATATTTTCCTTTTGTTGAGGAAAGCTGAACATTTTTCCATGTTTGGGTTACCATTAAGGGAGTGAAGAAAAGTTCACCCATTCAATTCAGATGGTGAATAAAAAATGGATTGAATTTTAGATGTTTACTTATTTTATGATTACAAAAGTATCTGTGAATAGAAAGAAGTCCAAAAATTGAAACAGAATTGAATTTACATATGAATGTCATCAAGTTTCAAGAACATTTCAAGAAGAAGAGGAACAAAAAAAAGAAAGTTCAATTGTAAGTTTCAATTTTCAACTGAAAATGCATTATAAGAGAAACAAAAAGAGGGTGAAAAAACTCCCAGTTAAATGATGATAAACTGTTTGCTTTGATAGTAATTAGTATTAGCTTTCACTTTTGTCTTCATGTCAACTTCAATTCCCAGATTGATGTGAAAACGATGAGAAACCATTTACTTGAATTTGATTCAAGTTACCATGAATAGATTACTGTAAATTATGAATTTCTGATGAATTTGGATGAAAATCATTTATAATTATACAGTGATTGTAAGGGCAGACAACAGGGATTGAAGTGATGAACATGAAAATGATGGAGAAGATAATTTGCTGCTCTTTTTGCTGGTGTGACTCTTAGGCCTGAGGCTTGAGGTTTGATCAAGTAGGAGGCGGAGTAGGAGGTTGATACAGAGGAACCTCAAATTTAATTAACGGCCAACATCGGGCCAACCTGAGGTCAAAGGCAGAAGTGAAGTAAAATAAACTATTTCCATGAATCAATTTTTCAATCCATAAAAGTCAAGTTAAAAACAAATACACAGTAAAAAGCCCGTGCAAACTCAACATCTTTTACCTCATCAGTTTCATTAATAGACCTTGCATTTGGAGCATGAAATTTGGATCCGTTTCTTGGCCAAATATCTGAAACAATTTGAACCAAAAGAAATTTTAAAACTGAAAAACACTTTAATCATTTACTCAATTCAGTTAAAGACAAGTTGAAATGTTTTCATTGCTTTCAATTGAAAAATCGCTCTTCATTCAAGCTTTGATTTTGAACTCAAATTTTCAGCTTTCATTTTAAATTGAAATAATATTTTGGACAAATTTTGGTCAACATTTCAAGTTGCAAAGATCAAACAATTGTAATCTAATCTTGAATTTTGAGGTTTTTTCCAAGATTAATTTTTCTCAAAATTAGAAGTAAAAATCTTAGAAATGATAAAGTTTCTCATAATAATGATTATCCTGACAATCAGAATGATTTAGAGATTTAAAAAGGTTTCATTAGACATCAACTTATGGATCATTGAATTTAGATGCTTCAAGTTTTCCGATTGAAATTGAGTTTGATTAAAATCGAGACTTTTGATTTTCGAGTGAAATTGAAATCTAAAGAAACTGTCGAGTTGAAATGAAAACTGAAAGTTTCCCCGATTCAAACACTAATCATAATTTGCTCGTCCATTCATGTGTAAATGAAGCTTGAAAAGTGTTCAAATTGTTGATTCACCAAATGAAACTAAAGTTTAACTGAAACTTTCATCATAAGGCAATGATACTTGTTAATCATTTCCATAGCCATAACACACCTAACTGTTTAAATTGATCAGCATCCCTCGCCATCATCATCATCTTGTGAATTACTCATTCTCTCATCCTAATCATCATAATCATTTCTCTCCTTTTTTATCCTTCTTACCTCCAACCTCAGCATCAATTGTGATCCTTCTCCTTCACTGGGTCAATCCCTCTCCTCATCATCTCTCATCTATCGGTGTGTCATCATCATCTTTCCTCTTCTTAACACGCCTTGTTGATTCTCTCTCTCATTTCTCATCTTCATCCCTCTCTATGTAAACCTATTTTCCGTCAAAATCGATTTTAATGGACTTGACTTTTTTCCCTTTCTTTTCTTTCTTTTCTTCCTTCTTCTTATCATCTTCTTCTTCATCTTCCCTGTAAAGAACTCGAATGACTCATTCAAGTTTTACTTATGTTAACTTGCAAATACGATTGAACCTCAAAATTAATCTCACCAGAAAAAAGTAAGAATTACTTTAACTCATTCCAAGATTCAATTCTCACTCCTCTTGATCCTCATTTTTTACTTCAACTGCCTTTGGCATCTTCATCTCTATTTTATCCTCAACTCTGGCCATAATTATCATCAACATCAACATCGTGAAGAAGAAGACAAAAAAAGAGTAAAATTTATCATTTCTCTTTGAGTTACCCAAAAATTGTTATTAATAATCCATCATTTTACCCTTGTTTTCCCTATAACCCATTCTTGATGAATCTTGAAAATATTTGTCATCATCAACATAACGCTCCTTAAGTTTCATTCATTATTTATTCATCATAAATTAAACATTTATCCTGTTAAAGTTGACTCATACAGAACTTTGATTTACTCAATGAAAAGTATCAACAATAACAACTCTATTAAATTAGACTTTCATTGATAAATAGAAGAGAGGAAAATAGTATAAAATATTAATATCAACTGTAATTCAATTGAAAATTTCAACTCTTGATGCTCTTCAGTTAACATGGAGTTTATCCTCATCACTGACTCATCACTTCAACTGATTTAAAAACAGTTAATTAAGTGAATTGAAGAGAAAACAAAACAAAAATAAATCAATGAGACTTGGAACACCAAGATCAATCCTTTTAACCTTCAAAGTTGACTTTTTTTGGGTTAAAATAAAGCTTTACAACAAAATTGTAGCAATCAATTTGATCATAAAACATTGTAATAAAACATCTTTTGATCATTAAATTTGCAAAAGTAAAATGATTATAATTTTGTCCATTTTAATGGTTTTAACAAGAAATCTTTATTTCTTCGTAAACTTTACGAGTTGATTATTGTAGTCCAATATTCAGATATTTTCCCATTCAATAACCAGGAATAAGTTGCAAGATAATCTTTCAATTGTTGCAATTTTTACCTGTAAATCATTGCAATATTAATCTTGCAATGTAAACCCATTTTAAGCCGATTAACCAGACCAAATGTTTACCCAGATATTCAAAGATGAGGCTCAAGATGAAAAGCTAAATCTGGTTTTCACTTTAATTGTTTACCAGACAATCTAATGTCTGATGATTACAATCATTTATCAACATCTTAATTCACCATTTCTCTACGGATTAGTCGTGATTTAAAGGTAATTGGTTTGTTTTGTTCAATTTTTAAAGCTTTTTTTTCGCCAAAATTTCTTTCCTTTTTTCATTTAATCTGAAAATCTGGAAATAATAAGTTTGCAACTGAACTGCCTTTGAATTGCATTCAAAATCATTGGTTGATCAATTGATTGATGAACTGATTTTCAAATAGACTGATCTTTATTCAAGATTTACTTTTTCAATTTGTTTGATTGCTGGTTAAATTGTGATAATGATTTAAGTAAATAAGATTGATGGATATTCCCTTTAATTAGCTGATTCATGTTTTTTAATGGTCAAATCTAATTGATAAATCATTGAAATCAAGTTCTCGTTTCATCTTATTTGCTGTATTTTTAGGAAACCAAATGGTTAAAATTGTTGATAAAAAAATGTCAATCCATGAATTTGAATCAAACAATGATTTCAGCAATGAATTTAAAGTTTTACTTTTCATGGAGTTTGATTGATCTGAATGGTTTTGTTGATACAAATTGAGGCTTTCAACATTTTCAGTAAATTTTGATCAGAGGAATGAAGAAAAATAAACTTATTGTAACACTGATTCAGGTCTAACTACAAATTTTGTAAGATTATGATTGATGATGATGAAGATGATGTTAGATGATGAAAGAATCTCAATTTTTCTCTCTTTCCTTCTTCACAATTCATTCATTCAATACATTCACCAAGCTGATATATTATTACAAGGAGTGTCCAGTTATTCAGAGTTGATTGAAATTCCCGAAAATAACTGTTCTGTACCTTAATCAGATTACATTTGGGTCAGGTAAACATATTTAATCTTTCAACATCTTACAGTTGGTTACTTCATTCAATGTTACTCTATGTGAATTATGTCAATTCAATCAAATTAAAATTTGATCAATAATATTGATGACTAAATTGCTTTCATTTTAATTATTTAATTGAAAAAGCATTTGTTTAAAAGCTACAGCAAACTACTCCTGGTGGTGAGATTTCCCTAGTTTAATTAGGAAAATTTCCCTCACAGATTTAACCGCCTGATTCTTTTCCCTCTTATGCTTTTTATTTGAAACAGTAATTTACTTTAATTTTTAATCAATTGTTCATTTTTACCTCTTTTTTTAATCATTTTTTGCAAGCTAATTGTCGACTAATTAGTCAAGATCATCTTGTTGCCTCGTTTCATCGCTAAATAACATTTATCAAACAGTTCCGTTTGTATATCTTCTGCTAAACGTGCTTTACAGCTTTACCCTTGCTTCACCATCCATCTTGGATTAACAACTTGGCTTAATTAACCTGATATTTGAAAGTTAATTTCTGCTCAACAATTTACTGGAAACAGTTTTGTGTTTAATATTTACAAATTCACAGTTTAGTTAACACTAAATCATGTTCATCTTAAATCATTCAACAACGTGATTGTTTTAAATTGGTGGATTACTATAGCAATGTTCAATTGAATGTGTGCTTCTTTATTTTCATTTTATCAAACTGTTTTGTTTCTAGTTGAACTTGCATTTCTTATTTACATGATAATGTAAGTACTGATATATTGACTTTGGCCAAAATTATCATGTTGAAATGTCAAGTTTTGTTGAGTCAACAAAAATTTTTACTAAAACAACTTTAAATCAGATTTGAATGCTATTTTTGTTTGCTCATTTCTTTGACAGGTTCACTTACTTACCGGAGCAACTTTCTTGCCCTCATTTAACCATGATGATTAGTATAACCATCGTTTCCAATCAATATTCACCAGAGAAGGCAAAGTTTAACAACGTAAAAATCAATTCGCTGGTTGCAAAGTAACTGGTTGTTTCCCAATGTTTGTTGGTACATGAAACTTGTTCACAAACCAAGAGTTATCAACGAAATGAATTCTCTGATGAATATCATATTTTGACAACTTGAAAGTCGAGTCAGGTATATGATTGAATTGAAAATGATGATAATACATGATGATATGAAAACAGTCGAACGAATTTTAAATTTTGTTCACCAATCTTCTCATTCCTATCATCATCATTTTCGTCAGTTTTTACTTCTTGATTCAATGTAATCTGCAAGTTTTTGATACTTTTTTTCTCTCTTTTTCAGGATGAAAAAAGTTACTAAAGATGCCGAGAAAAGCAAGGATAACTCCTCTGTGCCAATGTTTGGTTCAAAAATTCTGATAAGAAAATTCCGAGGTGGGATGTTAAAGTCAAAAGATGATGACAAAAGGAAAAGAAATAGGCAAACAATTGATATTGTGAATTCAGTGTTATTTTGTGCATCATGATGTGACAAGTGAATGAACATTAGACAAAGGGAAACATATCAGAAGTAGATTAAAGTGACAACTCAGAGTTATGAAATTGACAACAAATTGATCTGCAATTTTGAAAAGTTGTAATAACCAGCAATCAACAGTAATGTTTATTCAAGCTTAAAGTTTTAACTTAATGTAACTGGAGTTGCTACCAAAAGTCACCAAATATTGGGACAATTGGTACAGCTGTTATTTTAATCAATTAAGTCAATGTAAATGGACAAATGAAATTTGAAAAATTTATATTCACTTGATACAGTCAAATATTGTCTTTCTTGACGATAACAAAAACAACGATTGATGATTGATACACATGATGACATGAATTTTTCATCAATTCAAATAATAGTGTTTCTGTTTGCCTGTAACCATCATCATCATACTTAGGATATTCACAATAATTCACACAAAAATATCATTTCCATCCATTCCTTTCAATTCAATCTGTCCATCAGTTTATTTAGTTAATATTAATTCATTTTTTCTCCTCTTTCTTTCTCCCTTTCTTTCTCATCAGCAAACATGGCGATTCACAATAAACTGACAGTTCTCTCTACTCAATGTAAATACTGTCAAATATTTTGTTGTTTTGTTTTATTTTCATTGTTAATATTTATAACAATCAACTTGGACAGTCCACCAGCAATTGAATGTAACAAAAGAAGGTGAATCAACCAAAGTAAATGCTGATGAAATGTAAATGAAATGATAATTTGATGATAATAATGGCAAAGTAAACATGATACTCAATGATAATATTGTCAATGTTATCATAATGATGAGTATCAAAGAGTATCATCTTTTTACCTTGCCATTTAGGTTACAAATAATGAGGATAATATAAGCAACCGAGTTAAATCAAAATTGAATACTTTGAATGTTTAAAGAGAGAGAGAAAGAGAAGAATCAGATAAACTTGAAACTTCTCAGATTACAAACAGATAATAGCGAAAGAAATTTTTATTCAAAAAAAAGGTTGAAACTTAAATCTCTAAATTACACCACAGTTGTGATGAAATTTGACAAAAGACGACTGTTTTTGATGATAATGATTATGACTATCATTTTATCTTTATTTATTTACTGAATTATCTGCTGAATTATCTCTCTCTCTTTCCCTGTGGTTTACTAAATAATTGTATCATGAACGTTTGACGTTGAATATCATGAAACCATTATTATTATTATTACGATAAAATGAGATTCAGTGTTGAGAATGAAATAATAATAACGATAGAGAAAGTTTAATAATTTTGACAGAGAATTATCATTTTCTTTGTAAGGATATTTTGTTTTGCTAGTATTTTTTGGTTTAACTCTTATAAATAACGTCAAAGTCAATTGTTAGACCATTATTCTTGAGGTTTCCTCTGCTGATTCAATAGAGTTGAGGTGAATCCGATGAGAAAAAAAAGAAAGAGAATATTTAAGCTTTTAAGAACTTCTTTTATCTGAAAATTCCAAGTTTCTTTTTTTATCGTTTTCTTTCTTCAATAATATAATTCAAGAAAAACATTTTCTCCATCTTCTTCTTCTTTCATTGTCATCGTCAAATTTCACCAAAGAATGAATTTAATCGTTTTATTTTCTTTTGAACCTAACGTAATCATATTCTTACCTTGATTGTAAAGCAAAAATCTGTCTCAATTCTATTTTCTTTTCTTTACCTCAGATGCTGAAAATGTATTGTGCCCTATCAAAACAAGTCAACAACAAAAAGATAATCTTGAAATGTTGAAGTTTGCAAATTTTGAATTACATTACTGGACTTGCATTTGGACAATATCGCCATTGGACTTGAAATTTGTCAACGCTCAACTCCCATTACATTGAAAACAACTGTAAATGCTGATGAAATATTCATTATTACAAAGACGTATTATTCAAGATGCAAGATAATTGGTTGATAAATGTGGGCAGTTAAAATCTCTCAACAAGATAATTTATACTCTGATGATGATGATAATATTTAAGCAAAAGCTCATAATTAGGTTGAGCTCAACCTTGAGCTCAGCATGAGACAATGTAATAAACTTCAGGGTAAAAAAGTGAAATGTTGCTTTTTTGAATGAAGATTGAAAAACAGTGTAATACTGTTTACTTTGAACAAGCTTGAATTGGGAAAGCTAAACATTGATCAAGGAAAAAAAGGCAAAGACAAAATGGCTTATTCATCGATATGGCGCTGAGTGACCAATGGAACAATCATCAACATTAATTGAATTTTTAGGCAACAAGAAAAGATTGGAAACTTGAAACAAATGAACCTAAAATCAGGCTTCATTTCAAGATACATTAGATAAATATGTTTATATGTTATAAACGATATTTATATGTATATTCATAAAGATACATCATACATTACAATTTTGTGTGAGTTAGGTCAATAAACACACAAAAACAAAGAATGATCATCAATCAAATGAACACAGTTGAACGCAATCAAGGCTCAAATTTTTACCTACTGTGATTATCTTTGAGGCTTTTCATGTTTTCAACTCAATAATATTTTACAAGCCAACCATTGCAACTGCAAAGCCAGAATGAAACAAATAAATTGTATTATAATATCAAATCAATACAATTTAATATGAAAGATATTTAAACTTGTCCTGGTTCGGTTCATGTTTACACTTGAATTTGATTCAAGCTGATATCATCAACCTGTTAACCTTGCAGGCCAACATAGGAAAGGAAAAATGTAAAATAACAAATTGTATAACCTGTAATTGAATTGATTTTGATGACACCTTAAGTTTGATGGCCCACGTCAAGATTGTCATGATGATGATGAAGAGCCTTTTTGATAATCATCAAATTTAAATCGTTTCAATTGCTGTGTAAAAAAAGTGAAACGTTTTTTTCTTGGTAAATTACAATTTCAACCTTTCCAATGTACATATTAAGTTAGCAGTTTTGATTAACCATCCATTTTGAGTTTAACCTGCTTTTACCTTGATGATAATGATGTCTCTTTGAACTTTATTTAAGCAATCATCATCATCATCACCATCATTAATATCAACCCAATAATTTCATCAACTTTTCTTGTGAAGATAATAATGGTGAGGAAAAGTGTCTTTTGTCGGACATTTTTGTATCTAATGTGAAATTAAATAGTCAGGATAACTTTGATTCAATAATCAAAGGTTAACAAAACATTGAAATGTATCATAAGAAGCCATTAGCATATTTTGGAAAGATATTTCATCAATTGTAAGCCATTTTTCATTCCAATTGATATTAGCTTCAAGGGTTAAAAGATAACTTGTTGACAATCACTTTTAGCCCATCACAGTCTTATTCAAACATATCACTTGTTGGTCAAATAAATAATTATATTGATGAACATCAATCAATGTTCATCAAATGTTAAGTTTAAATTGAAAGATTTTTATATCAACAGAAAGCTCTGATTGAAGTTGAAATTTTTCTTGTAATGATTTAGATATGGATTGATTTGGGATTGTTATGGAAGCAATTTATTCAATGTTGATTTGGAGCTTCTTCAATTTTTAACAAATATTTGGATCAACTATTACCCAGGAGGAACCAAATATGTTTTACTTCATGAACTACCATGGATTTTGGTAATTTCAATTTACAAATTAGCTCGATCATGGACACCAAGACAAATTACAAGAAAGCTCCGGTCGACTGTAAACCCATGAAAGACTTCATCATTAAAGAATCAATTGAACCTGAAGGCGCTAAAAAATTCCTTGACCATTACAAGAATTGGCTGGAGACACCATCCAGGGTATAAACTATTATAATTTATAAATTGGTTGGTTTGAGACGTTAAAGGTCAAAGGTATAACCAAGAAACCAGATATCAAAGAGTTGCTATTAGACACTGAAACCGATGGTATTAACATGACACTCACACCTTTCCTATACTAATCATTGTAACAATGGCAATCAATTCTTTAATTAATAGCCTTAGGTTTAGCCTTTATTAGCTATTATTTTTCATGATAAATGATTGATTAATAACTTTTTTTTTCTTGCCATTTAATGATTTAGATATGGATTGATTTGGGATTGTTATGGAGGCAATTTATTCAATGTTGATTTGGAGCTTCTTCAATTTTTAACAAATATCTGGATCAACTATTATCCAGGAGGAACCAAATATGTTTTACTCCATGAATTGCCATGGATTTTACGAGCAATTTACAGGTTAGCTCGATCATGGATGCCAGAACATTTACGTGAACAAATTTGCTTCGCCTCTAAAGGTGACATTGGGTCGTTTGTTGGTTCTCAAAGTTTACCTGATTACCTTAACGGACAGTGCAAGACAAATTACAAGAAAGCTCCGGTTGACTGTAAATCCATGAAAGACTTCATCATTAAAGAATCAATTGAACCTGAAGGGGCTAAAAAATTTCTTTGACTATTACAAGAATTGGCTGGAGACACCATTCAGGGTATAAACTAAATGACTGGTTGAATCGTATTTGGACAAAGATTGTGAATGTTATTATATCGTGTTAAGAAGTCGCATCAAACTTTTATATAATAAGTTAAGCACAATCGGAAGGATTAAAACGGTTCAACAAACTTGAGTCAGTTAGATGTAATAACAGACATTTATTCAATGATTATCATCACCTTTCATCTCTTCCTAATCATAATCATCTTCATCTTCATCATAACCACAGTCATAACTATCACCATAACCATCATTATAACCATCATAATTATCATAGTGATAATGTAATAAGCACAAGAAAACAACTACTTTTTTTCGTTGAATAAGTTGTATTCAACCAAAGGTATTTGCGTTTTACCCCGAGGCTAGCCAAAATAGACCTTGTTACTTAAAGAGAAAGAGATGAAGATGATGATGATAATGGTGATGAGGAGGAAGAAGAAGAAAAGTTTAGGTAAAAAAAAGTATTTTACTTTAGATTTTTTTAAGCAAGAAAACGATTATTTTTCATACTCAGGTTTACTTGCTGACCAATGGTTACTTCTTTGCTTACAGTTATGGTCAAGTTAATGGTAAAATAGTCGGGCAAAACCTGTTTAACAATGTTAGCTGAATGATGAACCAGAACTGGGCTATTTACCTTAACGACTCAATCTGCCGAACGTCATTCATTAATTGTTTAGTGGGAAAATTATTATCATTGTATATTTGTAAGCTGTTTTACCTTTTACTTTTTTGACTTTTGACTTTTGACAGTTTGCAGTTCAACTTTTCACCTCACCTTTAACTTCAACATATAAACCAATTTATACATCATTTGAAAAGATTTGGTCAACAGATTAATCAGTTTGCCTTTAGAACAGCTAATATTACAGTTGATTGGTAAGGAAAAGGTTGATTAGATAATTACTTACCTCCATTGATATGAATGCCAATGAGCTGGGAGTAAAACAAACAAAACCATCAATTGAAATAAAATGGCTGGTGAGGTATGAAGTCTTTTACGGAACTCCATTGATAACATTGTTAATATCCAAAGTATAAATAATATTAATAATAATAATCCGTTTGAGTAAAAAGTTTTGGCTTGTGAGGTGGGCCAAATGAATGAGAAATGACGAACGTATAGAAGGGAGGAAATTTTGTTGTCCAATGTTTCCAAATTAATTGTAAATCAAGTTTATATTGTTAAAGATGTTTCTATTGTTGATCGGTATTTTTGTATGTAAATGAAAGTCTCAATGTTGACACAAAGGGAAGCACATAAACATTGTCAGTCAAAGGTGATGACCTGATTTTAATTAATTATTGTTATTGTTTCAAAAGCCAATTGGTTTCGTTTTTTCACTTTTCACTGTCAATATAAGAATCATACTTTGTAACTTTGAAGATGCTTTATATTGTGAAAACTTTTCAGCCTTTACATCTTCTCAGATTAACCTGAGATGAGCAAAATTGAGTTTAGCTTTGTGCCTCTACTGCCATCTATTGATTACCAAATTACTCTGCTTATTGAAAGTTGTTTATCAGGAAAATGAGTTTGATGAATCTGATTCCATGATTGAACAAAAGGCGATCGAAGTTTCCACTTTTAAACAATAGGATAAGCAATTAATGATTGGTCTGGTCCCATAATCACTTTGGTTCGAGTCTTTTCAAATTCATTTAAGCCCATTTCATCAACTTGCTTTGATAAGATTCCTCCTTTTGTTATTTCAGGTGATCTTGTGTATAAAGCTTGTTCAGGAATCCGTTTATTCATCATTATACAGATGAGTATAATAACAGTGACAACAACTATCAGTGATAATACCAGAGGTAACACGATTTCAAGTTCAAATAATACTTGATAATATGATTGATTGTAAGTCAAGGGCTAATAATGGCATCTCTAAGGAAAGATAAAATAAATAGCCAATTAGTTAATTGATTAGATTGATCCATGGTCAAAGTAAAAACCTTTATCAACAAAATGAGTTGTCATCAGACTATAAACGGCATCAGTGGATCCAGCATCGGAGTAAGCGGTTGATTTTAAATGATACCAAGTTTGTGGATGAAGACCATCAATCCAAATAGTCTTTTTACCCATAAGTATCATATTGGATACAATTGTCCACATTTTTTCTTTCTGAGTTTTATATTTGATTGAGAAGTGTTTAATTGTACAACCAGATGATTTCCATGAGTTTAAATCAACTTCAATTGAAGTTGCATTGATGTAGCTGATAAACATTTCCTTGACTGGAGCAATTGAAACTGATCCACTCGTTTTGTTGCATCCACTACTACGGTAAACAACTATTTTTATCATGACCCACAGAATTATACACTTCTTATCCGATTCTAACCGTACCACTTCCCTTGTAAGATTCAACTTCAATATTCAACTTTGAATCGATCTCCAGGTTTGTCAATAATTTGGTTACCCAATGCCTTGAGTCTCATCATATCCCAAAAGTGGTCAAAAATTCGGTAGGATTGGGATATGATGGCGATTAATAGTGGATGTGTTAGATGGTGTAAAATTATAAGTCTACAGATTACATTGTATGACGAATCATTGGAATCAATTTCATTGAATGATTAACCATTTGAATGTTTTAGGAGGCAAGAAAAGGATTAAAAATAGTTGTCAATTTATCTTCAATTGCGTCTACCATTGGCACATAAAACGGGAGGTTGATTGTCAGTAAATCTAAGTCAACCCTCATTCGGAATACATTGGATGAACATTTGATTTGTTAAGAGGAACTGAAAAGAGGAGATAAAAATGTAACATTACTAATGTTACATTAGTAACTCAAATTAAGAAAGAGAAAAGAGTTAATTTGTTTACTATACCTGGATAATCATACACATTTCTATCTGCTTTACAATGTCTTGGTGTACGTTTAACGGTAGCATATGGAGTCTCTTCGATAAATCTTTGATCAATACAACCATTATTATTTAGAGTATTATTTGCTTTTAAAGTTGACGTTGATGATTGGATTGTTGAACCTAAAGAAGGTTCAGTCAAATTGGATCCGTTTATCTGGACGAAAGCATAAGGTGATGGATAAGCAATTAATGATTGATCTGGTCCCATAATCACTTTGGTTCGAGTCTTTTCAAATTCATTTAAGCCCATCTCATCAACTTGCTTTGATATTGGATTTGGGTGGTGGATAATCTTATATAAAATTGTTTGAAAATGTGGTGGACAATTTTGTGAGAAAAGTCTCTTTAAAAAGTGATGATGTTTGTGAAAAGTGAAAAAACTGTAAAATAAGTCTTTTAATAACGTCTAAACGTTTACGGTCCCCGTTTAATAACTTTATCATTGTCGTTCAATTTTTTACTGGAATTGAAGATTTCAACAAAATTATGATGATAGCATATTTAGTGCCATCTACCTCTCTTTATTGTAAATAAAGTAACATGCATTTAACGGTTTTACATTTTTCGTACTAAAGTTTTAATGTCAAGGTTAATTGGTGATTGAAATTCCGTTTATACATTTAATTCAGCTATAATTGAGTAATAAATTTTATTCATCATCTACTATTCATCGATTTTAACTTACAATTGTGCCAATTACAAAAGGATTCAATGTAACAACATAAACAAACATGTAAAACTGTATTAGGCTTAAAAAATCAGAGGAACTGTTTATCATTTGTTTTTCCTTATTTTTAGTGGCAGTCATAACATATCAACAGTGTATTACTCTTTGACCATGAGCTATAATCGTTCTCCTAAATCTTCAAACTTGATCGAGTTTTAATTACTTACAATTACAATAATCCAAATTCAACTTTGATCCACCTGTTAATGTCATGCTATGCAACGCAACATGACACTAAAGCAACTTTAATTTGGACTAAATGAAGATCAGAATTGACCTTTTCATCGTTATTCCTGATTAAATTTGGCATTTTTACAGATGTTTAGTTCACATTAAACACCATCAACATTAAACATGAAAACAAGTCAGGAAACATGAGAAACTGAAAAACGATCCCGACAACAATTTGGCTGTGAAATGGATAGAGATGACTTATATTTATATATTTAAATTGTGTAAAAAGATTGATTAACAAAGTAATTTGACTAACTTCACCATATAATATCAAAATGATAATAAGTTAACCAGAAATGTAACCAAATACTTGCACCATTGTGATTTGTAAACAAGATCATTTGTTACATGACTGTGACCTATAGAAGACTGTGCTTCAGTTCAGCTTTTCTGTGATTTTTCAACCTTTAAGTTTAATCACGTCAACCATTTAAAGGTATACACTGTTAATTAAAATTAAATTACCCTAAGGGTTGAATCAAACTAATACTTAGATTGTTTCATTCAATCTTTTAAATCTTAATATTTAAAACGTTACTTAACAAACTTGACTCTTGATATTAAAGATCAATTTTATAAGTTTACAATCATTAATTTTTAATGAAAAATGGTCAAAATTAACCTGTCAATCTGATTGAGCATGTTGACAATCAAATAATTGAGACTCAAAGATAATATACAGCAAGGAAATTGATTTAATTCCTCTTACATTGAAATCCTGTTGATTTGAAACCAAATACATGCTTTTCAACGCCAAATCATCTTAAAAGATCAGATTGAGATGAGTATATTGATTTAGTTGCTAGCAATAGATAACTAGAAAATTAACAATCATTGATTTGCATGACATTAATGCTAGAAGTTGATAAATTTAATCCACCATTAAGCTAATGAACTTAGTATCATATGAGTCTGACGCATTTAAAATCACGTACTTTTGTTAGGTTGATGACAGTTTCATCAGATGGCTAATGTTAAAGATTCGTAAAAATGCTATTTAGTAAATTATTTTAGTTAATATACAATCAGCTAACAGTGTATTGATTAAGGGATTTGATAAGGTTCTCGATAAAGGTCCAAGACTGACTTGGGTGTGTTTTTTCATGTCATTTACAAAGACTACATTTTATACGAATGTTGGGTAAATATTCACAGAATGCTGAGGTTGGCGTCTTAAATTTTAGTTTCCTGAAGCGCACATTTCTGCCGTATGTGTGTGCTACTTGACTGGGTAACAATACTAATCATTTAGCAACTTATTAATATCTATTTAAATCATCAACAAGTAGGTTGTTGAAAGGAATTAAAAACTGTTGAGTAAATAAATAATAAACCATTGAACTAAGATGTAAACATTTTCGCTTGTATTTCCTTATCGTCATCTACTTGTACGGCCATCCATCTAATTGTGTGAACAATGCTTAAGTTGATAGTTGATTGACCCTAGTCTCAATTGAACAATTAAAGGTCAATACCAAAGATGCCAGATTATTAATAGCGGTTGTTAGAAATAATTTGTTTTATCGTTCGTCTTCCTCTTTTCCTCCAATTCTCAACATGAGATTTCCTTATTTACGTTGACTCTTTTTTTTCCTTCTTGCACTGAAAAATTCAACCTTCTCTTCATGAATCAATCGTAATAAACAAGCAATGGTCAATTTGATCGAGTAAAGAGGCCTAAAGATGCATTCAAATTGCTATATTTAGTAAATTCAACCAAATCAGATAGGCTATTGATAGTCTATCTTTTAAATCTGGTCTAAATCAAGGTTAAACTCATTGTAAATATTTAGATATTAGAAGAGATAGTTGAATATAATCATATGTAAATTGTAATTTTGAATGCTATTTTTAAACAAATCAAAATTATTTGTCAGTGCTTTTGAACGATCCTTGTTAATTTGAAATTATGCTTGTGAACTTTTCTTGGAAATTAGGGAGTAACTGCTTCGTAATTTGTCCAAAATTTATGAAATTAATGTAACATCACCACCATAATCGCCATAATCATTGAACAATGAATCATACCTATGGAAGGATAAGAATAGAAATGGATTATAATAGGCAGTATTTACATTTTTTACTTCTATTGTCATGATTATGGTTTATTCAATGCACAAGGACATTGAATAACTGTTAGTTGAAACGAGCAGAAGAGAAGCAGAGAAAATTTTGTCATTTTGAGTTGAATTAAAGCGTCGAAAAGCGATAAAAGAATCTAAAATTAATGAGACAAAGAGTTTCAAATTAATAGCATTCAATTGATTCAATTAATGTCCATTATGTGTATGGATAATATTGATTGAATCGTATTTGGACAAAGATTATGAATGTTATTATATCGTGTTAAGAAGTGGAATCAAAACAAGTTACAACTTACGACTTGCTTAAAGAGCAATCAAAGCCTGATCGAACATTTCGAAAGTAAAATTTAGCTTCTTTTTAAAATTCAAGAAGCCTTGAACCATTTTGAATAGATTCATGATCAGAATAGCAGGCGAGTGCGAGAAAAGAGAAGAATGAATTAAAGGTTAATTAAAGAAGAAAGAGAGTTAAAAAGATGGTAAGAGAGTTGTTAGAGAGGTGAGAGAAAAGAGAGAGGAAAATCTGGTTACAGCCGAAAGCGAATTCTGAATAAAAAGCCAGTTCATGATCAATTGGTGACTTCATTCGATCACTTGTTTCTCTTTAAGATGGTCTTAACCATTTAACAGATTATTCAATTCGATTGTTCCTTTTCCTTTTCATCTTCCTTCTTTAACTCATGAAAACTGTTTCCCTTTGCTCTAGAAGTTGAAAACAATCTGAACTTCAGCGTCTCCGTACTTCTGCAGCTTTAATATTGACCATTAGTGTACTCCTGATCTGGTTTGGACTCTAGTAAAGAAATCAAGAAAATCAAGTTATTGTGATTAGTAAAAATTATATTACACAGTGAAATTAATTGGAAAATAGTTACAACTCGACATTGATAATCGGCCCTAAAATGGTTCAAAGTGATGAGAATGGGTCAACCGATAGTATTCAACAGGTCCGTGAAATGTTTGCTGATGAAGTTAAAAATAATGGTGATCTGTATGATCCTATCGACGTCGAAAGAGTTGCCACCGATGATTATACAGTTGAAAGATATTTGAAACATCATAAAGGTGACTTGGAAAAAGGATACAACATGCTTGTAGAAGCCATGAGATGGAGGCGTTCATTTGGAGTTAACCACATCAAGAGAACTGATTTTCCCAAAGAATACTTTGAAACTGGAGAAGCTCACCTGTATACCACCGATCAAAATGGTGTGTCCACTGTTTACTTGAGGGTAAAGCTTCACAAGAAAATTAATGAACTCAATACATTGAGTCAAAAATTTCTTGTTTATCTGTTTGAGAAATGTGAACAAGAAGGACGGCAATCTGGAAAAGGGTAAGTTGACTTTCACTTTTGATTTCCAGTAAAATCTACATCTCTTGACTTTTTTCCATTGTTAATCCATTGCCATCCAAAATCCTCCATAAACCAATTTGTCAATGTTGACAGTCACACATTTCCTGATATGTAGAAATAATTTTATGGAAACGTTTATGAACTAAAGTCAGCTGATGATGGTACGATGAAAAAAGCAAAAAGTAAACAGAAATAAATTTCCCCTAATCATGAGTAAATGTTTTACTTACCAGTTTCTAAGTCACTTGACAATGATAATGATTTAGGTTGATTGTAGTTTATACCATCAATAATATTAAACAAGTTTATAACAATGTGATATCATTGCATTTAATATCTTAAATTAAATAACTGTATTAAGATTTTATCTGAAAGGAAAGGGAAAAGTGAGGGAAAATAAGATTATCTAATAATAGCCAGATTAAGCTGGAAGATTAGCCTTTGCCGGAGGTTTAGCCTTTATTAGCTATTATTTTTTATGATAAATGATTGATTAATAACCTTTTTTTTCTTGCCATTTAATGATTTAGATATGGATTGATTTGGGATTGTTATGGAGGCAATTTATTCAATGTTGATTTGGAGCTTCTTCAATTTTTAACAAATATTTGGATCAACTATTACCCAGGAGGAACCAAATATGTTTTACTCCATGAATTACCATGGATTTTACGAGCAATTTACAGGTTAGCTCGATCATGGATGCCAGAACATTTACGTGAACAAATTTGCTTCGCCTCTAAAGGTGACATTGGGTCATTTGTTGGTTCTCAAAGTTTACCTGATTACCTTAACGGACAGTGCAAGACAAATTACAAGAAAGCTCCGGTTGACTGTAAACCCATGAAAGACTTCATCATTAAAGAATCAATTGAACCTGAAGGGGCGAAAAAATTTCTTGACCATTACAAGAATTGGCTGGAGACACCATTCAGGGTATAAACTAATTTATAAATTGGTTGATTTGAGACGTTAAAGGTCAAAGATATAACCAAGAAACCAGATACCAAAAGAGTTGCTATTAGACACTGAAACCGATGGTATTTACATGACACTCACACCTTTTCCTATCCTAATCATTGTAACAATGGCAATCAATTCTATAATTAATATTTTGAATGCAGATTCTCATGATATAAATATTTTTATAAGCTTCTAATATGTATCTATCTTTAAACATACATTTGATATGTCATTTTGAACCAATAAAAGACATTAATTACCCCCAATATATCATTATTATGGATAAATAATAGCGATAAAACCACTAAAAGCTTTGTGCTTAAATGAACCCCAAATAACACAATTTTCGGCGTAAACACCGGAAAATAAACATTGTCTCGTACCAAAATACCGATCGTATATTCATAATACAATTGAACCAATCAATTAGCAGGGAAAAAAAAGATGGAAAATATTCAATTCCAAACAACTGGTAAACAAGTTAATCATCATCCATTTATCACATGAAAATAAATTCATCATAAATTGCTACGTAGACTTCGAACTCATCTAATCTCATCTAAAAAACGGTTGGCATCATCATCACCATAAGCAACACCAAGACCATCAATATCTGGTAACAAAAAATGATCATCACCACCATTGGGATCACAATTATTTTTCCTGTAATTTTTCAGGACAAGAGGCTGAGGGAAAAAAAATTATTGATAAAAATATTGTGATAAACAGAAGCATAAAAAAAGGCTCAAACTGATAGACAGAGTAATTGACATATTACCAGATACTGGATGATGATAGAGGGCAAATGAAAGTCACACCAGTGAATGTCATCACCAAACTAGACATAGAAAGGAAAGATAGACATAGAAAGATTGTGTAGACAGAGGAAAGAGAGAGAATGGAAGAGTGGTAAAGATTAGTGAAGGAGGGTAACACTGATAAGAAAAATTGATGATCGGCTGATATTTTACGGGTATAAAAGGAAGTTTGTTGAGCAGATTCAATTTTTACTTCGTTCTCACTCCTCTTCTGTCTATTAAAAATATCCTCTTATAACCATATAAAAAATATTGAGATCTCTTTCTTGTCGCAATGGCGCCTTCATCAACTGGTATACATGTTTCTGTTATTGTCAAAGCACCTTCATCCCTTAAAAAACCTAGCTCAACCTTTCTCTCTCCCTCTCCACCTCCTCCCTCTCCTTCACCACCATCGCCCTCCTTCTCATTGCCATTATCATGCTCATCCTCCCTCCTTCGGAGATCATCTTATTGTTCAAATAATTATGTTAGAGGTGTGACATATTTGAATGGTCGTGGTTTCACTGATACCAAACGATATGTTAATGATGATCAGTTTGATAGACGAAGGATGGGAAGTTCAAGAAGAAGAGTAAGAAGATTTACAGGAAGACAAAGAGGTTTACTTTTCACTCGTGATTATCAATTTGTTTGTGATGATGATGAGGATGATGGTTATCATGATAATTATAATGAGCAAGATGATATTGATAACATAAAAAGACTTGTTGTTGACCCGATAGCCTATGATGTTCACTCTGAGGAAGCTTTAAACCTGGTAATTAAACGTTCCACTCATCATAATAATCATAGTTCGTCTTCTTCCTCCTCCTCTTCACCATCATCTTCTTCTTCTTCTTCATCTTGTTTGCCTTCATCATTATTATTATCATCATCGTCATCCTCCTCTGGATCTAAACGACCTCGGCCAACTCAACAGCTGATAACCCATTTCTCAGATGATGAGGTTCATGAGGAGGAAGATTATTTTGAAGACGAGTTTGATGAATATGACCCGAGAAGTAACCCGATGAACCAACCTCATCAATCTCATCATTATCATCATGATGATCATCACCTGAATAATGTTTTAACCAGTGGTGAACAAGTTCATCCAATGCTACTACTTAAACCATCAAGCAACCTGGACTATCAATACACTAACCAATACAACTCAAGTCATTCCAATAATTTAAACAATTCAAATTTACATTCAAATTTACATTCAAATTTACATTCAAATTCTCAGTTTAATCCCAATCAATATCATCATCAAAATCATCAACACCATCAACACCAACAAGTTCAACATCAACAATATCCATTTATTCAAACCTTTGAACCGAGTTTAAGTTTAAGTGATCTTATTGCTGATACCTCATCTGCTCAACTTCATCAAACTATTTCAATACAAACTTCTTTCCAAATTCATTTTCATCTTATAGCACCAATTTATATGGTAATCCTTCAATTAATCACCTAAATCATCAGCCAAACCAGATCAATTACCAACACCATAACCCTCAACATCAACCAGTCAATTCCTCTCAACCAATCTTTGGTAACACCACTAACCATTTTGGTCAGTTGGACTCAAATGAATCCAATTTATTTCCAGTTGCTGGTAATTCGGGCATTTTTCAATTCCTAACCAACGATTCTAGCAATAGTAAAATTAATCAACAGACACCAAACAATACAAATATCAGTAGCAATAATCAAATTAACCCCAACAGCCACAATAACTACAATAGCTTTAATAACAATCACAATGGTAGCACAACGACAAACTTTGGACTCAAACCAAATGAATCAACATTGGACTTTAAACAAACCTCTGTACCACAACAAGCAAAAGCTCACCTGCCTACAGCATTTCCCTCATTATCATCTTCTTCCTCTTCTTCCTCTTCATCTTCAGCGTCTTCAACTTGCTCAACTTCATCGTCAACATCATCATCACAGCAGCAAAATACGATTAAAGAAAGCCAATTAATATATAAACCACCCTTGGGAACAACTCATCTTCAACAAACGACTCGCAAAGCCAGTCCAGTTGATCCAGCAACTCGTCGTCGAACATATAAATGTACTTATGAACAATGTACAAAAACATACTACAAAAGTTCGCATCTCAAAGCTCATATCAGAACACATACAGGTTAGTATTGAGCTTAGGCTCAACCATGGACTTGGTTTTGATTAACCTTTTTGAGAACATTTTTTGCTAATATTTTTTCTTCTTCTTCATTTTTATTCTCCATTTTAGGTGAAAAGCCATTCATTTGTACCTGGGAAGGTTGTGATCGTCAATTTTCAAGATCTGATGAACTATCTCGCCATAAGCGGACTCACACTGGCGAGAAGAAATTTGTTTGCTCAATTTGTTCAAGACGATTTATGAGAAGTGATCATTTAACTAAACATGTTAAAAGACATTATATTGCTGACAGCAAAAATATTTCAAACAATGCTAATAGTACTTCAAATATTATTCCAAATATAGATAGAGATCATGATAATGATAATAAAAACTTATTGATAAATTAACTAAATTTGCCCTCTTCTGATTGATTTAAGTAGAGCTTCAACCATAATCATTATTTGGTTTGACTTGTAGCTCGCTCATATTTTTCATTTTATTTTACTAATAAATGCCTAAAAAGATTCATCACGGAATGACTTTAAGGGGAAACTAAAGCTAAGAATATCCTTGATTATCATTTGATTAAGTCCACTTTGGATAAATATGAAAAGATAACACCAAGAGTCTTGACTCACAGAATTAAATCTGGACCAGAATCCGGGGAAAAGCGGATCGAAATGGGTTCAACAAAAGGTAGGTTAACATATTAGGTTACAAATAAAGATATGTTTTCAGAATGAAATAACTTGTAAGATTTTGATTTTAACATTATTTTGATTAGTTTCTTGATGGAGAGAAAATTCAATTGAATGTCTTTAATTTGGTTCCATGATAGTTCTGGGACACACAGTATATGCTAATCCAACTCAACTGTAAAACAAAGTTACAATTTATTATCAGATAAATGTCTACGTGAGTTGATACTTTGAAATCAATGCATGAGATCAATTTGTTTAGAGGATTGATAATCTTTTGGATTTTCAATCATCAGATATTTCCATACGCTTCATCTGGGCTTTCATAATCAGGGGTGTGTCAACATTTTCAACACAGAATATTATGAACCAAAAATTATATAAAACTGTATACTTTTTATCAGCACAAATCAAGAGATAAAATTGAAAAAAGAAATGAAGCAACAAAATATGCATTTACATGAAGTCTTTGGCTTTGATAAAAATGACTTCATAGGCTTGATCTCGGCGAGTACGCTGTTGAGTCAATAAATGCAAAGAAGACGAAAAGCCCTGGTAATTACCCTGACATGTTCTGGTAGAAGTGCCTTTTATCATTTGTAATTTTCCGAACACTTGTACTCAATACTGTTTACAACTGAAAGTCATAAGTGAGCGTCTTCAGGTGAAACAAAAATTTTCAACTTTTTACCAAAAAACACTAATGAGTCAGATATTAATTTTGGCTTTTCCCAAATTTCCAGTTAAAGAGTCAAATGATTTCATCTTGAAATATTTGCAATTATCAATGTGTCCAGTGTGCATCTATTGGGATTGATAAAAACAGAGATGTTGAGCTCAAACTAAGCAAATACAGTTGTTTCCATGGAAGTCAGTGATAAGCCAATAGCTAGGACTTTTTATCGTTCTAGTTATTTGTGAAATACAAATCTTGACCAAAATGAATCTCTGACCCTTTAAAGCCTTTTTTGGCTAAAAAAGTAGAAAATTGTTCCTCATGAAAACCCTCCTTTTCCGATTCTTTTACAACAGTAGCTTACAATTGTAATACAAAAGCAAAAATTTTTGCCAGCAATGTTTGCGTCTCTAAACATGAGTCTAGAGATCTCAGTTTTTATTTAATAACTCATTTATCTTATTTTAAAAATTGATTGAAATTAATTTGATTAATTTTAGTTAATTGAAACATTTGAAGATGAAAATTAGCCCAAAAAGTGGAGGTTCAAGCGTTCATTTCTTGGATTTTTTACCGCCTTTTAGCGTTCTAAACTTTTTGCCAATACTGAGCAAATTATGCAAATTCTGGTTAACTATTCAGGTTCTTTATTCTTGCATCGATGATTGACCTGTGTGTGATTTATATCTTTTTGATTAACGAGTAAGTTCCAACATTTAGTCACAATGTTTTAATAGAATTTTTATATTTGGCGGTTAAATTGAATATCTGATATTGGATTGATCTTTTCGAGATTTGGATAGTTGGTGATATCATTTGTTGATATTTTATTCTGACCGTCGCCAAAACAATAGCAAATTGTACTATTTCTTGTTTTTATTTTATTTTTTCTTGATTTTGCCGTTGTTACTCACCATTTCTGTTAATCTCTGACATCTTTAGACCATCTAAAGTTCTAAAATGGGACTCATTGATAATAATAATAAAAAAAGTGACTCCGATCTGGATGATGAGAGAGGCGTTAGTATTGAAGTTGGAACAGTAAATAGTTACAATGTTGATGATAACGATGATCTTACGAATTTAACCTGGCTTCAAGATCGAAATCTGCTGAAAAGTATGACAGTTACTAGTGATGTGAAGGATAATATTGTACATTTCATAAAAGAAGAGGACGAGAATGTTTACCCTGATGATGTATGCTCTTCTCCTGATGGCTCCAATAAAGACGAAACAAATCTTCCTTGTTCAGTTCCACCGGTGCCATACAATCCTAAAATACATATTCATGCCAAACCACCCTACTCTTTCAGCTCCCTTATTTTCATGGCTATTGAATCATCGCCTAATAAAGCATTGCCAGTTAAGGATATCTATGCATGGATTGTTGAACATTTCCCTTACTATCAAAATTCGCCGAGCGGATGGAAAAATACTGTTAGACATAATTTATCGTTGAACAAATGTTTCAAGAAATTGGACAAAGGAAAAGACGAACTTCCAGTGAGATATCAAACTTTTTTCACAGTTCTAGACAATAGTTTTATCATTAGCTAAATTAATCCTTTTTACAACCATTACAATGTTTTGTGTTTAGTTGTAAATTTAAAACTTGGTTTTCTTTACTCTGATCCAGATTGTCGGTAAAGGCTCATTATGGTGTGTAGACCCTGAATTGAGGCCTAATTTACTACAAGCAGTTAGACGGACCCCAGCTCACATTTATCCTTACATGTCAACTGCTAAAACAAACTTTAAAATTACATCAAATAACGAGTTATCGCCCAAGCCAAATCGAAGCCATAAGTATGCTATTATTCAAAATTCAAGGGCGAAAAGCGCTCACTACAATCATGCTTCAAACTCCATGAAAACTTTAATATCTTCTAATTTATTCTTCTTATTTTTTATGTTCAACTGTCATCTTTTTTCAGTGTCTCCAGGAAAATTTTAACTTTTGACCAAATACCTCAACTTGCAGATTCACCTTTGTTGGGCAAAAGATTATTGATTCCAATTATAAATCGAGGTTAGTCTTGAATTTACAAAATGTGGTTTCCATGTCACCAATCGATTCGTTTTATACATCGTTAATTGAATGGCTATTCCTATTAACTTTTTACTCCCTTCCATGCGTCTCCCTCCCCCTGCTTATTATGACACTCTCCTTTCTCCCTTCAGCCCATTCTCCCTCTCTCATTTTTTTTCAAACATAGAGACAACTTCACTACTAAAAATGTTTCCCCAAACAAGAATTCTCGTTTCTATGTTTCCTAAATTTAACATGTTCTTTTTGTTTATATATTAGATTGTCAACTCAACTAATAACATCAAATTATTTTGGTTACTATCTTACTTTTCCCTCTTTTTGTTTCCGTTTTTTCTCATCAGAGTCTGAAGAAGCGGATGCCGCTCAATCAATGCTAACCTTAACTCGATATAATTCAGAAGAAGGCAAATCCAATAAAAGGTACCACTGATGCATCAATTTAATGAATTTTATTAATTTAAACTTAAATGTAAACTTGTATTTGTAATACGATCAATATTAATTACAATGTTTGCTAAATTTTCTCTCTTTTTTCGCAAATAGTGAACCACATGGAAAACATCAGACAGATGATTCAGATTCTCCTTCTTCTATGAATCCCACGGGCGATCATAATTATTTCAGTAGAAGTAGTGAATCAAAGAAACATAATATTGAATTACTCACCGAGGCTCAAAAGTTGGTTGATTCAAAAGTGAATCTGAAAACAACCTCAACAACTATAGAAGAAGAACTACCAAAGGAAGAAATTGATTTGATCGAAAATGTTACAATTGTCACCGATGATGGTAAAAAGACTCGAGGAACTGTATTAGTGAAAAGAAAAGTTGATGTTAATGACGAAGATGGGTTAAAAGGAGCTCAAGCATTGCTCAATTTGGCATCGAGAAGTTTAGAAGTTAAAGCAAAAGACGAACTGAAATCAAAGAACCAACAATCTCAGCAACCACAATTACCATCTTCATTCGTATCATCGATTAATAGTACAAACAATTCAACTCCTACAAGTGTCAACTCTATTGCTTTGATTAAGAGGACTCGCCGTGGACGAGAATAGAGACAATCATTTATTTTACCCGTTTTGTTTTCTGTGTCCATATGTTAAGTCATTGTTTTAAAATCGAGTTATAAAAGAGAAAAATGAAAATTTTTCTTTGGACTGAGTCGACAAAAGTAAATCTTTTTTTTTTGGAATTGAGCTTGAATTTTCCTTATGGAATTTTGAATTGTTTTTGGAACGTCATAATTTTGTCTAATTGCCCTGAGATCAATTTGAGATCAAACCATCTTTAAAAAGACATTGTAAATACACTTTTCTTTCCTTGGCCATCTTCGTGTGACATCAAAAACTGTGAAATGTTGAAATTAAATCAATTTGAAAAGGAAAAATTTTGTAAAAGCTAAAGTCTATCAAATTGAAATTCAACTTGTTTGTTATTCGAAACTCGAAAATATGCAAATCTCAATAGACTTTAGCTTGTTAACTACTCAAAACAAATTAACAGAAATAGAAGGTAAGAAGAAAAAAGAAACAACTTAATTTTTCCTGACTTGTTTACAAATATAAATCAACTTATTCCTGGCATCTACATTGACATTAATTACCCAATTAACTGAGCAGATATATAAATAAATATGTATTTATCACTATTTGATTGTAAATAATCAAACCCCAAAAAAGCAATACACTAAAGCTGAAATTGAAAAGTTCAACGGATTAAATCAGTGAAAAAGCAAAGTAATACTTTATTATTCAATGAAGACTAGAAAAATCTTAAAGTCTCAATGTCAATGCCCATGCACCAAGAGGAGGAAAAACAGCGTCATCGTCATCACTATCATCATTAACATCATTGCCAACAACAAAAACAAAAACAAAAACAACATCAAGTAAACAGGCAATTTCAGAAGAAGAAAAAAAAGCGTCAACATCTTTCCTTTTTCGTGAGTTGTTTACAACAACAATAACAAATATAAAAAAAAAGTGTAAAGGAAAGTGTAACTTAAAAGTGAATGATTTCTGTTTTTCTGTTTTCCAGTAAAGTACAACTGATGATGATTAACCCCAATCGAATTATAATTTCATCGATGGAATCTCATTTTGTTTATTTTATAACTTGTAAAACGTATTATCCAATAACAATCTTTGTTTTTTCTTAGGATTATCAATTCTAAAAGTAATTAAAAGTCTAATAAAATTACTGATAGAGTTAAAAACAAGCTTCGAATCATTTAGTTCACTATGCATAGATAGGTGTTTCTATAGAAGAAGAAAAAGATGGACAAACACACACAAAAGATTAAAGAAAAAATAAAAGTTTATTTACCGTTAGTACTACTTGTGTTTTTGTTCAATTGACTGTAATACATCAAATCAGATCGCAAAAAAGCGCAAAAAAAAACAAAAAAAAATAATAGTGGCCAACAAAGCGTTCAAAATTGTGTAAAGTACCACTTGACACTTTTCTCAAGTGCCTCAGCAGATGATAAGTTAAGAGGTTTCATTGGTACATAGTCACCATTTATTTCGTCAGCATCATCTTCTTTCGATGATGGTGGTGTTTGGTGATCTTCAATGGGCTTATTACATGAGATTGATAGTGACGAGTTATTATTATTAATATTATCATTTGTGCTATTGACTGTGGAAACGTGACGATAACACACAGGGGGTTTACCCTCGTTAGCCATGGGACGACAATTGGAAGGTAAACTGTCGCACCTTTCACGGATAGAGACGGTAGCGTAATAGGAGCTTGGAGAGGTAAGAGAATGTGACTGTGATGACTGACCACTGCTGTGACCTGAGCAATTGTTTCCACTTGCAGCAGCTGTTCCAATGGGTATGTTTTGAGGGAAGCTTGATCCGCCAATTGTATTTTCTCGACTTATTCTTCGTCCACTGAACGTAATGGGTCTACAACACTCGCTCGTGGACGCACTTCGTGGCCTTAGTGAAGTCTCGGAATGATGGATTGGTGTTCTAAAAGAAAGAGAAAATTGCGAAAAATTAATTATATTTAGAAATCATTCTAAATATAAGTAAAATAATATCTTTCGATATTGAAGGTCGATTCCGAGATAGTCAATGAACTTTTTCAATATCATAGTAAAAGGGAAACAAGATCTTCAAGATTATAAGCGTAAAGATTATTGACTAATTGTCTAGAGATTTTTTTCAACTCTTTGTATCATTTTTGGAAAATCCTGTCACTAGTTAAAGAAAATAATCACTCTTGAGCCAAGAGTTAGTCTTAATTTGTTAAACTTACCGAAGATTCTGTAAAGAGCCATTGGTTGAGACTCCATTAGATAAGAATGAAGGTTGATAGTCAATTATTCTCAATATGGATTCATGCATATCATGAGTTGTCGCTCCATCGTCTGTTAACATACACAAATTGCCGGCTCCAAGGGCAGCCCCACGTCCCAATTCAACAATGAAATATTTTTTATTGTGACTAAATCGTCGAACACAAGAGAGTGGTAACTCATGAAGAACTGGTTCTGGGTCATTAGGGGCAACTTTCACAAGGTGTAGTTTTTTATCATTGGTTAGGCAAAGTCTGTATGTTCCGATTAAATTTTCTCTCTCACTATTCTGATTTTTGGGTATAGTGACTTGCCAGACTCGCTCATATCGAGAAGAGTTCACGTGTGGTTCAGTTAATTTAATCAACAGAGTTAACCATTCCTTGAACAGTATCTCATCATCAAAATAAAGTGTATAACATTCTTCCTTGGTAAAAATGAATATCATGTGGTCCTCCTCTTTGGTTCCATGTTTTCGGCTTATATTGAAGCAATCTTTAAGTATGATGGAAGCTTTATAAGGTGATCCATGGCGAAATTTTTTTTCACTTTCATAATATTCTAAGCGTCCAGTGTTGGGGTCAACTGGATCAGATAGAATGATAAAGTATCTTTCTTTAATTGTTTTAGTTCTCTTACATCTAAGTAAACCAGCTTTCAAAATCATCATTCACCAAAGAGAAGAAAAAAGAGAGTGAAAGTGAAACAACACAAAAAAAGAGATTTGTTTTGATGAAAGTGAAATAGACGATGTGTGATGAGAGTTTAATGAAAACAACATACAATCAAGGACAGTTAATTGTAAACAATCAGTAAAAAAAGCGACACTGTGTTTGGTCAAAATGAAGCATCAACAATAAAACATTTAGATGTGTGGCTGTTAATAATTTTAGTACATGTTTACAGTGTTTTTCACTGATTTAGTGAGTGCTTCCAACTTTAATCCGCCTTAAATTACGTCATAACCATAGTTACATTACATAACCGCCATCTTTAAAAATTTACCGGTTCAACCTGATTTGCTTTAATTGTCAACACAAATGAACTTGATTTCCTTATGTTGATTAAATTGTTAGATATCAATGGAAGCTATTTATTTCAAACATAATGGCAATCCTGAGAAGCTATTTTAATCATTCATTGGCAATGGTTGACCAAAGATTTGATCCACTTTAATGAAAATAATAAAACCAGCAGACTGGTGAATACATCAATTGTTTATTTGCCATTAATTTGTGTGTAGACTTTATTTGCTGGAGTCAATTAAAACATGTTATAATTGATGTAATTAAGTAATTATATTCAGACTCCATTTCTGCTTGTTATTGTCTAAGAAAACATTTACAAAGTAATCAGTTTCTTGTCTAGATAATCAATGTTGAAATTCAATGTTGCTATTTTTGCATCCACAGCTTTACAGCCTTTCTTATCGTGAAAATATGTTGTAACAATTAAGGATTAAAGTTCACTTGGCCAGTTAAATTGTAATTTATCATTATTATAGATACTTAACAATAACTCAAGTGATAATACTTGAAATTGGCCAGTGTAAAGATGTTTAATTTGTTACTTTGTTCAATAAACAATTTAATAAACAAGCACATTAATAGTATTTTGCTATCAGTTATTGAAATATCAAATACTCACTTGATTGCCTTTGAAATGTTTTCATTTCATTCAGTGTATTCAATGTTATTAACTATTACCAATGTGATTGCGTTAATGGTTAACCACCTAAGTAAATATTAAGTTATTTACCTCATCAACGATTGTTGATTTGAAATATTGATTAACCAAATCGTTCTCCATTCATCAATTACAAATGTTTTGAAAGGTGAATCAAATTTGTGACCAGAATATAATTTAAAAAAATTTCCTCTTATTCCAGCATTAAAGATAATTGTTGAACATTTTATAAATTTGCTGCTAATTTTTGAACCGTTTTTGATACACATTTTGAAATTAACTCATTAAAAGTTCAGGAATAGGTGTTGGGTGTAGAATATGATTCTGATTGGAATAATATCTTAATTTAAAATGTGTAATTAGCTCAAAATAGGTTTACCCATCTATCATTGATGAAGGGGAAAAATAAAACAAGTGTGAAAAAAATATAAATTATTCTTCCTCTTCATTTATTGTTTCCACATTTCACCAAAGGAAGTTGATTATTTGTTCAATGAACAGACTATTACTCTATTCATTTGAAATGAAGCAACATTTTCATTTAGAATCAAGCATTCGCAATAATTTGCAATTCACTGCAAATATTGATAACTTGATAATCTGATTTAGTTGAAACTGGAGCGAAAATCTTAGTTTAATCTGCCAATCCATTGTATGAAGATTTTGCCCGACTTTCAGTCAACTTAATTTGATTTCGATCAATTCAAGTATTGTTTGGATTCCTGTTAATCACCTTAATATCTGGGTCATTTTTTGGCCCTTGAAACATAATCTGATATTCCATAGGTACCTTTAAGCAACCGACAGGCATCAAGTCGATCTTTGTAAGGCATGTAAACACCATGATCTCCTTGATAAACAAATGGTAGCCTAAGAACCCAATATGCTGATTGTGATAATTTAACAGGCTCAGCGTTGCCAGGGGAAAATATTGGACAAGGAGGAGGAGCAGGTTGAACTCGAGGATTGAGGGTAACATGAACCGGAGCTTTTGGAGTGACAACGTGCAATCTCATTAGCTGACCATACAATAGTTTACCAGATCGACTACAAAATAAAGGAATTAATTACATCAGAATAAAAATAAAGGCTGTAAACAAATTAATCAAGTTTTTGTAATCATAATTACCTGCAGACACAAGGAACATAGAGAGGCATATCATTTGAAGCGATACTGTTTGCATTTTCCTTGACAATGCCCATATTGGCCTTCAAAACACTTGCTGGTTTAGATGACATGAACCTGTGACCTCTTGGGCATTCATATTCAACTCCAATGAAAATTTTTACAGTAAATTGAGTTCCATCTTTAAGGGAAACAGAACAATTAATATTTTAATATTGGTGAATGAATAAAACAAAAGTTACTATACCTTTAAGAGTTTTTTTATTCTTTATTCCTGGTGGTCTTTTACCTTCCCATAAAGGAGGTAGCTGGCCTGAATGCTCGAGTTTAACTGTTACATCCCATGGTAATAAAAAATTGGTTCCAGAAATGAAACCAGGTTGATCCTGAACTCCCATATTATGAGAGTAAAGACTTGATGGACCAAGACAAACTAATGACCAGGATGAAAATTTGGGCAGCAAACCAAAAGGTGACATTGAATGAAGCATTCCAGGAAGATATTCAGTTGTTGAATGTTGATTAAGGACGCTTGAGTGAGGACTTCGATTATATTCTCTGATAATCAACTGAATGTCCCGACCTTTGTCCGTTTTATCTCCATTTTCATTTCCTTCATCTTCATCATCATCATCATCTTCTTCGTCGTCATCATCATCATCGTCGTCTTCTTCTTCGTTGTCCTCTTCATCATCAGCTACACCAGCATTTACATTATCCTTATCATCCTTATCATCCTTAACATCCTTAACATCCTTATCATCCTCATCATTATTGTCCAAACTATCCCAATTCTCAACAACTAAACTTGGACTTTTCAATGGAGTAGATTTACCTTTATCAGCTTCAGTTCGTTGAGGTGCGTCTTGCTCTTTGACTTCTTTTGGTGTCCCATTTTTCAATTCAACAGATTTATCGCCACTTGCATCCTCTTTACAGGAAGCTTCGGTTCTTTTAAATGGTTCCAAGCTTTGCTCTCCTACCAATGCTTGCGATAGATCAGTTAAAGAAACTTGATCGGTACCAGGTTGACTTTCAAATTCAGTTTCACTTGAGTCTAAACCAAGATTTTCAAATCGATCAAAAAAGCGATTAAGTTTAGCTGGTCTTATGTCGGACGTGCTTGGCTGGAAAACTGGAAACTCGATTCTTTCTAAGTGGCTACAATTACACTTTGAGGAAAATAAACAGTAAAAATCGTAGTTAGCACTTTTAACAGTAAATGGATCTTCACGGTTTGCCTGACGACGACCACAATCACAAGCTGAAGTTATCTTAACTCCACTGCAATGCGGCATAATTGGATAATGAGGCTCTGTTTTAGAGATGAGCTCTTCATAGTGATCATCGTCTTCTGGTTTTGTTCGATGAGCAGGATTTATACAATTATTACCAGTTAAACTGAGAACTTCACACATCTGTCGACCATTGTTCCAAAATTCATCACACTCGTCTTTCAGCCGTCTCAAATAACTATATAAAGCAGGTCCACGAGATTGAACGGTGAAAAAGTGCATGGCTTGGGCCACTTTACGAACGTGAAAATCTGAAGTATAGTGAGATGGTAAACCTTCTTGATATATGCTGAAAGCAATAGGCAAGACTTTGTTGCACCTTGCTTCAGAGAATCTTGAGTCAATATCGAGTGAATTTCGCATTTGATTAAATGAAGGCAATGAATCTTTGTACGATGCATCTTCTGGGTTGAATAGCAAATTGTGTAATTTTTCAGCAATTAAGAAAAAGTCTTCAGCTACTGGAAGCTCGAACACTGTTACAGCATTGTGTCGACCGACATTATCATCAAATCCTTTTGTTAAAGCTGTTGAAATATGAGACCAAAGAAATTGATAGAAAGTTTTACCACTTTTTGGATCCACATCAGAGTTATCTTGCTCTTGAGAACAAAATTTTTGCATCAATTTCTTCAAGAAATCATGAGCATCTCGAATGGTTGGATCTTGATTAGAAATATAAACAAAATCTGATTGATTGCAAATGGCAAATAATGAATTGGCACAAATATTTGTTATGATGCGACTTTTCCTCAAGAATCGATAAATTTGATCTTCTAAATGTTGCTCATGAGTTCGCTTGTTAGCACTTATATATTTAGAATTTTGGTAGGCTTCAAACACAAATAGAACTCTAGGAGAGCAAGGACGACCACTGAATACCCAATCATCAGAAATATGAAAATCACGAAGAACTTCAGATACCAAGGGAGAAGTTTTTACTCGAGCGATATCCAATAGTCTAAATAATTGAAGATAGTTGAGATCAAAATGTGGCGTTGGGTGGACAATCACGACAATGTGGGAGATGATGAACATAAACAGAAGAATTTTTGCTGTTTTGAAAGTAATGTCGGTAAAGTTTTGGAAAAAACCCTGAAAAGAAGAAAAATAAGGAGCTAAAATAACTTGTAATTTAAGTATGATAAACGGTCTGTTGAATCAATTACAATTGACAAGATTTTGAGATTGTTATGAGTTTAAGGCAAGTGAGTTTTACCTTTGACTCAAATTCATGGCCCATTATCTTAGAAAGATGAGTTAAAACGTCAGTATCTAATGGGGAAATCAAATGTAGAAATATAACTCGACTCCGTGAATCAAAATAGCCTTCGACATTGATAACCTGGAAGATTAAGTAATTTTCATGATTAGTTCCAAATGAAGTCTAAATTTGTTCAATATAGCTAAGGCTTACCGATTCATCAACTAATTTTTTATTATCACAGAATTTTCCTCTGAAAACATTTTTACCCAAACAGTCATCAATTAATGTTGCTTTACAAGCTCTTGCTCCAGCTGAAGATTTACCAATAATTGAGACAACACAGATTTTATCTTTTTGAAAATTTGGATAATTAGACGACAGAAACTGAAATGTATTTCTAGGAGAAAAAAACGGGAGAAAAGATGTATGAGCATTGTTCAAATAAAAACAAAACCGACAAAGAATATTTACCTTAGACTATCCAGATCAGTCAAGTTGAATTTACAATTAACATCACCATTAAGTCCAGGTGATTTAATTGGATAATCTGGCGCCATTATCTATCTAAAGATTGTAACCAGTTTGGTAACTTGGCTAGGTGATAAAAGATATGCGAACTGCTGTTGATTTATAAATATTTAAACACATGTGAGAAAATTTGGTCTACCCAATTTGCCAACAAATATTAATAGACAGCTAAATTAATAAAACAAAATCAATCTTGAGTTAGTTAGGCATCAAAAAAAGATATTCAGAGAAACCAGAATGGAGAGAACAGATGATAGGATGAAGCGAAGAAATGAACAGCATGAAAATAGGTTGACAAGATGATAGAGATACTGATGCAAATAGAATGGCAACAACAGACAATCAAGAATCAATTAATTGTAAATAATTAAGAGTGAAAACCAAGACTATAAGTTTAGTTGTTGATAGCAACTTGTTATTATGTTTACAGTGAGATCCCTTCTTAAAGACCTTAAAGCAACGACTATATAACCATAGCTACTTTGACTAACCGCCATGTTTAAAAATCGACCGGCCATCCATTTTCAATTGCTTATTGTTTAACTGATTAATTAGCAATTGTTTTAGACAAACATAATATAAATGACCATTAAATGGACTATGAATGTGTTCAAAAAATTTGCTGTGTTTCAGTATTCTAACAAGATAAGATAATGCTTTTTTAAATACATCTGATTCAACCTTTCATTTCTTTACCCATTCCAGAGCAAAATAGAGTGAGAATTTATTCTTTAAATTTATTTTTAATAAATAAATAATGGATTTGATTGTTGATTGAGTTATATGAATCAGGAGAATCAGGAAAACAATTAGGAAAAGGTTTAAATTGATGTAAGGATAAAGATGATGATTGTGGCATATATAGTAAAATTAGTCGATTTTGATACCACAGCCGATGAATGAACTGGATCGACGTGGATATGGGTTGATCTAAAATTTGGGTCTGCGTCGCTTTCATGGATAGTTCCTTCATCATCCATACCGGAATCCGATTGATCTTCATCTTCATTTCCATCAGATTCCCTATCACCATCATCATTTTCACCTTCATCATTTTCACCTTCATTTTCATCTTGCATTGTTTCGTTTGTAAAATGATTAATGTTGGTCAACTCGTCGTGGCTTGTGACAGAGTCCACACTCGTCAGTTCATTGTCACTTGGATTAGGTTCTGAAACTGGATGATTTTCGGGATTATGGAGAATTGGGTCCTCTTCAGAGCCATCCGAACCTTGCTCTTGTATTACGTTAATATAAAAACAATTCACCAATGAAATAACCAAAAACAGAACTAAAAAAACTGAAATTATATTAGAAATTGCTTTAAGTCTCATTTTAACTAGAGGTCAACAGATAGAAAAGCTGATGAATTACAATTAAATTGAAGTAGGATGTGAAATAAAATTTTAATTATACTGCAAGTTGTTTTTAATTGAGTATACATTTACTAGTCGTAGAATAAGATTTCTAACTCTTTCTTATTGTTGTAACAATTGAATTGAAAATATTATCAAAAGTAGGATATTCAAATCTTGTGAAAAAGGCTCCTAACTTCAATTTAAGTGTTAAATTTAAAACTTTTTTTACACCTTGAGGTCAATAATCGTCTCAATTTTCGTTGATTTATTTCGAAGCAGTCAAAATTGATTGCTAAATGTCTATTAGAGCTTCAAAGTTGCATTCCAACTCGATTTAATTACAATAGTTAAACAATTTAACGAGATTTTTTTCAGTTTTCTTGCTTACTTCTTCAATAACCGATATTTGTATGAAAGTTTGTTTACAACGAGGATCACAATAAGTAATTTAAACACTTTCAACATTCTTTGTAAATCAATTTTAATAACTTTTATACATTATGTTTCAATTTATAAAAAATGAATCAGGAAGCTCGATGATTTGACTTGTAATTTTCAAAATTATAAGTCTACAGATTACATTGTATGACGAATCATTGGAATCAATTTCATTGAATGATTAACCATTTGAATGTTTTAGGAGGCAAGAAAAGGATTAAAAATAGTTGTCAATTTATCTTCAATTGCGTCTACCATTGGCACATAAAACGGGAGGTTGATTGTCAGTAAATCTAAGTCAACTCTCATTCGGAATACATTGGATGAACATTTGATTTGTTAAGAGGAACTGAAAAGAGGAGATAAAAATGTAACATTAGTAACTCAAATTAAGAAAGAGAAAAGAGTTAATTTGTTTACTATACCTGGATAATCATACACATTTCTATCTGCTTTACAATGTCTTGGTGTACGTTTAACGGTAGCATATGGAGTCTCTTCGATAAATCTTTGATCAATACAACCATTATTATTTAGAGTATTATTTGCTTTTAAAGTTGACGTTGATGATTGGATTGTTGAACCTAAAGAAGGTTCAGTCAAATTGGATCCGTTTATCTGGACGGAAGCATAAGGTGATGGATAAGCAATTAATGATTGATCTGGTCCCATAATCACTTTAGTTCGAGTCTTTTCAAATTCATTTAAGCCCATTTCATCAACTTGCTTTGACAAGATTCCTCCTTTTGTTATTTCAGGTGATCCTTTTGAAACACATAATAAATGTAAAAATAAATTAGATGAGTCTTTAAGAAATTGAAAAATTAACACAAAAAAATGTTCGTTTCAACACTAATCAATGTACTAACAAATAAAAAAAGCTATTAATTAAAGATTCAAGTGTATAATAAATCATTTTTTAAAATGAAATGAAGCGGTTGTTAACATAAAAACAGGAATTTAACTGGAAAATAAGTGTCTTGAGATAACAAGTAGATGGCGTAACCAACTCGAGTTTGTTTTTAGGTTTTCATTAGATCATAGTTTTTAATTATTGTTTGTACAACATTCATTAACATGGGAATTGTTTAGTTTGAAGAATCTAAATTAACTTTTTTTCCGGAAAGTATAAACATTCAGACAAGGAAAGTTGAACCTACTTGTGTATAAAGCTTGTTCAGGAATCCGTTTATTCATCATTATACAGATGAGTACAATAACAGCAACAACAACCATCAGTGATAATACCAGAGGTAACAGGATTTCAAGTTCAAAAAATACTTGATAATATGATTGATTGTAAGTCAAGGGTAATAATGGCCTCTCTAAGGAAAGATGTAATAAAAAGCCAATTAGTTAATTGATTAGATTGATCCATGGTCAAAGTAAAAACCTTTATCAACAAAATGAGTTGTCATCAGACTATAAACGGCATCAGTGGATCCAGCATCGGAGTAAGCTGTTGATTTTAAATGATACCAAGTTTGTGGATGAAGACCATCAATCCAAATAGTCTTTTTACCCATAAGTATCATATTGGATACAATTGTCCACATTTTTTCTTTCTGAGTTTTATATTTGATTGAGAAGTGTTTAATTGTACAACCAGATGATTTCCAAGAGGTTAAATCAACTTCAATTGAAGTTGCATTGATGTAGCTGATAAACATTTCCTTGACTGGAGCAATTGGAACTATAAGAGATGACAATCAAGAAAAAAAAGAGTTAGTATTTTACATTCATGGATTGATAAAAGTGAAATGTGAAAAGTCAAAAATGATGATAATAACGATCATAATGTTAATGTTTGTTGCTTTTATGCTCTTTAAACACATAAAAAAGCAATAACATTTTGGCTATTTTGTTTTGTACGCAAAAACAAAAGCAAAACACATCTAAAAGAAGATGAAAAACATGAAATAGAGCCTGAATTTAACTCATAGTTCTTGCAAGCCAACTGGTAATAGTACAGTCAGTGAAGGAAAGTTATGATTAATAAATTAGATTAATCATCTTGATTACCTGATCCACTCGTTTTAACTCTCAATGGTTCACTTGAATCACCGGTTCCAATTGAATTAAAGGCTCTTATTGTTATCTCATAAAAGGTGCCACAAAAAAGTCCATGAAGAGTGTGATTAAATTGACTGGATGTAACTCGCTTTTCAAAAACATCATTTTTAGTTGAACTTGCTCTGATGATGAAACCTGGTGGAAAATGACATTGAATTAGTTATAAAATTCATGGTTTCTTTTCGACTCATGTTTAGATTTAACTCAATCCTTTTGGTTTTAACGTTAAACTCAATTCTTAGACTGAATGGTTAAAGTCAATCCATGATCATAATAAACTGTTACATGGATATTTATGGTTACAAAACGAGTGTTAACACATTTGCTTGTCTTACTCTGTTATAAGATACAAAATATATAAGTCATGTTCAAGAATGAAAATCCTAAAAGCACAGTTTTGTGTGATTCTGATTCCGGTTAAAACTCTGGGTTTCACCAAAATCCAAATCCTCTTAGGAACTGATTGAAGCTTATTTATAATGTAATAATAAATCTTTCTTTTCCTTTGTCAGTCTTGATATCAGATTACGATTATTTCTGTGTTGTTTAGCTAATACTTGTTTCACTTTATAGTTTAGGTCAAATATTGCAACCCAAGTCTTATTTATCTTTATTATCACCGTCACCATCACTCTCATGGTTTTCACTTTCATCTCAACTAGATATTGAATTGTATAAAAACCAAAACAAAATTGAACAACAGAAAAAATCTTAAACCAGAAATCAAGGTGACAATTGTGTTTTACATCAAATGTGTTAAAGTTTTGGCAACATTTTGAACCATTTTCATTTCGGATCAAAATTCAAACTCAAAAACTGTCAATTTGTTGATCAATATTGGTTCAAATCGCGGACAAATAATGTTCATGTTAACATTAATCATATACAACTTGGAACAGTCTTGAACTTGGAATTTCGAAGATGAAAAGGTTCACTTTTTTGATTAACTCGGCTTCAAGTCACAGCTTTTCCCAAATCGTAATTCATTGCAATTGTTAAACTGGAACCATTCAAGTCCTTTTTGTCAGTCTTTACCTGTTATCTGATTCTCGTCTGATTCAACAATCCATTCCAGAGTAATTGATGTAAAAGTAACCGTTGATGATTCAATTTTAGGTGGCTTCGGTGGATCTGATACAAGAAAAGAGCAAATTAATATTAGTAAATCAATGATACAACAATTATTGATTGAATAGCAAAAAGAATCTAAATCAACCTTTGATTTCTTTATTTGGACAAAAATGAAGATATTGAAGAGTTGCTTTATGAACATTGAATATTGAATAGTCTAAAGTGAATTTTTTCAAAATTAATGATGTTAAGATGAACTTTAAATCAACTAAATGTTTCAATTTGAATCAAAATCCATCAACAGTAGTCATTATAATCATCAGTAATTTGATGATGTTTCACTCATTTCTTAATCAATATAATTATGTCTTTTCTCTTCATTTGATTTTCTCATTTCAATCAACCTCAAAAACTCGTCAAATTACACGTAATTTAATCTGATTCAAAGTTCAACAACAATTCAGGTTGCAACCAAGAAACAAAAATCAATTAATTAGGAAAATTGAAAAGAAACTAAACTCCAAAAAATGATGAAAACATGAAACATAAACATGAAAAGATGAATCCAGATTATGAATGGAAATTGAAAGTAGATGCTTTAAATCATCATTAGACCAAGTTAAATTGTCAAAGTTAACAATAAAAATTGAGGAAATCAGTTTTTCAATTGGAAAGCATTTTACATTGAAAAAATGAAAAATGAATCAAATGGTTAAACATTGACTTTAACCATTATTAACTGTATACATTAACTGGTTAAATCCTTTGGTAACCACCGAAAACGGAAAAAGGATGTTCATGGAATGAAATGAAATAAATGATAAAAATTGATAATAAGGTTAACAATGTTGGTAGTTGTTGGTGGAAATTTGATAAATTGTGTGTTCACTGTAAATACAAACATTTGTTGTGACATTTTCATCGATCTGATTGTGTATTAATTGATTGATATTTGTGTGTTCACTTTTTTGTTGTCTTTCAGTTTGATAAATGTTTGGCTAATTGTTGAGTTGAATAGCAATTTGGTTAGTGAAAATTGTCTTGTTTTTGCTGATCATTTGGTTAACATTAAATAAATGTTTAACCCAAAATAAACCAGAAAAAAGGAGGAAAAATGAATAGAAAAGAATAAATAATCAATAATATTTTAAAATAATTTTCAAAGTAAGGGTTTGAGGAAAGTGATGAGTATTGATTTGCTGCTAATGTTTTCCATCATTACCATGATCAGGGGATCGATAATGGTTGAAAAGGTAAGATTAGCTCAACATTCTGGGAATGAGAATGAGTAAAGTCATCATGATGAGTTATCAAAATTGAAATTGAAATGAAAAGACGAGAAGGAAGAAGAAGAGAGAAAAGGAGTGAAAAGTGGAAATTTCTTTACACAGAATAATAATGTTTTTAAGATGATTAAAAGATAACTGAATGATGCTCAGTGAGGTTCAGGTGATGCTCATGATGAGCAAAGGTAGGAAAGTGTAATGATTTTTTTGAGACCAAAAAAGAGGATGAGTAAAATGAAGGTGAGATGAAGGTTTATCAACACTTTATAACACCTTATCTTCTCTTTCTTTTCCTTCCTTCCTTCCTTTCTCATCTTCAACTTTATCTCAAGTTGTGCTCATCAAAAACATGATGAACATGAGGAAACTTTTCCTTCTTCTCTCACTTTCTCTGTTCTTCATCTCCAAGTTGAAATGAAGTTGCCACAGTCAGACCATCAGCATAATGGTTTCACATCAAGGTATGATGATGATGAAAGGAGGTTCAAGTCCATTTGATTGATCTTTTGATGTCTTTTTTTCCTGCCGTCTGATCAAACAGTTGGATTCCTGGTTATTAACTCAATCACACCTTGGTCGACTTATGAATATGAAATGTGAGGCTAAACAGAGTTGAATCGGGAAAAGAAATGAAATGGTCAGAATTTTAAATCTATCATAAAAATCTAGAATAAAAAAACTGTTTAAACATTCAGAGTAAGCAACAAAAAAGTAGAGTTAAAAAAAGCTAAATAATGAAAAAAGTGGATAAATGTTGATATTTATTTATACTTTGAAATTGTTTACTCAGTTTAAGATGTTTCTGTTTGATAGTTTGTCTTCACAAGATGAGGATCAACAGAAGAAGGGAAAAAAATGATAAATCGTTTTTATCGTTAAGTTGACCTTTAACAATGTTTAGGCCAGAGAATGAAAGAAAAGAAAGATGATGAGAAAGATAACAAAAGAGTAGACGAAATGTACTTTAAGACGATCGATGATCACAGTCAAGATGATGATGAAAAAGCATTGGAGAGGATCAAGGGTAGGATGAGGATGAGGATGGAAGAACGCAAAAAGACTAAAGAAGATGAAGAAAATTGTTGCCAAAAGCATTCCCAGTATATCTAATGGTTGACAAGGAAACTCTTTCCCATCATCATCTTCATCTCCTTTTTTTCCTCATCCATAAGACATCTTCTTGAGATGGTATTAAAAATCACTTTTCTTGAATCTTGTTTCTTCCTTATTCCTTCTTTATCCTCTTTTTTACCTTTTTACATCTTCTTTAACTTTCACATTCTTTTCTTACCTTTACAGAAAACAATCCACAAATCAATTCAACTTAATTTTCTCTTCTAACATGGACCACATTATGAATCTTTGTTTAGCCATTAGAGGTGTATTGAACATTTAACCAAACCTTTGATAAGATGTATTTGCAAAAGCCATGTTTTAACCATAAAAATGTATCAAATATTGGCTTTGAGTAAACTATTTTTGGAAGCTTTAAGGTCCAAATCGACACAATAAAACACTGGAATAACCTCAGACTCGGACAAAACCTTGGACAAAAAAAACCTCAGACGTGTAAGTTGCAAGAGTCAAGACTGATTGAGTTGGACAAAGATATACTTACAGTTACCATTCGGTTAAAATTAATAGGGAAAACTGGTGATTCCATTATTAAACAAGATTATTAGATGGTGTTATTAATTAATATAAAACTAATAATTAAACTACTAATTAGCCGGCTGACGAGTTGGGCAAAACCATGAATTGGATTGAAACATGTGTTGGTTTATTAAAAAAAAGGGAGGGAAAAGAGTTGAATCATCGAGAGTTGAATGGCGCTATTTATGAGTTATTTGAAGCATACAAATCTTGTCTATTTTAATTATTTAAGATTAGCATTTTGGTTGAACTTTAATTTATTGATTATTTCTTTAATCAATTCCCTTTCTGTTCATCATCTATGCAAATAATCAATGTAAACTCTTGATTAAATTTCCTTTCTTGCCATTCAATTAAATTAAAAGAGTAGAAACTATCATCTTTAGCCTAAATTTGATTTACAATTGTTATTTTGTTATCCAATTAATTCAAGAGTGAAAAAAGCCAAAAATAATATAAATTTAAATTGGCAAATAGTCAATTAAAAATTTAATATTCAATGTTCAAAGCTTTTCAAGTGTAATCACTTTAAATTTGAATGTGGCGCTTAAAGTGCAAATTGATCTTGACAGACTCTGGTTCGATTGTTTTTAAAAACAATAAGGATTATAAAAGGTTGTTTTTCATTTAATTTTGGTGTTTTGTTTAGTTATTTGATTAATTTGACAGGATTAAAGATTAACATTTCATCGATTCATAAAGCAACGTCCAATTCATCAGAAACTGCTTGAAATAACTGTATTGTTATGTGATTATCAAGACTCAAGTTATTGTGCGCTCGGTTAAAGTGAAATAACCCAAAGACCATTCTGGTTAACCTACATTTTTGGACAATTAAAGCCAATAAATCAAATTATTTTCTAATTATGATCAAGATATTTGAAAAGAGAATGAAATTTGCTGTCAAATCGACATAAATCATTGTCTCGCTTATTGATTAGTAAAGTACAAAATGGGTAATTTGAGGCAACCAGAAGTCTTGAAGCTCAATACATTAATGGTTTTGTTTACATCGATTTTACCAAAATTTTCATTTTCCAAAAGTCTTGTGACTTCTATCGACATGATTTAGATGTGAATGTGAGTTAAAATTGTAGCTTACCTTGATGATAGGTTTCAACTAGAATGGGATCAGATAAAATTCCTGGTCCCTTTGAATTAAAGGCTTGAACAACAATTTCATATTTTGTTTTCCTTTCAAGATTGGTCAGCGTTATTTCAGGCCTAAAATCATCGCTAATTGTTATCGTTTTGTAAACTGAAGCATCACCAGAATCAACTGGACGATAACCAACATAGTAACCATTTATTTTACCAAAACTGTATCGTGCTTCTGGACTCTAGTCATCATTAAGATACCGGTTGAGTAGCGAAATAAAAAGAAAAGGAAAAAACAAAAAAAAAGAATGAAAAAAATGGACAAAATTGCATTTTCTTTACAAAAAAAAACTGAGTTCCATAATGATAATAATAATGATGATGATGTTAGTAATAAAAAATAATATACAAGTGGACTCTTGGCCAGTAAATATAAGACAAAAGTAGATGATGAAGAAGAGTTGAAATGCATCCAAGTGGAAGGTTAATGTCCAGTCAAATATCATCTATATTTGTCTTCCTTTCATTAAACGATAAATTCAATTGGAACAGGAAAAACCGTTAAAATTCAACTCAAAAGTAAACTGTAAAAGTTGACTTTTGATTGGCATTTTACAAGTTAAAACAGTCAACCAGATTCAACGAGATTAACCAAAAGAAATGAACTAAACTGAACAAGTCTACCATCAAGCCTGATAAATTAATTTACATCATTGAGACCATTTTTACTTTACTGTCATTTACTTTGACCATTGAGTTGAACCTTAATCGGTTGGTCAGTGGTTAAAAGCATTTATCATTCCCTGTTAGATGAACAAGATGAAAGCAATGGAAGCAATGGAAGCAACAAAAAAAAGAAAAGAAAAAATCGAATCCCAAAGATAATCAAAACACAATCAAATTGACCATTGAATTGCAATTGATTTCTATTTAAATTGAATCACAAAATGTTGATTAAAGTTTCAAGACTCATTGAACCAAACAATAAAATCTTAATCTTTAATCCAAACTCAATCCTCTTTTCATTTTCCTTCAAAAAACACTCTAAGGTTGATGAGTAAATGATTTAATTATAATCTTGAAATGAATTAAGTTTCATCAACATGTCAAGATAATCCTTTTAGCAAAACTGAAAGGTCCATTGATTTTCATTGCTAACATGATGATTGCCTTAAACCATTGAAAGTCCCTTCCAAGAGTCCAGAATGTTTCTAATTTTAATCAACTCCATTAATTGGATTAATTTGAAGCTAAATAAAAAGGTTTAGATGAGCATTTGGCTCAACTTTACTCCCAGTAAAGTTACGGTTACTTACATTCCAGGCAACTTTGATTGACCGAGATGATAATGCATATCCTTTTAAATGGTCAGGAGCTTTATTTGGCACTGAAAAGATTAAGAAGGCAAAAGTTGGAGTGAGACTGGGAGTGAATCAAAGGGAATGAATTGTTATCAACTTGAAACTTTGAACGAAAAGGTTGAGTTGAGATGAAAATATTGTCTTATTCAATTCCTGATAGACTTGAGTCAATATTTTCTCAACCCTTGTTTTCAATTACGTTTCTTAAATGTTATGCTTTGAATTTTAAATTAAAAAAGTTTACTTCAACTCTTCTCGACAAGTTTATATTGTTTTTGTTTTTGTTGCACTTTTTGTTATTAATTCATTTTATTCATTCCCATGAAATTGGACTGAAAAGAGGTTCACTAAGCCTGAGGAAATTGTTCATATTTTAAAGTCATTTTTTGCGTTCATCTTCTTCTTCTTCGACCAAGATTAATTTATCAGCAAATGCAATTGAAAAATTGTTTTCTCTGTCTCTTTTCATCCTTAATTTATCGCCTTCAAATGATTATTCAATTTTTTATGATTCTAGTTCAGCTTTAATTTCGTTGGATTGCACTAATTTTTAGGAAATTTTTCCAAAAACAAAATCTCATTTAATTTGTTCAATAACTATCAAGGGAGTTATTTAGAGCTGCATGTTACTCTCGATTCAAAAGTTTAGATACAATTAGCAACAGCAATTATTCATAGCTAATTAAACTTGGTGAATGGCCAAGTGCATGTATATCAGTCACTTGGAGTTTCCTTGTAAACCAATTTGAAGGTTGAATTGAATCACTTTAATGAGAGTTTCAAAATTGAAAAATGCAACTGAAAACTAACCTTAAAAAAGCTGAAAAACGCAAAGTTATTAAAGGGCGAAAAGATGAAATCTTGAAAAGTCTTGAAACAAAACAGATTCTCGCAGAAGCAAACCTTTGTTTCAATTCATTTGCTAGTAAAGCTGAAATTGAACGCGAAAAGATGGACTTTAAGCTCATTACTCTGTTCATCAGTTAATTTCATCTTTTCATACTTTTACAAAATCCTTTCATTTTTCGAAACATTGTCGAGATTTTGTTCAATATTGAGACATAAGTTCATTTGTAAATCGGAAGTTACCTTCTTCGTCGGTTTGAAATTTAACCAACTGACTAGGTTCACTTTGACCAATCTCGTTGACTGCAGTAAGGCAAATGGTATAATTGGTTAGAGGCACTAAATCATTGATTGTCCATGAAGTTTCACTATTCGGTATTGTCAGGTTTCGATTTTGATGACTCGAAAAGGTGACTTCATTGTGATATTCACGAAGGTAAATGTGGTAACGTTGAATGGGTGAATTGCCAGAAAATGAAGGAGCCCAGTTTACTTTGACGCTTCGACTTTTAACGTCACTCGTCTTGATATCGGTTGGTGGATCAGGTGATTCTGTGGGTGAGACAAAAGCATGATTAGCATTAGAATTGAACAAAATGTTCTTCATACTTCGAAAAGAAATTCATAAAATTTTGCAAATAAGAAATCATTAAGTTTGATCGTGATTGTTACGTCGATGCAGTTGAAATGATTAGTCTCAGTTGAACCAGGTTTGTAAAGTCAACAGTTTTTTGTTTCACTCAACGTTAATTGATAGAAATGTTAAACGCGATTTAAAAACTCAATTATCTTTTTAAGTATTTAAATGCAAAGTTTAAATAAATATTGAATGAGAAATGAAATTCTGAAGTGGAAACAAAACAAATCTCAAATATATTTTATACTTTTTTTTGAGGTTTTTAGCAATTCAATTTTGCTTTTGTTATTAAAAAACAGTCAATATAAACAATGAAATGGTGAAGAGGAACAAAACTTGAATTTGATTTAAATTGTAAGTGAATTTTGGAGAGAAACAAGATTTGATAGAAAAAAGAACATTTTTTGAAACTTTTCTCCTTTTCGGTTCATTCGATGTTCATCTTCATCTTCAATGAAAACAAACAAACGGAAAACCTTCATGATGATGATGATTATTCTGATGAGTATGATGCTGGTAAGATGAGCAGGAAAAGTATTCAAAAGAAGTGCAAGAAATTGAATAAAGTTGTTTGGATAAAAGAAGATGAATATTTGCTTTTATCTCATTTCATCTTTTCATTCACCTTATTCTTGAGCAAGTAACGAAAGATGAACATTTATAATTTCAAAGTTTTTACTCATGAAAATTAACCTGAAAAGGTTCATGGTGAGACTCAATCTTAAAAAGTGAAAACATTTCGAAACTCCAAATAAAAGGTTAAGATTTTTCTCTGATTAAACCCAATTCGATGACCATTTCAATCAATTAAATCAGATAATATTGTTATTTGGAAATGTTTTGCAGTTGATTTACTTTTGCTGAAACGGATCGTCCAATTTTGATATTCTTACAAATTCTGTATAATCCAATAAATGGCGATATCTGACATCAGTTCATGGTTGGTAAATAGTCATGTCTAGCAGTGAACTTGCAGTTGTGATTTAATACGAACAGAATGAGAGAAAATCAATTTATTAATAATTAAGAAGCATAACTCGAGTTATATTTTGGTCTAAAGATAGACATCATTTGGATAGGAAAATGAAATGCAATTGAAAAGGATGTTTGATGCATTATTTGGAAGACTCGTAGTTTTCATTATGTTCATTATGTTCAATTAAATAACAATTTTTACGACAATCCATAAGCAACTAATTACTATTTGCATTAATCAAGTTCTAATTGTTAATTGCTATTTCTCTTTACTTCTGTCTTAGCCCATTTAAAGCTCAACTCGAACAATTTGCAACTTAAAATTTCTGTTTGATTGACAACTTGACCTAAAGTCACAGTTTTTGTTTGAAGTGCCATCAAAGATTGATCAACTGCAGCGTCTTTTGCCGCATGCAAAGGGTGAAGCCTAAGTGACTTAAGTCACGATTTAGGCTGACAACGAGATAGTCATCGAAGTGATCAGAATGATGCTAATGTGATCCAAGTCAAAAGATATGCCAACAGCTAGATTAGAGTTGGAAGAGATCTTTAAACTCTTCAAAAACTCAGTGTATTCGTGCATTTAATGATCATCAATGATGATTAGTTATTCACTATTTTCTCAAGTTTTGCACCATAAATGATTGAACAGTTCATTTTCTAGCGAACAATCGGTAAAACATTTTGCTTAGTAGATGAGTAAAGTTGTTAAGGGAGATTCACATGAATGTTGTTTCTAACCTTTTACTCGAATAAGGTCAATCGCTTTCATTTGCTAGGTTTCTGGAATGATCGTCAGTAGAATCAAGTAGAAGGAAATGAAAATTGAGTTTCTCAAGATATCTGATTTCATCTGTAGTTACCATCTAGTCTTGTAAAAAGTAATGATTAATAAATAATAGCATTTGACCTGGATAAATTAGTTACCGTTTGCCATGATGTAAATTGATGAATCAACGAAATGATGAATAGCAAGAAGATGATGTAAATGGGAACACAAATTTTGATTTGTAATACACTTTACTGATCATCTCAAGAGGCTTTTGCCTTGCACTTTTTCATTCCCAAACAAGTGAACCAAATTTAGTCTACTTATTACCATTGATCATCTTCCTAATCCTTCATCATAATCATTACAAGCTTCAGACTTTTGACTAACAATAATCTTTCCCATTTACACTTGTATTACAGTAACCTGTGAATACGTTTCAAATGATACTCTGTCTATTCCTATTGACACTTGTTCCCATTGACTCCAACCTTGACGTTATTCAAACCATTTGAATGAAACCTTATTTATATTTGATGAACAGTTCTCAATCATTGATACGTGAATAAGCAGAGCCAATCAATTGAACACACATGGAAATCAATAAACTTAATGAGAATCGAAAGAAGAAGAAGAAAAGCAAAAAATCATCTTCTTTTTTCTAATTACTTTCTCATCATCATATTGATGGCAACATTTTTAATAACGTCGAGTCACGTTGATGATAATTAATTGAATCCCATGTAATAAATATGTATGGCAATCTCATCTCGAGTGAATGGATGAATGGAAAGAAAGAGAGGAAATGAAATTGTATCAACAAAAACAGCGTCAATTGAACAAAAAAACATGATAACCTTAATTAGAAGCAAAGAAGAAGTATCTTCTTTCAAGTGAGAAATATCATGATATCCGGTCATCCGTTGAGTCTACAAAAGATGATTCCCTGGAAACAGCATTTCAACCAATTTCAAGAGTTTATTGATGGTAATAATACATTTTTACTCAATCAATTAGGCTACAATGGCGATTCAATGAGAAGAGGAAGAAAAAAAGTTTCTACTCTTTTTTAGTTCATCCAACTCTTTTAATCTCAAAATTCTTGTTCCAATGGTTATAAAGAATCGAAGAAGGATGAAAAGAATTTCCATTCAACTTTATATCACATCGTTATCATCATGCTTAAGATGGATTTTATTGAAGTGAAAAACGTTTATAACCGAATCGCCAACGAATAATTTAACCTCTAATTCAATTCCCAACTGGGAGTGAGAAATGCTGGGAGTGAATATAACAATAAATTGTATAATCAAAGTTTTACTTTGAACGTTAATTATGAAGACTAAAGAAAATAAATTATCTGAACAGAAAATTCTATTGATCTCAAGTCAAAAGTTTCTGAAACAGTAACAATAAGAAACAGTTTTGCTAATTTTAAAAGCGATTTCATGATACTTTGCATTTCATTTCTGAAATTCAAAGTGAATTTATCAGAGAATTTGAATAAATGGAAATCGAAAAACTTTGTCTTTTATTATTTTCTCATTTTGATTAAATTCCCACACAAATAATCGAGAGTAAATATTGCTGCAAAATTGAAAAATTGTCAAATTATTCGAATTGAAAGTTATAAAACTTGAATTTCGTTCACTTTTCAAGATAAACTTGAGCTATTACTCGATTGGCTGAATCTAGTTTTAGGTTAAAACTTTTGCATCAAACGCATGGATTCATGCTGTCATTATTTTTAATAGTTGAATAGTCTTTTCGAACTCAAAAGCTCATCAAATAACCTCATTTATAACTCGAGATCTCAAATGATTCTAAATGCTAAAGCTACGAAAATGAACGAAAGAAAAATTTGTTTTCCAAGATTTACCCTGGATTTTAGTTTCATCATTCATTAATAAAGTACATTGGACTTGAATGAAATGAGTTGATAAAGCAATGTGAAACACAAAATATTATAATAATATTTGCTCTCAAGATTGTTTCCATTAGCTAAACACTGTAATTTAATGTTCTGGTTAAGCTTACTCTCGACTAACCATTCAGTGTTTTTTTGCCTCCTAAATTAATCACCTCATGTTCATTCAGAAATGCTTGCCTCAGAATATGGAAAGTGTTTGTTAGGGAGAATTGGTTAAACCCAAACTATTTATATTAACTGTGAATCGTCATTGTTTACCATGAATAAGTTTAAAGATAATTTGGAACAAAAAAGGATGAAATGAAAATCAATCTTAAGAAAATTGTGAGTTACTTTCATGAGAGTAGAATCATAATGATGATAATAAATATAATGGTAATGATGATGATAGAAATTTATTTGTGAGCATAATTTTGTTGAGTAAAGATGATTTACATTGGAAAGAAATACAAAAGACCAAATCAAGTAAATGATGAAGAAGGAAAAATGAAGTAAAAGAATCAAAACGAAAGCTTTAACATGATTATCGAATCATGGTTGAGATTTTTTTTCTGGCTCTTCTTCTTTTCCTGTCAACTTTTATCAAGAATACATGAATTTCTGTCACTTTCATGGTATTCTTATTTTTCACCATGAAATGTTTGAAAAGAAGGGAAAAGAAACGAACAAGAAAGGAGAAAAATTTGTATTCGCATTAAATTTGGGTTCAATTTTATCATTTTAATTGACATTATTTCATCCATTTCGGGATTGTTTTTTTTGCATTTTCAACTTTGATCAATGAATCTGACAAAGCATTTTGCCAATTGACTTGTTGAAGCAAAGTGATTAATGAATTGTTTCATCGTAAACGAAACAAATTGGATGGGAAATTAGGCTGATCATGATATTGACTCGACCATTATTGATCGCCAATTAATGGCTTATTCTGACCCTTTTAATCAACAAACAATAATAAATCATCAAACATCATTACTATACGAATCAGTATTGAAATTGATTGAAAAAATATATTTCTGTATCCAAAATTATTTCTAGAGCTTGGCTTCAAGGAGAAACTTTTTTCACTGAAAAACACTTCATCATCGATAGCCACTTAAGGAGCTTTACTCAGCCTAGAAGAGTAGACTCTTTAGGTTGAGACTTGGTGATCTTATGGGCAAGTTTCGCGTTCAAGTTGATCTTGATAAACTTATGATGAATCATTCGAATGATGAATTCGTGCGTCATTGGCAAGCTGAGGCCTCAAAGGTCAAGTAAAACTTGACCAGTTCGAAATTATTCACTTTAAGATGTACATTTAGAAACAAGTTTAGTAAACTCGACCCTAACTATTGACTTAGTTTGATCCTAATGAGTAGTACTTCTAGGTTGACTTGAATCTTAAGCTTTGCCTAAACTCACGTGTTGGACTGTGACGATTCATTGATTGAAAATCATATTCATTTATAATAATTTAACCTGGCTTGCTCTTTTGCTGATGAAATGTGCATGAAAATGTGTCATTAATTTACTAGCTAATATGATATGGAGGATGTGATTAAGGATTTTTGATGTAATCAGATGCGAAAGAAACAAGGCAAAATGTACTAAAGAAATTATAAAAGTGAAGAGGCAAAAAAAGATGATGATTATGATGACAATGATAGAGAAGAGGAGAAAAGGCTGAAAGAAAAAGGCCAAAAATAAAGTTGTCAAGATTGAATGACAGAAGAGATGTTGGAAGGACAAAAAATAAATGCTGATAAAAATGATTTCTTATGCTAAATAACGTTTCATGAGAAGATGACTGAGAGAGAAAAAAAAGATGAAAGAATATGCTATCAACTGAATTTAACCAACATGAATCGAGATTCATGATATTAGTTGTATCAGTGAAAAAAAGAAGAATGGAAAAGAAGAAGAAAAAAAGAATTATTCCAACGAAAGTAAAATACAAGACTGGGATGGATAACAGATAACATGACAATAAGTCTGAATATTTCACAACAAACATGATTCTTGAATGAAAAAAAAGACAAAGTTCAATGTGAGCAAACAGCAATTCTCAATTTACTGTTGAATCGGACAAAAAGGCAAGAACAAGGAAAGTCGAAAATAACTATTGCTTGGAATTGATTATGAGCATTAATAATGTATAAACTTATGATTATCATTATAAGCATAATAATATGATAATATCAACTGATAATGTTTAACGACAATGGAATCAGTTTTACCTCTGACAATCAACTGAATCCGAGTTTCATCTTTACCATAACCATTGGTTGCATGGCAACTGTACAATGCCGAGTCTCGTCTATCAACATCGAGAATGGCAAGTTCCGAGATGATTCCTTCAGTAGTGATGTGATCTTTCAAAATGACCCTAAAGTTGAAATGAAGAGAAGAGAGAAAAGTTTCCATTTTTATGATTAAATTTTCGTTCTTTTTTAATTTCAATTTTCGATTCAAGTTTGTTATCAAATAACTTTGTGATTATATTACATTTTTCAATAATGTATAATGTTTACAGACTTGAGGGTAAAATGGATGTTTATCATTATAAAATGATTCAATATGTGTTTCATGTTTTTCATCCTTTTCACTTCTGTTCATGATATTTTGCTTGTACAAACCTTTTAGGTTCAAAGATAATCGGCTTATCGTCTTTACGCCATTGAATTGTTATTGGTTTCTCGCCATAAGCTTCACATGATAATTTGGCTTCTTCCAGTTTGGTAAATGTTTCAGAGCGAAATTTACTGGTGAAATAAGCTCCTTCTGTGAAAACAAAAAGTTATTTATGTCATGATGAGAAGCTGAGATTGTTCCAGATTTGCTGAGTGACCGTTTATGTCTTGTTCAAGTGTAAAATGAAATGTTTGTTAGCATTGAATTAGCTCAAAATAACAAATGTAAACCCACTTTATCTTGCTAATTGAGTTTGATTCAGTTTACTGTCAACATTAATGCAAAATAATCCAATGATTATTAATAGACAAAACCAATGGAGAAACTGTTCACCGCTAAGTTTTCTGCTTTCTGTCCGGTTTCACCAATAGTTTAATTCTGTCATAACTTTTAATGAAAACTCTTGAGATTGTCTCTTTCACAAAAGAATCATTCATTTTTCGCTAAACTGAACGATTGCAGTTGAAGTCGAAAGAGCTCAAAGAATTGACAAGAGCTAACGAGTAAGATACAGAAGAATTGATTTGTTCAAAGATCAAAGCTATTCTTTTGCTCAACTCTTCGTCAAATCATCTTGATCTATTAAGCTAATTGGATCATCTAAATCACTTGGTTTTAAGTCGATTGATTCACATTCACAGCTCGGAATTGCTGTGCTACATTAAGTAAAGTTTTTTATTCCTTGGTGTTTATTGTTTATCAATCTTTCTTATAAACTGAATTGGGTCTAAACTATCGATGGCTAAGATGATATGCAGCTCTTTTAATGCTAAACATTTGCATTCGTGCTCTTTGCAATAAACTTTTGTTTCTCTTCATTGACTTAAAATCAATGTCCTGAAGATATCAAATATTACTTTTAGAGAATAGCAAAACACAGAATCGTATTGTAGAGTTATGCTTTCTGTGGTTGTTTCGTGTTTTTAGCTGAGAAGATTGATGGATGCTCAGAATTAAGAGTTGACTCTGGCAATGTTTTTACAATGTTTACTCACCATGGACCGAGATGCGAATAACTTTACTCAATTCAGTTCCAACACCATTGGATGCTTGACACAAGTAGAGTCCAGCGTCACTCTTTTGGATATCATCTATGAAAAGAGCTCCACTATCGAGTATTTGAACTCGAAATGAGCTGACAATTGTTTTATAACTTGTTGTCCCATCTGATGAAGAAAGCAAATAAAAAGAGTTGTCACTTTAATTGAATTATAATCAGTAAATTTAATGAATAAAGTAAACAAAGTGTATAAAGTGAATGAAGCAGGGAATGAAAAAAAGGTCTAAATAAATAAACACGATTAAAGAGTAAAATTGCTTTTTCATTAAAAATAATTAATGAAAAAAGCACAACCAAACAACAGGCAGAATAATTGACGAAACAAAATTAAATTGCAATTGTTGACATTTTCATACTAAACACAAGTTTATTGCCTGGAAAAAGAGTTGATTTGCAAACTCGTAAATGAAGGCAAAAAAAGAAGCAAGCAAAAGATGAATTAATGAAAAATGTCGACAACAATTAGTCCAACAAACAGCAAGAAAAAAGGCAAATAAAAGCGTAAAATGATCAACAGTATTGAATGATCAGGCAACGTAAAAGGAATGAAGAAAAGCTTTCAATGTAATTGAAGATTATTCATATAACAATAGACTGTGAGTGACTTGAATGTTGATCATTCCTGACTATTCATTGGTGTTTCTTGTTTAAAGATTATCATGTTAATGATGCCAGTGATGATGATGATGATGGGTAATCAGGCTTATTGTTGGGTGACCATTTAATTTAACCAGGTTGGTCACAAGCAAAGGAAACCACTAATAAAGTGAATAGAAAAAGCAAAACCTTTTTCTTTGGTTATTGTAGTTTTGCTAATAAATTGCAAATAATACAAATAATATAATTTATCCATTTAGACTGGAAACTTGTTAGTGTTAACCATCTCTATCCATCATCATCATCACCAGATATAATGACCATCTTCTTGACTCATTCCCTTTTCTCCATCCCTTTAGGGTTTTCAAGAGTGCAGGTCATCTTTTGCTCGAGTAAAAGTTGGTTGCTCACAGGATCAGTTGTTGGTTTGGAAACGGATCGTGTTTTGAATGGTAAAATATTATTACAGTTGATAGCTTGTATTTCAATGAATGATGAAAGATGGTGAAAGAGTGAGTAAAAGATGAAAGTGAAAAGAGTTGGCTTGAGAGCCGAAAAATTGCTATTGTTATCAACTTTGTTTCTTTACATTTCCATGATTATATTTCCCAGCTTTTCCTTCTAATTCAATCAACTCTAATTCCATGAGAGATTTGGGATACTTTTTGCTCTCATCAATTCAATTCAATGAAATGTTGAATACTTTTATTGATTCAAACTGTTTCCAGTTGCAAAAGGGAACCAAAGATATAAAATTGAAAAGCCATTGAACAGCAAACACGGGAATCTTCATTAACATGACCCATTCGAGTTCATCATTTCTAGGAAAAGCAAATTTCCATTTTCTCAGCCTTCTTCATCAATAACAACAGTCATTGTTAATGAATTTACTAATAAGTTTCACCAGAATCTCTACTAAACATTTGAAGTTGCTTTGCTCAATCTGACAATAAGTAAACATTATCATTCAAGTTGATCATTTTTCCGAACTTTATTTCTTCCTTTTCTTTATAAATATCGGACTGTTAATGAACTGATTAATAAGCTTCATCAGCATATTTTAAAGAGATTTTAAGTTTTCTCTGAACAGAAGTTCGAAGTGTAAATCGACTTTTTAGTCAGTCTTTTCAACTCACTTTGAGCCCTTTTCCAGATGATTGAAGGCATCGGGAATCCTGAAGCTTGACAATTGCTCCAAACTTGGTCTCCTTTGGTTGAACTTATATCGCCTGGTTCGTAGATCCATTGTGGTGGAGCTGAAAATAAACAATTGAGAAATGTGTTATTCTAATGAACCAATTTACAGAGTAAAATGAATGGAAACTGCAGAAACTATTTTTCCATGACAACTTTATTAATATCATGAGAAAAGGCAAAGACAAACATGAAATTCTCATAATCATCTTGATACTGTAATTGTTTTGCCTTGAATCTTTTTCTCCATTCAACATTATGTGAAGGTGTTTCATAAAGAAATAAACAGATTGAATCATTAAATGATTTTTCTTTCTTCGCCTCTGAAACTCTATTCCTTTTGCCACCTTTCTCATCATTATTATCAGTTTCATGTTAACCCAGGCTAACATGGTGAAAACACACAGAGAAACAGAATGTAATCTTGAAACAAGAAAGTAAATTGCAAAATGAAATCTCATTCCCAATTGTTCATCATATTTATCACATTTCTTTCCTTCTTCGTAATACTTTGGCAACATAGCAAATAATTATGATAATAATGATGATATAATTATAAAAGTAAATCATTATTTGATGAATAGTAAACACTTTGTTTTGTATCAAATAAGACAAAAAATTGTTTCACTAATACAAATAATTCCCAATATTAATCTTGAGTTGATGAAGAAAAATATCACCCAAAGCCAATTTACGTTATTAACTTTGATAATCAGGTAATTACTGTTATTGCTATTATCACAGCTAATTTTCATTTTAAACCTGAAGCACTCCAAAGTTGATTAAAGCTTCACGTCAGTTTGGAGACTGAATCAACTCTTGAACGTAATTTGCATTATTCATGACTAAACATAATCAACTTAATTTCGGATTCTTGATTGATTCAAATGATAACTTTTCATTGTTTGATATCTTAATTTGTGAAATTATTTTATTTGGTCTACTCAAAATCGAGAGAAATTTTCATTTCTTTTCGTCAATATTTTATTAGCGACAAAACGGACAATAATATTCCTTATGAATGTTCATGACAAGGTATGTTATAACCTTTGAACATGTTTTGAATCATGAAATGATTAAGAAGAAAAATTATTCTTTAATTATTCTAATTTGCATGATTTTATGAATTAAGATAAACTATTATATTAATAAGTGATTGCAATGAAATTTTCCTTCTTTTCTCCGTCATTTGGAATCTTATTAAGCATCTTCTTTGTCCATTTTTGAGGTAAACAAGATTTAGTACCATGCAGTTGCCTCGCAACGAATGGTAAGACAAAAATCTGATTTAGTTATTGATTCGAACAGAGCAAAACTAATTTCAGAACAGTTTATATTGATATTTATAGTTTGATTTTGTCTTCAAAGTTGATCAACTTATATAATAAAATGAAGTTTGAATGATGCTAAACTTAGAACCTGAAATAGCACTAGTTCACTCCCAGCAACCTTTGCTAACTGACGCGATATTCGGAGTCTTTTCATTGTTTGACATTTATTTTTCTTATTAAATGAGAATCTTTCATGTTGAGATCATGTTCAGAAATAGAATGGTTCATTTAATTATAAAATCGCTTCTTGAGCAACTCTTAACAAGTTTTGAGAGAAACTTTTTCGTTGCAAATTCCATCTTCTTACAATATGAAATTAATTTGAGAAAATAATTTGTTTACATGTCAGGTTTACATGTTGAATGTTATTAGTACAAGAAAATGGGTTGAAATCACAGGTAAACAAACAGAACTAATGATGACTTGGGAATTGTCATGACTCTTACTATTCAAGATTCAGAGGATTGCAAGTTTCTATTATCTACGTTTACACTCACTTTATCTAATATCTGAATATTGTTTGAAAGGTACAAAGAAGACAATTCCCTTGGTGAAACTGTAAAAACAAATCTTCATCTTTTTTTTCATCTTTCAATGGATAAAGATTGGTGCAACTTAAGTGGACAGACTGAATAAGATGCATGATGGTTAAGTTGAATGATGATCCGTGAAGAAGGCAGACAAAGTAAAAAGGAAACATGATAAGCTACCAAAAAAGAAATAATTGAATGAGTAAAAGGTAAATGCTAACGCAAGATAATGGAAATGATGAAAGGTTCACCACTCATAAGATTCAGCTTTCACCAAGTTGAATGTTTCCGTGTATATCAGGTGATTCCTGCTCATTGCTCCATATAAGTTACCTTCCTCTTCCATGCCATGAATGCTATCAACTGGGAGTTGAAACAGGGAGTGAAAACTCCAAGCAAAGGCTGGGAATGAAACTCAAGAGTAACTTCTAGAATTGAGCACTTGAGGTCTGGGAGTGAATTCAGGGAGTGAATGCTGGGAGTGAAAGTTTCATTAAGTCAACTATCAAGTAAATTTCAAAGATTTTTCTCGTTGAATTTGGATCGATAGTTTATTAATTTTGACCTTAACAGAAATGATTCCATGAGATATTGCAAGATTAATTGTCGAGTCAAACTATCTTTTGCTTGCTTAGTTAAATGTTCATTTTTCATTCAATGTTGGTAAGAGATGTATTTACCTTTGCTGATCATTTCAAGCATTTTTCCTTCATCTAAATGAAACATTCATCTTATCTTTTTATCCTCTTATATTTACAGGGAAGCAAAATGAGATTGACGATGATTTATCATGCTTTGCCTATGCTATAGCTATTAATTTGCATGCTCATCACAACTCGTCATCTTTAACCAGATAAATGTGATTATCATTATTAGACTTTGCAATATGTTGATTGGTAATGATAAAATTGTATCTGTCAATGAATTATTCTCAATTTGATTATCTGTTGTGATGATAGCATTCCCAGTAGAATCACAAAGTCATGATTCTGTTACAAGATCCAGCAAAATGACAACAAAATTGATTAACATACAACATGAAACAAGTCAACATCAAAAGTCACAATAAGATTGAAAACTCCAAAAAATGGAAAAAAATTCCAAACTCAACTCATAATCTCATCAACTTACAAAGTCTTTTCACTCGATAAAATTTTCTGATGAAAGACTTGGACTTATTAATGACTGTCGATATTTCATTTTAAATCAATATTTTCTGTTGTTCAGTTGAGTTTCACTTTGTTATGCTTGTAGCCATGAACGCCCTTTATTTAATATTCATCAAACAATTACAATTCAGTTAAGTGTTAATGGATAAAGGTAAAAGTAAAAGTTGACGTAAAACTGGTTCATGATGAGTGCAAGGGAAGCCAAATTATTTCCTACTTTGCTCTTTAATAAAATCAAAGCTAGAAAAAAAGTTAATGATAATAATGATAATGTATTTGATAATCAACGATCTAAACATAATGTAAAGTCTTACAAAAAAAGAGTAAAACTGTTTAAAAAGGTTAAAGAATAATATTAGGAGGGAAAAAAGCTGAATCTTTCAATTTATGCTACATCATAATTGTAACCATTAACAGCATTTTGATGGTTAAGTGTGTAACATGGTTGATGATGGTAAAACTGTTATAATCATTGGTGTGAACCAGAAATTGTGTATTAAGAATCGCCAAATTGACCAGGAAAAAGAAAATGAAAAGTCTAGAGAAAAGGCAGTTTTACATGTTGATCACTCCCAGTGACACCAATACAATTCCCTAGTCAATCAATCTTCTGTCATTATAAATATGACAAGTTTATTTATAATCATTTAACCATTTACAGATAACAGTTGGACTGAAGAATAATCTTGGAATTTTGGATAATTTCAAGATTTTCTCATTTTCCACTCAACATTGAGCCAGACTCTTGTCAGAGTTCGTTACGAATAAAACTGAAAATTCGAAGCTAATCTTTAATAGAAATTTTAAAAGCTGTTTACTCTTCTTTTCATCGATCAAATGATTTTTTATCGATTGAAGGAAAAGTTGTTTAAAGAAGCTTTTAACTTTAATAAAGATATTACAATAGCAAATGTTGATTTAATAATAAATATGCTTGAGTCGCTATTTTGATGAACAATTGTTGCTTTCAAAATATGTTTGTATTTTGCTTCGTTGTCTTTTATTCAACTTTTGGTTGGAAAAGTTTTTTTACTCAAAAATTTCAGTTTTCTCAGCTTTTCTTTTCACAAATGCTAAAGGTTAAACTTTTGTGAGTGAAAATGAAAAATGTAGTTGAAAACGTTTCCATTTGTGGTTAGACTTAGGTATTTAATAACAGGTTTACATGAAGAAACAACTTACCATAAATGACCATCATTTGGCTATGAGAATCTTGACCAACAGCATTGGTGGCTAAGCAGGTATAATTACCTCGATGTTCACCTTTGATTGCTTTGAATAGAATGGTTGATGAATAGTCGGCTAAATGGTGAATAGCAATTGATGAAGATGCATCTTCCCTAATTGTTTCACCATCTTTAAGCCATTCAATGTGAAATGGTGGATCGCCTTTAATAACAGTACAGCTAATTGATAGACGTTGGCCCATTTGTATGTCAACAGGTAAAACAAATTGGTCAACCTTTGGAGCCACTTGAAAACGAAAAGAAAAATTTGTCAGAAAAAAGAAAACAAAAAAGTCCAAAAAATTGGAAACCTCCAAGTTATAAAGATTGCAATTGTGAACTTTTCACATGAAATTTCCCTCAACAAAGCAAAACACCTTTTCCAGTAATTGAGTTGTTTAACCTGAAAATACTGACAAACATTTTTACATAACTTACTACAGAAGCAACTTGGAGTTAACTTTTGTTTCATAATGAAAATGTTATTGATGTTTCTGTGATTCTCTGAATTGTCCTTTGATGAACCGTGATAAAGTCAAAGGTTGATAATGGGATAAGCTGAAATTGACAGGGATTGACTCACCTTGTATGGTAAGATGAAAGCCATTTGATGAAGAAACGCCTTCATCATTTGATGCTGTACATGAATAGTAACCTTCATCAGATTCTTTGGTTATATCAGATACCACCAAGGTTCCATTTTTATCGAGCATTTGCCTGTGATTGTTTGGCAATCTTTTCCCATCTTTTTGTCCCGATTTCAAGTGAAAGTAAACCAAGAAAGAAAAGAAGAAGAAAAAAGTGTTATTTGAGAAAAAATATCATTCCATGAGGATATGATAATGATGAGAATAATGAAGCAAAAGTTTAATGAAAAGGAAACGATACTTTGTTGACACTTCATCAATCATTTCATTGTGATTCTTTAATGTCATTCATGGTCTCAATCTTTATTCAAATGTTCATCTGTTTAAACTCAAACGCGGTCAATTTGCTTATGGAAGGTGAAACCTTTTTTCTTCAGGTAAAAATATCCGAAAATTTCAAGTTCCATTCTCTTCTTACAAACATTTTACTTGAAACATTAGAGCAAATTTATTGCTATAATGATAATTAACTGAAATTTATTTGCTCCCATTAATCTTCAAGTTTCAATTTGTAGTCGAGAAGAAGAGAGAATCGGAAAAGATTTATTATTCTGATTATCTTTTACTCTTCATTTTATCCACTTTTCGATGTTTGTCTCTTCTTAATGTTCATTCGGATTCATTTAAAGATCATTTTTACCTTTTCAAGAGTAAAACATTTCATTGAAATTAAGAGCCAAATATTTGATGTAAAATAATTGATGTTTTCAGTTCACTTTGTTTGACTGTTGTGAACTCAACCTTCAATCAAATGATTGATTAAGCTCAACTTTTATCTGCTTTCTTTGGGTGAAAAAAGAATGGGAATGAAAAAAGCTGAATAGAAAAGTGAAAAAAGGAAAAGAAGAAAAGAAAACAGTTGAACAAACGAAGGAAAAATAGACGCAAGTTGACATTAACTGTGATCAATGGATTGTCTTAACAAGTAATATTAATAAAAATGGTTAAGCTTTAATCTCAATCGACAGTTACTTTTGAAAAGTGGAATAAGTTTGTTTGAGTCGAAGTGGAAGAGACGAGTCGAGGTAAATGTTTTAATAAATTGGCTTCTTTCAATTTGCACTTTTAGTTGTGAATGAAAAGTCATTTAGAAGATGAAATAATCAATAAACTAGATAAAAGACAAGCTAATCATGACCATGAAAGTGAAAAGAGAAAAGGTTAAAGAAAAGTTATTCCGATGAAAGGATAAGTTCAACTCGAATAATTTATCACTTTTTAAGCCAACGGTCATTAACTAGACTTCTGGGTTAAGATGACAATTTTAGTGTCATATTTGATTCCGCAAAGACTGCAAATCAAAACAAATTTTCCTCTATTTACCCAATTTGTTTTAATCGAAACCAACAAATAAACTTGGATGAAACTCTTTATATCAAAACTCAGTCACCTTTAGAATAATCTCAGTTTTTCGATTTCGATGTTCGGAATCTTTGAATAGTCGGATAGTGAGATTGCTGTTATTAATTTGAAAGACCAAAGACTGACACACAGACTATTGAATGAGCATTGGAATGCAATTTTCTAGAGAGAAAAAGTTTGAAAGAAAAAGTCTATTCGATGTTGAAGGTGCGTTTCTCAAGTGATCAACTTGCATGGAACTGAAGCTTTTCCAGATTTATTGGCGATAAAATTGATTCCCGCTGCTCGATTGATCCTTTTTCTCATTCAATTAATATCGATTGACAGATTTAAACGATCAAGAATAGTGTTATAAGCCATAAAAGTTGAGCTATTTGAGTCAACAAAATTTACATTGAGAGGGCAAGTTGAGTGAAAAAAAAGTTGAATGCAAAAATGAAACATTAAACAGATAATAAAAAATAATAATGACAACATTAATAATAATATAAATGAAGATTGAAAAACTAACAATTGCAAGTGGAAACGCGAAAGGGAGCAAAAATGATAAAAAAAGAAACCAAATAAATGGTTGAAAAGATCTGACAAGAAAATGATTTGAGGGCAAAATATTACTTACTAACCCCAAACAGCATCATAATGTATATTATTATTGTTATCATTATTTGCTTCATGGAAACAGAGAAGAAGAAGAAAAAGAAAAGGAAAATAAAAAGATAGATTCCAATAGCCTGAGGTTATTTCATTTGACTTGAATCCTTGGGAGTGAAAAAAAGAGACTAAGTAAATCCCTATAAATAAATAGATAACAAATGAATCAACAGTAAGAATGGAAAGTGATTCAATGTGAAATGAAACAGAAACTTATTTATCTTCACTTATCATTCCAATATTGTATCTTATTCTTAAATATTATTTTTCCCTTCAAGTTCAGATTCTCTACAAAGTCTCATGAAAAGAAAATCAATGAAAATTTTCTTCGACAAAAGTTTCAATCAAGAGCAACTTCGACTAATCCATTAACCAAATAACAATTCAGGTGAGTTGTGGTCACAAAGGCTCAGATTACGAGTTAAATAAAAGGTTAAAAATATTATTCGATTTTCATTATTTTAATCGGATTTTCAGAAAAATTTCAATGAAGAAGTTTTTTAATGAAATTTTGAGTTTTAATGAATCATGAATTTTCGCGTTTCTAATTTGGAAGAAGAAATGAGAGAACTTTCATTTTGTTGAACTTTAGAGCAATGAACAAGAATTGATTATTCACAGCTTTAGGTGAGTCCATTATAGTGAGTTGATAAAAGATTGGTGTAAATGCTGAGAAGAAGAAGAAAGAGCAAAAGAAGAAAAAAAGTTGAGTAAATTGATTTTGTTCTAATGGAGTTGAAATAACTTTTCACTCCCAGTCCCATCGATCAAAACCTTTTATATCCATGTCCATTCAATGTGTGTTTATGTGTCCATCTCCATGAGTGTCCAATACTGTTGGACAAAAAGTAATTGACCCTTTCTTTTCAATCGAAATGACCTTTTTTTCTTACTTCATTTCTTACCATTCCATGGTTTACCCTTGATGTTGTTATTGTCAGAAAAGTTGGCTCGTAACAACCGATGAAAAGTGTGAAAATGATGATGAAAGGAAAGAGGGAAAAAAAGTGATAAAGAAATGATAAAATGATTTGGAAGAGAAGAAAGAGAGAAAAGAAAAGGTAATAATATTAGAAGAGTAAGATAAAGTAGAGATAACTTTTGGCTCCTTCTTTTATCCTTTCTTTCCTCCCTGAAAGTGTCTCATGAGAATGAATGGACTGGAACAGTTTTCTGATGTGTGAATGTTAAGAAAGGCAAACCGATGAATGATGACGCTTTGTTTTCAACTTTTCTCTCGTTTCTTTGTTTCCATCACTTATTATCACTATTTTTCTTTCATATCTTGTTTCATCTGATAATGATATTTTTCAATGCTTCTGTCAGCATTATTATACTTTTATTTCAAATGCATCAATAAAATGAAACATTCAGTGGGTAAAAAAGTTGCTCAATTTGCTCATTTTGTTGGCAAGCGAGAAAAATTGTTTCATTACTTTTCCTTCAAATGTTCAACTTTTCTCTCAATTTTGAATCGCTAATGTTCAAGTCTGAATGGATGCAAAAAAATTTCTGAAAAAAAATTGAAACGATCAAAGACAATTTGTGAGTCAGAACGGTAAAAAGACGAATCGGAAGTAATGTCATGTCTAAATTGACGAATAACTGGTCAAAGACACTGAGCAAAAAAATTTGTGAGTTTTTTGACTGTAACGCTATACCTTCTAAAACTCGAACACTCTATTTTCGTTTTGTTGAACTTAAGGTCGAGTTGAGAAGTCACTGAAGTTTCCTTTTCCGTGATGAGCGTTAGTTTTTGATTGATAATTTTTGGGAGATGACTGAAGACTCAATTGATTGAAAAGTGAAGTTATGATAAATTGACTACATTTTGGGTCGATCTAAAGCTGCTTTTTGAAGAGGCTAAAGGCACTTTTCAGAGAAGATGTCATTTGTTCAGATCGTCCTCTTGAACGTTAAATTGTAGTTTGATGAAAATTTGGCGAAAAACGAAATTTGTGAAATTCATTTTATAGCTCTTTGAAATATCTATTATAACTAGAAACATTCAGCTTTCGTTTGATACTATGTTTAAGATACAAAAATTAAGATCATTTCTGTGTTTTTCTACTTTTAAAGGCGAAAGAACTCATGAATTATAATGACAATGTATTCAAATTTGAATTCAAATTGGTATTGAAAATGTATATTAATCGAGAAACTGAATAATTTTCGCATCCTTTTCAAGTTATTCCAGAAAATTGATAGTTTTTGGATAAAAAGTGTCAGGTTTAAGATAAATAGTCTTGAGAATGGAGTTTTGGTCATTACTTTAGGATTATTTATGTCATTCTTGTGATTTAAATGTTTCCAGTTCTGAAACAATAGAATTTAAATAAAAAAGTAAAATGTGACACAAAATAATTCACTATTTCAGGATATTCACAGTTTTCTGTGAACTGTTTTCTGTCAATTGTGAACTGCTTGTTGATTCAAAAGTTGAACAACTTGATTAAACTTGGCAAAACTCAAATTTCACTTTCATTTCCTGATAAACTATTCATTGAGTAGAGTTGATTTTCACTTGAAACACTTTATTTACTTTTCTTGGTTCAATTGGTTGTTAAAGCTAATCAAAGACAAATCAACAAAGTAACACAAAATAGCGAATAAAAGGACAGAAAATAAAGACTTGGCATGAAATGATTTTATCAAAAGTGAGGTTAACAAATATCGATAAATAATTTGAGCGAAAAAAGGAAAATAACTTTAATAGTAAATAACAATCGAAACTATTTGTTGATCTTATTAGTCTTGAGCGTACACCAGAATCTGGAAAAGGGGTAAAAATTTTGTAGCACTTTTAATGGGTTGAAATGAATGTGAAACATTGAAAGTTACAAAAGAAGTCAAAGTAAAATGTTTTCTTTACTCAACTTTCATTTTCCGTTTCAATTGTGAATTCAGAATTTCTTTACCAAAGTTAATTTGTTAAGGTAAAAGGGACTGAAAAGGAAAAGTTGGATGAACAAGAAGATGATAATGATGATGGTGAATGAGAAAATCAAGTTAAACGATTGTACAGAATTCAATTTATCCATTGTATAATTCAATTGAATTGTCTGTTGAATCAAGATCAATAGTTTTTTTTCAGTCAATTTCACTTTGTCATAATAATAAGATTTTTGTGATTCGCTGAACCACTTTAACCAGAAAAAAGAAGAAGAAGAAGAAGAAAAGATTATCATTATTATTGCTATTATTATTGATAATCTAATGGCATTATTTATAATAACAATAACATCAAATTGAGAATCAAAATAATGAGTAAAAATGAAAAGTAAAGTTGAGCCAAACAGAGCTTTTTAAAATGCATTCAGGGAATGATTGGATAATGGCCAAGATAAAGGTTCGAGTTGAGATTGGACAATATTGGAGAGCAAATGTTGAAAGACTTTTGATGAAATTAATCGTTTCTTTTGATTCACTCCAAGCGTTTGAGATAATTTTTAAAGAAAATTTTCTATTCTTTAATCGATATCAGAGTTTATCCATGATAAGATGATTAAAGTGAATAAAGAATGTTTACCTTTTCAAGAGAATGAATGATGAATTTTTGTGAATTTTATACAAAAGGTTAATGATGATGAATGAAGTTTTCATGTTTACTCACTTTTTTCCCAGAAAATGTTTACGATTGGATAACCTCCGACCGGACATTTAACTGATAGTGATCGATGGGCCACCAAAGTCAGGTTGCCCATTGGACGAACATAAGGCGGACCTGAGACTCGGAGTGGGGCTACATTCTCAATGGTTGATATATCACTCGAAGCGGTGCATGAATAGGTTCCACCAATTTCAACACTCACAGAACTTATGTTGACAAAACTGATGACGTAATTTTCATTGGTCACATAATCGCCGATTCGGACATTTTTCATGCTATCCAAAGGGAATCCATCGAGTTTCCATGTTATCTGAGGCAAAGGGTTACCAGTTGACATGCACTTCAAGGAGACACTTTCACCTGGTTTAACGTCCTTCTCTGTGAACACTTCCAAAAATATGGGCGCTTCACCTGGAATAAGCAGGGAAAGAGAAAAATGTAATTTCAAGAATTTCTGTTTTATTCGAGAAATAATTATCTTCATTTGTTTGTGCATTTTTGACAGAAAAATATTCAACTGAAAACATTCTTTAAATTGATATCAATTGGTTTTGACTACAAACTGATCAGTTTCGAGTCGGATTTTTCATTTAGAAAAGTCGAAAATGGATTGAACAAGTTTCAAGAGATTGAAATGATTTCATCAATGCAATTATTAAAATGAAATGTTGAGCCATTAATCATGGGCTGGGCAATTGAATATCATAATCATTATCTTTGAATATTTTTCACTCCCAGTTGCTCTTTTGTCTGGAAGAACCTCTTGCAAATCGATAACCTCTTGAAAAGTAAACTTAAAAGTATTTAATGTTCAATGAACTTTTTCCCTTTTTTCACATTCTTTTGTTTCCAAATTTCATGTAAAATTTATCATTCAATTAATTACGTATAATCATTGCCCAAGAACCTTCAATGATTTAAATGTTGCGATAATAAATTTTGACGTTAAAAGTTATTCAAATAACTGTTATTAAATGCTTCATTTTCGATAAAAGTGATAGAAGTTTTGATAATTTTCACTCCCAGGATTGATGGAGTGATCAACGTTTTCTTATTATTTAATGAAATATTGAGTCTGGATTTCAAAGCTTTTTTCAATGAAACTGGGAATAAAGTCATTGGGGCTCATTTTTTCATTAAAGTGATGCTTTACCCACCAAGAGAATGTTGAATAATGAATATTTGGGAAGATTATCAATATTTATGAAATCTCTTTTTCTCTTCCCTTAATAACTCTATTTTGATCATTTTAATTACTTTTATTTGTATTACACGGACAATTTAAGGTTAAATGTTTTTGGCTAATTATTTTCTCTCTCGCTCTTGATATCATTTTGTCTCTTTTGTGTGCTGGTTTACCTTTTTTTGTACATTTATTACTTCTGGTTTTGTCTTGCATGTTAATGAACATTATGTTTGTTTCAACAGTTAATCAATATCAAGGGAATTGAACTCAAAGTGATTAACCACATTGAATTAAAGTAATGAACAATGAGAAACATTCAATCATTATGTTAATACAAGGTTAAACAGTAACTAACATGACCACACCAACTTGTCCATGATTCAGTTTCAATGCAGCATGATCCACTGAAACAAAGGCACGTGCTTTATTCATGTGAAAATGGCAAAACCTGACCCTGGAATCCAAATGGCTAGAAAAGGTGCGCCTGTCTAAAAAATCGCATTCAATCAGAATTTACCTTTGGAACTGATGAGCTAATGACAAGTTATCTCAACCCTGTTGAAACCTCAACTCGGTTGAGCCAGACATTGTTATCTAAGGCTATGTTTTCCATGTTTCAACATTCATATCAATATTTTTCCCTGAAAAAACTTGGACAATTGTTATACAGATTTTCGGTTAAAAAGGTTGAATCGATCAATTTTCGAGAGATGCTATTGAATGTTATGTTAATGGGGATAATTTGTAAAATGATATGTTCGCCAATTACCTCCATTCATTAGACCCTAGGCTGAACATTGTATCAATTGGTTAACAAGATTGATTAGATAAAAGGTAAAGTTGAAAGTGTTTCACAAAGTTGAACATGAAATGTTATTTTTACAGCAAGATGATCAGTCTAATTAGTCTGTGAAACATTATTATTCAACTCTCAATCCCAGTTCATTCACTTGGAGGTGAAGCGTAAAAATGAAAATGTGAGATGAATACGCTTCCCTTTCTCTGTCCATTTCTCTGTTTCAACAGGAGAACCGAAAAATTAATACATTTAATCAGAAATGGATATTACAGGGGAATGTTGAGTGAAACAAGAAAAATGTAATTATATTGATTAAGCGCAAAAAATGCTGATGGCAAAGGTGGTAAAGTTTCAATTTGCCTTGAGTAAACAAAGTGATGTTGGTGAATAAAAGTGAATAAACTCAGTAATGACCAGAAAGCTATCTGCATATTAACAGTTTAATTATGACAATATTATGTGAGAAGAAGGATAATCGATAAAAAAAATCAGATTCAGGAAAGCACTTTAAATATGAAGAGGAAATTAAATGAAGAAAGGAAATTTGAAAGCAAGATTGAACTTGCCTATTCAAGTGTAAAGAATAGCATTGTTGTTGAAGCATTTTAAGCGAAAGACAAAAACAAATTGTCTTTACTCTGCTTTTACATGAAACACCTTGCAACTCACATGAGAACTGAAAAAATGTCAACTTTTAGCTCACAATTTTGCTTTACGTCAAATCATATTTATAGTCTAAATGTTTCACCATGTGCAAAAGAAATGTTATCATGAAAGAATGAATCACAAAATGGAAACTTTGTTTATCCAAATATTATTGATAACAATTCCCTTGGAATGTAAAATTTTCATCTTTAGATCGCTTCACATTTCAATGATGACTGGCAAAATGGTGGAAATTTGGTTTTGCAAAATTCATTGAAACTTTTTTTTTCTTTGACAGATAAAGATGGGATTTGCTAGAGAAAACTTATGCTAAACATTTCTTTTCAAAGATTTACATCAACTAATGAATTTGCTTTTCACTTTGAAGCTCATTTTTTGATAACTTTTTGACATTCAAAGATATTCAATTCTCAAAGAGAGGATGACAGTTAGCTTAAGTGAATGTTTCGTCCAAATCTTGATAAATGTCGTTTCTCAGTCAATCCAAGTCTTGACTTGCAAACTACTGAGAGAGCAAACCAACGCATAAGATGAGCAATCTTAGATGATATGTACAGACAACTTTTATCGATGAATAATAAGTTTCAGCTCTCTAGCTATTACGGTCAGAGAATGGCGGAGGTTTAACGGAAAATCGAAGTGATCTGTTGCACAGAAACAAGGAATTTCATTTCACAAAATGAGTTCGATGAAGAAATCTGATTCCACAATTGAAAACACTTAGCTTTGACCTCAATTTTCTCGAAAACTGTGTATCGGAGAAATTTTTGGACACTAATGGACGCAGTTTCTGTGCTTGTCAAAACGTACAAAAAGTACTAGCTCTTAACTCGACACCCAGATTTTTTGCATCACTCCTTTAATAAATTGAATATTGAATTTTATGATTAGTTGATAGCTCGGAGGCTTGGCTAAGGAAGAGACTTAACGGAAAAGGGTCGAGTCCTTATGATGTCTAACTTTCATTCAAAGGTCTTAGGTTCGAATCCCTTAACCTATGAAAGCGGTGTAAGGCGTAGGTCGGCTCAGTCAAGTCTGTGTGTGACTGCTAAGGGGCAGACCTAGAGCTGTCTAATATATCAGGAATAAAATGAGAAAAATATTTAAATTCAATTAGCATTGAAGGCATCAATTCATAAGGCTTGGTTAGTGTTTGTGTGGAAAAGTCATTAGACGCAATCTGAACCTTTCCTTCTGCACTCGTGTTTATAGTGCTTCTTCCTTGGTCGAATGGGTTGATACATGTGGGAAGATCTAAACGCAATAAACGCAAAGAAATGGAAATACAGTTTATCTTCTTATGTTCCAGTATTTCCCATCACCAGATGGAATCTAATCAAATCTTAATAAATTGTGAAAATCTAAGTTTTAAAGCTTCTTCTTTATACTCATTCTGATAAATGAGTTGTCTTTTCAAGATTTAGTAAGGATGGTTCAGGGAATAGCTTGAATCGATTAATTCGATAGAACAATTTTTCCATCATTATTTATTAGCTAGACTTTATTTTGCAAAACTATTCCAAGTAAATCCAAGCATCTAAAGTATGAATTGTAATCCTTTCGAGTCATAAGACAAAAATAACTTCAGAGTTGCGTTATGAATTTACAAGCGAAATTTGCACCGAAAAATTCAATTCTGCATAAATTGTCTGGCACACTGATATTTGATATATGACATTTGATATGAGATTGCTTCGACGAGACAAAATTTTGAAACTTTTTGGGATTAATTCAGGATAAACATTCCATTCATCAGCCTCAATGGAAGTAATTGGAAAAGAAATTATCGTAAATTTTTTTCTGCAAAAAATGATGCAATGAATTTCATTGTTTCATGAGCATTCTATTTCAACTATTGTTATTACTACGATCAAGTTGAACTTCAATATATTTCGAGCCTCATGTTGCAGAAAAAAGGCAAAAAGGTATTCTTCCATTGAAGGATTTTAGATGAAACTGACTTTTGATATGAGAATAATTTAACTCTGGAGAGTTGGAAAAGTAATAATAATCGCAATGATGAGAGCGAATCAGAAAATTGGTCGACTCTGAATGAAGATGATGTAAAGAGTAATAATAAATATATTTAGACAAAAATAGATGAGATTTACTGAAAAGACAGGAAAAAAGATAGTTACAGAATTGGTTAATAAACAGATAAACAAGAACTTTTTTTCTTCCTTTCTTTTATCACAATGAATCATGTTATTATCATGATAATAATAGATGAAAATATAATGTCTAAATAATTGAAAATGTTATTCTTTTGCTTCTACTAAAACTTTTACCTTTGATGGAACAGATTTAATGTAATTTTCGATTAAAGAATCATCAAAGAATTTTCATTGTAAATTCAATAACATTAATATTGAAATTTTCACAAACAATTTAAAAGTTATTAACAGAAAGTGAAAAAGAGTTTGACTTTTAAAACAAAAGTTTTGCCATTGAAATGAGATGCATTAGTTTCAAATGTTTCGAGTTAAAGGATTGCCTTTTAATGTTTATAAAAGTTCGGTGCAATTTGATACTTAAGAAGATTGCTTTTCAAGTTGAAGATAAATAAAACTTTGTGTCAACATAATTTCAATTTTTATCGTTCAAAGTAAAGATTGGACAAAAATGTATTTTTCAGTTCGATTTCAAACTAAAACTTTGAATAAAAATGGTTCAAAATGAATACTCAATGGTTTTCCTCTTTTCGCACTTCGAGTTTTAATCGTTTAAAAAGTTTGCCTCAAGTAAAGCAAAACTTTAGCT